TTGAATCTACGGAATATTGAAAATTTTGCTTAACAAAAATTTGGATCAATATTTAAATATGTGCCAGGGATATACACTACCGCCATCTTATATAAAATATTTACTATTAACATGTCCAAGATGACGACCACTGTAATTCATGCAGACATACGATTACACCGTTCAATGAAAAATTTTTGATTCAATTCCTACACGTACAGATGACTCTAGCTGCTAGCTTGGATTTTTAATTAGTGACGTCACTGGATGCCCTGCGTATGCGCTCAATGATTTTGATTTGAATTTAAATTTTATTGGCACAAAAGTTTTATTTGGAATTTAAATCGTTACGCACACGTTATTAATGAGTCATTTAAGTTTTGTTATTAATCTAGTTTTGTTGTGTCCGACCAGGCAAAGAAAAACAGGCTATATTTTATCTTTTCCCATTCCTTTCGGACGTTGAGTGAAGGACTTAATTACTTAATGGTTCCGGTTCGGTTCGGTTTACTACAGTATTCAATAAAAAATTAAGACTACAATCATTACACGTGTGCCTACATTTTATTTCGGAGTAGATAAGTAGAAGCTGCGATATCAATGTGAAGCTGAAGAGGATAAAAAGCTAAGGACTCGGAGTACTTTGAATTTTAGTCACAGCCATAAGTTTAGCATGATACCCACACAATCTATTACTATTGAATTTATAACAATTACTTATTAAGTACGTACCTATCTATAAATCCAATGCTATTATTACACAATTGCGGATTTGGACAAAAAATTCGAAAAAATTGGAAATAATAATAAGAGGATCCCTTGATTGGAGTGGTCACCAAAGTATTTGTGGGAAGGTAGGAAAAAATGTTAAAAACAATAGCCAAATTCACATGCGAAAATGAAGAGAGAGGGAAAGAGAAATAGAGGCAATAAGAAAATGCAGAATACGCGAAGAGGAAAACAGAGAGAAGTGCTAGTTGAGGAGGAGGAGGTGAGAAGTGGTAGAGGGGATACTAAAAAAAAGAGAAGAAAAGAAATCGCATTTCAGTTATAATTTATATTGTAAAGAGATTTGCCATTTTGGCGTTCAATAAAGATTGTTTATAATCGAGTTAATACAATTGTGTAGAAGCCATTGATGTCTTTGGAAAACTAAACCTAATTATAGTATTCTGATATCTATGTGGTTGCTCTTGCTTTCGAAAGGAGCTAAAGAAAATAATGCAATGTAAGAAATCTAGTTTTGGGACTGATGAGGTATACAAGACCCATTTGCGGCACTGCGAAGTTTTATTATTCTTTACACTTTACAGAAACAGAACGGGAATCATCGAGAGAAACGGTAACTAATATCGCAGATAAATTTATCTGTGCTAATATCGATGAAATGACAAATAGAGATGAAGTGAGAAAGGAATATATTTTTTTATTTATAGGCGTACAAGTACATTGTGTTTATTACGTTAATAATAATAAATTTAGAACAGACAAATTCGAACAAAATAAAGTAGTTCCAGGGTAGTGGGTACTGCAACGGTAGTCTTTTATAATGGGGGTGATTTTTTTTTATTTTTATAATTCTATATATTATTCTGTCCTGAATTGATCGTTGTTGCGTGAATCATAATAGTGCACATCTCTATTTGTTTTTAATTGCTCCTCACTCTTAAAAATAGGTAAGTTTAGGCAAATATATAGTTACATTCCGGTTACGGTAAGGAGGTTAAGTTCTCTGAAGATATCCTTGCAGGTATGAAATTTTGATAATAATTGTTCTCAGAATTTGTTTTTGACTTTATGGATGATCCCCATAGACATATATCATACTTATAATTACAGACGCAACTAGTGCGGGTACCTATGTTAACTGTGGTAACATCATTCAAAATGTCTATCACTTTTATTCGTGTCATTTTGTTGTATTTCTAATAATAACGATTGTATCATTCTATTATAGGATTTAAAAAAAAATCTCTAAATCCGTTTTTCGCTAATATTTAGTAAACTGTGGATTTTTTCGAAAAAACAAAACCCTATCTTGAATAAGCTGTTAAAACGACAACGATTTAGCTGAAATGATTAGGAAATGGAAAATGCCCCTTTGGCAAAACTATTTATTGAATAAAGTATATGAGAACCAAATAGGTATTTGATTGAGAAAAGGCCGTTGAAATTTTACGTAACTCACGTCCAATATTAATTAATTTGACAGCTCGCGGTAAAAAGTGAGTTGATTGTGTGATTAGATATATTTGTGGACAAGGAAATTGTCATTAAAAAGTGATGGTAATAGTCTGTGGTAATACTGAGGATATTACGTTGTATCGGTTGAGGTATACATTTCCAGCTTTCTTCGTTTGTGAATGAAGAAAAAATTCAGCATAGAAATTGTCATATAAACACGCATATTTTGAAGATGCACTGTAGAATTTAAAATAGGGCATCCTGTGACGTATTCGCGCCACGTTGTCTGATTGGTCCGCGTGCATATTGGCGTCCCTTTTGAACCCTGCATGGTTATAGTTGTCCGCTCTCAGCAGCTCATACACATACTCTATTGGCTCAATAGTGCTCGTAAAGTGAGTCTTTTCCGAATTCAATCACAAAAAGTAACCATGATAACTATTGGTGATCATCTGGGATTATCGTTTAGGAAAGATACAATGGTAACTGTATGTAATGTACAGAATAACGGGCGATCAAAAATGAGTTGCTGTCGAGTAGCCTTTGGAAGTTCAAGTTCTGTACGATTTACCATGTAAACAAAAATTCCAAAGGTGACTCGACAGCAACTCATTTTTGATCGCATTGTACAACAATACGAAAATAGTCGTATTACGAGGTTTGTGAATGTGTTTTTTGGAGCTTTACCAAAGAAATGCTGTTTGTGACACATATACCTAAAATATTTGTTGGGATTCATTTTATTGTTTCCATACTCGGATTCGCTTCTTCCAAATTCGTCCCAAAAAATTGTGTTTTAGGTACTTGTAACAAAAATAACTATTTTGGAACTAGATTTTCCGAAAACGCATGAGTATACAGTATTAAGTGAAATGAAATTTTGGTATATTGAATGCACACCACTCTCGTTGGCTTTTGGGTCGGCTATTTTTCGCCACCTACTCACGGAACTGGATATAAGTTTTTGTTAATACGGAAATGCACTGTAGGTAAAGGATTGTCCTACGAATATGTTTTAAGTTTTGTTTTTGGGCTTAAATGTTTAGTGTTTATAGTCGAATAAAACTCGATGCAATGCAAATTTCATGTTTTTACTAGAACAGTAGGTATTAGAAATCGAATTCGGGGTCAGAAAATGATGTGCCACACAGTATGGTTTTCTATTGTTTTCACAAGCTACTTATAACTCTCGCCGGGAAAGATTGCCGGTCACAGAACACTTGATCCCGATCTACAATCTCTGTTTTTCGTAAGGTGCTAGCGACTTCCGGGATCGTATCGTATGTCAGTGTTGAACGAAAAGACTTTTTGTTCAACATTAGCACAATCCTATTCCAGAAGTCGCTCGCATCTTAATAAAAACAAAGATTGTAAATCGACACAAGGTGTGCTGTGACCGGCAATCTTTCCTGGCGAGAGTTAATAGTTATCAATTAATGTTTAAAAGAGAGTATACCTTGGAAACACAGGACGATAATTGCTGTCAAAAGTGCAGGATATTGTTCTAGTTGTTTAAGATTTTGATTTAGAATAGATTACCAACATGTCTTCTGAAATCCAGTCGGTATAGATAAAGCGTGATATATTTGAAGTTAGCCTTTATTATTTTTTTATGTTTTAGTTAGAAAATTAATAATTTGATTTTCTTAGTAGTTTTTCGCCATTTTAGGATTTATAAGTAATGAATTCTCATGAGTCGTTTTCAAAGCATTCTGGAAAATTGAAATATGGAATATTTCTTTTAGGCAAATCGTAATTGACAAACATAGGTATATAAGTGTGTGATACATCATATTTTAACCAGCAGAGAATTTCCTAATGAAAAATCATTAAACATGCCATTCCATTTTTTTTCAGTCATTTGTACCATTCGTCAATTTTGTTTGTTTATCAACTTGAATTTTAATCGAATGTTGTTTATCTGTTTTGTTTGTAAAACTTGTGATTGTTGTAATTTATTCAATCTGTAGTTGGATTTGTGAAAAAATAAAATAAATAACTGGAAGCTGCACGATTAGTCTTATTTTCGAAGTACCTACTTAAAATTGCCTTTTTGTGACTTTTATTTCAAGATCTTTTGGTAAGTATAAGTCTGCTGCTGCTTCAGCCGATCACTAATTGCATCGGAGAAGAGGCAAATAGTTTTTCTTGCGCAATTTAATTCGAAAGTACAAGACATCATCCCAGAAAAATAAAATACTCACTTTATTTTTGCCACAAAAAGATTCTGAAGGAAATCATGTAGATCTGTTGTTGTAATATGATAAGACTATAAAGTCTTTAGTAAATAAGTAATTTAGAACTAATTTTATTGAATCGGATTTTCGTAACACCTACAGTACCTACCCATAACGTGCGACACCGATATTTAAAATAAAATGAAGCGCAACTACCTACAAAAGAAACACGTGGGTTTTCGTGTCTTCCTAAAAGATTATCATCGGCAGTCTATTGCATTTGTCTTAGAAAATCTTTGATTGAGTAAAATAACAGACGTATACACTTATTAGGAGATGCTAAAAAGATTTTCGTAACAAATTTATTTATAAATTGTTCGTAATTGTGCAGAAGAAGTGAGTTATATATAACAAAATGTCTTTTGGGAGGAGCGTAGTATAAGAGAAGGGCGGTTCTATAGGGGTAGTTTTCTATTAGGGAGATGCCGTATTCAATATCTTTTACATCCCCTCTTCATTTTGCATTTAGTGTTAACGTTGACAACCGCATCAGTTAAAGTTTATAAACTGAAGTTAAAACGCCACCCTCTACGAACATGTGCCTGATGGTAATTGTTGTCCACTGAGAGCTCTTATCGTTAAATTCGAATATAAGAAATCTTGAGTATGCAAGAGCATAAATCTTTTCTAATAAAGGACTTACTAGGTGATGTGCTAGTGGAGATGCGCGAAGATTTAGATAACAGTAAGTTTGCAATTTTTTTCCTTTTGTGATAGGACTATAGGAAGCGCAGAATTTAAGTGGATACAACCTGAGGCAATAATTACTCTTTGTTCTTAGTGCAAGTACCCTCAATCTCGCATTTCTTTTGTAGGAAACCCAAACGAGTGATACTTTAATTGCATAGTTTCTGTTGTTTTCTGTTATATGCGATTTGTACAGTTTATACTACATTTGAACAACACGTTCTTTATTGAAGCACTAAACCTTCCAGGGTAAACCTAAACATTGCGAATTAGAACCAGTTTTAGATATATAAATATGCGGACTATTGATAGGTAACCTTCACATAAAATCTTCCATTAAAATATCCTGAATTAGCCCAGTCTGTTTATGTATTTTTAAAAGCATAATGCTGAATGGCAGTTAGAAAATATTTTGGGTTTCAGGGTGATCTCTTCAATAATCATCTTATCCTTTTGTGTTAAGGGCGCACCCCTAAAATTGTAGCGCCTCCTAAACATGAAACGGCAATTTTTTTAAATTTGGACATTTAGTTTTCAAGATACCTATCTACTTATTCCACCGTTGCTTAGACCATCTAAAGTACCCTACCAAAGCTTGTGATTCTCTTTTCATAACTTTTAAGTCTTTTCCAGAGTTTTAAATGTATTCCAAGCTTTTATAGAATTCCTATGTTCCAGAAAGGACATAAAAAAGTTCCGGAACGAGTTAGATGACTCTCTAAACCCCTTTAAACGGGCTTCAGAGTGCATTTTGGAGCGTTCAAAGTTTTTTAAGGACCTTCTAGATTTCCCCAAAACGCTTGTCAGAGATTTCCTATGCTTTGAAAAACTCTACAGCGCTATTGTAGAGCATTTAATCTCCCTCCCAGAACACTTTAAGTCGTTTTTAAAGTCCTTTAGGACACTTACAACGTTCTAAACCTCTTATATAATATTATAGGCTCTTTAAAAAGGTTTCCAGGAGAATTCTCTAGCAAACGCATCATTAGAAAGTTCGGCATTAGAAAAAGCCTAAAGAGTAACTTTTCCGGACGTTTTACTTGTTAGAGCTATGCACGCACTTTCCATTGGTTTTTTCACTATTTCAAGCTTTCTAGGTTTTTTTAGTGTATCACCACTTTGTAGCTCTCTACAGTACTTTGTAGACGCGCATATCTAATGAAAGTACTCAAAAGTCTCTTAAAAAGCCTAGAAATGACCTGAGAAGATTTCAAAGGTTTTAAAAAACGATAGAAAGCTATGAAGATGTAAACTGTACGGCCTCGTGGGCGCTTAAAACTTTCTAGTTAATTACAGCTAGTTCAAAAGTAGGTATGCAGGCGAATGTTCATGGTAATCGCAGCACGAGAGACGATAGAGACGGTAGATTTTGTTGCTAATGAATAAATCGCAACGACTTGTATTTGCATTTTAATAGTACATTATATATCAAGGTAGAGAAGTCCACTATTATTGCCTGAGCACCAAGATTACATCTCGAGGCGCTTGCGCCGAGGGGTGTAAGGTGCGAAGGCAATAATAGACTTCTCTACCGTGGTATATATACTATTTTTTTCACTACTAGCACTTGAAATCCTCTAAATTAACATATTTTATTGATAAGAAAGTGAACGGTTGGACAGAATTTTTTGTTTCTTAATTTAACATGTCAATCAAGTACGTGGAAGTACAAGTCAAACAGGCCGTATTTTGTTCTGTCATTGAGATATTTTCAAAGAGTAATTTCGTTCGAATTTTTTCAAAATATGATAATTTTAGGTATGTAAGTTCTCTGGAAATGGCGGATGGTGGCAATTATTCATTTTAGAGAACTTGTCTAAACGTTTATTGAGCGAAATTTCGGGTTGTGTTTTCTAAAAGTGACAGCGTGACAGTTCTCATTTTTGACTACTAGTTAATAATAAAAAATTATTAACCACTTTGAACAAATGCCGAGAAAGCCTACTTTACAAGTGGAAAAAAGGTTAATAATCATGTCATCAGACGCTAGTAGTGAAAAAATCATTTTGTAATTTTGTAACTTGTATCCGGAAAAGCTGTCCGAAAGGTCTGTTAATTTCCAGAAAGCTGTAACAGTTTATTTTTTATGAATTTGTAGATAAGTGTGTCAATTTACGGTTAGAGGAAAAATAACTTATGTTGTCTAACCTTTCTAGTACCTACTACGCTTCCACACTCCAGAAAATTAGGGGCTAGAATAATTTGAATTTATGAAACATCGGACTCCTTGTTTGTCTTTTCTGCTTTTTTGAAAAACAATAATAAACGTATACAGGGTGGCCATTTGAAAACGAAACAGAGCCTATTTTGGGAACCTCAAAACATTAACGAAAAAATCCTCGGACCCGCCAATTTTTGTTTCAAAGGGGAACAATTTTTTTGGTAGTTTCGCCCCCCTAAGGACAAAGCCCTAGCGGGGGTGACGACCGCCCCCAAAATTTTAAATCGAATGGGGGGTCGAGTAATACCTTATTTTGAAGGTATTTTTATGTGGATTATAATCCTTAAGTTTTAAATCGCTCCTAATTTGCCTAGCCGATACAGGAGGTAAAAACGTGTCAACATTTTCTTATGAAAAAAAATGCTTGTAAATTAATTATTTAAATAACAACAATAAATACAACAATAAATACAAAAAATGTTGTTATCGTACATTCTGAACTGAACTTTTTGTTGTTGTTTTTTTTCTTTTTAAAAATCTGTAGGTGGCTTTGACGAATGTTCCTTTTTCCTAAACGGTACTGTGAATCGTCACAAATGTCGCTATTGGGCTGCATACACAACGTCCCGAAAAATTGAATATTTGGGCTGGCATTTTTGGTAACCATATCGTAGGCCCCTTCTTTGTACCTGGCAATCTAACAGGAGAGATGTACCTGGAGTTATTAGAAAATACGATTCATCCAGCATTAGTGCAGATACTAGAAAATAACAACGAGTACTTGGAAAATCGTCTAGTATTTCAGCAAGATGGTGCGCCACCCCACTATGCTGCAAGGGTTCGTCAATATTTGGACCAAACGTTTCCAGGACAATGGATTGAAAGAAGAGGAGCTATTGAATGGCCTCATCTTTCCCCGGACTTTCCGTTAGATTTTTTTTATGGGGACATTTAAAAATTAAAATTTATGCTAGTCAGTCAACATCGCTAGAGAACTTGCGACAAAGAATAATTGATGAATGTCGTCAAATCACCCCAGAAGTTTTGCAAAATGTACGGGAAAGGTTTGAACAAAACCTGTATTATTGTATGGAAGTCGAAGGCCAACATTTTCAACATTTACTTGATTGATTTTAGCTTTAAGCACTTAAAATAAAATTGATTAAAATCTACATAAAAATACCTTCAAAATAAGGTATCACTCGATTTAAAATTTTGGGGGCACTTGTCACCCCCGCTATGGCTTTGCGCTCAGGGGGGCGAAACTAGCAAAAAAATGGTTCCCCCTTGGATGAAAAATTGACGGGTCCGAGGATTTTTTCGCAAATGTTTTGTGGTCCCCAAAATAGGCTCTGTTTCGTTTTCAAATGGCCACCCTGTATTTATTTATTCTGATTGGCAAGATTAATAAAGGGAAATTGGAATCAAGTGGAATAGTATGTCGCAGAGTCCACGAGTCATACTGTGCCTCATCAAGCGTCACTAACAGCAATCGATGCCAAATAATTAACAACCATGATATTCGAAGCCATGTTCAAATACCACTTGCAAAACATCTACTTGAACTATTAGTTATATCATCGTTTTTTGATTTCAAAGCACTTTTTGAACAGCTCTTTTAGTGAAAACGTAACGGAAAGGAATGATTTATTAAAAACATTTAAAAAATACATTTAAATCGCCATAGAATAAAAATAAGTTAGTCACATTACTGCCAAATTCAAAACGTTTCAATTCAAATTTCTCTCACGACAGTCGTACCTAATAATTAGTCTAAACCATCCATTTCCACTATAGGCGTTTTATAAATTAACAAATTAGAAAAATGCAAAATTTTATTTGTTTGCTTTTTTACATTCTGGATGCTACGCGCTATACGCCATCTGCTATTTGAGTGGTACCTAAACAGTCCAAAAGGTATAAAAACCTCATTGTAATTTGTAAATTCGTATACCTATCTAAGCACGTAACAGTCTTTTAAATTTGTTTCTCAGTAGGTACCTATACCTTGCCTAGGTTTTTAGGTATACAAAATTGATTAATCTTTTTAAGCATATAAAGAGTCTACCTACGCAAGTACATAACAAAATTTGTAAAATTCTGACATTTTTCATTCTGTGGCGAAGAGCTTGAATATGATTGGATGTTTAAAAAACGTCATCTTCAGGTATCCAGATTCGCAGATACCAAATGTTTACGGGATCAGCATTTTTTCCGCATTCTGGTTACGTCACTAAATCTGAAAGATTGAAGGACCCAACCTAAAAACGCAGGTAACGCGTTTGTCTTTTGAGTGCGTTACAGTTGCTGTGAGAAAATTATTAAAAATCTGGAGGACAGAAGCTTCAACCCCAAGCATTTATCGGGTTTGTTTATTTTGACCTACGTATATCGCCCTACTTTTTGTTTACATACAATGTGTAGGTATCATTAACTCATCTCGCCTGAAACGAGAGAAGCAAATCTCTTATAGACCTCGACCTCATTACTTATAAATTATATTACGCAAACAGTAATAAACCATGGTTGCGGTACAAGCAAGGACTATGAATCTTTGTATAAAAGAAAAATTTTTATATTTATCAGATCTTGAAGATAATTCCGGAAGAGATAACGACGATGATAATAAGCAACGATATCTGGGACTAGGCGTTACGGATACGGGCGGCCTAGGGGATGCAGTTAAAGGCCGAAAACCTAGGCGAAGGCGCACCGCTTTCACGCACGCGCAACTGGCATATCTAGAAAGAAAATTCCGATGCCAGAAGTATCTTTCGGTAGCCGATCGTAGTGACGTTGCAGATGCGTTGAATTTGACTGAAACGCAAGTTAAAACATGGTATCAAAATAGAAGGTGAGTTATCCGGTTCGAAATACGCTAGAAGACTTTAATCGTTAGGTTTTAGAACGAAATGGAAAAGGCAGAATCAGTTACGCCTGGAGCAACTGAGGCAACAAGCGTCGGTTGAGAAGGAACTGCTGTCGACAAGTTTGCGCAACGCAGAGGATGGAGTTCCGTGTTGCGCACCGACGGGTATAACAAGATATGGAACGCAGTCACCTTGCAGTTTTTTGACAACTGCAGCCGCCGCTATTTTCCACAACGTGACCTATGTCCATGGGTGTCAGTTATAAATAATTAGGCGATTTATTCGCATCCGACACCACTCCTTCTTTCATAAGTTGGTAGATATAATCTACAAGCCAAACCGATCTTCCATCAAGTTGTATTTGCAAACTATCACACCATGGAAATGTTGACTATTTCCAATTTACATATCATATTTAAAAAAAGTGAAATGAAAACTGTATTAAATGTACCACTGATTTTTGAGTAACTATTTTCAATATCTACAGGTGCGTTAATTTTTACGTTTCATAAATTGTGACAGTCAAACAACTATGGAACATGGCCTCAATCATCTATCATCATGTTATACTTAACTCGGTATTAAACAATCAGTGCTAGTTAGCTGTCTGTTAGCTTGCAACACATTGTGAATGGTGTATACTGTATACTCTTCTTCAGAACAGAATATAGTGTCTAGTAAGTACAAATTCTGCAGTTATCCACTCCAAAGATTAGCAAAATCATTTAACTCGCACAATTTATTAGAACTGGACGATACTATGTAAATAAAGCAATTAAAGTAATTTTGTAAAAATTGTAGATTGTGTAATATATTTTATTGTCGTACGTTAGCTTAGTGTAAAGTGTATAGGTAGGTACATATGTACCTATATTATTTATATAGATATAAGGCTCTTATATAAAAAAATACATTTTTGTTTGTTGTCGCATTCAATTAATTCAAATGTTATTCTATTGTCAGTTTTTCATTTTTCCGTTTTTTTCTTTACACCTTGATAAAGCGTCCGTGTCTGTCACCAATTTTCTACACCGTCTTCCTTTTCCATCACTAGTGATTCATTGCCCCTTCATGTCTTTTTGTACTTCACACGCTTCAAACTTCCTTCGTGTTCCGTTTCTTAAAGGAACCTTTCTTCTCGCCTCTTTTGACGCTTTCTTCTCCTTTCTTCTTTTCCCTTTCATGTTTTACGTTAGGACTTCTCAACTCTTTTACACTTTTTTTCGTAACGTGTCCTATTATTCTTACAATTTAGCTCAAAAAAGTTCATAGATTAATAGGTACATATCGAAAATCCGTAATTAATAGTCCAGCCAGCGGAGCTAGTTACATACTTTGGTATGTTGTTCGGTGGTGTTCAGTATTAGGTTATGAGGAAAGAGTTGTCGATTTAAGAGTTTATTCAAGATATGCTTTTGTTTTTTTAAAAAAATCCAGTTTACTAGATATGAGCGAAAAACAGATTTAGTGACTTTTCATTTAACTGTTGTAGAATCGTTAGTATTAGAAATACAGAAATATGCAAAGAACAAAAACTGTACATTTTTTTCCGTTTAATAAGATACATTTATTAATATTTATTCTTCTTTTATAATTTTCGAGTTATATAACGCAAACTTACGTTTTTTAAATGGTAATCATAGGACTGTGACATTTTTAAAAAGTACATTTTACTATTATAATATTTAACTTGCAGTTAGTTGTGCGGCGGGGCACCGTTGTGTTGAAACCAGCGTAAATTACGTCGTGTTTCCAAATCTAACCCATCCTACATATATCATGAAATTCATTTGGTAGAAAATGAAGATAACATTGGCCTGTCCAATTTTCGTAAATGAAAGGTACCTATCTCACTAGATATTGTTTATCATGGCTAACTCTATTTACTTACCTAATATAATACGAAAATTACTGCAGGGCGTTGATTTATTAAAGTACATTTATTAAGCCTTATATCGTTATAAAGAGAAAAAATTTCCTTTTTAAAAATGTCAAAGCCAACTATGACTACCATTTAAAAAAATTAAAGTTTGAATTATAACTCAAAAATTGTAAGATCTAAAAATAAATTAGTATGTTCATCATGTTAAGCATTAAAATGTCTAAAACTTTTATTCGTGTCATTTTGTTGTATTTCGAATAATAACGATTCTACAACAGTTAAATGAAAAATCACTAAATCTGTTTTTCGCTCATATCTAGTGAACTGTGGATTTTTTTGAAAAAACAAAAGCATATCCTAAATAAGATCTTAAAACGACAACTCTTTCCTCATTTAATCGAACCCGTATGTCTTACCTATGGTTTTCAAGATCCCAATGCTTAAAATGAAAAAAACAACTCACCCTGTATGAGAAAAATTAGATCATAGGCGATATTCTTTTGAATTAATCTTTTACGTAAAAAACACGGCACGCATTTGCATATCTATTCCACTATTCTAATAGACATAATGTAGAAGTTGTTCTTAAGATTGAGTGCTAAAAGTTGGGATTTAATGAAACATTCTCGAGTTTACCTAATTTTCGAAGCTTATGACGTTATTGAGAACTTTCTCATAAATGGAACAATTAGACGGTGTGTTGACAGCATAAATCGACAAATTGTTGTTTGTGAACACCCCAACATTTAGTACGATAACTATCTAACGGTTTCATTAGGGGTCTAATTTGTGCAAATTGGGGCTTTCTTCCTACAGTGTTGTCACAAATTAGAGCTAATCAAGCGCATTTGTGTAGGAAATGGATAGAAATTTAACGTTGAAAGCTCCCCCAACCCAAACCCAAAGTAATTACCGACATTAAGTTGGTAACAAAGTAAATAGTCGCAAAATCTTTCGAAAAAACGATACTTCACTTCATCGCTTAACAAAACCAATTTTCATTGAAATCCAATCAGCAGTAAGTCATGTTCTTACAACGGAAACCGCATTGAGTTTTGCAGTACGTATTCAGGGAGGAACGCTAATGGTCCTTCAAGACCATTATGTGTGATCCAACTGAGCTTTTTCTTATAATGGTCCCGTGCGGACACTTGACTTCTAGCACCCGACCATTGTCCTTTATTCAACCCTTAGTCAAAATCACTATCTGTTAGGTATTCACAACGTTTACGCGATTTATTTACCTACTTTCACGTCTTGGAATAAATTCATCAGTCACATCGTGCCTGTGAATACAGTTTCGTAAACGCAAACGCTTTCATTAATTCAGGAAACGCGGTGAAAATAATTGTGCAAAACAAGACCGATTATTGGAAAAGGTGGGCGATTTCTTGCTCTTCGAAACTTTATAATTTCCATAAACTCGCGCGATTGCCTCCATGCCAATACGTCAATTCGAAAGTTTTTTCTGCGAGATTTGAATTGCTTTCATTTTAGAGCTATTACAATGTAAATAAAATTCTTGATATTCATGTTATTCGTGAACGTGCCTTTTCAGTTATATCTAACAAGCCCGGTTATATATCCTCAAGCCAGTATCCCCTAATCTGAGGGAAGTTTACCCTCTAGTTATACAGCAATTAACATATCATTTGAGTGTTTGTGCTCGTTATTTACAGTTCGCAGCCTCTCAATGCCGCAGTTTCACCACTCGGAGTTCTGACTCTACATAATGGGCTCTGATTGGAATATAAAACTCTACCGGGGAAGCTTTCAATTACGTTTATTTTACTCTGCCCTGATTTGCATCAATTGAATGTAATAGAAGCTAAATTATAGAAGTTACGTTTCTGTTTGTGGACTTTATTTTTTTTCCTTTCGTTTTAAAATGTTTGCCTCTTTTATGAATAGCGAATTAAATGGAAATGTTTTTGATGCTCCATTCGCGTTAATTAATTTGGACCTTATGTACAAATTTTGCGTTGGTAGGAAGGAATAGGAGGCACATCAACTGGAAAGTTAAAGGTAAAGAAAGAATTCTCTAAATAAAAGAAACTTGTGATTATTCTGATACATTCAGGCATGAATACAAATTATAGAAATAAGTGCAGGATAAAACTGGAGCATTTTTAACCCTTAGAATTGCTTTTATGTAGAAAGTCTGGTTAGTTGCTTGAAGTGGCGTAAATAATGCAAGTTTATAAATGGAAGTTATGAAAAGAAGTTAAGTCTGCAACTGTTTTCAAATAAATTTAATTGGAGATGCTTTGAAGAGTCAGATTGTGCATTCACTGGGATTAAATATAATTCGAAATTAATTTAAAGATTCTATCCATATATCTAGGTAGGTATATAGGTACGGTTCCGTTGGCTTCTTCAGTACGTTTTGGCCCCCTTTTATCAACATTCAAAGGCAACCAATTATGGTTATCCATTTTGTTTAAATAATAGGTACGTTATTCCAAAATACGTAACTTCTGACAACACCTATCTTACTTCCTCAGCACTATCAAGAAAGGTTGTGAGACAACGAATGTTCAAAAATTAAACAGGTGTAGAATAAGTGATAAAATAGTAGAAAAAAACTTAGACCGCTGCTCAATAAACTCCCCACAACATGAAAATCAACTCCCCCGACAGAAAAAAATCACTTCTCCCGGCTAAAAATTTACTTGTAAGCACTAGAGCGCTAGGTGTAGCACATCGTTTTTTTCAAAACGAAAGGTCGCACGGACATTAAACATGCACTGTTGTCTTGTCTGCGGTGTAAGGCTAGTAAATGCAATAAGAATAATAAAGTAGAAATAAACAGGCTTTAATTTGATACCCAGTTCATACAATTGGCCCAAGCGTTATTTTTCTGGTACGCGTCAAACTCGACCGCACATACTTTTTAATCAGACAGTAGTTGGCATTTTAGGCTAAGAAATCATTATAATAACGTGGAAACTCCGAGGAAATTTATTCAACTGAATAATAGTTGTACCTATATTTATTCAGCGTTGCCAAAAGAAGTTCTTCTTTTCTTTCCCGTTTTTGTTATTCTATAACCAAAGAGATTGAACAAATGTTAAAAGAAGATGAAACTTTTAGTTAAGCAGTTAATTTTTCTTATAGGCTGGTCAATCTAGGCAGGTTTATACAAGTGAGGTAGAAAAAATTAGTAACAAAGTGATCTCTGCGGAAATGAGTACTCAATAGGGTCCTTATTAACCCCTCAAAAATCGCACTTTGTCGCATTGGTGGAACTTGGTAAAAATGGCCGCCATCTTGAATTTTTTTCGAATTTATTAAATATTTCGTAAAGTATACATTATATCAAAAAAACTCAAGAGACTTTTTTTATGGAGAATCAAAAGTTACCTATAATAGTTTAAGTCTATTGATCAAAAAACAAAAAAAGTTATTGAAATTTATATGATTTGGGTAATTATCACATCTGTGTCGAGACTTAGATGTACTTCAAGAACTTAATGCAGATATGGCAGTTTTAATTAAATCAGGACTTAAAATTATTTTAAATCTGTACTGGTGTCCAAAAAAGATTCATGATATTAACCAGTTGCGTCACACACTCTACAGGGTGGTGACTTGCGTAACGCATCATAGGGATTTCAATGTAAAATTCATAACATGCGATTATTGGCTCCCCAAATTATTTTAGAGCAAAAAAATGTATTAAGGTTTTTTGTAGGAAAATTTTTTTTACGGCAATCAACCGTATTAGTTTTAAATTTTTTGCATAATAAAGACGGAAAATTGGAAAATTAAAACCCGCATCTTTTTCAATAATCTGTGATGCCATGGAATTTTATAATACAAAAAACTACGCCAATATCCGTCATGCCATGGAACGTCAGCTATAAATCAAATCAAATTCTATCAAAAAGTATTATATTTACAAAAGCGAATTCAACATAAAGAAATACCAAATTACTAAAAACGGTTTCCTATTATAACAATTTACAATAAATGTTCGAATAAGTCACCATTAACTCCAAGACAGTAACCAAATCGATCATAAAATCCATTTCGATCTGCTGCTAATTGATAACTGGATATCTTTTTGTTTTAGAAAATTCCATGGCTGTCCTGATTTAATTAAAACTGCTATATCTGCATTAAGTTTTTGAAATACATCTAAGTCTCGACACAGATGTGAATAATTACCTACCCAATTATTGAGTATTTTACTTTAAAATCCATATTTTCAAAATTGGGCATACAAAACAGTTTTAACTAATTCAGATATTTACCAAATTTAAAAAAAATCCATATTGCCAAATCATATAAATTTCAATAACTTTTTTGTTTTTTGATCAATAGACTTTTTTTATAGGTAACTTTTGATTCTCCATAAAAAAAGTCTCTTGAGTTTTTTTGATATAATGTATACTTTTCGAAATATTTAATAAATTCGAAAAAAATCAAGATGGCGGTCATTTTTTTCAAAGTTCCACCAATGCGACAAAGTGCGATTTTTGAGGGCTTAATAATGACCCTATTGGGTACTCATTTCCGCAGAGATCACTTTGTTACTAATTTTTTCTACCTTAACCACCTATTTTGACTAGCCTATTATGAAAAATTCAAATTTTTGTTGGTTTTTTCCGTTTGTATCTCGCGGCAAATTTTCAAACTTAATTAAGTCTTGTATTCACTATTAAACGGAGCCAAATCAATTACAATTATTAGTCAGTACCGTGCATTTCTAAGTTGGAATTTTTCGAGTGCAAGTTGGCATTTTTGGCACTGCTTCCCTCCTCAGTGCCGATGCACTGCCCCTGGTTGTTTTACAAGACCAAGACAATTCGGATATTAGTACCCTTGCAGAGAGAACATGGTGGCAGCTAGGAAGGCGAGAGATGAACCATCCCCAGTTTTTATATTCTATTAATTGCATTTACTGGTTCGCCACTGAGCCACACCTGACTCCTCCTACAGACTCTAAATTGCTTATCTGCACATAGTCCGCTCTGTCCTTCTTAGCTGCCGGTCTCTGTATCTACTTGCGTTTTTTTTTAAGTTAAGCCCGATTTGTCTCTTTATATGATTACTATTTTGTGTGAACCATTACTGATTAGGTAGGTATTTATTAACTTTCTTTAAAAACTACGTAAGAGCCGTGACTTTCTCAACTCACTTAACGTAGAGATTATTTCTATTGCAAATATTTCACACTAGTCGCTTGTTATTGGTTGTTTGTTAGTATAGCGTTATAAATTTTTTCATAAGTCCATATTAACCACGTTTCCTGTTTAGCTTACATAAGATAGGTAGGTAAGTACATATGAAGTCCTCTTTTCTTTGTTTTGTTAATTTACGAAAGTGTTTTTTTTTTCGGTAGGTACAATTCATAAAAATAAGGAGCAGTTCTGTAAAATCAATAAATGAAAATTACCTACGATGTTTTACTTTCCTGTAGGAACCTTTACTATAATAAAAAAAGAACCGTTTGCCCCGATAAATTTAAGTGGAGTTTAGCTTAAGCGTACCTTAAAATCCATGGTAACGGTTATTGAGGCAATGGTGGTCATAGATTTTAGAAACGGCAAAACGGCAAATAGAAACGGGCAAGACCGTATGCACCGAAAAAATTTAAGCTGAGCGTACCTTAAGCCTAGCTTAAAATCATTGGCAACCATTGTCCTAATAATTGTTACCATGGATATTAAGCTACACTTAAATTAAGCCTGCTTATGGCCGTTTGCACCGACAAAGTTAAGCGGTGCTTAGCTTAAGCGTAGCTTAAAATCCATGACAACCATTGTCTCAATAATGGTTGCCATGGATTTCAAGCTACGCTTAAACTAAGCTCCGCTTAAATTTGTCGGTGCAAACGGCCATTAGGGCCGGTTGCACAAACGCAGTTCAAACTTCGTTTAAATTAACGCAATGAATATGATTAGTGGAAATTTGACAAAACGTCAAATTTCAACCAATCCTAGACCGTAATCCACTGGTTAATTCCAAGTTAGGTCTGTCTTTGTGCAACCGGCCTTTAAACTTTTTCGGTGCATACGGCCCGATCGAATATAAGCTTCAGCTGTGGAATGCGTCCAATAGTACTGTCAACGTCAAGTCAACTGTTTTAACCTCAACATAACAACCAACAATCAAGTTTCCCGCGTTAACTAACAACAAGTGGTTTTCTTTGTTGAAGGTGTTTTTTGCTAATAAAACCAAAAGCGTTCATTTGGACTGAAAAACATTTGATTAACATTAAAATGAATCCCGAGGTACGTACATAAAATTGTAGAAATAAACTTAAATGAATTAATTAGGATGAGTACTCTCCACTTACAACTCCTGGTGGGCCTCGCTCTAACGCGACCTCCCTCGCAGGAGATTTAGAGCAATTTGAAGATGAAACTGCACTTTTGGGTGAGTTGTCGCACGACTTCGACCAGATGGAGGAGGAAGGAGAAGAGTTGTTTGGCGATAATATGGAGGCGTAAGTACCCAGTTACTTCTGTATCTGTTATTTATCATTCATTGTGTAGAGATTATCGTCCTATGCCAGCGCTCGATCAGTATGATATGAACAATTTAGACGAAGAGGATTACGACGATCTCTCTCCATCTGCACGTTTGGCTGCAGAAGTGGAAATGCGAAAACGCGATCGGGATCTGGGTGTATTTCGGCATGACGATCGTCATTTATTTTATGACAAAACAGACGAAGATGAGGTATATTTTATAAATGACTCTCAAAAGGTAATTGAATGTAACGCAGGGTCCAAGAGAGAAACGTAGACGTGCCGAAAAGGCGGCTACAGGACTAATCGAAGATGAAGAGATGATCGAGTCAATTGAAAATTTGGATGACACCAAGGGTTACAGTATTAAAGATTGGGTGAATATGATCGGTCCCAAGACTGAAATTGCGAATCGATTTAAAAATTTCATTCGTACTTATGTCAACGCCAAGGGTCAGTATGAGTATAAGGATAGCATTAGGAGAATGTGTGAGAATAATGAGGTAGGTAGAGTAAACTTGGCAACTCAAATGACGGTTGTTTTTAGTCCAGTTTTGTTGTGGAATTTCCCACGTTGGCTAGAGAACAACATGTGCTTGCTCTATTTTTACCCGAAGCACCCACACCAATGCTAGAAATATTCGATAAGGTGGCAAAGGAGATTGTTTTGTCAATGTATCCAAGTTATGAACGTGTGACTAGTGAAATACATGTGCGCATATCCGAATTGCCACTAATAGAAGAACTTAGTGTGTTAAGGTATGGGACTTAGTTTAGTACCTACACTTTCTGGCATTTAATATTGACCTACACCATTTTATAATGATAACAGCTCCTAGTAACTAAACCAACCAACATATTACCAGTCTTTTTTTAACACTTTTTCTCTAAAGGAGGGTGTGGTGACGTTAAAAATTGTAATTTTTAAACAAAGGATCATAAAAGTAAACAGCAGTTGATCGCTGATGGAAGATTGTTTGTTTTATTGGAGGTGTTTACCTATTCTGTGCTCATTTGATGATATTAGAAATTGTACTTGTAGAATACATGATGAAATTACAGGAAACTTCATGTAAACCAACTAATACGTACGGTAGGAGTTGTATCTGCAACAACGGGAATACTTCCTCAGTTATCCATTGTCAAATATGATTGTAAAAAGTGTGGCTTCATTTTGGGACCGTTTGTACAAACCCAAGATGAAGAAGTACAACCAGGAACTTGTCCGGAATGTCACAGTATGGGACCATTTATGGTATGTCAATATTACACTAATACCCGCTCATTTGCACTATTTGGTAGATTAACATGGAACAAACCCTATACCGCAACTATCAGAGAATTACATTGCAAGAACCTCCGGGTAAAGTACCTTCAGGGCGCGTTCCTCGTTCCAAAGATTGCATATTACTAGCAGATTTATGCGATCGCTGCAAACCTGGCGACGAGATTGATGTTACCGGGGTTTACTCTATAAGTTATGCCGGTAGTTTTAATGTCGAACAAGGCTTTCCCGTATTTTCGACCGTTATATTTGCCAATCACTTGGTGGTCACTGATTGCAAGAAAATAGTGCAGTCGCTTACTGATGACGACATTAATACGATTATTAAAATGAGCAAAGATCATCGCATAGCTGATCGTATTATTGCGTCAATTGCACCTTCAATATATGGACATGATTTCATTAAACGAGCGTTAGCTTTGGCACTTTTTGGTGGAGAGCCCAAAAATCCAGGTACAGTATTTGATTATTGTGTCAAATATGAACTGCCGATAATAATAAAGGTAGAACAATAGTTATTCTAATAGTCTAAATTTTTTGAAGTAGAAAATTGCATAGTTATCAGGAAAAAAAACCACTTGTAACGTCTCTGGGAAAGTAAGATACGTAGGTTTTTGAAAATTTGTACTTAGGAGTTACTCTGAAGGCCGAATTTATGTAAAATATTTTCAAAATGTCCGCACTTCCGGAAACACCGGAAGTCGATAGTAATTCCGTTATTTTAAATGGCAACCCCTATTTTTTATTGCATTTTTGGATTCTACGTGAAATTTCAGGTCTTTTGATACCCATGTGTCGATATCTGCCATTTATGGTTTTTAAGTTATTTTGACTTTAAGAAAAAAAATGGCGGATGCAGATGGTACCTTGATAATGGATTACTTGAAAAAGGTTATAGTCATGGCAACCCATTTTTATCAGTGCATAGAGAATGAATAGGGCTTCCTTTTAGTGTACTTAAAAAAAAGTTAAGTTGCGCACAACCGCACCTATGGAGATCCAAATTTAAGAAACTTCAAAGTCTATAAACTCAGTTTTTTTTAATGGAATGACCATGTTCTTAATATTGCATGAGATAGAGAATCGAAATTGGCATATTTTGATATTACATGTTCCTATAGCTATCTTTAACAGTTTCTGATTTATTCCCATTTCATTGAATTGATCTCGGAATTGATGCCATTTTTTTCGCATTTTCTTTTTAGTAGTTGGCCATGATTTTATAACAATCGAATTTTAAACAAATCAAGGAATGGATTCTTTAATACCATTGATTCTAGTTCTAGTCTAAATAATTCATTAATAAATAACTCATTTATTAAGGATTTTTTATTTTTCGATTTTTGACAAGCTTATGTTAACCTATAACGGTGGGTGATGGATTAGTGTCACTAGATTTGTTTAAAATTCAATTGTTATAGAATCATGGCCGACTACTAAAAAGAAAATCCGAAAAAAATAGTGTCAATTCAATAAAATGGGAATAAGTCAGAAACTGTTAAAGATAGCTATAGGAATATGTATTGTCAAAATATGCCCATTTCGATTCTCTATCGCATGGAATAGGTTGCCATGATTACAACCGTTTTCAAGTAATTATCAAGGTACCATCTGCATCCGCCATTTTTTTTTCTTAAAGTCAAAATAACTTAAAAACCATAAATGGTAGATATCGACATATGGGTATCAAAAGAAGTGAAATTTCACGTAGAATCCAAAAATGCAATAAAAAATAGGGGTTGCCATTTAAAATAACGGAATTACTATCGACTTCCGGTGTTTCCGGAAGTGCGGCCTTCAGAGTAACTCCTAAGTACAAATTTTCAAAAACCTACCTATTTTACTTTCCCAGAAACTTTTAACTAAAGCTCCCAAAAAAACACCCTGCTTAAAAGATAAGGGTGCCATTGTATCTTCTAAGATGTTATAGAAACCCAGCTTAATTTGCTGAGGTATTTGGGTAATTGGAACGGTTTGTTGTAGGTCAAAAACATAAAGTGAGAGGTGACATAAACGTCTTGATGTGTGGTGATCCAGGTACTGCAAAATCCCAATTTTTAAAATGTGTGGAAAAAATCTCTCCACGAGCCATATTTACAACTGGTCAGGGTTCCAGCGCGGTAGGTTTAACTGCGTACGTCCGAAGAAATCCAACAGACCGCGAATGGATGTTAGAGGCTGGAGCGTTAGTGTTAGCGGATCGTGGTGTGTGTCTGATTGATGAATTTGATAAAGTAGGTAAATGGGAGGTTTAATATTTTTTACCGATTTACTTTAGATGAACGATCGCGATCGTACTTCAATCCACGAGGCTATGGAGCAACAGTCTATCTCCATATCTAAAGCTGGTATAGTTACAAGCTTACAAGCACGATGCTCAGTAATTGCCGCCGCTAATCCTTCAAACGGACGGTATGACGCCAGTATGTCATTTATTGAAAATGTCAAGTTATCTGATCCTATTTTATCACGTTTTGATATCTTATGTGTTGTAAAAGACGAACCCGATCCTCTTCAAGATGATCTTATGGCTCGGTAAGTTGTATTCGCTTCGCACTAAATAATGAAAATGTTTGCCTACTCAGATTTGTAATATCTTCACATATTCGCCATCATCCTTCAAATGCAAGCAACGCCTCCAATTTCCAATTTCAGGACAGCAATTTAATCATTCCCCAACAGATATTGAAAAAATACATTGTGTACGCCCGTCAGAATGTTCACCCAAAGCTGAGAAATATGGACCAAGATAAAGTTGCAAATATATACAGTCATTTACGACAGGAGTCGATGGTTTGGATAAGATGCTCGATGAAAAATTCGCTTATCTCTGAATTTTAGGAAACTGGAAGCTTACCAATTACGGCACGGCATATTGAGAGTATGATACGTATGGCAGAAGCCCATGCCCGTATACACCTACGAGAATATGTTCAAGAAGAGGACGTTAACATGGCGGTCCGTATAATGTTGGAGAGTTTTGTCGAAACTCAAAAGTATACTGTTATGAAGTCGATGAGACAGGTTACAATTGCATCTTTGGTGAAGAGTGGCATTGTCAAATTTTTTGTAGACATTCCATCGCTATCTTGGCTTTAAGAAAGATCACGGTGAACTTTTGTTGTATATCTTGAAACAATTGACTCAAGACCAACGTGCATTTTTGTCAGGTACAAATGCAGCAAAATCACTTACAATAGAAGTTGATGAGAAAGATCTAATGGACAAGGTATTCAAAAATTATTATATTAAAGCTCAAGATCATACTATACTAGATAGAAGTAGAGTCTCACAGCCCCCATTATATTAAAAATGAGTCATCAAAAATAATCATTAGTTTGAAAATTTTGGATAAGTCAAAAATACATTGCAAAAGTTATAAAAAAAAGTACGTATTCTATCAATCAAACTGGTAGGGTACCAAAAGTGCATGAAATTTGTTTAGTGGACATTGATGCATTGCATTTGCCATTGCAATTAATTCATAAGTAATGAATTTGTGAATTGTTATACAAAACTTAGGTACTTACAAATAAGACATGGCGCTATTAAACACAAGACTACCAAGACAAAGTTTGCCAAACCAAAAAAGAATATATTTTAACATTTAAAAATTAGTGATGTGACATTTTTGAAATCAGAAAAAATGCTCTATCAAATGACAAAAAGTAAAAATTACTTCCATAAGAAAAAACAAAGACTATGCTTTTGGAAAAGTCCCCTATATCTTTTACAGAATTTTGTAAACACAAACTAACTCTCGCTTATGTTGATTTTCAAGTGTAGTATGATCTTTGGTTGAAATCACGTGTACCATACGCCAATTGTAACTTTTTAGGCTAAGCAACTCGACATTCGAGATCTGAAACCGTTCTACAAAAGTAAAATATTTGAAAATAATCATTTCACCCACGATCCATACAGAAAGATCATTGTGTATACGGCTCCTCAATTAATAAGCGACGATTAAAATTTTTTTAGTATTGAAGTTCGTTTGTATTATCTAAAGTTTTTTATAATAAATTTTTTAATGCAAATAAATTACATGTTTTAATAAATCATATTCTTAATCAGAATCACTGCTCGATTCACTGTCTGAACTATCCGAACTTGAAGTCGAATCTTCAGAACTGTCTGATGAGGAATCTGAGTCGTCACTACTTTTACTTGTATCCTTCTTCGTTGATGTTGCAGCTTTACTTTCAGCTTGCCTGAAAGATAAACCGAGGGTCAGATAACGTCTTAGTAAACTATTGTTGTTACTTTTGCTTTTCTTCTTCGCGTTGTTTCATTCGTTTTTGCAGTTGCTGTGTTCTCGATGATCGGTGCAAATATTTCCTTTTGCCCTTACATTCGTAAGACCAATGACCAAATTCTAGACATTTTTGACAACGAACACCTTGTGGTGGATATGCTTCTTTTCTGAAACTAGTTTGTAGAGCATTTTGGAACTACAAAACTTATTTACTTTACTTTTTTTGGAAACTTAACTTGTTTTCTGAACCCAACGTCATAATTTCTCGAATAAATTATAAAAAGAAAAGATTATAAAGAGAGGTTAAGTATGTGATGCTATGTTTACAAATTTCTTCGCTGTAGATGTACAGGTACATGCAAAAAATTTCTGATTTGTTTATTACTGAACTTGAATAGCACCTATTTCTACTAATTTTAGAAAGAAATGAAATGTATTAAATATTTACACACTAAGCAAAGTATGGCGTATTTAACACATAACACGCTTCTATCCGCAAGAAAAAATTATAGATGTAACACCCTGTATAGTGTATTTGACACCTATTATAACCTAAAAATTCAAAAGGGATAAAGGATTGAAGGAAGTAGATTGGCCTATGTAATTAAAGTATAGTAGATTTTAGAGTATAAATGCAATTTTTAGATTATATTTATTTTACTGTCTCATATCCGTATGCTACACACAATTTTTTTCTATACCTACTTCTTCGATTTAGGTTTTACCATAAAGTATAATACAAGAACTCCAATGCCTGCATATGTAGCCATGGCCACCTGAATAAGAAAGAGCTGCACCTTTTATCGATGGGTGTTAAAGAATACTTACATTTGCCCTACCCCTAGTTGTTACCCCATTAAATATTTTACTGATCCCTTTGAGTTTACTCTCATCTACGGATGCGTCCCCGGCCATTATCTACAACAAGTTTGCTGTATTTTTAATAAATTCTTAATAAATAAATTTTATTACTTAAATAATGTTATATAAGAAGAATCGCACTGTAGTGGTTAGAAATTAGAATAGAACAAGGTATTTGCTTTAACCGTTGAAGTAAGAGTAGTCACAACCACTAAGGAAGCGCTTACACAGGCTAGAGTAAGGTTGAGTGTGCACTCGCAATTCAAACTTATTAATTTTAAATATTTTTTCGAATTGTGACAGTGGAATTAAAAAATCAAAAATTCGAATAGTTAGTTACTAAAATTGGGCCGTAGGCCTGCGCTGTAAGAATTTTATATTGATTGGTATGAACACAAACACTAAGAAATGTTCTTTTTATTTCTTCCTATTATAAATTGAGATGCACGTGTTTATTTTGATTAGGATCCTTAGACTATGTAAAAGTTTGGGTGTGTATATATATCCAAGCTCATTGCTCAAAATGAATCCTAAATACAATATAAACTTTCAATTTTTTCGTACTCTTCAATTAACAAAGATATTGCATTTTGTCCATGATATTTTGATTAATGATTATAATGAATGTATTACGTTAATTTATGTTATGTCAAGCCGTTTAAACGAGGGGTGTGCAAACTTCTGATTTATAGGCATTGTAATTGCGTAATACAACTGGAAATAGTTTTCATTTTTTCAATCATAATGATGTTAGGGGTCCCGTCTTTTTTTCATATATTGTTGGTGTACAGTTGACTTTAGTGTGTGCCCCGCCACCTATTGAGTATCACACAAACCTTGTTTGAATGCAGCTCAAATGTGTCATTTCTCCCGTCATAACAATATAATTTCTAACCTACAACAAATTTAATGCTTCTATTATTTATATTTGGAATAAAAAAAAGTGATGAATATGGACATAATACGGCAGTTAGAAGCTGCCGCGAGTGTAATAATGGTATGCTTTATAATATCTTTTTATTTACTCAGTTTAATTGTATTGTCACTTAGGCACCACCGAACATCATCACTGCTGAACAAAGACGTTCCGCTGAAAATGTTTTCTTAACATTTCGTAAAACGAAACTACCTTATGACATTTGCCGACAAATACTCGAACATTCTCAAGTTGATTATGTACTGTTCGAAGCGGCAGAAATCCTTAAAAGTGCACTTATACGAGAATGGGTGTTTCTTCGAGAATCTGATACAATCTCTTTACGTCAATACTTAATTCAGTACGTTTCACATCGTGTCAATTTACCTTTCTATGTGCAAGAGAGACTTTTACAAGTCATCGCGATCATGGTGAAGCGAGGTAGTGTGGAGGATTTCGGACAAGAACGCACTGCTATACTGACCGATATTGAAAATCTGATCATAAGTGGAGATCACGCTAAGGTAGTTTAGCTTTTTGCTTTCTTGTTACGACCTTTACAATTTTAGAAAATAATGGGCTGCAACTTAATCATGAACATTATGCAAGAATATGCGAGCACCATTAAGTCAACCGACGTCGGTTTACCGTGGGAGGTTCACTTTAAAGCAAAAAAACAATTTGAAGTTACAGATTTGAGGAAGATTTTTAAATTTTGCGTCCAGTTATTGTCGGAAATAATAAAAAATGAAGCGTTTGACGAGAATTCAATTAAATTAATGGAGCATCTACTTTTAATAACGGCCGCAGCGTTAACTTGGGGTTTCATATCGCCAATGCATATCCTTTTACCGCAAACTCTACTATTCTTATTCTCGCACTAAGTTTTCTTAATGTAGTTTACTACCCAGACGTTTAATAGGCGTCTACGAATCCGTTTACGAGTCCGATCAGTCACCTTCACTTCGTTTAGGCATCGGTTGGAAAGAGGTGATGTTAGCACCTCAACTTCTTCCACTTATGTTCGAAATTTATTGGAAAGTACGAGATTACGAAGTTCTTTTGCATCACACTCTCATATGTTTAGTGCAACTGGCATCTTTAAATGGGGGAGTTTTAACCAATGACGACGCTCGTTTACAATATCTAAGTTTGTATTTAGATAATTTTCAAAAAATTTTACGGATGATAAAGTATTAATTTAGGAGGCCGGATTTACGATTTTTTTCATGATAATACTTTTAGCGCAAATTTTAAGGAGAAGGAGGTTTTGGGTATTTCAAATATTGTTAAAAAAATACAGTTATTTTTCGGTAAGGATTTATCGAAACTACCCCAAACGCTACAAGATTTATATTTGAATGACATTACCCAGATTACTTGTTGCTTTGCCGAAGGAGCTAAACTAGAAGAAGCTGTAAGTATTATTGGCCCGGAATATTATATGTATGTGCAGTTCCTAATGATATTAAGAAGTATTTAAAGTAAACGTCTTACATTTTATACATTTATAACTTTGTGGCGATACTATTCAATTTATAACTAGTGCTGATCCCATAAAACAGTTTGTGATCAAAAACTGTACTAAGATATTTGATTTGACGACAATTGTAATTGTGATTGTAATAGAAAATTATCTTGTTTAGCAATCGGCTGATGACAAGTACTACGTGGAAGCATTTGACAACATGTTGGAAGCATGGACAAGCGTATTTCAGGATTATTCCAATGGGAATGATAACATTTATCAATCGGCGACGAGAATTTTCAATTCGTATCTGCAATGCCATTTAGCACCACCCGAAGGTTCTCGAATGCAAGAGAAAGATAACGAAGAAATAGAGGACAACGAAGATAACGATCGAATTAAGTTTAAAGATCAATTGCAAATAATCGGAATGTTTGGACGAATGGTGCCCTTGCATTGTTTACCGATTTTGTTCAGGTAATTCGGGCATTATAATTTTAATCAAACCTTTTCAATTTTTTTAGTGGAAAGTTTCTTTGATTATTTTCTTGACAAATCCTTCCGCTCACATCGAGAGGCACTGTGTTAGAAAAATGCTCTTTTGTAGGTTGTTGGAAGATAGGGGTAATAAGCTTAAGTCACACTTACAGGCTATGCAAACCTACACGATGACCTTAAACGATTCTAAAGCGTTAGATAATTTATTTGAAGATATTCATTGGATTATTCTAATAGCTGGTCATATTTTGTGTATGGACAGCGATGGCGAAACGCCTATGATTCCTTCGGAAATAATGCAATATTCGATCGGTCACCACGATAAGAATGAATCAACTCTCGAAGCCACATTAAAGGTTTTGGCCAGTGTTGGGGAAGTTGCTTTTGAAGTTGAAGGTATCAATCAATGCGACCACGCTATAAGGATTTTTAGTGACGTTTTAAAGTTGTGTGTGCTCGAATCATCGGCGGGACAGGTTAAACTGGGCCACTTCATGAGTCCCGAGGTTGGGTGCACGCTTATGTGGTTTCTCAAAAGATGGTGTGTTTCATATCTGTTGCCTACAGAAAATTTTTATCAAGAGGTTTGAATTTGTGCATAATTTTTTGTATTTTTTAACAGCTTATGTTGTAGATAAGCCCAACATTAATTGGTGCCTTAGGACGAGATACAGACGGTGCAATTTTTGTTATTAATTTCGTTTTGGGAAAAATTCAGACAAATATTTGCCAGTTTACATCCGAACCTATTTTATTGCAGGACACAGTCGATTTATTTACCGATATTGTCGCCCTTAAGCAAAAGTTTGTATTATTTATTTTTCAATATACTTTTAACTATAAATTTAGAAATGTTGACATAGTGTAAATAATAAGATAGTGAGACAATCTTACAGAGAACCGAGAAATGTGTAAGGGGTCGCGGAAACTAGACGAATTAGAGGGACAGGTGTTTCGGAAACAACGCTTGCAAAAGTAGATCAACCGTTTGTTATTTTATTTGGTTTCTTAATTATTGATTTCAGAAAACATGTACAGGGTGTAAATCGAAAAATGAAACATAGGCGTTTAACATGGGAAATTACTTTTTCTTTGCGCAAACGTTTCCTAATTATTTTACTCAAAAATTAATTATATAGATTCTGTTTTCACGAGTTTGTAGTCTAAGTAGCCATGGACTATGTTTTTCTTTTATCAAAGTCCATGGCTACTTAGACTAAAATCTTTATAATTAACTTTTTCGCGTACAAAAAGAGGTAGAATAATCGTTTCACATGATTTAGATGCCGAATTTATATCTCTATAACTTTTATTTGAAGTATTTTTGCGTAAAATACTTAAGAAACGTTTGCGCAAAGAAAAAGTAATTTCACATGTTAAACGCCTATGTTCCACTTTTCGATTTACACCCTGTACAGGGTGGCCAAATAAGAATGCGAGGTACTGTATCTGGGAACCTGTCCATCGTAGAGGCTTGCGGTAAAAAAATCTATTACTAAAACGGCCACGAGAAAAACCTGGAACATATTTTCAAGTTTTTGGAATGGCCGCTAGGGGGCGTAACTGCAATCTGGTATCGAAAAAAGTGAGTTTTCTGTGAATTCCGCTATATTAACCTAACAAAAAATGTTCGGTATTTGAAGTTGATGATAATCTGAACCTTTTTTGTTTGACAATTTTTCCTGTATCTCTAAAAATGAAGTGGTGGGGTGTATTCAAAGGTTTCCGTAAAGAACACCATGTATCTTCGAAACGACTGAGCCGATTTTAACAAACTCAAGTTAATTGAAAAGAGTTATTCTTCGGCTACAAATATTATAATATTTGAAGTTTTGTTAGTTTCGCATATAGTCGCTTGAGGGCTTTTTTCGACATTCTGACAGAAATGGTTAATTTTCTCAAAAAAATTAAATGCACTGATTCGATATTTTTTTCATAAAAAAGTAGCTAAATGATGCTTAAACAAACTCGCGAAAACCGCATCTCGATATCTTGTTCATAACCTAAAATTTAGGCCAAAGAAAATGTTATACCCTCAAAATTTTATTTTTGTACGCTAATTTTTCCGGAATTATTTTTATTATATAATTTGTGGCCCTAAAGTGGATCGATTTAAAAAATAAAGCTTTTAATGCCGCCGTACATGCCCAAAATAAAATAAAAAGTTCAAAGGGCTGTAACTTTTGATCTAGTAGTCCAATCTTGGAACTGTTTGAAATTATGGATTCTACGGACCAAGCTCTATAAGAAAATGTTTTTTCCCGGTCGATCTCAGACAATTTTTTTTTCCGGCCTCAAAAAAAGGCAGTGTATTACCTTCCTTTTTTTACCAAAAATCGACTGCTTCAACATTTCTCGGGAAAACACTTTTTCTCACTAATTTTGGTGCGTAGAATCCAAAACGATTCGAACTTTTTCGATCAGACCCCTCAATCAAAAGTTATGGACTAAATAAAAATTTCGACAATATATATACAGTGTGTAAAGTGATGGGGTATACAAGAGGGAATTTTTTTTTAGATATTGATTAATGAAAAAAATTTATTCTTCATGATATTTTTTGCTTGCTTTGAAAGTGCCAATAACGTTTCGATCATTTAAAATTTATTTATAGAAATCTGCAAAAATAATAAAATTAATTTTTTTTATTGAACGTTATCATTCTACATTATAATTAAGATAGAGTATTGCTATCAAACCACAATCAATCGAACCGTTATTGGTACTTTTAAAGCAAGCGAAACATATTATGAAAAATAAATTTTTTTCGTAAATCAATATTTAAAAAAAATTCCCTCTTGTATACCCCATCGCTTTACACACTGTACTATATATATTTCAAGATATCGAGATGCTGTTTTCGCGAGTTTGTTTAGGCATCATTTAGCTACTTTTTCATGAAAAAAAAATCCAACCAATGCATTTAATTTTTTTGAGAAAACTAACCATTTCTGTCAGAATGTCGAAAAAAGCCCTCAAGCGGTGATATGTGAAACTAACAAAACTTCAAATAGTATAATATTTGTAGCTAAAGAATAGCTCTTTTGAACTAACCTGAGTTTGTTTAAATCGGCTCAGCCGTTTCGAAGATACAGGGTGTTCTTTACGGAAACCTTTGAATAATAAATATGCTTTATTATGCAGTATATATGCAGCATAATCTCAGGGCGTTAAGGAAGAACCAAAGCTGTTCTGAACTACCCCCCACCACTTCATTTTTAGAGATACAGGAAAAATTTTCAAACAAAAAAGGTTCAGATTATCGTCAACTTCAAAGACCGGACATTTTTTTGTTAGGTTAATATAGCGGAATTCACAGAAAAATCACTTTTTTAGATACCAGATTGCAGTTACGCCCCCTAGCGGCCATTGCAGAAACTTAAAAATATTTTCCAGGTTTTTCTCGTGGCCATTTTAGTAATAAATTTTTTTACCGCAAGTCTCTACAATGGACAGGTTCCCAGATACAGTACCTCGCATTCTTATTTGGCCACCCTGTACAAAGGAAAGAGTTGCAATTAATTCTGAGATTAAATATTTTTAAGTTTTGAGAGTTGAACCATATTTTTCTTCAATTTTTTGTACATGGGTCTGATACTTCGCGTAGTAGAAAAGAAAAGTTCTAGGTACATAATTATAGGTACTTAGTAATACAGATATACTTATTTTTTTTGTATTTTGTACCCTTTTCAGTAAACGGATTTGATAATCTTTTCTTGACAATTATTTTGAAAGTGGTCAGGAACTGTAGAAATCGGAATGTGGGGGTCTGGAAGCAAGGAGCTTCTGGGGGGGGGATTGTACTACAGAAGATTTCGAGCGAGTAGAACCCCTTGGAAACGAAAATTTCGTAGACCTTCGCTGACTAATATCATGGAATACTAATACGTTTTAATGGAGGAGGTCAGATCAAAACAGGAAATTTTAGTTTCCCAACATTATTTTGAAAATGGTGAGGGTTCTAAACGCAGTGCAGTATCAGGGGGGTCCATACCCCACAATCTAAGAATCTTTCATGGTCATTGTGTGAAAATCATCATGGTGGTCAGGTGGTTTAAGCGTTTGAGTGGGGAAACTAGCGCAGAAACTCCTGTCCCAATTGATAATTGTATAGATTTTAATAAATAATAATAATAATAATAATAATAATAATAACACGCGCGAATATCTGCATTTCTGAGTTTAAATGCATGAAGGTTGTCCCACTATTCTATTCCGCCAGACTGTTGACGACTAATATTAAATTGTTTTTAGATCCATGTATTTTGTAAAAACAGAAGGTCTATGGAATTTAGTGAATTTACAAAGGCAGCTGAAAGCGGGAAGTCTTCCACCGAACATCCGAAGAGGACTTTACAAAAGTTTCGTCTTGGCGGGATCATCGTTAGCCGATATTGAGGCCTTAAATGAATATTACCAACGAATACTAAAGCCCATTCAGTTAAGATTTAAAGAAGTTTTATGTCAGGAGAACTTTAACCGGATCTACCAGGAAGAACACATTAAAACCGAAATCATCGACATTCTCGAGTGTTTTATCGGAATTGCGAAAGGCGTCCAAATGTCAACTGCTCAAACGATCTTCGAATACGTAATACCAGTTTTATCAGAGCTTCCCTCCATTCTTAGTCTGTACAGAGATTATCAAGTTATTGTGCAATTAATTTTAGAGTTATTCGGACAGTGTGCTCGTCACAGTTTGTGTTACTTAAATTATTTAGATAGCGAGAGCCTGTATGAGGTCTCTATGGCAACTGTTGTTGCTTACGCCAGATGTAATTTATGTCGATTAACCGCGGAGGCCTCCGAGGAAAACAGTTTTCAAGACTTGATTTTAGTTTTAGAATTATTGACTTTGGTTTTATCGAAGGAGTGTTTAGATTTGTGCCCACAAAGTCCCAATCAGGCAGTAAAAATCACGGCAGCCGACGTATCTCTATTCGGACTGAAATTCATTTTGCCTTTAATAAAAGTCGAACTGCTTATGTATCCCGCTTTGTGCTCGCAGTATTTTAAATTAATTGTTCTAATCAACGATCTTTATCCTGATAAAATATCAAATTTAGACGACCATATGTTAACGCAACTTTTAGAATCAATCAAACTTGGACTAACCACAGGATTTGGGACCGATATTTTACAAGCTTGTTTAGACTTCATTCAAACGCTAGGAACTCATATCTACAGGAATTCGTTGCAAAATTCGAAGGTCTACCAAGCGCTCATGCCATTTTTGAAATTATTAATGAATCTAACTTTGTCTCACGAAATTAGTTCCGATATGCTTACGTGTTCCAGCGTTTGTATTTATACTCTCATTTGCTGTTACAGCGATCAATATCAGGCGTTAGTAGAAGGTTTAATTAATACACAAACTGATCCGTTAGTAGCTGATCGATTAGCCACCGCATTTACTCAATTAACAAGTAATATTCAATTAAATTGCGAAAGACAACCAAAGTTGAAATTTAGAGATAATTTTGATAAATTTATTGCTAATGTTCACGGATTTTTGCTGGTAAAGTAATACTATGCACTTTCCTGTTTTTCTTTGTAACATGTCATTAATGTATAATAATTTATTGAACATAATTTCTTAATGAAGGTGTATGGGAGATATTATGTTTAGTAGAACTTATACAATTACATGAAAATAAAGATTCTATATTTCCTTTGAAAAGTGACGTTTTTTAGGTGAAGTTCTGAAATGTCAAGTATTTGATGAAGAACCCTTTTTAAACTATTTGCAAAAACCCAAAGGTTATCTGTCTTTTTAATCTTCTTAAAAAATATCTTGGGAATCTTATAGAAATCGATCTTGGAATCTGCTTCAAGAAATCTCTGAAAACTTCTTATTTTTGGAGTCTCGTCAGTCATAGATATCTCTAGCTATGTTGAAATATTCCCTGCAAAAAATTTTTTAGGAACTTTAAATGTTTGAGTAGTAGTTTAAGGGTTCTTAGAAATTTTGCTAGAATCTTTTTTGCAAAGTCTAGCAACCTCAAAACCTTTGAAATCATTTCGGAAATCTGTTTGAGGATGATGGGTTGTCAGCTAAAGTATTATTGACTCAAATGGTATTCGGTATACACGTAGCGAATAATCCGTCAGAATGCACATTGTAAAACAATTCGAAAAGATGAACATAAATGTGAAATAAGAGGACATATTTAACTGAAAAAAATCATACAACTTCCAATATTAAAGGAGAATTAGTAAATTTTTAAATATTTGCACGAAATTGCAGAAGGCTCTCCCAGAAAACTATAAAAATTCATAGCAAACTAATCACAAATGCATTTATAAATACATTTTTATTGCTAGTACTTTAGCAGAGTTTTAGTAAATTGTTCGTTCCACCACTTAGTTAAATTTAAATAAAAATACGAACCCATCGGTTCATAGTCTAAATAAGTAAATCTAGATGTTTTCATAGGAATTGCGGGCTCAATCTGTGTACCTTCGTGCCATTCATTAAAGCTCGTAATTGAAATGTATTTTACATTGCTATTGATGGCACTCCTCCAAGCGACATCGTAGTATTGTCCTTGCCTCCGTTGTCTTATATTCTTCGTGTTCCACGGTCTCACTTGCGTATCTTCGTAGCCGGGTCCAACCGAGGGGATGAAAATCAATTCGTTTTGCTTGGCAAATTTGGCGAGGGTTTTCCAATTTTTCCACGTGCTTCCGTAACTAAAACTGTTCGCCGCGAAGTACGTGTAAAACCCATCGAAATGTGATTTTTTGATGTGGTAACGATGTTGTATATCGACTAATAATCCTAGAAATATTGCATCCATTCTCCCACCTCGCACGCTAAATGCTCCTTCTGGAGTTAATATTTCCATCCAAGATATTGCGGGTGTTAAATAAGAGTCGTATATATAAAACACGGGTAAATGTCTGTTACCCTTTTTCATTCTATACAAAGCCACGTTATTACCATATTGACTAAGAAATGGGTGAAGGTGGTGTATTAAGTTGATAGGATTTCGATTAAAGTAAGGCTCGATGTGGAGAGCTATTTTTATTTCGTATAATTTTGCATATTGAAACAAGAGTGGTAATATGGTCGACGGTGAGTCGGTGTAATTTGGCGGTGTCCACGATATTACAATCACACCTACACCAGCTTCACGTAACTGCTTCATATGCATTTCGATCACTTTCGGGTCCTGTGAACTGTAACAACCGAGGGAAGGATAAAAATTTGAACCAATATCAAGTATAGGAGAGTGTGACCCTTTGGGGTATATCTTCCCATCTTGCTCCCACTGAGGTAGGTAAGTGTGATTCCAATGCTTGTAATATCCGTCCACTGGTGTGTTACCATACCAACCATAATAAAAGATGTGTGTATTATAGTTTGGATTCAATGCTTTGTTGTTGAAAACAATTGCTCTCGATTTTACTTTTGATGCAAGACGTTCAACTTTTGCTCGTAATAGCTTTATATGCAACTCACTTTTACTAAGCACGGCATTTGATGTGGTAGTTTCAAATAAAAGTGATAGTGGCGGTTTTTCTTTTTGTATTAAAGTATCACTTTTTGTTTGTCTAAACAAGGTATAAATTAATGGAAAAATAAAGAAAGTGACAATGAGGATGGATCTTCTACTGAAAGTAATTGTGTGGCGGCACAGTTTGCGAAAAATCATATTTTACAAACGTGTGAAAATGCATCTAATTTTTAAAATATTGATTGTGCAAGGTATTGGCGATGGGAGACTGCGCATTTTAGTGTACTATTGAAAACGCGGTTACTTATTTTGCGATAGAGGTCGCAGGTTTTAATACGGTGTTTATACACAGTGTCATTGATTTATGGCCGTTTACACCGACAAATTTAAGCGGAGCTTAGCTTAAGTGTAGCTTAAAATCCTTGGCAACGATTATTGAGACAATGGTTGTCATGAATATTAAGCTAAGCTCCGCTTAAATTTTTCGGTGCAAACAGCCATTTAGAAGTAGACATAACTGGATTTACTAACTGATCAGGGTTGTCTACGGTGTCTTATGAGCATCGCATTTAAACTTTTAAAGTGATCAACACAGAAAATAAGTCTTACGCTCCTTAAACTGGTACCGGCATTGTATCAGTAGACAAGATGAACTTTTTTCAGTTGAATACATGGCACAGGAACAAAAATAAAAATACGGAAGCCAAAGCAATAATATTCCAATTAATTAATATGGCAGCCAGATCTTCATTTGTTTTAAGAAGATATTTTTGTTGCATAAAATTAGGCGTCCTTCAGAAGGTCGACAAACTTTTCATGAGTTTAGTCCAGCAAGTAAACAATGAAAAATTGGAGCTTAAGAAAACAAAATTAAGAATTCATAAAGGGGCATAATCGAACCGGCTATTTTATATGCGCAGCTGCAGCGTGTATGTTTGTTTGTTATGGGGGATAAGGGGTGATAGGCAAGGGAATAGCATACCACTGTGCAAACGGTTCTTTAAATTTAGTCGTAAATCACAACCTTCCATATTTCTTCTTCTGAAGCGGTCTATCCGTCTATGGAAGGAATATGAAATGCGTCGCGTCGCGTATACCCGATTTCGAGGGCCGGATGCGATTTAGAAGACTCGCTTTGTAAATATCAACACGACCGAGATTTGAATAGATTCAAATAGAATGAAAATTGGATACTTTTTGGCACGTTTTGAGCTTTTGGGAATATCTAGAAGAAAGGTAACAACAAAAGGAACAAAAGACATGAATAGTAGACCCAACGTTCCATGTGTAATAGCCAGTTGATAAGACCTACTTTGTGATCAATAGTTCCAAATGGCCGAGTAGTTCACTTTTCACCGCACCTGTAATGATGGTAGCGTGAATTAAAATGGCGTGCAACTCGCTTATAAAAGCAAAGTTGAAAAATTACCATTAAATTCTTAAGATAAAGGCGTATTTAATTTTAGAAATTAATCCACTTTAAAAATGGATGCTGTTAAATCATTTAACTCTGAGGTAGATACATTTACGTCGCTCTATTTGTAGATATTTATTAATGAGTGATTTGTAGCTTTCCGGGCTCTATGAGGTCAAACCTCCAATATCCAAAGCAAAAATGACAAGTATAACGAGAGGAGCAATCAAAGCGATCAAATTTTACAAGCACGTAGTGCAGAGCGTGGAAAAGTTTATATTGAAATGTAAACCCGAATATAAAGTACCTGGTCTATACGTGATTGATTCGATCGTTCGGCAGTCTCGCCATCAATTTGGCGCAGAACGTGACGTTTTTGCGCCTAGGTTTGCCAAAAATATGCAGCAAACGTTTGTTAATTTATTTAAGTGTCCCGCAGAAGATAAGGTAATGATTTTTTTCGTGAGCGATTTGCTTTAAATTTTCAACTTTGATTTGTAGAGTAAAGTGATACGAGTATTGAATTTGTGGCAGAAGAATCAAGTGTTTCAACCCGATGTTATTCAGCCTCTCTTTGACTTGGCCGACCCTAATCATCCGTTCTATAAAGAACAGGTTGCCGGTGGACAGAGCAATGGTGTTGCGGTTCAAAATGCAACAGGCGTTAAAGGTTAGTTTCATAGCTTGTTTTATTATTTGTGTAGTCGAAATACACAGTGTGCCATTGTTAACAAGTTGTAGGTCTTGCAATGAAAATGTGTGTGTAACGCAAATAACAGGTAAGTCGCGTTGTGTTAGAGTTTAGTTCAAAATTGGCACACTGTGTATGTGTAGGTACTGGTCTTAATTAGTGATTCATATTAGGTTCCCCTGCCATGAAGACGTCACCTACAAAGAGTTCTTCTCAGGCAGCCCATACAGCGGATGCACATTCCACTGGAATTTCTAATAATCCGGTATTAAAGCTGAAACGGCCCCCCTGAGAGTGGATGTTAAATAGTTGTACTGCACTTCATTTCCAGGACACATTGCATTAGGGAATGCCACTCTTATAAATGACATGGAAATGCAATATGAATAGTGGAATTTCGTGTACAAAAAGCATTCATCTTCGTATCTTTGAGTAATACAAAGATTCGTGTATTTTAGGTTTGGCCAAATGAGTTGGCCCTATCAACCACAGTAAATTAATGCTAATTTGTTATCATATTCAAATTGTCGCTCATGAAGAACTGCAGTAATAGGAAAAAAAAGTAAAAAGTGGGTGGATCCAGTTTGACATAAAGCTACCTATACCCATACAAAAAAAAAAGGATTATTCGGTACAAGAAAAAGGCACATAGAAATTTGTTGCTGTAAAATAACAACGACAAATTCGCTAGGGAAATACAAATGTCATGATTTGAACCTTTGATTCCGAAAAGGATAAAGATGCAAGATTAATAGTTATGTTAAGGGTTCAGGTTCAGTAATGCTTACAGTTAAACCAAATCCACATAAGGACAATTAACAGCTAAATTGCTTTAAGCAAGGCGAGTCGAGCTTCTGTACGAGGTTGATAGCCGCCAAATGGTTAAAATTTAAGCAAAAGTTTTGTAGTAAAAAAGCCATGGTGTCCATTTTTCGAGTGCCACTATGGGGATCTCGCTTACCTGAAGAGATAGAGAGTTGGTTAAATGGGGGCAAAGTTGCGAATTTTCGTGCTGAATAATAATCTGAAAAGAAATTAAAAATATCTTTAGTAGTTTTGAAAATATCGCAAAAAAACATTATTCAGACACTTTTTAATTTTTCGGGAAGAGTGCTTTGGAAAAACAAAACGTTCTTTTATCGTGAACAAAAGTATGACAGTTTGATCCATCTGTCTGGTTAGAGCGTTAGCAGGGAACTAGTCGAGTTGAGATTTTCATCTGAATATAATTGAACCTTCGTTTTGCAAGAAAATTATAATTCAAATTAGAACAAAATACTTAAGAATAAATAATATTTTCGCAATAAATCTAGCACAAACGTAAATTACACTACTTGAAATAAGTCGACCTTTTGTTCACAACAAAAGAACATTTTGTTTTTCCAAAGCACTCTTCCCAGAAAATTAAAATTGTAATTTAGGAAAAATGTGTTACTGAACCACCATGTGTGATATATCGTTGTAAAGAGAAAAAAAGACGTAATCTCAAAATGTCAAAATCCAAAACGGCGCCCATAAGAAAAATTAAAGTTGCCACCTGTTTCTCCGTCAGCTTAAAAGTTATTGAAAACGGGATGCCATATTCGAAATCTCCATTAAAAAGTGTCTGAATAATGTGTTAATTAGAAATTTCTAGAACGATTAGTTTACTATGAAAAAATTAAAAACGAAAATCAGAAATTTTCTTTTTTTTCGATATTTTCAAAACTATTGAAGATATTTTAAATTTTTTTTCAGATTATTATTCAACACGAAAATTCGCAACTTTGCCCTCATTTAACCAAGTGTCTATCTCTTAAGATAAGCGAGATCCCCATAGTGGCACTCGAAAAATGGACACCGTGTATATTGAGGCATATAGGATGTTTAATACAAGTCATGTGTATGTCTACATGGTTTTTTTTAAATGTGATGCCCTATATATTTTTTTGTATTATTTGATACCGCTTAATAAGAGAAATCTTTGTTTTGTTGGATATTAATTGTGTTTTTTTAAATTTATTTATTGTATTGTTTTTTTATGGGTTCTGTTTGACAAAATTGACTTTTACATATTTGTAGTTGGTCATATTTGTGAAGTGCTGTGTAAGGTCCTTAATGTGATCATTATGAAGAACACTAAGTTGGCTCTCTTTGAAATGCAAAAACAACTGCACTGATATTTTTGAAGATAAAGGTAGAAATAATTTTTTTTCACTACTAGTCTATGATGACATGCTTATTAACCTTGTCCCTCTTGTAAAATAGGCTTTCTCGGCAGCTTTTGAAAGTGTTTAATAATGAGGTTATTATTAACAGTTAATAGTCAATAATGAGAACTGTCACGCTATAACATTTAGAGATCACAACCTGAAATGTCGCTCAATAAACGTTCTCTAAAATGAATTGCCATCACCCTTCATTTGCAGAGTAATTACTTACACACTTAAAATTGTCACATTTTTGAAAAGATTTAAACGAAATTACTCTTTGAAAATATCTCAATGACAGAACAAAATACGGCCTACCTGATTGAGATGTAAAGTTAATAAACAAAAAATTCTGTCCAACTGTTCACTTTCTTAATAATATAATCTGTTAATTCAGTGGACTTCTAGTACTAGTAGTGAAAAATAGTACATTATATATCAAGGTAGAGAAGTCTAGTATTATTGCTAGAGCACCAAGATTACGTCACGACATACTTTACTTGCAAATTATGTTGTTAAGAAAGTGAATTGTTTGACAGAATTTTGTGCTTATTAATTTGACATGTCAAATCAAGCAGACAGTGTTTTGTTCTGTCATTGACATATTTTCAAAAATTCATTTTGTTTGAAGCTTTTCAAAATGACAGTTTTAAGCATGTAATTTCTCTGGAAATGAAGGAATTATTGATTTTGACATCATCGATATTTTGTTGGATTCGAATTCCTGGTGCTTGAAAATTCATATTTTCCCAAAAAAAGTGGGAAGGAGGGGTCATTTTTTTACCCCTATGCAATATCTCACTAATGTGCAGTTGGTAAAAAGGTTATGTCATCATAGGCTAGTAGTGAAAAAACAAAATTAATATCCAGATAACCGTTAACGCCACAATAGCGATAAGATATAAAAAAGGGTTAACAAAAATATAGAAACATAAAGGCGTCACATTTAAAAAAACCATATCGAACTATACGCTATTCAATTTAAGAAGGTAGCGGTAGAAATCATTGGGACAGTTTGTCCTTCACTGTGATTGGTTAAAACACGAGTCAGTATTACCCTGAAAAATAAACCGAGTAACGAATTCTGTCTTTTTCAATTACGAACTAAACTGTCGAACTATCATTAGCTGTCAATGTTAAAGATCCAAGCGTGATATCGTTTAATTTATATTTATATTTTTCAAATTTTGTGCCGTTTTATATTTTTCTTGTGTGTGTCGATCTTCAAACACAGCGCCATCTACTACCTTCTTATAATGAATGCAGTATACACATGACTTGGATTGAACGGCCTGTACATGCAGAAAAGTATTTTGAGGTTAATACCCAATTAATTGGGCGCAATCGGCCGCCTGCAGAAGATTGGCCCGATTGGTATAACCGACCCGACAAACACTACACAAGTGAAAACCGTTACATAAGCGCATTTCAAACATGATTGTTCCATATTTAGAGATGGACTGAGCATGCCAATGGTAAGTGCGGACACTGCAGATGAGAGAGAAGGGAAATCTAAGAGGCAAGCCCTATCGTGTTTCGGTTGGCATACAAATACAAATTAATTGAAAAATAAGATGCGTAACTGTAAAAGAGAGCTTGCCTCTTTTCCTTCACTCTCACCTGCAGTATCCTCGTTTTAGCATTGGCATGTGTAATCCATCTCTATATGTCGATGATTTAGAATTAGAACCTTATTTCCAAAATTTTACCTCTTAATATCAAAATACCTATATGAATAATTTCAAAGTTTTGATCCAAATGCGTGTGGGTCATTGAAAATCTACAGAACTTATTTCTTGGGCATCACGATACAGTTTCCAAAATTTTTTAATGAAATGAGTGAGTAAATGACTGATAACTCTCAATCAAAATACACATAATCATAAACAATACGGCAAGCTCATTTCTTGGGCGTTTAGTCATTTTTCAAATGAAATTAGTGTTAAATAAGTACTTTGAAATGTCCTGCCCAAAATGTAACATGCAGTTTGGAAATTACGTTAATGTTTGGATTCCGTATTCTGACATATTCGACCACCTCAATTGATCAGGAAACCGATTGAAATTGAAAAAAGTTCCATGTTGGGGGCTGGTTTAGTCTTGTTAAACTTGAATCCAAGATTATAAATCACATTGATTATAATAATTGATTTCAATCAGGATTGAGACCATTCATATGACCTTATACCTACAGTTTGTTTCAAACGAAAGTATGTATGACGCCGGTAGATATGCAACGGACATTGTATTGGTAAAACAATTGAAATTAAATGCGCAAAATCAAATTTTGAAAACGTTGTTAGTTTCATTTATATTTATAGTGCTTACATATAAAGTTTCATTTATTTATCTTCATAAATAAAAAAGTTAGCATTGTGCGTTGTTAAACCAATTTTTTTTGAAAGTTCAGATCCAATTAGGGGTCATTTAGAAGAAACTGAAAACCGTCAATTTTGAAAAAAAAACAAATAACTTTGTCATTATTGAAGCTATTTTGATATGACAAACTCAAAATTGAAGACAAGAGAAACCTTAAGTTGTAACATGGCCGTTACTGATGATTTAAATTTATTCAATATTAAATGCTTAGGGGTTTTAAGAATCTTTTATCGAAAAAATGAGTTGCAATTGTCAGAAGGATGCCATTAAATAAATATCGATCACAATTGTCTCTTAAAAAAAAAGCTAACGCTGACCCTAAGAACAAATTATTTTGGACAGTTGCTCAAAAATGATTCTGTTACTTGATTCTCAAAAATTAGAGCGTGTGAGTTTAATTTCGAATGTAGTATATTTCTAGGTAAAATACCTGCGAGTTTGAATTAGCTAAAGAGCACCAATTGGATCTTCCAACCCTTGCAATTTTATATTCATCTTAAATAAACAATTTAAATGAAGTGCAGTATCGACGTCATTCTTGTTTCTCATTTGCAATTACATTTTAAATGACTGTTAATTTTCTTTGCAGAATGTCTTAAATGATCCCAATGCCATGGCTCAGTTACAACAAATACATAAGTTGCTACAGCGGCAAGATGGAGAGTCGGGTGTAAAATCTGGAACCGGTCCGCCGGTTCGTTTCGATCGTAAATTGCTCGATTTCGATTACGACGATGACGAAGAAGAAGATCACGTTAATCCCTCACCAAAACCTCCACCCGCCAACAGTAATAATAACAATTCAGCGATCGAAAGTGTCGGAAGGTAAAAGAAACTGTTAAAATTTCGTGATTCATTTATTATGTTTCGACCTAGCTTACTGTCTAATCCCGAAGTACTGCGTCAATTGCAAACTTTACAACAATCCATTACGCAGTCACAACATCAAGAAATGGACATTGAGAAACTGAGGAAACTCCAGGAAATGAAGCAGCAAGAGGAGGAATTTGATAAACACCTCGCACAGACAGTGCCGGTAAGATGGTGATGAAATAACTGAGGTTAGGTCACACGAGCCTTTTAGAATCTTCCATTTGCTGCGGAATGCGATTTTAAACCATCCTCGCAAACGAACTCTCCCGCCGTATTGCAGAATTATTACTTGGCCGCCGTGCAAGATATGAGCGTACCGCCACCAATGTATAAGCCGACGTTTGAAGTTCCGGCGCCACCTGAAGAAATCACTTTAGATTCCGACACGCAGTACATGAGCGGAAACGACGGTGCAGACATGGAGGTGAAATGTCGCAGCTTTCGTAAATGCGCATTCTACCGTTTCATTTCAGGTAATAAATTTGGATCAGACGGATTCTAGAAGTCCGTCCATGCACGAGGACCGATATAGCAATCGAAGAAGGAGGTCGCGGTCACGTGACCGTTCGCGTGATAGAGGTAGGGATCGAGACAGAGATCGTGATCGAGATAGACGATCTCGAAGGTCTAGAAGTAGGTCGCGATCACGGGATAGAAGGAGAAGGTCTCGTAGTCGTGACAGGGAGCGCGATCGTGAAAAGGAGAAAGATAAAGAGAGGGAGAAGGAAAGGCGTAAGCGTGGCTTACCCGTGACAAAAAAGGAAAATTTAAGCGGTTAGTTGCATATTAACAAAAGCCATACTACACTAGATAGACAACTTCTCCATCACCTGTCATACCCTTTTCAGAAAGTGCAAATGAAGAGGAAGAGCAATTTGAAACTGCATTTTTTTGTGCAACTTTTCAATCTTGGTATATAAATTTTGCCCGTCATGGTTTCAGCTTGAAAATATGCCCTTCTCTGCTGTAAGTTATTTCTTGCGCCGTTTTTGTGATTCATATTTTAAAATTACAGATTGCAAGAGTTCCTTCTAAGCTTAAAATTAGAATTGCGTTTCAGCCTCATGAGCTGATCTTTTTGTGCACCCTTCAATTCCTCAAATTTTTAAATGCTTTTCAAGTTAAATATAGAGCTGTAAAAGGTTAAAATTATTTCCTGTAAAGTCTTCACGTCCAAATTTTAAATTTTTACCCAAACAACATGTCATAACTTCTTTGGGCGGAGACTTGACGGGGATATTTTTTGAGGATTTGACACATTTTTGTATTATTGATAACTTTATGGACATCATCACTCGATTTTCGCTAATTTTGAGTTTTTTTAGCTTCCTAGCGCGAGCCATGTGGCTATATTGCAATCACCATTTTTTGACAACTTTTAAAAAATACAATTTTTTCTATCTGTATTGCACGTTGGCAATTTTTTAAGGTAACGGTTTTTTCAAAATTTGGATATGTGCAGTCTGTTTCAAATTAAGTCCAAAATTGTAGGATTTTTTCTACTGAATCCAAATCTGCCATTAAAAAACCAAAACACCACATTTTTCAGATAATAAAAAATGTGACTTTTATACGGAACATCCTGTATATTATTACATCACATGCCGCTTTATTAAATGATCTACAAAAGTTTTTAATGAATCATAGCCAAATTACTTCAAATAGTTTCATTTTTCAATTATTTTTATTTTGATCTAGTTATCCATAAAAATGTGAGATTGTTTGTTCACTTTAGTTCATTGCTACTAAATTTATCTTCCAGTATTGATATATGCATCCTTCGATCGTTCAAATTTTGAGAACTTCTTGCTGTTACACCCCGTTAAAAATAAAGAGAATATTGAAAATTATTGTAACACAAAGTTAATTCGAAGTTTGTGTTTTCCACGATTTAAGGGGCGCATGCATCAGTTATACCAGTGGTTTCCAAAGTTGACTTCAAAAGAAAAATAAATGAATTAGGGTCCATTCCACATTCGCTCGTGACCCATCACATACTTTGGGAAATACTGAGTTATACTGAAGAATAAATTTAGGAGCAATGAACTAATGTCAACAATGTCATTTTATCATTTTTATGGATAACAAGATAGAAATGAAAATAATTGAAAAATCTTGGTGCATTAAGAATTTTTGTAGAGAATTTAATAATGTGTCATATGATGTAATAATATACAGGGTGTTTCATATAAAAGAGTAACATGTTTGTTATTATCTGAAAAGTGCGATGTTGTTTTGTTTTTTTAATTGCAGAATTGGGTTCAGTAGCAAAAATATACAATTTTGGTAATTTAATCGTCTGTTTAACTTTACAACTAAGAAAGTTAGCAATACTGCCGACTTAATTTTGTAGTTTCGGTTATTCAGAAGTATGATTTATTTAAAATTTAAAAAAAATATGATATTTGGTGAAGTTCATTCAAAAATTTTATTTTTTTGATAGTTCCTAAAAAAAATTATGTGACACTGGTAGAGACCTTAACCTGTGCCTCGAAATTGAGTTGTAAATTTTAGCCCAGTCGAAATAGAAACAAGAATTTCTGCAGATTTCATTTGACATTACATCATTTATCAGTTTAAAATAAATGAATGACTTACATTAGCTATCTAGTGTAGTATGATTTTGGTATCAATTTAAGAATGTGTATTTACTACACTATACATTGCAGTGTGTAGCACTACTTTGTGGGTTGGACACTTATCGAAATTAGTTCATCAAGAGGAGTTGTCAGATACATTTGGGGAGTTTGGTGATGTTGTCAGCATCGATTTAATCCCACCGAGAGGTTGTGCTTTTATAGTTATGAACCGAAGACAAGATGCTGCTAGATGCCTACAAAAATTGAAAAATCACAAGATGCAAGGCAAAGCCATTACGGTAGGTGAACTATTTGGTTTCGTTTGTTTCACTGCCCACATTTTTCACACAGCTTGCGTGGGCACCAGGAAAAGGTGTCAAAGGGAAAGACCTGAAGGATTATTGGGAAGTCGATTTAGGCGTTTCGTATATTCCGTGGTCTAAATTGAAGCAAGATATGGACATCGAATTGTTGGAAGAAGGGGGTATGATTGATGAAGATACAATGCCAGCATGGATGAAAACTAAAACTCAGGGTTTGGCCGCTTCAACCAAGGCAACTGACGGTGCCGATATATCTAAAGTGGTGGGTTCTACAGGCGCGATTGATACGAGTCAACCTCCGCCCATGCCAACGGGTGGCCTCTTACAACCTCCTCCAGCGTTACCTTTACCATTAGTTAACCCCTTTCAATTGAATAATCGATTGTTAAGTATGAATTTACCCCCAGGCATGATGCCACCTAATGTACCAATCGGAGTACCACCACCAAATATGCCTCCTGGGGCGATGATGACAAATCCATTACTTGGATTGGGCACATTTTCGCAAGGCCCCCCAGGCTTGTTACCGCCGCCCTTGTCATTACCGCCAACTGACAAAGCATCTGTCGACAGCTTAACAAACACATCGGATTCACTATTAGGAATGCCCTTCGGTGTAATGCCTCAATCCTCCATGTGTATCCCACCTCTTCAGAACCACGATGACAATAATATGGATGTGGAAATGGAAGATGCGGACCGTAATGACAAGCATCCTCCCCCATTAAGCGATCAATTATTAGCTTCATTAGGACAAAATAAAATGGAAGTAAATCTAAATGCTGCGGTTAGTAGATTACATGCGATGTCAAACATTAGACCAAACTTGCATAGATTGGACGATGATATGGATGACGGGTATGATCACGGTGGCATGAGAGGTTTTGACAGAGATCGGCGAGACTTTGAAGACAGGCACGGCGGGCTTGATAGAAATCGCGATAGGGATAGGAGAGATAATAGGAGGGAGCGACCCAATAGATGGGGCGATCGAGATCATAACGATCGAGAACTTCATGACGATAGAAGAGAAAGGAACGAAAAGAGTTTGACAGATCGTTTGAGAGAAATGGCTCATCAAAGTGCGTTTCCTAATAGACACGCCGGTAGAAATCCAGATAATCCGAATGTTGTATTTGAACACCCTGCAGATGGCCCTCCGCCTCTTATGGATAGACCTATGTTTAGACACAACGAAAGAAACCAACCTGATCATGATAGATTTAGAGCCGGTGAGGACTTTAATCGCGGTCATAACCGGGAAGACGACTGGGAAGAAGATCCCCAAATGTTTATGAACAGAGATGACAATGGCCCACCTCACCCACACTTTAATTGTGACGATATTGGACCTCCACGACCATTATTCAATCGGGACGACCGACCATTGATGAACAGAGATGATCCACCTCGTCCGCTTTTAAATCACGATGAAATGTTCGAGGATGACCGATTTATGAGAAGGGAGTGTCGGGACGATTTCATGGAGGAACCGATGGGAATGAGAGATGAGTTTGTACCACCGGCTCACTTACGTGGCCCTCCTTGTTTTAATCCCCCAGCTCCTGTTATGGGACCTGGTATATTAGGTCCGGGACCGCCGGGTCCTAGGCCGAATAGACCCGAGTTTTGGGGACCACCAAGACCGATGCGTGGAGCGGGACCTGATGGATTCTTTCCTAGAGGTCGTCATCAAGGTCCTCAAAAATTTCATCCTCGTGGTCAACACGGTCGAGGTACTCGACCTCCAGGTATGTAACTACTGCCGTAATGCAATTTTAATTTTAAAAAAACCTTTCTTTCTTTATGCCTTATGGCGTTCATAGTGTGTTATCTATCTCGACCAATTTTTCTTGTTAATTCGTTCATGTTGTGCTGCTTAAATATTTCTTCAATAATTCCTATTACCTTTTTCTGTTGTGTTGAAGTACTCTTGTATTCCTATTGTTTTTTTTTTTAGTTTTGTATAGATTATTATCTGTTTAGCTTTGATATCCTTTTCTTTCCTAGTATTATTTATTATTGCAATAATATACAGTCTGTCAAAAATAATGAATGAATTATTTTGACATTTTGTCAACGCCTACTACATCAAAATGTAAAAAATTTAATAACGAGCCTTTTTTCTGACTTAAATAATTAACATTATTGTTGACGGACTGAATACGGCATGAATCTGGAAATGAGTCTGGAAACAGCATTGTGCAGCTGCATAACTACCGTTTTGATATAATGCTTTTACTGCGAACGACCGTTCCTGTTTGGACCTCTGCTGCATGGCTACTGAAATGATTTGAAGAGAGGAATGCAACAGCAATGTTGCCTACTCCCCCGGCGCAAACGTTTATTTGTTACAGTGCACTTTACTAGTTTTAGTAAGTTGCCCTCCTCTTTTTTGTCCTTTTTTGTTTCTTTCTATATATTTTATTGACACTATTAAGGTACATCATTGGTTATTCTATACTTTCCTCGTTAAACTTGCTCCTTCATTTATCTCATTATCTCTGTTATTTGTGCTTTCTATGATCGGATTTGTGTAATTTTGTTCTACTATTAATTTAATATACAGTGTGTCCCAGATCGCGTGGGATTGCATGGGTAACTTTGTTATTATTAAAGATAGAGAATTGGTTAAATGGACAATGTTTTGCAGTTTTGGATGCTTATTTAAAATTTCCTTATGGAAATTCAAAATGTCGCATAGGTTCGACGTAAATTCAAAAAAACTAAAATTGGTCATCAAAAACCGTTAATATAATTGGTATCTTATTTTCAATCTTATGTTATGATGGCTCGTTGAAAAGAGTATTAAAAAATCTATCAAGTAATCTAAAAATCCAATATGGCGCCCATTTAACTTTAGGAAGTTGGTAAATGTTCCTCAAAAGTGGCCATCTTAAATTTTTTTTTGACATCAATATTAAGCGTATCAAAGACAGTCACTTTTATATAAAACTTTTTTTTATATCTCTTATACTTTCGATAATATAAGACATTCAAGCAAATGACCACTTTTAGTTTTTTTGAATTTACGTTGCACCTATGCGACATTTTGAAATTCCATAAGGGAATTTTAAATAAGCATTCAAAACTGCAAAACATTGCCCATTTAATAATAATAATAATAATAATTTTAACCAATTCTCTATCTTTAATAATAACAAAGTTACCCATGTAATCCCACGCGATCTGGGACACACTGTATACACGTTTTCTTTATTTCTTTATTGCAATTAATAAAAAATCTTTACAATTTTAATTTAACTTTAAAGGACCGCATTGGAAGGACGCTCCTCGTCCAAATTTCCAGCCAAGGTTCGATGCACCTCCAGATTACTTTAGAGGTCCGCCGGGTCACTTTGACGAATCGTCTCACCATCAGCGACACAGAAGGCGAGATGATAGACGTCACTTCAGACACGAGTTCGGCGGTGGCGGCGCTTTTGAAGAGGAAAACGAACCGGCCCGTGATCGTCGTGATCGCCAATCGCGATGGAGTAACTCTTCCACCGTAGATGAATCTTTTGAACAAAATGAAACTGTCGAACAACACGAATCGGAACAGGTGAACGAATCTGTTGAAAACGAGTGCGATAATGTCGAACAAGGTGAAGGGTTATACACAGCTGCGGATGGAGGCTCGACGCCTTTGCACGATGAACCGCAGGACACCACCGAAACGGTAGAAGATACTGCAGAAGAACCTCAAGGTGATCAAGAAGAAAGTAAAACTGTCGAAGAGCAAGAATAACGAAATTCGTAGGTATTTATATTTTATAAATATTTAGTAGTTTTAAGAAGAAGAACTTTAGTGTTGCAAATATGTCGGACCGTATTGAAAACGGAAACTAGGCTGTGATTGTGTAGTGAACACAGGGGACCCACTAGTGTGGAGCTATTTAAATGAAATTTATATATTTTTAAATGGTGCTCAATAAATAATTTTAGTCATTTTAAATGATCCATTTTCTTTGTATGACGAGAATAATACTTGTAACGATGATGATTGAGGACTAAATTTTAAACACAGGGAATTTAGTAGAGTACTTACGGAGATGTGACGACGAAAGGTAGGTCCATCTGTGTTCACAATATCTGAGATAACAGCATCACAGGAGGAACCAGTGCTAGCTCTCAAATTGAGTGACTAGTACAAGGTATGGTCTTTTCATTTTGTAAATACATGTTTGCAGCAAAATTGCCCCTTTTTTACGCGGATGCGATTGTTCTAACAAAAATATTTTTCAATTTTTATTCTCGCAAACGCTTCACTAAAAGGTACGAGTATGTATAAAGAATTGAACGCGATATTCATTATCGAACTGTCATAATGATATATAACATAACATAAAAAGAATATTAATTTCCGCTCCACATTTTTGTAGTTCTTTTATTTAATAAATACTTCAGAATGAGACCACTTTAATAATATTACAGATGACAAGTCGATAATGTGACGAATTTATTGTCGGGCAAATAAATTGTAGTTACTGCTGCATAATTAATAATAGATACAAGATACAAATAAAAATGTAACAATGAAATATATATATAAGATAATTGTTCATTTATTGTAAATTTTTGATGATGTCCAATATGTAACGCAATTAGAATTTCTTCTGTTTTTAGGTGTGTAGACTACAAACTTTTTTTTTATGTACCCATTGAAAGCATTAATAAAGAAGAATTTAGGATGATTATTGATAAGTCAAGATGACATTCTGTATATTGTTTCCTTAATTGTGAAATTGTCTATTTACCTCTAGGAAGCGTCTCGTATTAAAAGAATTTTTTCGTGCAAGTTAAAAATCATGACATCTCAATCCAAATTTTAAACCAAAAAATTAAATTTTGTGCGTAGAAAAATTGTAAATATAAAAGTCCCTTTCAAAACATTTTAATTTTTTGACATTACTGTACATATCAGTACCATTTATTATACTTTCACTTCTACAATTAAAAAATAATGTAGGATCATCACAGTTAAGTCTATGAGAATTGTTACTCGGAAATGAATATATGAATTCTCATTTGTTTTTATATAAAGTACATAAAAAAATACGAAAGAGTAGGTACCAAATACATAGATGCAACAGATGTTTACTTTTTTTTATAAATGATCAAACCTACTGCTAGTGTTTTTGTGTATCTATTCGTACGGTACAGTACCAACAAAATTCAGATTTCTAGAATACGTTTTTAGGTTGATTAGAGAGTGTATTTAAAGTGTTAACAAGGAAAATGTTTTGCAAATACATATTATGTGCGAATAAAAATACTTGTTTGACAACATAGCAGACAGTATAACCTCGAACTTGTTTATTGAAATCTGTAATTTTATCCCTCATATTTTATAAAAAGCGAACACATACTTGGGTACTGGGTAGCATTTATCCCCAACAATGCATATACAATTTGTTTTATGCGCAAATATAATGAATCTTTATGGTTTTTCAAATATTTATTAGTAGCTATTCTTAAGAGCAGTTAAGTAAATGTAAAGTGACATATCAAAATATTTAAATACATTATATCGTTTAACCCTATATTGTAAATTAACAAGTTTTTATCTTTGAAAAAAACCCACATACTACTTTTATCTTAAAATGGTGATAATGATAACCAAGTGTATCAATGTACAGATTAGGTGCCACGAACCACCGTATACTGGGTGATATTCCCCACCCCCTAGACCACCCCGTACTACACTTTCTGAAATAAAATTAAATGTGTAACCATCAGATCTCATCAGTGTTGTAATAGATACTTTCATTCTTGGATCTAGGTAAAGATACAGATACAACTTAATAATTGTAACTAGATACCAGAACAGATGCCCAAAAACAAAAAGGATCTTACAGCTACTTTATTTTCCATGCTTGATGCCGATAAACAGTTATCGACACCCCTCAAGTAATAAAAAGCGTATAGAGTAAGGATTCTCATGTCCGCGCCCATGCCCCATTCCCATTCCCTAAAATGTTTCGCCATCAGAACTCATTATAGTTTAAGGGAAGATGACCGAGACACCTAGTTTCTTAGGGAAGCGCTTTCGACCTATGGTGTATTAGGCAAAAGTACTTATTTTGACTCTCTTTACCACCTCCAAAATTAACGACATTGCTAACTTGTTCACCTGGTATACGCACTATCTGTTACAATTCAATAAATTACCGTTAAAATGCCGCATGGCATTATTTATAGAAGAATAAGTTTCCTGCATTGAATCCTTTTGAGAAGAAAAGAAGGAGAATTTTCCGCAAATGGACACTATGAGATGAAATTATTTCTTTACCGCAATAATAAATGAAAATGTAATAATCCTCAAAGTCCCTCAGCTTGGGAACGGAAAAAACGGCACCAATGATTCTTTAGGCTTATTCGCAGAGAAAATCTGTTTGCATCACAGAGCTGGTATGGCTGTGAATTCACAGTCACACTCGCGCCAATATGAAGGAAACAGATGGACGCTGCGAAAAAGTCTATCCTAAGAATCATTGCAGTCAATCGTACGTCACTAGGATGACAGACAGGGAAAACTGTTTCAATTTTCATAGCTATACACACGAAACTCATGCTCAGAACAATTATTGGTCTTCCTTCTGGTTGATATTCACTATTCACTTTTGCCCCCCGTACAAAAAATGACATGCAATATACACCATGCATAAAAGGAAAAATCCTACCTTATGAGGCCGCCTTTCTGCAATCTGTAACAAAGAGAAGATTTACATTAGAAATGATATTAAAATATGTATACTTCGTTTAAAACAATTGAAAATGTTGACTGGGACAGTAGTCAAGCGTTTGTTTGTTTGGCCGTTTTCTTAAAGAAATTGAGCAATAAACACTGGCAATAAAAAGGAATGGACACTTACCCTTTAGCCTCAATAATTCAGTCTGTCCTGGGAAGAACCATATCAACCAAAGTATAATGATGAAACACTGCACACTTCCCCGGCACTCCTCGTTCGTCAAGAACTGAAAAGTAAAATATAATCAATCGCAATATGAGAAAATGATCATTTTTGTTTTGTGGTTTTTGAAAACACACTGTAAACGTTAAAATAATTGTAGGTATATGTTAATGCCATGTTATCATTGACAACCGCAAATATAGAGATTGTTGCAGAACATCCTTCACCAAACTTAACATCCTTACACTCCCATGTATATATATATTTACCTGTCTAACACACGCAAAGAAGGCCCTTCCAACCCTTCGTAAAAACAGTGATAAATGTCATTACAATGTGCGGACTAAAAACAACCTTGTCGAAGACTACTATCGGACGGTAAAAGGACGAGACATTAACTATTTCATGAAGAAATGTTACAATACTCTTCCTGACTACATCAGGGATCTGGAAGAACAACAATTCAGAAAAACAACCAGAGTGTTCCTTGGTGCCAAAGCATTCTATAGCATCGATGAGTACTTGAACTACAAGTTTGATGGCTCCGAATAATAAAGTGGCAATTGTGCTTCCCTATACTGTGACGTGTGGAAATATTTTCTGTATAAACCCCACCAATAAATATTATTATTATTATTATTATTATTATGAAGATGAATTTGGTTATCTACATTTCAAGTACATGGCTATGAATTTCTCGAGGAATGCCTAGAATATGCCAAAGGCGATAGGAAACTGTTTCCGTAAGTACTGTAACAGTTAATTAGAAATAGTTAATGAAATCTACTTACAGCAATAACTTTACAGACCAATTATTGACCTATAGTAGAGAGAGAGTTGGGTGCTGAACGAATCACAAAAAACCAGACTACAAGCTACTGAAATGAAGTACTTGCGAAGGGTACGGGGGGTTGGTGGAATTCCTAGTAAGATTATAAAAAAAGAAGTGGATGCTCTGATAGAGACATTTGATAGACAAAAATTAAAACGCTTATTTGGACGCCTTGGAGGAATGGAAAACAGTCAGCTTGCGAAACCGTACATATGGAACACTGGAATTCAAAATAGGAAGAAAAGGGGAAGCATAAAGACAATATGGGATATGCACCTAAGTAGCAAGAATACTTCAACATCAAAGCATAGAATGGGAGGAGGCTAATGGTGCCTCTAGACTAGAAAGAAATGAAGTCAACTATTTATCATTTTTACGGACTTACTTTAAGTGTAAATATGCGAATAAAATTTATATTATCGTTGCGACATTATTCAACAGCTAAAGTGGTTTGAATTTGCAAGTACAGAAATATCGGGCGATCAAAAATGAGGTGCTGTCGAGTCGCCTTTGGAAGTTCAATTTAAGTACGATTTCCGATGTAAACAAAACAAGTGCCTTGACAGCAATGCATTTTTAATTGCAGGGTCAATAGTATACTTGAAAGAATGGGAGAAAACCCGAAAGGAGATTGAGATACAAACTCACAATTCCGAGCAGGTTTTCCATGTTTGTGAATTTCCTCCATTTAAGAAACACCTACTGAAATAAAATAAATGTACGTTGCAGCGTTGAGTTTGAACTAGTATTACAAGATAAATTGATCCGGATCGTTCCAACAGGTTGTGAAGGTAAAGAATTTTTACATCTGCTACCGATTATTGGCATTGGACGGTAATAAAAATCTACCTTATACTCCAAAAGTCTACGATGCGGATGTTGTTATATTTACGAGGAAGGTAGTAAAATGAGTGTGTTTGACCACATTGTGTACAATGTAATTACGGTTTTATCCGCCATATGGTCTGCACATCAACATATTATATCATTTACACCAAAATGAAAACTAAATATTGAACTTTTGAACATGCTTTTTTATTGTAGAATATCGCAAACTAAGAGATGGTACCTATGTACTTAGCATTTCGAGGTTAAGGCCGTACAGTAAGAAGTATGATGGAACTTTAAAAGGTTTGAAAATATACCTCAAGTCGATACCTATATTCTTGAAATCGTATCATAGACGTCTTGATCCAAAACAAGAAACAGAAACCACGTAATTGCACAAGACAACACCAGTTTTAGGTAAGAAATTATACACGGCACCGAAACGAGCGATGTGCTTTCCGAATTCGCTTTACTACTTTAAAGAGTTGATTTTTAATATCACGACACTTTATAATTTGAAAAACAATGCAAGAAACATCGAGGTAACACGCAATCGCGAGTTTAAATTCAAAGGGACGCCATCATAACCACAAACATTGAAACGTTTGAAAACACCGATTTATTTAACGAGGGGCCGAAAATAACGACGTGCCACAATCTTCCAAGTGTTTAGTTTTAATTTTCTGGCGTTTATTTTGTTATGATCGTTTTTATTTTCAAAGAAAACGGAAAAAAGCTGCATAGGACGCGTAAGCGGCTTCAACGATAAACTAAAAACTGGGTCACGTGACATGACGCGATGACGTAGTAGGTACGACATCATGGCACGTGACTGATTTAAAAAAATGGTCCAATCACAGCGCTTTTAAAACAAAATTTGGCATTGTTTATTTATCACGGATTTCACACAATTTAGGAGAAAACTACTTTTCTTTTGTGAAAAACTAATCAGTGATTCTTATAATGAAATGCACAAACCAAATTATAAATTCCGTTGACGGAAATTGCCATCTTAAAAGTAACCCCCCACAAATGTTAGGGGCATGATGATTCATAGTAAAAAAAGAGAATTTGTTTATGATTTAGTGTGCGTTTAGTTATAAATTCAATGATCATACTACTAGTATGATATTTGACCGTGCATAACTTTGAAACATTTTCAACCTTTGCGACTATGCGTAAGACTTGCGTATCGCTTACATATAATATATTATAACGCGTTATTTGCAATGGTGTAACCGCCAGGGAATCCAGAGCCTTCAGGAAAAAATGAAAATAGTTACTAAAGGTCCCACAGTTTGGAACAGATGCCGTAGGGTTGAATTCTAAAAGGACAATTGAACGTCTGCAGATGTTCATGTATAAGGGCAACTCCTAGGCTACCCAGAGACCGATTCCAACACAGGGTTAAAAAGTGTGGTAAATGGCTCTTTAAGAAACATTTGCAATATCTTTATTAATTTTTTCCATCACTCTCGCAATAAACCCACATACTGCTACCTCAGTACTCTAAGTATGTACACCGAAGTACACACAAGTTCTACTTTAAACTGACCAAGACCTTGTAGCTGCTCTAGACTTCTACCACTTGCAGTCCAATAAAATAAATAACACAGGCCATATACAAATTTCACTTCGCTACCTCACTACCATCTAGTGAATGCAATCTTGAGTCGAGATCTCACTTGATTAGAAATTGCAATCTCACGTCTCGGGTAGTTTCGAAAAAAATATTGTTTATATTGGATAATTAGAAAGAAATGAAAGCTACTAACATAACATGTGATTATGAGGTTGTTCGACACTGTAGCACCAAGGTGAGTAAACTATTGCAAAAAACTACTCCTTGTTTCCCAACACTCATATATACATCTATCATCATCACATCTATAAAAAATGGAGCACAATAGTTTATAGCTTGGTTTATAGTGACTTATCTGGTAGAATATGTTAATTTATTTTCCGTACATCATGATGGTAGAAGGGTTTTGATTATAATAAATACCTAATAACGTTACAATTCTTGTTGTTTATTCCATATTTAGCTGTAAAGGATCGTGACGGTTGTTGGGATTATAATGTAACTGGAATTCACAGTGATGCTGATGAGCGAAGGCTTTATTAATTCGAGCGCGTTAAAGCAAATTCAAATTTAAGCGTTTGCGTAGTACCCGAGGGAGTCAATATGCAACACATCTGCAAGTGTTTATAATATACTATAAATCTGATTCTTAATGCATAGGTAAGTTTACTTTGAAAAAAAATCACCTGTGAAGTGCAAGTGATAAGGAAATCAAGAGAGATTATGGAAGAAGTGCCGCAATGACTGAAGGAATTGGGATGCGAATTCTGGTAACCGATAAGGGCCCCCCTTTCGCATTTTGTAAAATGTTTACGACGAGAGTGTCTTTTTACTTGGTTTGCTTATGACTAGCTATCCTCGTTCGTAAAGATGGCAGAGAAGAGGGTATTTACAGTGGAGATCGGTTCCCATTACTTGGCAGCAAGCCAAATGGAAGTGGTAAAGTTGGTAAGATTCGTTTTAATTTGAAATTTACGATTTGAAATTGGAATTGTGTAGGTAGTGCTGCCACGGGTAAAGGTTTCATCAAACTGACGCAGTGGAACTGTTTGTACAGCTAAGAAACGTAGGTCTGGCACACAGAACGAAGTTTAACGAAGTAACGCAGAATTGACACTCTTCCCGGAAGTACCAGGATTTCAATTAAATTGTCACAATTGTAGTATGAATGTTGTCAGTGATCATTTCTGTGTATTAAACGTTGAATTGAACGCAGCTGACATAACCTACTTCAATGGATTAATATGAAGGGTAGCAACATGACAGAGCCCTATCGTGCCTGATAAATAAATCGGAAACTAAATATACTGCAGCAAGTTGTTTTATTATAAACCGTCGATACTAAGGTACGTCATATGTTAAGGCTAGCGCAAGCACTGCTTACGTTCACCAGACGAAGCGTTTCATAAGCGCTACCCAAAGACAGGAATACTCTAGCACGGTGATGTGTACACCTCGACAGTGCTATCAGACACCCGTCTTTAGGTAGCGCTAATGAAGCACTTCGTCTGGTGAACCGTCACCACGAAACTTTTAAAGGTCTACAAACTTACCCCACATCAAGATATCAATGAAATCTTGGGCGTCTTGATTCAAACACGAAAAAGATGCACAAAACGTTAAGTTTTAAACGCAAACAAACGAATTTAAAATAGGACGCCATCTTCTTGTTCTTCCGATAACATTTAACATGACATCGAAAAGACCGATTTGTGAACACTTCCCCGCCGGTTTTTGTTACTTTAAGCGTTGAATTTAACAACAAATTCAAAATTTACGTGGTCGCGTCCCGAGATCCTACACGCAAACGCCGATTTAAATTTGTACGAAAAGGAGAAGGGACGCCATAACTTGTTGTAGTTTAATATTACGTTTAAACGCCGATTTACGTATGTTGAACCGAAACGAACTATGTGTCAGAATTGTTCCCGTCTTTTACTTGTCTTTTTTTAAGTTTATTTTAATATCGCACTTCGTAAATTAGCAGCAAACCGAAAAAATACAACACGCTTGGAACGGCAGCAACGACATAGTTGGTCACGTGACGAAAATAGTGATCATGACGTCACAGCTGCAAGACTCGTTACGATTCGCGCGTTTCAAAAAATGGTCCAATCAAATGCGTCCGGCTTTCTGTTTACTAGTTATTCCCGGAATTCTAAAGCGATGGCAAATTTACTTCCCAAGATCTAAAAACTGTTGCTATTGCAAAACGTTTTTTCACACAGAAATGGCGAAAATAACTTCTCTGCTTCCCCTTTATTGGTAGACATACATCCATCATATAAGTGGGCGAATGTCCGTGTCATTTAATCCAAAACGTAAACAAAGCAATTTCATGGAACCAAAATACGACCCAAACAAACGAAAGTTGCCCTAAATCGTAAAATGTGGAACTTTCCCATATTCCCGTGGGGTCCGAGCGTAAGGAAAAACCCCCCTCCGCCCTCCTTCCTTGAAACAAATTCATTCTTTTGTACATCAATCGTTAGATTTTTGTGCACTTTTGTAACTCCCGGTACTGCGTTCTTGTTTAAAAACATTCAGCCCTAAGGGCACCCATGACAATTTATTATAAAAGACCATCAAACCTTCCTTTCCCTACCCCACAGACTTGCGGTGTTATGGTTCGTGGTCCTTTCTTAAACGTTATGGTGTAAGTGCTAAAACCATTATATATTTTGGGGGAGAATGCAGAAGGGGGGGGGAGTGTCTGGAATACCTACTCGGGAAATGAAAATTCAGCGTTCCTTTCTCTACACGTAGCATAACATTTTCGTACGCTAGAGGGGATGGCTCGGACTGTTCCTACAATTACCATAAGATATTTTCGTGGATATTTTGATGAGAAGATTCGTTGCTTTCGTTTGGGATAAAATTATTAATAAATAAATCTACGATCTCCCCAATATTTTTATACCGGCCCAAAAAAAAACCCCTAACGTTTCAAATCATTTAATCACATACGTAAAAATGTAACAATTTATTTCAAAAATTTCTTGCTAGTGGATGTTCAAAAGGGTATTTTCCGTCCTTAAAGACACTTTTTGCAATTGTGCGATAATTTTCATCGTTGGTAGCAAAAGGGCCATCACATATTTGTGCGAGCTTTACTTTAACCTCTTGCATTGCTTTTGCACAATAGGAACCCGCCAGCATCATTTCAAAATGCGCATTTCTTAAACCTATGCAATAAGAACGTGAAGCCCTCCCTGCAACACACATTATTATCAAGTAATGCTCAATAAATGGCATACCTAAACATGCAGTCATAACATAGATGTCTATTAGACATTCTGCTAATCTCTTTAAATCCATATGCTGATTCGCAACTTCTTGACCATGCCTAGCTAGGAGCGTTTCTGTAGCAAATTGTAATCTTAGCACACAATATCTAAAGAAAAATATAAATTAATATAATCCACAGGATGGATCTAAATTCAATCCTTAATAATTGCGGAAAATAATATGATAAATGAAGTGTTTTTGAAGGTGTATTTCCCAAAGGTACCATTTGGCGCCCTCAGTTTATTAAAGACCCAATAGGCCTTTTTTGAAATCGTGTGGTTGTCCGTCTATCATCACGATAACTCTTAAAAGGAATGTCTTAAGGTTGTGAAACTTGGTGGTCCAAGTAAGAAACGTATTGAATTTGGAGTCAAAAAGTCATCAAAGTTACAGGTGTCAACATAAAAGTGCTTATTAAAACAGTATCTGTCAGGTCCTTTGATATGTACCGGCTTATTTTGACTAAATGCTTTGGTTTCTCGACTATCACAGCGTTCAGCACACAAAAAACTTACTCTAAACGATTTGCCGATTCTCGCAACGAAGGATGAACATAATCACATAATCTTAATTTTAAGTCAGGAGCATCCATTTGTTGCTTCCGATGAGTCCACATACGCTTAAAAATATCTTTTGCATAAAATAAAGGATTACGCAATTTACGAACATCTTCTTGAATTTTGATCTATAAAAATACTTGTTTAGGTATGTACTTTATTTAGCACGCAACAAACAGTTTAATCAAAAGCAATAAATCACATTGAATAGTTAAAAAATTAAAAAGTATATTATATACAGGGTGGTGACTTGCGTAACGCATCATAGAGTAAAAATGTATTAAGGTTTTTTGTAGGAAAAAATTTTTTACGTCAATCAACTCGATTAGTTTTCAATTTTTTGCATAATTATTAAGACGGAACATTGGAAAAATGAAACCCGCATCTTTTTCAATAATCTGCGATGCCATGGAATTTTCTAAAACAAAAAGATATCCAGTTATCAATTAGCAGTAGTTCAAAATGGATTTTATGATCGACTTGGTTGCTGTATTGCAGTATTCGAACATTTATTGTAAATTGTTATATTAGGAAACCGTTTTCAGTAACTTGGTCTTTCTTTATGGTGAATTCGCTGTTCTAAATATAATACTTTGTGATAGAATTTGATTTGTTTTATAGCAAACATTCCATGGCATGAAGGATATTGGCGTAGTTTTTGTATTATAAAATTCCATGGCATCGCAGATTATTGAAAAAGATGCGGGTTTTATTTTTCCAATTTTCCGTCTTTATTATGCAAAAAATTGAAAACTAATACGGTTGATTGACGTAAAAAAATTTTTTTCTACAAAAAACCTTAATACATTTTTGCTATAAAATAATTTGGGGAGCCAATAATCGCATGCTATTAATCTTACATTGAAATCCCTATGATGCGTTACGCAAGTCACCACCCTGTATAGTATCGTAAAGTCTGCTTGTCCATTTGATCCAAAAAAGCGTGGCAAATTTCTATTTTATTATTAAATTATTGACAATTGACAATGCTTTTAACTTTACTGCACTACACGGATCAGACATGGCAGACATTGAGTAGCACTAGTTCAATCTCAATACTAAAAATGAGATTAATTATGTTTTCAACACATGTATACTTACACCAGCATGATTTAATCCTAACAGAGCAATCCAAATTTTTAGATTTTCTCCAACTTCATTTAAATACTTATAGCTGAGAGCATCCATTAACAGTTCATTACACCAATGATTTTTTTTATACGAAGGGGTTCCCAATATATCCATCACCTTGGAGGCAGATGAGCAAGCCTGCTCTGCACCGAAAATCTAAACCGAAAGCGATTACATCCAACTTGTACATTTGAACTTACTTTCACAATGCTAGATTCCATTAAACAATCTTGATTCTCATATTCATCTAGCAAACCAGACGTCAAATATGTAATACTTTCTATGGCATACGCAGAAAGGGTAATCTAAAAAAACTGTCGTTTCAATAATACCAATTGCATTAATTCAGTTACTTACTTCGGCTACAATTGAACGTACGTAATCAGTTTCAGATATACTCAGCTGTCCAATATTTGAATGTGTGCAATGCTTGGTAAGATCGTTGAGAAGTTTTTTAACGAGTATTGAACAGGCAGGTCCGCAGCTGAGACGGAATTGTGTTAATAATGACGATATCAGAATTTCGGCCGAATGAACTTCGCCTAGTATGTTATCTGTTTGAAACAATGTTGACATTACTTTACGAATTAGAAATAAATAGGTAAATTATACAATCATATCATTTGCAGTCAAAATAGTCAACGATTTGAAAATGGTGAAACACAAAAAATCAGATTGAACATCACAGATCAGGGAGATTCCTTATAAAACTTAAGGCAAACTGTTTCTATTAAGTTTGTAATCCTGTTCCTTTAATAAATAAAACATTAAAAAAAAATATTATTTTTCTTTTTACCTCAAATAAAAATTAAACTTTGATTGCTTGAAGAAACATGAAAATTACAAAAATAAATAAGATTTATAGAAAAAAGTAATCAGCCACAAGAAATAAAAATACTTAAAATGCCACGTATAATTTAATTTTGAAATAATTCATCAAGTGAGCACTGATGAAACATTGTATTAGGTAAAACAATCTGAAACAAACACCAAAAACAATGCAATACGGCCCATGAACTTTACCCAAAGTACTAACCACTGGTGGAATAACTATAAATGAATAAACAAAGGTACCACCCTATAGTTCAAAAGCAGCTGCCGCAACATTTGTTCAGTTTTATGTGATTTTATTACTGACGGCTCCGAGTTTATGAAAAACATTAAGAAATAAATAACTGTAATAGTATGTTGGTTCCCTATGCTGTAGAGTTGAGGAACCATAGAAAATCTGATATCAACCACCTTAAGAAGGTCGGTATTAGATTACCAAACCTACTTCTATTATTAGCTAATTTCAAATTGCTATTAACTGATGCACCTTTTGGAACAGGAGTATTCCTAAAGGTGACATCACACACGTCTGTCCCTTCAATCCCCAACATTTTGTTTGAGTTAATTGTAATTCCCTCGAAGTCTTTCTCTACTAGAAATGTGGTCAATTTGGCTTCTCGCGTTTCCTTATTGCCGATAGTGGCCGTCTTTGCAACTACAATAAATAACCCGGCTATACTTCCATTAATCACTCCGGTTTTAGTACCATTGAGAATCTGCAACACACTATGAATGAAAACGGTACGATTTTGTATTTACTTTAAGTACCCATTCTGTTTTATCCCTGTTCAACTTTGCAGTTGTAGATAATGACGATACATCTTGATTTTCAGATTCAGTCATGCAAAAAGCAGACAACATGTTTCCATTATGAAGTTGTGACAAGTATTTACTTTTCTGTTCATCACTTCCTGCCTTCTCTAATGCGTGAATACCCAAAAATTCGTTATAGATTAAACCTGGGACGGTAGATGAAACAGTCGACAGTATTTCATTAAATCTACAATGCTCCGTCACATTTAATTCACGGCAATTATGTAACTGGGACGATTGCATTCCAAATAATTGTAGGTTTTTAAGAACCTCCATGAAATCACGCGACAGAAAAGATTCTTTAGCTGATAAATTATCAAAGCGCACTTGCACCGGACTAATTTGCTTTTCTAAAGTTTGCGTATCTTCGCCGTTTAATTGTGGGTACGTGAGTACGTCTGTGTCATAGACTCCTACAAATAGATTTTTGGCAAAGGGAGGTTTCTGGGGTTGTTTCTTTCGCATTCTAGGCGTTATTAGCGAGATTTTTTCAAAATATTTTCCCATTTCAGTTACATCTTCTTTAACCTTTACTGCAGGTGTGCTGCTATAATTTCTACAAAAGAACTTAAGGTTTAACTTCTCTAAATTAACTAAAGACTTATTTATATTAAAAAACCGATACATTTTCTCATAAGGTTCTCTGAATTAACCTACATAACCTAAGCGGTACAATCCATCAAATACATTTTACTACAAGTTTACTTTTTATACATACATATATTGTTACTACAGGCACATAGTTATACAAAAATAGTAGCCATTATTTTCTTTTATATACAGGCGGTTTCACTCAAACCTATACCTAAAAAAAAATCTGGTTTTCATTGATAATTTAAATCTGAAAATTTGCATACGCACATACTTTTTCATGATCCTTCGAAAGAAAATTTACCATGATCGCTTCACTAAACCGGGAGTGGATATGACCTTAATTATTTTTTATAGAAAACTTTGGATTTTCGAAATCTACATCTACGTCGTTTGATACAATATTTCCCTATACCTAGTACCCAGCATCAACGGTTTTCGTTATTCAAGATTTTTCCAATTTTTGCCCTATAAATAGGTATGACTCTGTTGACTTGAATTTTAAAGTCTTCCAGAATGGACAGTAATGACCTGGATTTTTTCAAATAAAACATGCTTTAATTTTTTGCACTATCAAATGTCGAAAAAAATTCTACATCGATCAAATATTAGTTCAAATGTTAGTTCTATATCTTTATTGTTTATTCATTATATGTTATGCTTTCCGTTTTATTTTAGATTTTCTAACATTACGACTGTTATCCATAATTCTCTGGCTTTTTGGGGCAACAATTTGCTTCAGTTTCTCGCATGTCCTGTTGCCATTACTTTCAGAACACTGCTATTGGTACGTTGACAGAATATAATAGAGGTACTAAGAGCAGTCGTTCTTATACCAGCCTGCCATTTCTTGTTTGGTCAATTTTTAGCAATGTGACATTTTTTACAGTTTGGTCCTTTTGTCTGGTTATGCTGTGAACTTATCGCCATGTTGGTTGCCAGGGCTACCGTTACTGTACGTAGGATCTTCAACTTCCTGAAGTAGTTGCATTTAGGTTTTTCGCCCTTGATTGTGATTTTGGAGGTTGTTATCACTCTGGGGAGTCCCACAAGAAGTAACACATGAAGCGCATCTGCCGACATTAAAATGCACACTGTTTTGTGGTATTTCATTATGCTTTGTAATATAGATAATAAGTCGTATTTTTTGGAGTGTTGTCTGGGTAAGTTGACCCTTTATTCGGAGGAAATCCAAAAGTATAGTTTGAGTTTGAGGCATTATGCTTAATTGGTTGTAGCAAGCCTGTGAAATACTGATTAAAGGCATTAGCAACACAAATCGGATCCTTCAGAACAAGGTGCGTGTTGTTAGTTAGAAGTTATATTTTGGAATACTATATTTTATTACAACAAAAAAAACATTAGAAAACTATTACAGTCGGTCAGGAAATTACAGAAATTCTTTGACAATTATGTATGTATATCAAGCATTAATCCGCATGGGTGAGTAAGCGAGCTGATACACGCCTCTTCCGCTAATTAGAATAAGATAGATATAAATAAAAACTTTATAAAATCACATTTCGTTAATAAGACACAAGTACATTTTTATATTCCCATTCCAATTAAAAATCCTCCGACAAATCCTGCCGTAAAGTATGGATTAGTTTGAGAAAATTCTTTCATCTATAACATAATATGCGAATCATTTCGAAGGACCTGTGAAAAATTGCGATCTTACTTACATTAGATGAGAATTTTGTGTTGTGGTATTTTGTATCAATCGCCTTCGTCGTTTCGTGAGCTTTTGTTTTGATTTTTTTCCAATCCATGCTGCCCCACCCTTGACTGTGTGCTACTTGCGCAAGTAGTATACCAGTTCCGGTAACTGCAACCGCAGTTTTCCCAAGCTTCGACATAACACATCCGGTTGTTCTAAAAGGGAATGGGGTAAGTAATAAGCTCCCATGTCATAAACGATTAGATTTACAATCCAGTAACTGTTCCGACACCGAGTTGTGCTAATCCAGAACTTTTACTAATTAAATGTGGTAGTTTGGTCAATAGACCCTTGGCTGCTTGCCCTCTGCACATTTTTGTTTGCTGGTACCTGCAATTAAAAAATTTGTATTACCACTTCAAAGTTATAAAAAAGCATAAACGTCATAATAAAAATGTCATACTGAATTGAGAATTATAAGTTCCTTTGTTAATGGTGGTAAACACGTAGGTTTTTTCAGTAATTCACAAACCCCTCATAAACATTCACACACCAACAAACAGAGACAGAAAAAAACGAAAAGGAAGAAAATATGATTAGATTAGGTGACATTATGCCTTTTACACCACCCTGTACATACTAGGGTGTCATCTGTCAATTGATGAGCATTATTACTTTTGTGCATCTTTTGATAGCAAATATCTACCTAATTATTTGCTTTGTTATCGATTAAAAGTTGTGTTAGTGTGTAATCTATAAAAGTGTTGCAATGAAATATAGTTACCCGTAATTTGCTTTAAAAAAAAGAATCAGTTGTGTAGGTAATTACGCATTTTTCTTTGGCTACGTGTTCTACTGTCAAAATGCCCGAAGAAGCTTCAAAGATTGAACGGTCCCGTTGCTTTTTTGATGTATCAATTGGCGGATTACAATCCGGAAGGATAATATTTGAGTTGTATTCTGATGTAGTACCACGTACATGTGAAAACTTCCGATCCTTATGTACGGGTGAAAAGGGTATTGGAGAAACGACAAATAAACCTTTACATTATACTGTAATGTCACATTCCACTTATTTTTAAGACTAACAATTTCGTTTTAGGATGTAATTTTTCATCGGGTAGTTAAAGACTTTATTATTCAAGGTGGAGATTTTTCAAATGGTAACGGTACAGGCGGTGAAAGTATATATGGCAGTACGTTTGACGGTATTTTGTGTATATTGGTGTTGAACTTATGTTTTTAATGATGTGTTTACAGATGAGAACTTTGAATTTAAACATGAGCAACCTTTTTTACTTTCTATGGCAAATCGAGGGAAAAATACTAATGGTTCTCAGTTTTTCATGTGAGTTGTAAAATAAATATTTATTTGATGATAAAATGAGGCTACTTATACCCAATCAGGGAATTTACCAAAACAAAATTAAACATCACTAATTAGGTACCTTTGATCTTTTTGCAAAATTCCCATTTCTAATGATGGTAGGTATGTATGTATGTAGGGTACTGTATCTCCAAAACTCCACAAATGTGGCATAATTAAAATAATAATGCATAAAAGAATGGAACGCCTTTACCTAGGTCTTGTGCGTATTCTTACCAAAATTTGTGTACTGTTTTAACACTAGGAAAAAAATGTCGCAACGATGCAAACGTTCTGGCCACGAAATTGGGTATCTGTGAATCTTCAAATATAATTATAACAAATTTATAATTAAATATTGAAAATTTCAAAAAACAGGAACATTTGGAAGGGCACACGGAAATCTTTCCATGTGTTTGTTACCCATAGAAATGACAAGCAAAAATCGGATACAACTGAATACCATCATCCACCATTTTTACAACTGTAGGTGAAAAACAATATGGCGACCAGACGTGTCTAAACAAAGTTATTGTGCACACGGACAGACAGACAGATAGCGATATACAATTATAAACATTTAGAGGATCGTTAATAAAGAAATATAAATCCAGGACATCTCTATTTTAGCAAAAAATATTAATTATCTCTTCATCCAATACTATTTTAATCTAAACGGTACATTGCTTAAGATCTCAAAAAATAATTAAGCCCTAGGTGTGTTGACATAAATGTGTTGCAGAACGTTGACTTTTATTGTTCTGTAGCACGGAGTCTGTCCTGGTTTTCCTGGTCTTCGCTGACTGATCATATCTTGTCATATTTTGTGTTATAGTACAACTCAACCGGCCCCGCATCTGGACAAGTAAGTATTATACGTCCATTAGGACTTCCGTCTGAATAACGTGTATTTCTTGTCGTCAGTGTGCACGTGGTATTTGGACGTGTGGTAGGAGGAGTGGATGTGGTTCGACAGATTGAAGCATTACCTGTAGATTCCAACAGTCGACCTTTGCAGGATGCAAAAATTACTAGGTGTGGGGAGTTGGTTCGGCAAGTAAAAGGTAAATATATCGTGATTCTAACGTGGCGATACTAATTGCTCTCTAAATGTAGCAAAAAAAGAGAAAAAGAAAAGAAAAGGTAGTGAAGAGGATGAGGATGCCAAAGAAGAGTCAGATGTGGAAAAGAAAAAGAAAAAAGGAAAGAAAGATAAGAAAAAAGAAAAAAAACATAAGAAAAGGTAAAATCTCATTACTGTATTGTAGTCTGGAATATAACAGTTTTGGTATAGTAAGAACGGTGTATCCGAAGAAGAGGGAGAGTTAAAAGAAGATGAGGTTCATCCCTTGGTAACGGTTACTAATATAAACCCAGAAGAAATTCCTGATATACCAGTAAATAAATTTCTGATGCGTGGAGGTTCACAAAAAGAGAAACAAAGAGATGTAAAACGTAGAGGTATGTACCGCTACTACTCTAATGTGATCAATTATTAGTATAGTGTACAGGGTGTCCCATTAATAATGGTCACAGGTCATATCTATGGAACCGTTAATTGCACAGCTTCGGGGAAACAATTTTGTTAACAAAAGGGGCCAAGAGAAATCGCTGGAAATTATTTTCAAGTTTGTAACTTCGCCGCTAGAGGGCGTACGATTCATGGTTAAGTAGGCAAATGACTTTTTCCTTAAATACACCCAACAAATATGCATAAAAAATACTTGCATAGTAATCTTGTATCAATTTTGCATCATTTTGATGGAGCGCAAATTGCTCTAGGTCATAAAATATGAGGAGCGGGGGAAGGGGAACATCATTCACATAATAGGTCTTGTTGGAAAGAGCTCTCTTCGTGGAATCAGATTTTACATGAAGAGAGTCTATTTAGTAAACGCAAGTTTTTTTAAAAATTTCAAATGGAACGATATAATTATTATATTATATTATCAAATAAGATGAAAAAGTAAGAATGTCAGTGAAAACCGCATTTTGATATCTGTTTTCTAAGCAGAGATATGGGGAAAATACGATTTTAATTGCAATATTTATATTCATCCAAGTTGGATTTGAAACAAATGAACACATAGCAACCGATAATTATGTCAAAGTGAATGAGGCGATGGCAGTTCAAAATTAACACTCAATCTAAGTTTTTTAATTATGAGCAACAAAAAAATGATTCATACTTTAAATCAGAGAAATATGAATTAAGTAAATAATAAAAGAAATAATAATTATAATTAACGTAAATGTTCAATGTCTGCCATTATTTTCGACACAAAGACGAGTCTCTGCTGTGTAGAGAGAACAGCTGCTTTAACTTCAGCCGTGACTATGAATTACATTTCTAATTCTCGTCACCATATCGTTTCTTGTAGTTGGCCTTGTTAGAAAGACTGTGCGTCTTTTATCCCTTCAAACAAATTTAAGTCTAAGCAAGTTAAGTCGAGTGACCTAGCTGGTCATGAAAAAATACTTCCTCTTTCTATCCATTTGCCAGGATAACTCAAATTCAAACACTCTCGCCTCGACTCTCGCTTACCAAGAAATGTGCCGGGCACCCATCGTGGTGATAGTTCGCACGAATACGTTTAATGAAAGGACTGATAAACTTTCTTTTGTTCTGTTTTCTTTTGTTTCAAAGCCAACTTGAATGAGCATCAATATTGCAATTAAAATTTTTGAATATATTCGTATTTTCGCCAGATCTATGGTTAGAAAACAGATATCAAAATCCGGTTTTCACTGATATTCTCACTATTTCACCTTATTTGATAATATCATATAATAATAATATCATTCCAATTACCAAAAAAACCTGCAAAGTTTATGTTAATGTCACATCGCGCCCTCTACCACTCATCACATTTACTAAAAAGACTCTGTTTAATAAAATCTGATTCCGCGAAGAGAGCTCCTTCCAACAAGACCTATTTTGTGAAAATCTGTTAACCTAATCCGAAGTTACAATCAATTCCTTAAAGAGATGTTCCCCTTCCCCACTCCTCATATTTTATGAGCTAGAGCAATTTGTGCTCCATCAAAATGATGCAAAATTGATACAAGATTACTATGCATGTATTTTTTATGCATGTTTGTTGGGTATATTTTAGGAAAAAAGTCATTTTTCTACCTAACTTAAAGTCACTAAATATAGAAAGTACCGCAATCCATTGGGCTCGTGTGTTACAGAGAGAACGCATGATTTTTGCCCAAAAATGGCGGAAGTTACCAGATTCTAGTAACTTTAATGTTATGGATTGTTCCACCTGTTTGGAGATATCTGTATATATTTTTATAAAACATGACAGTACTATGAAGTAAGGTTATAAAAAATGACAGCTATTCAGATTTTAATTGTCAATTTTTTTAAGTTGGCAGCAAATTTGCCCAAAAATGGCGGATGATTGTGGTACTTTCTATATCTAGTGACTTTAACCTAATTCCATACGCCCTCTAGCGGCGAAGTTAGAAACTTGAAAATAATTTCCAGCGATTTCTCTTGGCCCCTTTTGTTACAAATTTTTTTTTCCGAAGCTGTGCAATTAACGGTTCCATAGATATAGCCTGTGGCCATTATTAATGGGACACCCTGTACAAGGTGTCATGGTAACAGATAGCGCTTAGTGTAAATAATCAACTGCTACGGAAGGCTTATTTTGTTCCTGAAATTTCATGATTACAGACACAACCCTAAGTCGTGACATCACTAAAATGCACGAAGTAATAAGTGGAAATGGTTGTTTTGTCCGACTTTGTTTGTTGTGAGTTGCGCATATTCACATTGTGCACTTTGAACAGATACAAAAAAATAAAAAACACTTTCTCATTGCCACTTTTGTGCTCTGCAAGGCAGCGATACCTTTCGTTTCAGAGAAATCGTCATCTTTATTTTGTTATATGGTTTATAAAAAAAGTATATACTGTACGGAGTAGCATTTTTTATTACAAATACGATGTACCGCACACACAGAAAAAACAAAAGTTGGAAACTGTTGGTTTCAACAGAATGGTGCACCTCCTCACATCGCCCTAACACCTATTGGACATATTTTCAATTATTTGTTGGAATCGCAGCGTGTAGTAAAAAAAATTTAATATTGTACTGTACTTAACCACCAGGTTCCCATTAGCTATTGGAACATTTTTATTGCTTCGTCTTATTCCCAATGATTTAACACTTTTCGTTATAGAAACAGCTGAGCTGTTCGTTGCTTATATTGTCTGCATTGTTTGTAAGTGCTTTTTAATTCTTTATGTATCTTAGATGATCGAAGGGACAGGGATCGAATAACTAGGGATCGTAGAGACTGGGATCGGAGAGGCTATCGTCGTGAGAGACATCCAGCAACTACTAAAAGCGGACGAGTAATTAAAGGAAGAGGCGTTTTTGTGAGTAGTAAAATATAATCTCGAGTTTTTTGCAAATTTTAAAATTCGTTCGTATTTATCGACGCAGAGATATCGCACACCTTCTAGAAGTAGATCACGCAGTGCAACGCCGGTTCATTGGAAAAAGGAGGAATCGAGAGTTATTAAACTTTCACAGTACGAAAAGGCGGAGGCCGAGCGTAAACAGAAAGAAGATGATAGGAAATGGAACGAAGATCGCCGTTCTGAAAAAAACAAGGATAAAGAAGAAAAGTTGGATAACAGCAATAGTCATACTAACACAGAAGTTGATTATAATGCGTTAGATTACGAACAAGAAAACCACTCCGATGATGAACGAGTATTGCCAAAGAAACAAGCAAGTCTAACTTCATTATTATACCGTACATATCTTGAACAATTTTCTTTTCAGGTGCCTAGTTTGATACAATATCCCTTACCTGGCAGCTTTAAAGCATCTGAAAATTCTGAAGACGTAATGAAGATTCGAAACAATGATTCGGAAATGAAAACTGTCGAAGATAACGAAATACAAAGTTTAGTTCAAAATAAACGTTCGGAAGTTCTAGCTATAGCGTTAGGGGTTCCAATTAAGACGGGAGAGGATCCACCAACTGGTGAAATTAAAATCAGTGGCTACGAAAAGAAGAACTTAAAAAAAGATGAGCCAAATGATAACATCATCCCCAATAATGATAGAGAAAGAATTCAAAAGCGAGAAGAGGAACTAAATTCAAGATTAATGCAAATGGCAGGTCACCTTCAAAAACCGCCATCGCCATCGCGATCAGAAATTAATCATCAACATTCGGTTAAAGAAGAGAAGGAGAATCGAGACGATAACAAACGCAATGTAAGAAACAAGTTTGAAATAGAGAAACCTGGCAGATCTCCATATCAAAGGTCATATAACGCTTCAGTAAGTTTAATCTAATCGTTCTCACTTAATAGTCGACTGTTGCTAGAAATATTTTAAGCAGACCGTTTTGTTCCCAGAATCGTCGCTACAGAAATGATCGATTCCGAGGCTCGGACAGAAGAAGATTTGATTTTGATCGTCGTTATAACGATTATCCTAAATCGTTTGAAGATCGTGCACGAAGACGTCGAGATTTAGATCGAAACGATCGTTACAAGAAAAGCAGATCGTCAAGAAGATCAAGATCACGTGATAATCGTCGTTCACGTTCGCGTGATCGGCGTTCCTCGCGCCCCTCGCCTACTTCGGATAGAAGGAATCGTAAATCTTCCAATTCGGATAGTGATGCCGACGCGAAAAAAGCCAAAGATTCCGTTATCGAAGAGGCGGGATCCCAGACGAAACGACCTGAACTGGACGCCGAAAAATTTAAAAGGAGAGCCGAACAAATTTTGCTTTTGAAAAAGAAAATGGAGTTGGAGCTGCTAGAAATGAAAAAGAAAAAAGAGGACGAAGATAAGGACAAAGAGAAGGTAATGAATTATTGTTTAATGCGAGTAGAATTAATGTCGCGTATTTTGTCTTGCAGATGTTGATAGAAGAAAAACAACGCAAGGCTAAAGAGGAAGCACAAATGCTGGAAAAAGCTAAGAAAGCTAAACGAGACGCATTAGAGAAAGAGAAGTTGCTAAAAACTGTAAAGGTATTACAAGAGTTAGACAAGAAACCCAAAAAAAGTCGCGCTCCCAGCTCCAGTAGTGACAGTAGCTCTTCGAGTGACAGCAGTTCATCCGATTCATCCCCAAGGTAAGTTTACATTTCTACAACTCGAAGAAGAAATGAATACTTTCAGAAAATCTAAAAATATACATGTGAAACGTAAAACAAAGCGTAGATCTAGTTCAAGCAGCAGCAGTTCTAGTAGTGGAAAATCGCGTAGTCATACACCACCCAAAAAAGGACAAAAAGGAAGAAACTAAAGGAATGCATTTTTTTGTGTAGTAATAAATTAAAATGGCTAATTTTGTTTAATAAAAGACCTATTATGATTTAAATTTCCACAGCCTCATTTTATTTTGTGGTCGTTTATATGAAAACAAGTATGGATTTTTTTGCGTTTATAAACCGAACTAAAAATCGACCAATCAAAATAATTTTTCAAACTGAACTTGATGCAAAAAACTTATTAAAAAAATAAACCAAAGATTCTCGCTCGAAATAGGGACATTCGTATTTCTTCAGATCAGACCCCGGCCCAACGCAAGTACCTTAATGATTTGAGAGCTACACTTTTGGAAAGGCAGCAAAATGAAGAAAAGGACCTTACCATCAAATACGTCTTAGGAGTGCCGAAAATTGTAAGTATCAAGAACTCAAAAAACTAAATGTCAGAAATTGAAAATTATAGACCAGTGTCCATTCTTTGTAATTTCTCGAAAGTTTTTGAAATTGTGTCGTATGAAAAATTGTTTAAGCAATTTAAATTGCAAATATCTGAACATCAGCATGGTTTTGTTCCGCATAGATTGACCGTCACTAATCTTGCCTGCTTTACCCAATATTGTTCGGAAATTATGGACGAACAAGGACAAGTCGACGTAATATATACGGATTTTCAAAAAGCGTTTGATCAAATAGATCATTATATTATTCTCAATAAATTAATGGAATATGGATTTTCGCCCTGGTTTTGCAATCGAAGACATGTAGTTCTCGATGGATGAGAAACGTTAGCATTGAATTCAGACAACACAAATTGAAAAGGGAAATGCTTTGTAACCAAAACAGGAGGACACCGTGGAGAACTCGCAGAAAACCCATTCTAATGCAATTCAAACTTCTCAAGGTTAAAATCGGAACGATTACATGATTGCAGCAGCTGGCGATGGTGCGAAGCTATTCTTTAAAGAATTGATCCTAGAGTTTATTTGATAGAACTACGGTTATAGAAACGGTAGTGAAATTGGCAGCGAAATAAGGCAAAAGTGTTACGCAGTTTGCAATCACGAAAAAATGTGTTGTTTGTGCGATCTTCGCGTGAAAATTGTTGTAAAACGGTTCAGTTTAATGCACCTGTTATTGAAATTGTTCTTCCAAGGGCTTTAAATAAACTCCTATCCATAAGAAGTTACGAATTGCAAAAATAAATGTTTTCTGTTCATTGAGCATGATTTGTTGCCTACAAACCAGGCTACCCAAATATCGGGTTGCCCATATTCAAATTAGAGATTTGCTTGAATCTCCCCAATCTGCCGTTTTTATTGAGGGTAAGGAGGGCCTCCACGAACGAATGGCCCAGGGCCCCGAAAAACTTAAAAACGGCACTGCATTTAAGGAATAATAAGTGCAACGTTGCTATTAATCGCATAAATTCAAATAAAATTTTAAAAGAAGGTGCGTACGTGGCGACATCTCAACTAGACTTCCAAAACTATAATTGATGGAAAGTGTATCGATTGCCATGGAGATGGCCCACTACACCTTTTCCACTTTTATTCGAGAAGTTGTAAATTGTATTTGAGAATTGTTACTTGTATTTGAGAAAACGTCAAAGTAGATGAGAATAGTCAGTTGGATTTGAGAAAGTATCATTTAATTTTATTGTATTTTAGAATGTAATATTATTCCTAATGAATTATAATTAAGAATCAAATTTTTATAATTCCGCTACTGTATGTAGTTCCGCAACAGTAGCAGCAGCAGCATCAGGCTATGTTATACATGTGATTTTGTTATTGATTCTCAAATGCTTAATTTTACCATTTCTTGAATACAATTTACTACTCTCAAATTCATTTGATGCCTTCTCAAATACAAATCATTATTCTGAACTACATTTGTTGTTTTCTCAAATACATTTTACTATTCTCAAATACAATTGATACTTTCTCAAATTAACTTGATAGTTTCTCGAATAAAAGTGGAAAAGGTGTAGTACTTACTGTATTTAATCTGTCTATTCAAAAACCGGGCCTTTAAACTACAATTGCTCTACAGATCTTCCAAGACTCGACTCCGTACATTTTGAACTGCCATTTATTCAGACTTCTCAATCAAAAGTTATGGACTAGAAACCAATTTCGAAACAAAATTCAAAGGGCTGTAACTTTTGAACTAGTAGCCCAATCTTGGAACTGTTTGAAATTATGGATTCTACAGGCCACATTCTATAAGAAAATTTGTTTCTGGGTCGATCTGAGACAATTTTTTTTTCGAGGCTCAAAAAAAGGCAGTGTATAACCTTCCTTTTTTGCCAAAAATCGACTGCACCAAAATTTCTCGGGAAAACACTTTTTCTTATTAATTTTGGTGCGTAGAATCCAAAACAATTCGTACTTTTTCGATCAGACTTCTCAATCAAAAGTTATGGACTAGATTTAATAATTTAATTTCGAATGCAAGTGATATTTTTTTTATGAAACTTAAATCTATTATTCAGTTAATTCCAAATTAGAGGTCATATAAGTATTTTTTATATTGTAAATCACAGGTTATGATATCTACTTACTTTATATGTGTTCATTTTGATTTCAATTATTTAAGTATTTTTTTTATAAATTATGATATTAAGTTATCACTCTCTACTTGAATTTAATTTAATTTAATTTTGTCGTGTTATTGGATTTATTCTGTTTGGGCAATAAAGTGTTATTATTATTATAAAGAATTTCTGGGAGATACTTCTGCTTTGCTTTGTGTTTGATGAAGACATAACTTACCACTTGCTTGTTGTGCAATTTCAAATTGTTCATGCTCCACCTTCCTTGTCACATTTTTATGAGTCGACAGCTTTTCTACTCTAATTGATAAGCAACAGATTTTCATTACCAAACAACCCAAATTTACTCGGTAAAATACAAACCTCTTGTGTCACAAATGAAACACAACAAAGTAAGTGGTTCTAGTATTTTGTTATAGTTAAGTTGATTTGGGCGGTAAAGTTTTGATTTTGAGTTGCGCAGTTCTTTTGGACTATTTATTTGTTTATTGTCCCTCTTTGTTATGGGCCTTCAACAGGCTTGCTCCCAATTACAGAGTCACAAACTTACTACGTATTATGTTTATAAATTCAATGCCATTACCTTTGTTTACTACAAATAAACAGAGCTATTACGCACTTAGGATATCACTTTTATTCACATTCAACAAGTTTTAAATAAATTTAACAGAAACACAGCTTTTTTTTAAAAATGATTCATTTAAATGCAATCAGGAATTGAAACAGGAAAAAAGTATAAACGAAACAAGTATTTTAAAATTGGATACTCAGCTTCCAACCACCGTAAAACGTGAACTCTATTGTAGTCTCCTACCATTGGTAACTTTATTTATTTTACCTTTTATTAAAACTACGTAACATATTTGTGCGACCTAAAAAAGTGTTTTTACCTACTTATTTTACTACAAATTTACTTAGTAGTGCTCTCCCATCAGTAAAACAACAAGCGCGGACCATCCCGTAAATGGTCGACAACCACTACCTTCGCCCGTCGTATCACTATATTGCTCCCAAATATAACCCGAAGAATAGTATTGCCTAATAACATTTTTAATAATATTATTACGTAATTGTCCATAAATTTCGGTGGCCTGTGACTGATAAGGTCCTTCCGTAACCGAATAATGGTGTAAAGCTATTGCTGCGAGAAAGTTAATATTAATCCACAATGGACCTCTCCAATATGGAGGATCATGCTCGGTGTTCCTTTTCATATAAAGTGGTGATGTTTTGGAAAGTGACCGCAATCCAAAATCGGTCCACAGTAAACTGGGATTACGAATATCAATCAATGTCTTATTTAGCTTGGGAGAATCGGGATTTAACAGTTTTAATAGGAATGGAAATAAACTAACGTAACCAAAGCTGGAATCCACTAGACGGTATTCCGGATTTTTAAGAGTCACTCGAACCATCTCTAAGTTTTGTGGAGTTTGAGAGCGGGGTGTTATTTTCGGCCTTCTGAGTGCTACAGAGTCGGTATGGTAACCGTAGTCTGCATAGATTTGCGCGTAATCTGACCAATGGAGTTTATCCATAAGCTGATTGTCGGATAAATAAGAATATGTTTCGTGATACTTGTAACTGGTTTTTCCTAATAAATCGGCAAGATTTGCAAGAGTGTCTGCGGCTAGTGCAATCCAGCACCTTATATCAATATGTCGTTCCTTTTCTGTGGGATGTGATGCTCTAGGATAATCATCTAATCCAGAAGTTAGGGTTTTCGGGTTTAATTCGCGGTTTGTTAAATGATCACGTCCTTGCCATCTGTATGTGCCAAAATCCAATCCTTTTTGAGTCGTATTGAACCAAGTAAACCAAGCCTGAAATAAAATATGTCACCTTTACTCCATCAGAATTAATAATGGAAAGAATGCTTAATACAACAAATAAATACCTGCAGTCTAGGATAAAGTCGTTCCAGAATAGCAAACCGACTGCTTGTCAGTTCGTCTTTATAATTACGTAAAATATAATTGAGCGTAATAAAAAAGGTCGGTGGATTAGCATTAGTATTTCTTTGCGTAACAAACTCTTCCGGCACTTTAGCCAAAGCTTCGACCCCTATTACACAAAAAACGATATATGGCAAAGACATCGTAAATTAGTGTTACCCAAGATTTGCTCACGAGGTATCCATCCTTCTACGTTCATTAAATCGAACCAATGGCAAATAATGTCTAATTCAATATCAAGATCCCAAGCTGCTATGAGAATGCCATGAAAACCTTCGTCCCAAAGAAATCCTCTGGGAAAGAAGCTCCTGGAATAGGAAAATGGAGTTTGCGTTTCAGGAAACGATATTTACCTAGATGGCACTCCACTGTATAATGCAGCTTTCCAATAAGGTACTGGTTCTTTGGTGTAAACACTTTGTACACGCGATGTTCCATAAAAGTACCCGATTCCACCTACCATATTACTTAGAGCGGTTTGTGCAAAATATATTTCCTTCGCTTGGTACCTATAATTGTATGTTCAGAATTATATTCTAACTATAATATACAGGATATTAGCATTATTACCCTTTTCTTTTTAAATGAAATGTATCTTCAAATCTCTGATCAAATCTAGTCTGATGCCACGATAACGTCTCGGTATAAGTCTGCCCAACTAAGGTATTCTGTCTAGTGCCAAAACTTCCCGATTCAAATGTAACATCTAAAGCAAATGGAATTTTACCGGTCACTTGAGTGGCAATAAAATTAGGGGGAACCTGCAATTACCAGTTGTAGAAAGTATAAATTTGTAGCCCTACCTATTTACCTTCGTTCCACCAGTTGCTGGTAGAAGTTCGCCAGCTAGTACTACGCGCTTAGAGGCATTGGGTTTATCTTGAGCTAACCTCAAGGATGATATAACAGTTTCTTTAAGTAAGTGCAAACCCGGGGCTACAGTACTTAAGTACGATTCATGGCTAACTGTACCTGTGAAACGATAATTGTAAGGTTTCCCATATTAAAATAAGCTATACCGGTGAAATTGAATAGTTTAATGGTAAATTCTCCTAAGCCTGGTGTGTCACCTCTCACACCAGTTAGTGAACTTCCTGTGTTACTAGTTTCGATATTCCCTTTAGAGTTTTCGTCTAAAGCGGTATACCATATTAGGGAAACTTCTTCACCTTTGGAAATTTGGTTCTTATTCTGAAAAGAGCTCATTTGATTAACTCTGTGTTCAAAATAAGGATGTCTATTATCAAAGAAAATCATAAAATTCTAATTACCGAAGATACGGCGGGAAAATTTTTTTAAAAAAAAAGATTGATTTGCAGATAAAAATTATTGACTGTTTAGGGACTTTCATTGGCAGCGAGTAGTTTCTGCAATAATAAATGCCATATATGCAAAGTGGTTGTTAAGTTAAAAACACACGTCACATCATCTAATCAGAAGTAAAAAATATGACACTGAACAATATCAAATTTAGCTTGATACCTTAACATCAACTTCAATTCGCACAGTCCAATCTCCACCATGATTTCCTCCTAAACGTTTAACAAATGAGGTTCTTAGTAAAAATGGGCCATCTTGTATCTCTTGTACACCAAAGTTACTTCCATCGTGCTGTAACCATGCATACTTTTCAAGACCGTCTCCTTGTTCACACCAATGCCTTAAAAAATATTAGCAATTGTACTTGGATATTTATCCTAAATGTGCGGTTTACTATTTTTGAGCAATTAACAGGAACAGGAAGGAAGAGTTCTATGTTAGTGCTAGTTCTTGTGAATGAAAAAGAAAAAAAAGGCTCGAATATGTCAAATCTGGATTAATCATTTTCTATTTTATACTTCATCCCCTTAGATGCGGAGATCATTGCTTTAAAAAATTCAATGACACATGAGGTTGTGTGATATGTCATTTGAAAGATTATTCAATTCTCTAACCAGATACTTATAACTTTTCTGGACATCTGTAGTTAACCCTCATTTATAAAATTGTGCAATTCTAATTAATTTCGGAACAGTTTCAACCTCAATTTTTAGTATGATCCTGCGTAATTTGATTGGTACAAAAAAAAACAAAAAAAAGAATAGACTTTACCAATTGTGTTTGCATTCATCAGGGAAAACTATATAAGTATGTATTTTTTAGCTTCACGTTTAAATGTAATTTAATCTTCATAATCGTTAGGGGATGTGTAGTAGGTGGTGTACGATGTGTTGCCTAGCATTCAGTAATACACTTGTATAATAGTGGTACAGTAGACACAGTCAAAACAAAAAACAGATGCTTGTCGCGCACATACATAGGTTATGTTCACTAAAGTAGAAAAAAAATGGAAAAAATACTATTACAAGAAAAGACAAGTAAATATCAATTGGCCTTACATACTCAGTTACAAACCAATGAAAGACAACAGGACCAACTAAGGTTAAATATAAAGAAGGTCGAAGATTTAATAGAAAAACTTGAATCTATTTCTGAACAACCGGAATGGCCAAATTCATTTATTCCAATTAATCCGTTAGCTTACATATCGGCAACCATTGTTCATACGTCTGAACACTATGTTAAGTTAGGATCAGATACTTACATTTACATGTGCTTAAAAGAAACATTACGATACCTACAAAGGAAACTTGAATATGAAAAAGAAACGCTATCTGAATACGAGTCACAGGCTAATCAAATAAAGGAGAGATTTAACGTTATAGCTGACCATGCAGTTTCTGCCGAAACGGCGCACATGCCCAATGAAATTGTTTCCTCTCTGGGAACAGCTTATAAAACAAGTTCCGGTCTATACGAAATAATTGAAGCATATACTGAAGATTGAAGCATACGAGAATGGGAGAAGGTAGCAAGCAAGATTACCTAATACCATCACCACCTGGTCTCAATCGTTTCGGGAAATACCACATCAAGCCAGTGACCAAAGAATACGGATCTCTTGTTTTTAAACCAAAATACACACCAGGCCTGTAGGTACCCCAAAATCGCTCTGGAATATCTAGGCCACTTTTTACCACCATCTGTTAAAGTGATGTTAATAAATATGGAATCGAATAAAGTACTTACTTTTTTATCATCGTACGGCGTATTTACTCTGGTTTCCAGATATCCCATGTAGCCAACGCTTGCCGCAATTCCAAAACAAATGCATCCAATGAAATGCTTCCAGTAAGTTAATATACCATTCCTTTTTTGAGCGACTTTTGGTGGATTGCTACCATTGCTGCTACTACTGTTTGTGCATTTATCTTTGCCGTTATTCTTGCATTCGCTACCTGCGATAACTTGACTTCTTCGTTGTCTAGCCATATCAACAATGCTTTTGTCTTATTTTAGATTAGTTAAACGTTAATTAAAAATACGTCCACATTCTAAAAGGTAAACGTGGTACTCGAATATTAAATATCGTTTTAACATCGTTGCCTACTATAGATCATGCACATCAAAACAGAGATCAGCTGACTTTTGAAATCCCAGTGCGTGGCGCAGCCTATTGAGATATCGGTGAACTATTTTTTAATGCAAGTTTTCTGTGGCAAATAGGTTAAGTTACAAAAAACATGGATTTAGATATGAATAATAAAAATTTAAAAGACGAATTTGAAAATTTAAATAAGGACGATCCCGATTTTTCTAAAAAATGTTCGAAATTAATTAAAGGTGTCCTCGACATCTTAAATTTGCAAACAATAACATCTTGTACTTTTAGACATAAATGAGGGCTTATGTACTATTCTACAACTTACAGAGCAGTTGAAAGGGCTTTTGGTAGATCCTGTACCAGTAAATCGAGAGATTGGTGTACATGTTTTAACAATGGTTCTAGAAGAAATTTCTCACGAACGAATTAGCGTTGCGCAAATAAACGTTATGTGCGATTTTTACGCTGATAAATTAAAAGATCACCATCAAGTATGTAGCGTATGGTCCAGTATAAATGATCATATGCAATATAATTTTAGATTATACCCGCAACGTTAAGGGGCATTTTAGCATTGTTAAGCTTTAACAATGTACCGGACGGACAACTGAGAAAACTTTTAGATTCGTTATTTAAAAATGTCCCATGTCAGCAACAGCAGCAACATGATAGGTTGAACATTTATAAAATTTTGAAGAAATCATTGGAAAATAGTGCAGCGGGTAACATATACCTATACCACGAGGGGTAAACCACTTTTACAGTTGATATACAACATGAGTTAATGTTGTGCAAAGCTTACGTTCATACTTTCGTACAATGTTTCTTACATTCTCTAAACAGGGCAACAGTTGTTGACTAAAACATTTCCAATCTCTATAAAAGTTCACAGTCAGCACACAAATTTTTTAGCAGAATTCTGGCACACAACTGCCTTAGTTCAGTCCACAGATAGATCGGTACTTCTACCTACTAACATGTGAACTCTAAACGCATTGATTTCTAACTGTCCGTGTATCTGTGAGTGAGATGTGCTTGTTGCACCCACAGAGCAGTTTTTGGTTTATTTAACTGGTTTGTTTAGTATTATGTATTGCGCTGCATGTTGATAAATTGATAAATTTATTTAAATAAAACAAAAAAGTTGCTTGCCTTCATGCAAGTAGCAGAGGTATTTATACACCAAGATACCTCGATTATTATATATGTACTAACCTACTTAATAAATTATAATAATAGTATATGAGAAGAGAAAAATAAAATAAACAATAATGTAATACAGTATGGATCATAAAGTGTACAACGCACCTTAAAGTGGTTTTCCTCTCGGTATAAAAACTATTTTGTCAATTACTATTTTTATAGAATTACTGGAAATGGATATGGATTTTGTCTACGGGGTTATGTCGGCAGTGGACGGGGAGCGTGATCCTCGTAATTTATTATTCTTATTTCATTGGTTACCGATATTTTTAAGGCAGTGTAACTTAGGACATTTAAGAGAAGAGATGTTTGAAGTTTTAGCGTGCTATTTTCCTATAGATTTTCGTACTCCACCTCAAGATTCAAATGTTAGTGGTAGATATTGAAGTGACGTTGTAACTGACCTGTTTTATTTAGAGCATAAGTAGATCTACATTGGCTTCCTCGTTATCCGACTGTTTATGTGCAACACCCGACTTTGCCGAATACTGTTTGCCATTAGCTTTGGAAAAGCTATCGTCTTCTCTACACATTGCTAAATTTGATTCTTTGGACATACTTGTAGGTATAGGCCTGAGATGGGTAATATTGCAGTTAGCTAATGGAAGTTTTGTAGGCGAAAGGTTGTGACATCTTTGCAGTGTCTTTTTACATTCAACATTCAACGGACATTTGGTCGCAAATACAACGTGAAGTATTAAACAACAATGACGAGGAATTAGAAAAAATGGCACTACAAACTTTGGTTACAGTTATGAGAAAATTATCGGATAATCCCGATAGTATCTACAAACCAATTTTATCAGACATTGTAGATACTCTTAAAGGAAACCTTCTACCAAATATGAAGTTATTTGTACCTTCGTGTAAAATGCTGCATCATCTGTGCAAGTCTTCAAAAACAGCTGCATCTTTTGTTATTGGCGAAATTGTTCCTATTATGATTAACACATTTCATATAACATCAACGGCAACACATCAAGTTTTACTTCTAAAAAAATTGATCTGCTTTGTCTGGATCTACACAGAAGTGTATCAAAAGTTTGAAGTAACAGAAAACCAGCACTTATCGGCTGTGCTATATTTATGTCTAAAAGCATGCTTGCATAATGACGATGAATTAAGGGTTGCCGGATTTTATTGCATTTCTACCATAATTAAATCATTACCTGACGACATCAGAAAATGTTTCTATGAAAATATTCGCCCGTTATTAATTCAGGAACAGCCCAATCATCTCAGGTTTGCCTTATGGGAATCATTCAAGGGTTTAGCAGAAATGCACCCGAGCGAAATACAAAACTGTGTTCTGGACCAAATTCAAATTAAGAATAATGACGAGCTTTACTGGTATTTACAATCGCTCTCCACAATTATTCCAATAGAGACATTTACGCAAGACACACTAGGAACATATTTTAAATATTGCCAGTCCGATTTTGAGACGTCATTAGTCGCAATTCATTGTTTAAGACAAACGTTGGAACAATACTCTGATGTTGCTCGAATACAATATTATGTTGAAGAATTGCAAATAGTTTGCATTTTAGTGGATTTAATCTTACGTCATGTAGATATTATTGATATTTGTAATATTATTCATAAGCGATTATTATGTGATATATCAACAATTTCCAAATTAATTGTGCGTCATCAAAGTTGTAAAGCACAGATCCTTTACATTACAAAATGTGAGGAAGTTATTTCTGTGTACAGGAATTGTCAGAGTGTTGGCTTAGTGATAATTATTGACGGATTGATTTCTTGCTTACACAAGGATATTAAACTTCCTTCGAACATCGTTCCAGATTTACTTAGTGTAGCTTTAGGGAGTGACCATGATTTTATCGTAACAATTGCCAATCAACTACTAGCGAACCTTTTAAATAAGAATCTAGATGGTAAGTAAAGATTTGACCTTTACGTGAATTCAGTGAATATTTTAGACGAGAAATTGGAAAATGATCTGCAATTTATCGAAAATTATTTATGCAAAAATTGGAATGCAAACCGATTGGATAGATCTGTCACTGTATTATCATGGACTACAAAAGCGCTATTGATGCGAAACCATAGCAAAGGTGCTAAGTGGACAGAAAAGGTATCTTGAAATTCATTTCGTGATTATTGTTTGAATTTACAACATTTGTTTATTAATTTCAGTTGATCGAACTGTTAGACACCCATAAAGAGGCAGCCAAAGGTTTTGAAATAATAATGAAGGATAAATGTCCCAGCCTGAGCGAAGAAAGTTCGTGTAATGTAAAGTAACTATCACTTTCTGATACATAATTCTTCAATATCCACAGTGTAGCTCTCGCCTTTCTTACAAGATAGAAAGTTGGTGAAGTGCGACCAAGTTGCAAATTTTTGTGTTGAATAATAATCTGAACAGAAATTTAAAACATTGTTTCCATGATAAACTAATCATACTAGAATTTATAACCCAAACATTATTCAGGCCGTTTTTCATGGAGAATTTGAATATGGCGGCCCAAGATTTTCTTATGGACGCCATTGGTATCGGCTGCCTTAGTTACCATGGATACAATAAACAAAACACTATAAATTCGACATGGCGTCTAGTCTTTAAAAACAGTAAAAATAAGCTTGTAATCTATGAATAAGTTAATAACATTTTATAGTCAGGGGCGGATTTAGGCAGGGGCTTTAAGGGCTGCAGGCCTGGGCCCCCGCGTCAGCCGACCACGCGGTAATATGATGTTCCGTGCAATCCGCGGTCCAAAAGAAAAACAAGATACGAAGCATCGTATACGTTTTCAGTATAGGAATTGTTTGATACTTGGCTCGCATTCGGAAACGCGCCTTTAATGCGACTCATATTCAAAAGCACTGATCCTTGAACTCGTAGGAGAATGTAGAAGGTTTGCGCTGTTTCTTTTGATGCTCGAGTTAGACGAGGAACAGACGGACGGACAAAACAATCACATAAAGGAAATTTCTTTCAAAAAATTCCTTTAGAACAGAGAGAAAACTTCATGGAATGACAGTGCAGGCGATATTGTACGCTATCCACCCCAAGGTACGAGTAATTGGAGCGTGAATCAGACGAGATTCTACCTTTAAATGTTCAATATTTTCCCCAGCCGACATTCGTTATCTCATTTGTTGAACTTAAAAATTTACTTGCATTATAATTAATGCTGAATAGAACACCGCTGACGTTTTATTATTTAACAAACTTGGGCGCCATATTTTTTTGTATTTCATTTATTTTTTTATTCTCTGTTTTCTTTTTGTTTTTTTATTTTTATTTTATTGTTTTCTTTTGTTTCGTTTCTATCTTATAATTTTTAATTTATTTGATTTATTATTTGTGTATCTTTATAATTTATAATTAAAAATATAATTGTTGCAATTAGTACCACTGGAAACTTGTTTTGTAATAAAAATGGTTAAAAAAATCAGAGGTTTTTCGCCTGTCGCTGTGTAGTGTGTACAGATCGAGCTTCACTGTTTCTGTGTAATCTGTGCTTTTTGAAATTTGAACCCTACTGTATTTCAATATTTTTCATTGTATTTATACTTAGTGCGTTTGCCCTAGACCTGTAATTTTAATAATAATTTCCCGAAAAAATAATAAAATTGAAATGAAGATGTCTGTCGATAACCCGAAATTCATTAAGTAGGGGGCCCCCTACAAATATTAGCTCAGGGCCCCCTGAGGCCTCGGTCCGCTCCTTTTTATAGTACATGGTATTTTTTTACTTAAGAATCATTAAACCTTTTTCTCATAAATGCCTACTTTTTTACTATTTGACTGTGAATTTCTTTTTAGACTCCTGTACAGACAAAAGTTTTTCATGGAAATGACAACGTTGTTCCTACAAAAAAAGCCTACCAAGAATAATTTATTAGCAGTTGGATATTTGTTAAAAGAAGCACCAAGACAAGTATTTATAATGCAATTCAAAAAGGTACATTTTTATTATCCCAAATTTTTAATTAGCTCCCAACATTTTAGATAATCAAAATTGTGCTATTGTGTTTAGAAGAATGTGAAGATGAGGAAATTATGTTTATTATATTAGACAGATTATGCGACCTGATACAAAATGATAAATCCCTAGCCGAGGAATATCTACAGGAGCTGTTGTCTCGCTTCATTGCTTTATCAACATTCAAATCGTCAATGGTACGTTGAGCGTGTACAAAACTATTTACTAAATTACATAATTTCCAGAATGTTCGTATAAAAGCTTTAGAAGGTATCCAACATTTTACAGTAGACTATCCGATTTATAAGTTGTTACCAATGAAAGAAGATGTAGTTCAAAGATTAGCCCTTTGTTTAGGTGATAAAAAAAGACTGGTAAGAAAAGCTGCTGTGGATGCCAGACTTGGTTGGATAATGCTTGATGCTCTGACTTGAATAACATCATATTAATTGAGTAGCTAGTGATTTGTTATACAAAGCTGTTTTTGTACACTTTTCAAAAATAAAATTGTTGTTCTACTGAAAGAGTAATTTATTTCCACATATAACTCAATTATATAGTCAATATTAGACTAGCTAAAATCGAAATTAAAACCCCGCAAACGTTCCACGCGCATTATTCTGCGTCCTTGTGATTGGAGGTGTAATCTGACTCTGACAACATCACTTGAGAGGAACGTGCAGAATTTGACTGAAGAGGCAGAGCGTAATTCACATTTGTTGAGAATTCTCCTATTTCTATAGGCAAACTCCTGCACAAAATCTCATCAGGCCTCTCTTGACAATCTAATATAAAGTCTCAACTGGCCGTATGTAGCCTGGGTATTTTGAGTAATGAAATTACACAACAATTGGAAGATTTACCTTTTATGCCAACATTCCCCTTGATCCATAAGATCTCAAGGGTGTTGTGTGACATTTGCCCTAGTATGTGGGGAGATTAGCCAACAGGTTTACTTATGTTACTATGACAAATTAGTAGAATACAAAATACACATTGCAACTACATAGAAATAATAAAGTATGTTGTTTATAATACGAATTGCCTCTAAAAGGGTGTAGTGAATGTAAAATAACCTTATTTCAGTTATACATTCATTCATTTTATTCCATTAAAAATTAAATTTACGAAATAGCTAGGCCAAAAGCAGTATTCCAATTCAGAAACAAAACGAGTAACTTGATTCGAATCGCCCAAACAAACGAAATCCAAACAACTGAAGTGACCTGTTTTGCCTAGCACTCTAGATTAAGAGTTAATTTTAAAGCTCAATTCTTTGGAACAAACGCCTATATTTTTGCATCGATCTGGTAGGGATGCACCTTCGTTCATATTGCAAATTGGGGCATGACCGGCCTTCCATCCAGCATAGGCAGCTGTTCTTAGACAAGTCTAAGCAGCTGCTTGATGAATGTGAGAGTGACCATTCTCTGTGCCCTACCCATCAATTTCCTGCGAACTGTGCATAGTGTAAGGCACAGTCATTTTATGCACATCACTACCTTACATATATTCTGCAGGATAGGATTAAAAGTGAGTACTCGCAAGAGACAACGTTATTAAATTTAATAAGTTTGGAGAAAGCTAGGCGACCTATCAAGTAACAATATAAAGTGTAAATAGCAGTTATTTACTAATATTGTGGAGGTAAGTAACATAATGTGTACACTGACATTCTATTTATTAGCTACAGACTCTGGGGCAGGTGACTGTCCAAATGTACCAAACAATTTTTTAATTTCCCCATTAGACATAACAACATCAAAACTGTTCTTAGTCCATTTAGATATATTGTCCGGTAAGTCCGCCAGAAACAAGCATGATGTTGAAACTCCCTTGTTCCACAACCGTTTCAACAGGTAGGATGTCTGATTAGATTTTGGTAACTCGGGAATCTAGACATATACATTTTTAAGTACCTATACAAGAACCGAATAGAATTAGCTAGCTAGAGGATGTTTTCTTAAGTATGGTACTTTAAAACAAGCAATATTGTTAGCCGCAGTTCATAATACGCAAATTAATTTTCAATTGTGTCATTCTTAAAAAAAAACATCCGTTACCATATTTACCTGAACGGGTAGATAGTCTTTAGCTTGATCTAAATAAGGACTTGCAGTTTCACACATTTTGTTATACAATTCTAAGGTTTCGTGACTATCTTTCCACAGACCATGATCGGAGGCATAGTAAACTGTGCCAAGAGCGATACCCGCTTTCACAGCAAACCTAAAACAAGCATTAGAAGTGTAAATCATTGCACTATTTTTTTTAGTGTCTTGAGCATTTCAAAAACTAACAAAATTACAATCCTAAACTCACTTGATCATTTTTAGCGATGCAATGATTAAATAATAGCTATTAACCCTGAGTTACACAAGTTCGAAGCAAAGGAGCGGAGAAGTTTAATCTGTACGATAGTGTATATAGTCACTGGACAATAATCTAGCCACATAACGCGCACCAATAAAAAGGTTAGCTGGGAAGAAGAGTTGAGCGTTTTTTAATCATGGCGGACGAAAAAGATGCGCCCGAAGAAACAATCGCCGAAGATTTGGTCGTTACTAAATATAAAATGACCGGACAAATTGTAAATCGTGAGTTTTGCTTATATTTCACTTTTACAACGGACAGATATTCGACATATTCTTCAAAGCGTGCGTCCATCGGCAAGAACTAAAGGCATGGCCATATGCTTTCTTTGGTCTGTCCAAAAGTGGTCCTTTTGTGTTTATTTCCCATGTTTTCTTCGTATACCTGAAAGTGTTGTGTTGTAGGTGTACTCAAGCAAGTCATCGATAAGTGCGTCCCTGGAGCTTCTGTTAGGGAAATATGTGAATTTGGCGACAACCTTCTATTGGAAGAAACCAACAAAATCTTTAAGAAAGAAAAAGAATTAAAAAAAGGTATTGCCTTTCCGACATGCGTTTCGGTTAACAACTGTATTTGTCACTTTTCTCCAATGCCCAGTGAACCAGATTATACACTTAAGGAGGAAGATTTGGCTAAAGTGTAAGTTACTTTTTCATTCAAGAGATTACTTTACGTTTACTGTGTGATGATTATTGTACTACTCCAATTGATCCGTCTGAGTGTGCACTTTTGATGACCGCATGTATCTGAAAAATAACTCGCTTTAATCGCTATTCTTTAATCAAGAGTGAAAGTAATGCCGCTTTTGTTTTTAGAGATTTAGGAGCGCATCTGGACGGATATATTGCAGTTGTAGCACATACAATAGTTGTAGGATCTTCTAGTGGAAGTAAGATAACTGGAAGAAAAGCCGACGTGGTTTTGGCTGCGCAATATGCATCTCAAGCTGCACTACGATTGTTGAGGCCCGGAAATGACACATATGCAATTACCGATGCAGTTACGAAGGTTGCAAAATCGTTTAAGTGTAAACCGGTGGAAGGAATGTTAAGTCACCAATTGAAACACTTTAAAATTGACGGTGAGAAAACCATAATTCAAAATCCTAATGAAGCCCAACGGAAAGAGCACGAAAAGTTTGAATTTGACAAGCACGAAGTGTATGCTATGGATGTTCTGGTTAGCAGCGGTGATGGCGTGGGTAAGACACTAAGGCGTTATACTTATTTATTACTCCATTCTGTAAAAATTAGGCAAAGAAGGAGCCACTCGTGTGGCAATCTATAAAAAAACGGACGAGATATATCAACTCAAGCTAAAGGCATCGAGAACGTTTTTCAGCGAGGTGCGTCAGAAATATGGATCCATGCCTTTTAATTTACGTACCTTCCAAGAAGAAACAAAAGCGAAATTAGCCGTTGTAGAATGTGTTAGCCATAAACTAATTGAACCTTTTCAAGTTTTATATGAAAAGGCGGGTAAGTATGTTAAAGTTGTATTGTGCTTTAGTGTGGACCTAGCACAATGATTTTGCCCAAAGTGTTTCACCCGCATATAATGCTAAATTCAGCAATTTAGTCTATTTTTGGCATCACTTTCAAGTGAAACAATATTAGTATACAAAGTTCAATTCTGAATCTCTACTATAGTCTGTTTACCGAGCAGAAATAGTGGAGCTCTTTTCAAAAATGATTAATTTTGTAGTACCTGTTCACATTTGCCAAAATTGATTGGGAGTGGCCCAGAGACATGGAGAGAGGAGATCGCTGATCGACGAGTGCGCATCCAAGAAAGGGTGCGACCTCATGGGCGCTGCCATTTTTACACCCGTTGTGTCATGTTGTGTTTATAGTGGTGTTATTTTAGCCTGTGTTCGTGTTTAGGAGAGCTTTTTTCGAGGTTTAAGTGTTTATTTTGTAACGTCAACGTCACTGGCATTTTCTTTTGTTCATTTGGATTGAGATATTAGTTTCTTCCTACGGAGCTGCTGCCGAATAGAGTGTAGTGTATGAAGATTGCGTTAGATGTCTCTGGGTTGCGTCAGTAAACCTTTATAGTCCTGTTCAAATTTTGCGCTTCAATGGGTGTCAAAATGGCAGCCCCCTTGTTTTGTCACTTCGCGCAGTTTCATGCGCTATCTCCTCTCTCCATGTCTCTGGAGTGGCCTCATCTGTTTGGTAACTATATTTTAATTACTTTCCAAACTGGAACTCTCTGGACAAAACTCAAATAATGCCGAAAAACATTACTCGAACGGTTTATATCATTTTCTATTTTTAGGAGAATATGTGGCACATTTCAAATTTACAGCATTATTAATGCCTAACGGTACTCATCAAATAACTGGTTTGCCTTTCGACGCAAGTATGTATCAATCCGAGCATTCGGTTGATGATCCCGAAATGAAAGCATTGCTTACAAGCTCTGCTAATCCTAAAGCGGGTAAAAAGAAAAAAAAGAAATCGGAGAATGAAAACGCTATGGATGTGGATGTCACAGCTTAATTTATTGGCTGTTTCCGTAAAGCTTATCACTCGGTTAAGTTTCTGTCAAAATTTTCTAATATTTTATTTGTAACTGTGGCAATAAAATCACATTAATTTTATATAAAAGGAGGATCATTTTAATTTTAACTTTGTGACAAACAGCACCACTAAAATGATATTTTTTGATATTTGTATGTAAAATAGTAAGTATTCCACTATTATTTTAAAAACGTTGTGCGCACTAACTAAATTTAATGAAATATTAAAAATGTTACATTTTTTCAATAAACAAATAAAATATTAAAATATCGCTGGTTCTTTGTTTTTGGCAACTGAAACTCTGGTATAATTTGTTGAAGGTTCGAGGATGCGAAGTGTTTACTGTATAACGAGGAATTGCAAGATTGTTATTTTATAGCAGACACCATACAGAATAAGAAAATTTCAATTGCATGGCACTATACTCTGTTTTTAAACTAAGAGAAGTAAATTGAAAAGTCTGATTTACATCAGAAAAAGTTACTAAATTTAGTAATTTGGGCAATTGTTTTAAGTATATTGATTTACGAGTAAAAAATAACTCGTAAATATTGATACATACGTACACATGTGCATTATGGGTTGCCTACTACATAAGGCATCATTATAAATGGGGTGTTGGATCATTTTTATGGTGTTTTAACACACTTTACCGCTACACAATTTGACTTAAAAGAAATTTTAATTATTATGTAGACACAAATGCAATCATTTTATAAAATCAAAAGGTGCTAGTACAATATATTGTAAAGCAAATTTAATTATATAGGGCTCTAACATACATTAGGGTTTATGATCTGATTTGATTAACTATTTCATTTAGGATTTAGGGGATCGTGGAAAAAGTCGATATCATTCACTGAGGAGAACTTAAAGTGATCAGGATCCTAATAACTGGCAAAGTTGTGTTAATAATAATAATAATCGGTGTTCTTCTGTATATCTAACATCCTTTAACATAATTAAGTTAAATAGCTGATCATAAAATATGATTCTGTGGGATCTTATACCAAATGTGATATCCACAATTTTGATCTATAATAGACATGGTATGAGCAACAAAATTTTAATTTGGAAAAGGCTGTAGAAATGTTGGGTTACATCTAATTTTAAGTAGGTAGGTATTTCAGATCTACCTACTTGTGCAGTAAAACTACTCTTGTCAGTGAGTCAGTTACACATTTAGACAGTGCTTGTGTGTGGGTTCCAGGGTAAACGAGTCTGTTCGATAGACAGGATTTGGAATTCAAAATTTAAACTAACAAACGTCAATTAATCGCCTATAGGTCTGGTATAAAAACATCAGTCACCCAATCCAAAACTTATGTCTGTTTAGTGATGTTATTAATTATTATAAAATTAACTATGTAATATGTAAACTAATGTGTTCCTGCTAGAAACACTGAAGGTGCAATAAGCGTGAGGTCAAACTCCAATCAAATGTTGACTAAGCACTTTCCCGCATAGTTGATTGTCACCTAAGTGAATCAATTCTAATAAAAGTATCCAAACTAAGAGGTTCTATAATTGATACCTTTACAGGTATTACATCTTTTTCTTCTAATGGGCTAGATAGAGATGAAAATATAATACCATAAGTTATGTACATCTCACAGGCGACCCGTTTTGCAGTGGACAACTACACTGCCTTTGAATAAGTTCAAGAGTGGGTACCAGGAGGATGTGCAGTATGAAAAATTGTGCCTTCTAAAAAACGTGAGTGACATCACGGTGGATTGGATTTCGAAACTACGGTCAAAAGAATTCCAATTCACGATTTTGTAAATGTGTAGTGTGTGAATAAAATAACTAAATAATAAAACTCAAATCGTAGGCGTAGAAAGCTCATATAATAATTAATATTAAACACATTTTTAGATAAAAAAATGAATGAATTAAATTTGTACAATTAAAAATATATAAAATAGGCCATATTGCACCATAATATACATATAAAAATAATGTCGCAATGAACCATAGTTTACTGACTAAAATCAAAAATATGTATGAAGTATTATCTAAAATACATTAAGTACATATAAAAATTTAACCCAATATCCAAAGCTATTGCAGTTGCACATAATTCGCAGGGAATAAGCCGTGTTTGCCTTTGCACATTCCTCTCCACCATCCTTCGTCAATCTAAAGCAATTTCGGGGTAATTTAAACAAGAGTCACTTTAACTACGCACCTTTTCAACGTGCGTAATAATATCATCCGGATCGAACGATATTTCATCTTCAGCACCTGCTTGATAATCATAAACTGCGATAGCCGTAAGATCAGTATCGACGATTTCATACTGTAGATCTTCTTGAAGGGCAGTATTTTGACCTTCGCTAGTTTCCTGTAAAATGATAATTGTAAAAACATTTTCAAAGGAAGTATACCTTGTAAACTGGTGATTCGGTACGAAGTTCCTCCACATTTTGATAAACTTCTTGCTTTGGCATTTCGGTCTGGGATTCTGTTTGGACTTTTTGTTGCTGCATTAGTCGCAATTGTTCTAATTCTTCATGAACCTGCGTAAATTGCAAATGCGCATATGTATCGATCGAAGTTAGAAGCTCACCTGATTCGTTGCTGTACTTTCACTTGTTGACCTTCGAGTGAACTGTGTCAGTTTAGATTGGTCCAGCTGGCCTGGTGTATTTTTCGGCATGCTAGACAAAGATTCGGCATCGCCGCCTTGCTGCAAGAATGCAGTTTTGGATTCGTCCAATTGTTTAGGTCTTCTATCTACAGTGGGTGGAGCTTGTGGCTCGACTACTGGGCAGTTAAATGCGGCTGTTCGAGACTGTACATTTGTTTTTGAAATAGTAACCGGCTGAGACACGTAAGGATTACTGTCTTCAGTTTTCTATAAAAATTGAACTACAAAATTACAAGAAAACACTCTAGTCTATGAATACCAAATTTTCAAATCGAGCGCGAAGTTCCGAGGGTTTAGCTGAACCAATATCGGGTTTCGTTTTACAGTAATTAGTACCAACGGAACCTGGTTCGTCGCCAAATGTGGCCGCTGATTTATCCATTCGATCAGTTTGAATGCCAAATTTTCCACCAAAACCGATTTTATGGTCAGTCTGACTTTCGTGTTTATGAGCGGCTTCATGGTGATCCCACCCAACAGCTGATTTATCCTGACGGTCGGTTTGTACTCCAAATTTTCCACCAAAACCTTTGCTATAATCTGCAACACATTTATTTTAAATGTCACCAATTGCCGTAGCATCTTATTCATTAATTATATCATTTTAAGATCAAATATCAATGGATTCAGTAAACAATTGGTAATGTAATAAGTCAATAGTGCCAACTTAATTTGAAATAAACTGTATAAGTGACAGTCGGTAGCATGCAATACCTTTCTGTGACTCGTGCTTTTCCAATTTTTCCACATGATCCCAACCCATTGCCGATTTATCCTGACGATCAGATTGAATACCAAATTTTCCACCAAAGCCCGAACTGTAATCTTTCTGAGATGCATGCTTCTCTATTTTTTCTTTATGATCCCAGGCAAGGGCACTCTGTCAATCAAAATTATAACTTGCTCCACAATGCAGTTGATGATACCACCCACCTTATCAACCCTATCGCTTTGTACACCGTATTTACCGCCGAATCCTGTACTGTAATCCTTCTGTGAAGCGTGCTTTTCAACTTTACCGACATAATCGTGCCCTACTGCCGACACATCCATACGATCTTGTTGAACACCAAACTTTCCACCGTAACCAAAGGCGGAATTTGGGCCATCAATCAATTCCTTCTTCTTTTTTAAAGCGTCAGCTTCTTCGGTTTCTTTGCGTAGTTGGTCCATACTGTGAAACATTAAAGTATTAACATTTGAGGTTATATCGTTAGCACAATACTTGATAGCTCCGGCTGTGCGACCCGATCCCTCTATAGTGTTGGAGCCCCATCTTTGCTCCACTTCATTTACATCATTTACAAAATCCGGGTCCGTTTCCCAGTCATCGTCCTTACTTGGGGCATCTTTCATGTTAATTTGAATTCCTGCTTGCGCCTTCCACATATTGATTTAAAAACGTTGTACAATAATAAAAACAAATTAAAAATGTTTATACAAAAACGAATAAAATTGTTAAATTATTATTCATCACAGAAAAACAAGCAACAACTCCCCGGTCGTATAGAGATGTGTGCTACTCTCGATTCACGAAGACTGGCAAGTGGTAATTAGGTTTAATTTGTTGAATCTATCTTTTATTCAAAGTATTTGCAATGAAATGATGTAAGAAATTGTATATTGGCAAAATCTACACGCAATTTGGATTTTATGGAACGGCGCACAATCGACTGTTGAACCCATCTCTAAAATTACTAATACACCGGACGCAAATACAGTGGCGGAACCAAGGAGGTATGAAGAGTCGAATAGTAGCTCCCTTCCGCCCATTCTGCCACCATTGATTATACACACAACACCAATGATACCGAGCTTTTTGCTCTAAGTTACCGGAAGCACCATGACTGCTTCTTCCAGAACTTACGTCGCTTTCCCCTGACCTTTACCCCCCAAAATACTCGCATTACAAAAGGAAAATTCAACTTTTTAAGGGAGAGCCTCAAGAACGTAGCACTGGGGGTCACAGCGCACAAACATCTTATGATTATTATTAAGTAATAAATCTACGATCTTCCCATTCATAAAAATATTGGCGAGATCGTAGATTTATTTATTAATAAATTTATCCCAAACGAGAGACGAATCTTCTCATCAAAATACCTATCGTATGGTAATTGTAGGTACAGAAACGCTTAATATTTCATTTCTTGATTTTAGCATTTTTTTCGGGAAGATTAGAGGGCCACTATCACGGGAGTCCTTAGGTCTGAACATTTTTAGAGAGAATGTAACACCAGGGGGTCTGAGCCATCCCCTCTAACGTACGAAAATGTTACAATAGGTGTAAGAAAATGAACACTGAATTTTCATTTCCTGGGGAGGTATTCCAGACACCCCCCGTTCTGCATTCTCCCCCAAAATATTTAATAGTTTTAGCACTTAAACAAGAACGCAGCACCGGGAGTTACAAAAGTGCACAAAAATCTTAACGATTAATGTACAAAAGAAACATTGAATTTGTTTCTAGGGAGGGAGGCGGAGGGGGGTTTTCCTTACGCTCGGACCTCACGGGAATATGGGAAAGTTGGTTCCACATTTCAAGATTTAGGGCAACTTTCGTTTGTTTGTTTGGGTCGTATTTTGGTTCCATGAAATTGCTTTGTTTACGTTTCGGACATTTGCCCACGTATGATGGATGTATGTATACCAATAAAGGGGGAGCAGAGAAGTTATTTTCGCCATTTCTGTGTGAAAACGTTTTGCAATAGCAACAGTTTTTAGATCTTGGGAAGTAAATTTGCCATCGCTTTAGAATTCCGGGAATAACTAGTAAACAGAAAGCAGGACGCATTTGATTGGACCATTTTTTGAAACGGGCGAATCGTAGCGAGTCTTGCAGCTGTGACGTCATGACACTATCTTCATCACGTGACCAACTATGTCGTTGCTGCCGTTCCAAGCGTGTTGTATTTTTTCGGTTTGCTGCTAATTTACGAAGTGCGATATTAAAATAAACTTAAAAAAAGTCAATCCAAAGACGGGAACAATTCTGGCACATAGTTCGTTTCGGTTCATCATACGTAAATCGGCGTTTAAACGTAATATTAAACTACAAAAAGTTATGGCGTCCCTTCTCCTTTTCGTACAAATTTAAATCGGCGTTTGCGTGTAGGATCTCGGGACGCGACCACGTAAATTTTGAATTTGTTGTTAAATTCAACGCTTAAAGTAACAAAAACCGGCGGGGAAGTGTTCACAAATCGGTCTTTTCGATGTCATGTTAAATGTTATCGGAAGAACAAGAAGATGGCGTCCTATTTTAAATTCGTTTGTTTGCGTTTAAAACTTAACGTTTTGTGCATCTTTTTCGTGTTTGAATCAAGACGACTAAGATTTCATTGATATGTTGATGTGGGGTAAGTTTGTAGACCTTTAAAAGTTTCGTGGTGACGGTTCACCAGACGAAGTGCTTCATTAGCGCTACCTAAAGACGGGTGTCTGATAGCACTGTCGAGGTGTACACATCACTGTGAGTTGACATACGGACCTCGACAGTGCTAACACACAGCAACTCGCGAGAAAAACCTTGCTAGAGTATTCAGATGTCTATGTGCAGTGGAACCATTAATATACCTTATATCCTCTTTTATTTGGTGGCCAAAAGCTTGTCAGAATCAGACCAAAACTGGCAGTTCGATTGCCATAAAAAATTAAGAACTTCATTTTATGTTTTATTACTAAACAAGCATTTTAAAATACAAAAAACATTTCATCAATCAGTCATATCATTTGATTTAGACAATCTTAAATGAATTTTCTCAATGTGCATTTTTAAAAATTGCTGTTCTATAAAACTTTTGTCACAAAGTTCGCAGACGTACGGTCCCTTATGGTTAAACAGATGAACTTTCAAATTAAAATGTTTAGTAAATCCTTTACCGCAGTATTTACAATGATAAGGTCGAAATCCTGTATGGATCATTTCGTGACAAGTCACTTCGCCCGACGATCTAAACGCTTTACTGCAATAACTACATTGGTATGGCCTAATACCTGTATGAGTGCGTAAGTGCCTCTTCAGAGAGCATTGCATTCTAAATGTTCTCGGACAAAATGTACACTTATAGTTTCGTTCATCGTTATGTATTCGCATGTGATAAGTTAAAGCGCTTAAATAGTTAAACGTTTTTCCACATATTGTGCATAGTAAATTACGCCCTTTGCTGTGAATTGCTGCCATATGTAGTTTTAAAACGTTTGCGTCAAAGTAACACTTTTGACATATTTCACATTTACTTCGTCCACTGTGCTGTTTATGCATGTGCTTGTGAAGTTTTGATTTCGATTCTGTAATTATCCCACATACTTCACACATGAATGTGTCACTTTTTGAAAGATGCATATTTTTGTAATGACGTTTTAAATATCGACTACAAGAAAAACTTTTGTTGCAATCTTTACACACTGCATCATTACGACATCTCCGGTGTGCAGTCTCCAACTTCAAACTAGTGTTTGGCACAAAATCTGCTGTAATTTCTCTACCCAGATTTTTCAAAAATCCTTCATAATTAGGTATGTGCGCGTCCTCGTCTTCGACAATGAAGACATCGTTCAAATTGTATACCCCACGCTTTGAAATGAGTTCAACCTGAGCCGAAGGAGCCCCTTGGAAAGATTCTAGTATAGTTTCACTCTTTCCAAAGTATTTGTGTAACTTTCCTTGGGAAGCTTCAAACTGCAGCTTGAAGTTGTAACAGATTTTCAGTAGACTCGAACAAACCGCACAAATCGATGAGGGATACTCTTCGTCCAAAATGACCTGAAAAATGAATACAAATAATTTCCTTTCATGGAAATTTGGGCCAAGCAACGGACCTTAAGGCTCAAGGTGTGCTGTAAGGCTTCCTGTATTGTCATATTTTCAAAAGTTTCGTTCAATTTTCTCATTTCTTTGCTTTCAGTTAAACATACTCGACATACGCGCTTTATGTTAGTTAAGTTATCAATAGATATTTGGGTTTCCATTATTTTAACAAGTTTTGTTGGCACATAACCACACATTCCAACTTTTTAGTTCAAGTGTTTTATTTAGTTTAAACAGACGAACTACGATATTAGACATGAACTACTATACTAAAATAGTAATTGTCATAAAGTCCAACTTTTTCGCTTTTCATTCTTTTCTTGTGCAGTGCTAATTTTAAAAAGTTTAAATACTGGGATAGAGCGACCGTTACATTAAGATTTGGCCCCTCCTGAAGTTCATGCTGGATTCTGTATCGGTTGGATCGAGAATTCGAAGAGGCTGAAGCTTTGGAATTTTATAGATCTGATTCGAAGCAACCGCAAAAAGGGATAAAATAGAAAGATTTTGAAGAATCAGAAGATAGACGAAACCGAAACCTACGTAGTACAGGAATTTAGTGAATCTGAATAACTTTAACCATTGAATTTATGCAAAATTTATAGCACGCCTTGTGTTATGAGATTTTCTGTGGTTGGGATTGTGAGATTTTTTAAGAAACGGGGTTTTTGTCAAATGCAACTTCTAAAAATTAGGTTAATTGGAAATTTGACATCTGATTTTGACGTCTTGATAACTTTTTATTTTTAAACATTAGATAAATACAAAATAAAATGTCAAATACAATTATAGTTACTAACGATAATTTAACAAAAATATGTAGAATATGCTTAATGGAGTACGAAGATATGCATTCAATTTTTAGTGAGATACAAAACGTTGAAAGTTTAGAGGAGGAATCGACCTTTTTATATGAGATTCTAATGAATATTTCTTCAATAAGGGTAGATATTTACCTTTCGCTGTAATTTTCATTACCTCAAGTAGGTTTTAGCAAACGACGGTTTACCTACAACAATTTGTACAAATTGTATGGAGCTGGCTCACACCTCATTTAAATTCCAACAGCAGTGTAATCGATCGCAAGAAATTTTGGAGAAATATATTTTACACGCCAAGGCTGGCGGGGAACAAAGCGAAGCCGTTAAGGATGAAGAGGTGTTAAATTTCCTTGATGCGAATGTGTCCTCCTCAACTCGTGCATTAGTGTCAGATAAATGTGAAATGGAAAACGTTACTAGCGATGCGGTCTTTCCATATGTAGAATGTGATAAACTCGGCAGTGCAGAGGAAACGGAAACGAAAGTATTAGATGCGGTTAAAGTTGCCGCAACTGAAGACAACAAGCGCTTACGTCAAAGACTAGCTCTCAAAAGAATACAAGCGGATACCAATGTTAAAGAAGAACCGGCCGCATATGTAATGAAAGTCAATGAAAACGGATTGAAAGTATGTTGTAGTACGAGCCGATGTTGTAGTTTAGTTTATTTTTTAGTTGTATGAATGCAGTTTTTGTAGAAAAACATACAAACATTCAAACAGTTTAAAGGTGCACTTACGTAGTCACACATTGGAACGTCCGTATGTATGTAATCAGTGCGGTAAAGGATTCAAGCAGTATGGTGCACTTACTTATCATTTTCGTAGTCATACTGGGGAGCAACCGTATGTTTGTAAAATTTGTGGTAAACGGTATCGACAGTCTGGAACATTAACAGCTCATATGCGAATACATACAGGACAACGCCCATTTTTGTGCTCTGTTTGTGGACGAGGTTTTAGGTATCTATTTCACTAGATTTATACCTTAATTACAATGTAACATTTAGGCAAGCTCCCGACTTAGGATATCACATGCGCACACATACAAAAGAACGGCCATACATGTGCAACGTGTGCGGGAAAACTATGAGGATGCAATGTCATTTAGTGCAACATCTCAGAATTCACACGGGCGAACGGCCTTTTAAATGCATGTATGTTGGAACTACGTGTGGACTAACTTACTATTTTATGCTCGTAGGGAGTGTAGCAAGGCGTTTCCATCGTCAACCAGACTGAAGAGACATGCCATTATTCATACTGGCTTGAAACCGTACATATGTGAAGTTTGTAAAAAGGCTTTCAATCGTCTCAGTAGTCTAAGGGTGCATGCAAAGATTCACACCGATGAGCGTCCACATGTCTGTTCATTTTGTGGAAAAGGCTTTATTCAAGCACACGCTCTTAAAACTCATATGAATTTACACTATGACGAAGAAATACCTAAAGTACAGTAAATTTTCATGTAACAATAGATGGCCAGTTTATTCGCCTTTCATTGAAAATGCCGTGCAATTTATGCCATTTGAAGTATTTGAACAAAGTTTGAGAATAGTTATTTATTTATTGTATCAATACTTACTGTAGATATTAACGGTAGATTATTAGTTAATAAACTTCTACACACTTTTTTTGTCTAATAAAATGAGTTTCACACGCTTAAGGTTTCTGCAATGTGATTGAAAGCACAAACAGAAAGGATTTGCCGCAATTTGTAGATGCAGATTTTGCAGGCTGCAGCTGAAACATGTTCTAAACCAAATAATGGGGTCACAAAAATCTCTCGGGATATGAAGTAGATAAACCTAAACTACAATTGTTCTGGTAAGAATCGATCTTGAGTGAATCATTTTTCACGACATCAAACAGATAAATAATGAAACAAGTAGACACTGTTTTAGTTTATTGTTATAAAATGATATTACATTGCCATACAAAAGCTAATTATGAGGTAAATAGTATATTTACTTAATTCGGGAATATTTATAGCTTTGTCAATGAATAATACAAAATTATTCTAATGATACATTTAACAGGTAACCTGAGATTTCGTTATTTTTACCACAGTAATTTTATAAATGGTTCAACCAAAAATAAAATGCGTTGAAATACTGATACCTAATACGTAGTTTTTTATTTTACAGTGACACTACTGAAATTCTTACAAATGAATATAGTTGCACAATTATCGTGTAAATAAAAATCTATTTTATTTACATCAAAAGCTGGAACGTTCCAGTTCTACAATAAAACTCAACAAAATAAATATAAAATACAAAAATAGGGAAAGTTCTTTGGAATAAGAAAAATTAATCGTCATTAGCACCTGTACAACAAGAGCTTCTTCCATCAGATTGTTTCTTGCTCAAGTCAACGGTATCACTGTAAGTGCAGTCTGTTCTGTCCGCTCTACTTTCAGCCCTTAACCAATGCTGAACGGCCAATTTAAAAGCTTCTTGTACATTACTAGCATTTTTCGCTGACGTCTCTATACAACTTGCGATACTATTCTCATTACACCAGGTCTCTAATTCTAATTGCGAAACTTCGCGTTCTTCCACCGAAACATCAGACTACAATCATAAAATGACTCTGCCCGTTACAGTACGGCTCAAGTTACCTTATTTCCGACCACAATAAATGGGAATGACGCGTTTTCCTTAATATCGGCGTAATATAAAAATTCATTTTTCCACATGTTCATATTACGAAAACTAGATTTATCGTCGATGGCGTAAGTTAATATACATATATCGCTTCCTCTATAAAACGGTGTTCGTAGAGTCTTAAACCTTTCCTGCCCTGCAGTGTCCCATATCTTAAACAAGCTTCGTTTTAAAATGAAACATTTCGCACTTATCCATACCTGAAGAGTATAACTTTCATTGTCTATGTCTATATCTTTGTTTAAAAATTCGACGCCAATTGTATGAAAGGAGTGCTCGTCGAAATGGTTAGAGACAAAGCGATTCATTAAACAACTTTTTCCCACACCGCCATCGCCGAGTATAACAACCTTTAAAAGGGTGTTTTTATTCGCAGGTCTCATATTTACTCTTCCAGACATTATTCTACTTAAGTACTTACATTACAGATCTTTAAAGAAAGTAAACCATATACAGTAATTAAAATAAATTAATTGGATGAGTCACCTTTATTTATAAATCGTCAGATGGTTAATTTTTTTAAATGCATCGGTGCAAAGTTTATATCATTAATTTTTCACTAGAGCGATTTCTGTTTAATGTAAATTTCGTAATTAGATTTATGGAGAAATGAATTTAATTAAAATAACAAAAAAATTGGGTTATATAGAAATGTCAAAATCAGCTGTTTTGGAAGTGAAAAATCACATGCAGAGCCATCTAGCCGTGCGTCTAACTTAATAAACCTTTAAACATTTTGCGCCGCTTTCAACTTATAACAGAGCTTTTAATTATTGTAATGCCTTTCTGACTACTATCATTGAATAAGTAATCATCTAAGTCAATGCTACTATACAGCTTTTAGGTTTGTCTTCGAAGGGGTCGAAAGTGACCCATCTTCACCTAAGCCTTTGACCTGGTTTTTCTATGCACACTAGAGAATGAAGAAAATTTGGGGAGAACTTGAGAATTTAAAACGAACTTGAAGGGAATTTGAGAGAAAGTTATAGAAACTTAAAGAGGAACTTGGGATATAAACTTGAGAGAAACGTAAGAAAGGGGAATGTAAGGGAAGGGAAAAGGACTTGAGGGTATAAGTTGAAAATCACTTGGAGACCTTGGGAATTTTAATGAAGAGAAAGACGGACGGGATAAGTAATTTGAGGACAATTTCTGAAGGATTTGATTTTGATGGGCAATCGAATGATGTATATAAGGAGGAATTTAAATAGAACAATGAATTTTAAAGGAATTTTAGAAACTTGATGGAACCCTGGCATAGATTTAGCAACAATTTGAGCGGCGCTTAAGAACTTGAAAGCGCGGCTTAAAAAATATAAAGGAAAAGAATTTGAAAGAAATTTGGGAGGTTTAATTACGAGTTTCGCGCACTTTTTCGATTTTCAAACCGAAAGCCGCGAGTCCGCAGTAGCAAGTTGAATAAGAGGCCCAGAGATGGCGTTTTAACGATTTTTTAATTTTCCATTGTTTTTTAAGAACCGTAACGATTGTGAATTGACCATTTTTTTTATATACGTTTTTTGAACCTTTGTATGAAAGCATGTAGAAGTTTTTATGTTTTTAAGGTTATTTTAATTGTTAACAACTAATAGGACGGGCGTGCAAGAAAAGAATGTTTGTGAACTAGGGTTGTTGCTTTTGCGGGTTTAAATTTTACCTGGAGAGTGTGTGTGACGGTGTCAATAAACTCCTCAATGTAAGGTGCGCCTTCTTTTTAAATCTTATGTATTTGTGAAAGTGAAAATTCCTGTGTGAAGTAACTAAGGAGACATTGTCTATTTTATATTTCTTCATCCAAGGATGTATGCGAAAGGTTTCAGGATGTAAAAGGGAACGGTGAGTTTATTAATTAATAAGTCCAAGGCAAAAATGCTCGCTTATTGGAATTCGTTTGGTAAATTTTTACTGAAATGTAAGTGGAAGGTGGGTATTTAGATATACTCTCAAGGTAAACATATGTGTACAGTCATCTCAGCGTAAGTGAATACATGATTAACCCTTTCCGTTTAAAATATCGCAGTGTGACAGGTACTTGACTGTACAGTACATGTTTGAAGGTCGCACTTTGGTCTGTCACGTGACACAAGTCAACTGCTGCCAGCTACTTGGGGTCATTCGTACACCCCGTACGAAGAAGTGAGACGGATTTTAAAGGTAGTAATAATGTTTCGCCGCAAACTCGACGTTGCCAAATTAGTGTAAACAATGGGGAAGTAGCGCGCTCGTTTAATTTACCTGAAGCGTATTATCGGGTCGTCCGTTTATTTTTAAATCGTGCGCGAACGGGGTGCGGTTATCTCATCCGAAACAGGTTGCGATATTTTTTCGAATTCCTCCGTAACGCTGTAGCATATGTGGACGAAGTGAACTAAAAGTGACAACATTGACTGAGTGGCCCATGTGAATTTTAGTCGACTTTTGTCGTTCAACTGTCAGGTTGACGTGTGCGGAACAGGTAGTAGTCTAGGCAATCAAGGGAGCGGACAAAAGCAAATCGGTCGGTTTAAATTAAATCTAGGTACACCTGGAATTGCATACTATGCGAGCTAAGGATATCGAAGTTAGTGAACGCCTTTTTTCTAGTGTAAGTAGTGATTGTGCAATTTTTCCGCCGTAGGATATTGTTAATCGATAGATGTTTTTCTACGCGTGTGCCTTTGGGATGTTGTTTATAAATTGTAATTTGGTGCCATTGTACTCGACTTGCCAAGTGACCTTGGGATCGAGCACGTGACCGAGGGCCTTGACCTTCTCCTACCAATATGGGTAAGCGCATCCTGAAAACATTTTTTCGTATAATTTAATACGGTTGTACATTTAGGCCTAATGTTTAGCGGAAATTCGAAGATACGAGCGTGCTAATGCGAAAATATCCGCCCCCCAACGTCTCGTTTTACTCCTAAACTGTTATGTTTACGGATAATGAATGATCCTCGTTCGACCTTCTCGAGGCCGGTAGTTGTATCTGCGTCTGTCCTGCCTGTCCCGCTCGCTTCCTCTATCTATAGTTGTAAGGTTTTTGTTACGTTAGCCGCAAAAATGAATTCATCCGATAAAGAAAAATTATCTCTTTGAGAAAGATAGTGACTCTTATTAAAGTGCAGTTAATTGACGCTATTTCTAAGTAAAACCAATATTCAATCCCCGGTTGATAGTAGATGAAAACCGTTTTTTTCAAAGTTAAAAAAAATGTCTATTTTGTTTTTAAAGATACATATTTTACTTTTTGTTAAAACACACAAGGAAAGTTTACTTATCTTATACACGGTGTCCATTTTTCGAGTGCCACTATAGTGATCTCACTTATCTTAAGAGATAGAAAGTTGGTTAAATGGGAGCAAAGTTGCAAATTTTCGTACTGAATAAGAATCTGAAAAGAAATTTGAAATATCTTCAATAGTTTTGAAGATATCGCAAAAAAACGAAAATTTCTGATTTTTGTTTTTAATTTTTTTATGATAAACTAATCGTAGTAAACAGTTCTAATTAACACATTATTCGGACACTTTTTAATGGGGATTTGAAATATGGCATTCTGTTTTTAATAACTTTCAAGATGACGGACAAACACGTCGCAACTTTAGTTATTCTTATGGGCGCCATATTGCATTTTGACATTTTGGGATTACGTCTTTTTTTCTCTTTGCAACGATATATCACACAAGGTGCCCATGGTGGTTCAGTAACATATTTTTCCTAAAAATACAATTTTTAGTTGTTTGAGAAGAGTGCTTTGGAAAAACAAAACGTTCTTTTGTTGTAAACAAAAGTTTGACAGTTTGATCCATCTGTCTGGTTGCAGCGTTGTCAGAGAAGTAGAAATTTCGATTTTCATCTGAACAGAATTGAACCTTCGTTTTGCACGAAAATTATAATTCAAATTAGAACAAAAACCATCACAACATGTGTTCAAATTGCCCACCTCCTAATTCGGAGCACAGTGCCACTCTCTTCCTAAGATTTGCTATGGCTCTTGACACATCCTTTCTTCTATTCTTGTGCCTGAGAGTGCTCACAATTCTATGACGAAGTTCATCAAGGTCGGCTGGCAATGTTTTGTAAATTCAACTGGGCTGCAACTTCTTTTGAGGAGACAGATGGATTGTTTTATTGCCCCTAATTAACAATTATTAAATGATGAATAGATCAGTAGTTGTAATCATGTAAAATTTTTACTGCTTGCAAAATTGCCTACTCATATTCATTGGGTCTATCACCATATTGCTGTCTACATCTTTTAAAAGAACCATATTCGCCCAAGTTTTTATGCAGCAAAGAAAAATACCTCAAACTAGGTTGTTGCCCCTCTGGATAACGCTGCAAGTATGTTGCAGCAGTCATGTGGGCATTTCGATGAGAAGTGTAGTAAATTTGCATCATATCTCTTTGATCTGCACTTGAAAAAGGCATTTTCGCAATACAACTAGCATAAATCTAAATGACAATACATGAAATAAGTCAACCTTTTGTTCACAACAAAAGAACATTTTGTTTTTCCAAAGCACTCTTCCCAAAAAATTAAAAATTGTATTTTAGGAAAAATGTGATACTGAACCACCATGTGTGATATATCGCCGTAAAGAGAAAAAAATACGTAATTTCAAAATCTCAAAATTAATAATGGCGCCCATAAGAAGAACTAAAGTTACCACGTGTTTCTCTGTCATCTTAAAAGTTATTTAAAACGAGATGTCACATTCGAAATCTCCATTGAAAAGTGTTCGAATAATGTGTTAATTAGAAATGGGTACTACGATTAGTTTATCATAAAAAAATTAAAAACAAAAATCAGACATTTTCGTTTTTTTGCGATAACTTCAAAACTATTGAACATATTTCAAATTTCTCTTCATATTCTTATTCAGCACGAAAATTGGCAAATTTGCCCCCATTGTTGATATTATTTTTTTTTCCAGTCTATTCCCTTTCAAAGCCCGAGTTTTGACCCAAAAAGAGCACATGATAACGGGCGATCAAAAATGAGATGCTGTCGAGTCGCCTTTGGAAGTTCAAGTTAAATACGATTTCCCGTGTAAACAAAAGTTCCAAAGGTAACTCGACAGCAACTCATTTTTGATCGCACAGTACCTATCTATATGACTTTTGGTGCTACTAACAATTAGAAAGATACTTTATAAAGGTGTCGAAAATGGAACCCCCTTGTGTGAAATGCGAGGTGAAATGTAAAGCGGTAATGATTGTTTTCAATTGGGGCAGTAATTAAAGGGGCGATTTTCATATTTTTTGTTTAGTTTTGATGCTAGGGATTTTTATAAAAAACAAAAAAGTTTTTCAAGCACTTCAAAAAAGTTTCTATGAGTTTTTCCCGAAAAATGTATTGGTTTTTGCTCGGTTTTTTGTTATTTCACGTTGAAACTTAATTTTGGCGTTTGACGATTAAGAACCACTTTCACTAGCGAATTGATAATTACTTAGTCAATCCGGTCTTATTTCCAATGATCCTTTGGAAACGGATAGGAACCACCTCCAGCTTAAAAGCAATTTCCGGTATAGCGTAAACCGAGGAGCAAACTTGTTACATTTTGCAATACTATCGAGATGCGATTTGTTTATTTTGTAATTTTCTGATCGGCGAAGTTGAGGGAAGAGCCATTGCAACGTTCAACAAAAATCTTCGTAATAATATCCGAACTCGTACAAGTAAAAATGATCGTGTTAGTCACACATTGATTGAATTGCTTCCTGTTGGTGCCCTTTAGTTTGTCCAAAAACTTTCACTACTTATGTATACCATCGGGTACTGTGTCATCAATAAACTGTGGTTCCATCGACGTCGTTTAGATCAGAAATCGAACAAAACGAAGAAACTGAACAATTTCATACATGAGACCAATTTCCGTTCTAAATCACCTTTACCTGAACCGAAACCTATTATGATTCAACTTTACTCCATTCCACTGAGGTTATTACGTTCAGTAGACGACATATTTTGCAATACAGTCACCAATCCCCCTAGCGCTAATCGCCACTTTTATAGCTTGACCAGTTTATTTTTTTTTGTTTAATTTGTTAAATAATCAAACTTCTTTTGTGATTTCCAAACTGTGCGTTTCATCGCTACAAGTAAGCAGAACAGCTCAAAAGTGAGTAATTCTTTGACAAATTTCCTTTTTCTCTAAAATGACCTTAAACGTGTCAATTACTTCCGCCATCTTCTACCACGGTTTTCATTGTTGACCTCATTGTTGACCCAATACTGGTTTGATTTTAACGAGAATTTTTGCATCTAGTATAAAATATGCATTTCGAAAATGACTATTTGCTGCTTCTTATTAACCTACTATTAGCAATTACGTCATCGTTTTGCACGTGTGAAATTATTGTATCGCTCGTAATGGAATTAATATTTTCTATGAAAGCGAACTTCGTCCATCTGTCTAAGAGGGTAAAATCTCAACACTGAGACCTGGCAGAAAATTGCTGCTCTTTTTATGTAATCGATTGTAACACGTAAAGTATGAAATACGTTTGTAAGAAATCGCTCGGGCACGTTCTAATTGTTGTGGTGATGTACGTCAAAGTGTCAGAAAAATACGGTTCACCGACTCTCACTTGTTTTAAAGACAGTATTGTAGCGAATATCAAGGCGCCATCAAGTCGATAAAGGATTACTCACCTGCGATAGGGAATGAAAGCGGATGTGACGCCTACTTTCCATAAAATCATTCGAGAATTCTCTGAAAGGTATTTCTTTTGCTATATAAGCAAATTCAATTGTGTTTAATTTCAGTTCCAACATCGGTGCCGAAGTGATAAATAGTGAAATTCGCGATCGTGTTCTAAATTTGAGTGATAAATAATAATTAATGTAACATACTCGTAAATAAATTACGTAATTAAATTTACGTTATAGTATACCTACTTCTTCAATGTCAGTAGCGCGGAGTAGAAGCAGACAATTTTGATAATGACAGACGAACAGACAGAGAGTGGAAAATAAGCCATTGAATGAAATGCGATTGTATTGAAATTTAAAAATGAGACACATACGGCCGGTTGCAGGAAAGCGAATTATAATTAAAATCCTACATTATTTGCCAAATCTGAGTTTAAACAAGAATTTTGACAAATGAAAGCGAATTTTATTCATTGGTACATGTCAGTTATACTCAAATAGAATATCCGCATACACGGTGTCCATTCTTCGAGTGCCACTATGGGGATCTCGCTTACCTTAAGAGATAGAAGGTTGATTAAATGGGGGCAAAGTTGCGAATTTCCCTGCTGAATAACCATCTGAAAAGAAATTTAAAATATCATCAATAGTTCTGAAAATATCGCAAAAAAACGAAACTTTCTGATTTTCGTTTTGAATTTTTTCATGATAAACCTGTCGTACTAGACATTTCTAATTAACACATTATTCGAACACTTTTCAATGGAGATTTCGAATGTGACATCTCGTTTTAAATAACTTTTAAGATGACAGAGAAACACGTGGTAACTTTAGTTCTTCTTATGGGCGCCATTATTAATTTTGAGATTTTAAGATTACGTCTTTTTTTCTCTTTACGGCGATATATCACACATGGTGGTTTAGTATCACATTTTTCCTAAAATACAATTTTTAATTTTTTGGGAAGAGTGCTTTGAAAAAACAAAATGTTCTTTTATTGTGAACAAAAGTTTGACAGTTTGATGCATATGTCCGGTTGCAGAGTTGGCATCAGGGAACTAGATGTGTTGAGAAAATTCGATTTTCATATGAACAAAATTGAACCTTCGTTTTGCAAGAAAATTATAATTCAAATTAGAACAAAATACATAAGAATAAATAATCTTTTAGCAATAAAACTAGCACAAACGTAAATGACACTGCTTGAAATAAGTCAACATTTTGTTCACAACAAAAGAACGTTTTGTTTTTGCATAGCACTCTTCGCATAAAATGAAAATTGTATTTTTAGAAAAAATGTGATACTGAACCACCATGTTGTGATATACCGTTGTAAAGAGAAAAAAAGACCTAATCTGAAAATGTCCAAATCCAAAACGGCGCCCATAAAAAAAACTGAAGTTGCCACGTGTTTCTCCGTTATTTTGAAAGTTATTAAAACGGGATGCCATATTCGAAATCTCCATTAAAAAGTGTCTCAATAATGTGTTAAATTAGAAATGTCTAGTACAATTAGTTTACCATGAAAAAGTTAAAAATGAAAATCAGACATTTTCGATTTTTTGCCATATTTTCAAAACTATTGAAGATATTATAAATTTCTTTTTAGACTATTATTCAGCACGAAAATTCGCAACTTTGCCCTAATTTAACCAAGTTTCTATCTCTTAAGATAAGCGAGATCCCCATAGTATGGCACTCGAAAAATGGACACCGTGTATATCCACCGGATCTCCTTGGATATCCACGGACATCCTGGTATAAGTGCGGACATCTACTACCTCGTCTACTACTGTGAACAACGATGGATATCTTCTCGGATTTCCCACTCGTTTGAACATTAACCATTTTACTTGATGCCAAAGACATTACCGATAATCGTATCCATTTGATAGTCATGCAGCATTGTCCGTCTGTATATACGTGAGTGGGTTGCGCCTAGGCTGATGGTTTCAATCAAAAACTGTTGTGCATACTTTAATATGTTTACTTGAGTTTGTTATCAGGAGGCAATAAAACTATTAAGTTGAAACTGAGTATTTTTAGATTGCTGTACATTATTAAACAATGTACTTATCTCTTGCAAATAATGTTTTCGTTTTTTATCAATTCAGGAAAATTTTCTTTTATTCTTTTGCGTAAATAGTGGTTATAAATGGTATATTTTCTGTTTCAGTGGATGCGGATAGGTGAGACCATGCCTAAACGAGAACAGTGGACCGGCGAGGTAAGCTGATCCAGGCTGCCATGGCCGCAAACATGAGGTCTCCTAATGTATCTGTCACACCGATTAAGATCGAACCGTACTCTTCTGCTTCCGTATCAAATGGGGTTCTGCCGGCGCACGCTCATATCAACACCGACTTACCTCACGCCCACAACGGTATACTATCCAATGCATCTGGTGCGATCAACAATGGAGATACCTTGGATAGCAGTTCAGATGCGGAAGTCGCGCAGATTGATTTCAATGCGACTTCCGTTAATTTACGGCAGAAAAAGGAACCAGATGAGAACGATATACCGAGACCAATGTCTTGGGAAGGAGAACTCTCAGAAGGAGAAAGAGACATGTGCATTGACGAAGACAGAGGATCTTCTCAGGTACATTTTTACGCGTCCAAATCACTTTCTTATCGAAACATTTTTCAGTTTCCTGAGAATCTTTCAGTCGCGCAATCGAAACAGAATCTGCCCATTTCGGAACAAAAAGGAAGTCCCGTGTTAGTGTTAAAACAGCAAACTGTAGGGAACTACTCGCTTCACAGCACGCCGAACAACTCCCCTCTACTTAATCAGCGGCATCCCGGTAGTGTTTCCGTATTAAGTCACAAGGACATTATGCAAAAAGCTCTTAATATACCTCCGACACCGAGTCCCGATTCGGCGATACACTCTGCGTATAGTGTGTTTAGTTCTCCAAGTCAAAGTCCTTTAACGCAAAGACATTTAACGCCAAATTTAAGTCGAAATAACAGTGACGCTTCTCATTCTAGTTGTTGTAGTTATTCTAGTGTTTCAGTTTCGGTTTCACCAACGCAACAATTCTCGCCTAATCACAGCCCCATACAGGTAAATTACACGACCAATACAGTGATTACAGCCAAGCCAGCATTAACATCAACTTTCTTATTATTAGAGTTACTAAGTCGGTTAAGTATGAAATTTTTTTTTTTCGTGATTACAAAGTCACATTAGAAAAACAATCGATCATCGAGTTATCTAGATATTTAACAAAAGAACATTCCGTAGTGAAGTTAGCAATAACCAGTCATGCATATTTTTTGTGAATTTAGCAATGCGTATAAATGGACAAAATCCTATTTAGGGATGTTTGGACATCAATTATTGTAGTAAATATTGGGGTGAACATTAAACTTACACACCTTAACGCCATATTGGTTATTGCTAACTTCATTTGATTGCATATTTTGAAAGTAAACGAAATTTTGAATAAAAAAATGTACAGGGTGTACCTTTTAAAAGTATGTTAGCTTGTTGAATATGCGATTTTGTAGCTCTAATAATAAGAAAGTTAGGGAGTGTCGGTTTTACTTGTACACACTTTGTTATACTGCAATGTTTCCTCGTAGGGCCGCCATATACACAGCGGTGTTCACAACAGTCCATTACATCATAACGTTTTGTATCGTAATCTTCAAGATGACTGTAACATTCAGTACGTACCTGATCACGAAGCTCTTGAAGAAACTGAAGATAAGACTGGCTTAGTTCACACATCTTTACCCGCACAACCCGGTATCTCTCGACAGCAGCTCATCAATAGGTTTGTGTGGTGCGCGTGGCGAATTGTTTTTCACAGCTGAGTTGTAGTCCGTGTCCAATTTGTGGTGATAAAATATCCGGATTTCACTACGGTATTTTTAGTTGCGAATCTTGTAAGGGATTTTTTAAACGCACCGTACAAAATCGAAAAAACTATGTTTGCTTGAGGGGCGCTGCGTGTCCTGTTACTGTAGCGACGAGGAAAAAGTGTCCCGCTTGCCGTTTTGATAAATGCTTGCAATGTGGAATGAAACTCGAAGGTACATACTTTATAATGTAAAGGTTTAGGCTGATTTTTATGTAACATCTAATATTTAAAAAAATTCAATTCTATTATTATACTGGGAATATTTCTATGCTGGTTATAACGATAATAAACAAGGCGTAATAGATGAGTAAAAAACTAGTGGTGGCAGAGAGGGTCACACAGATATTAATAGGTTTGGTATCAAATTAAGACTCGTTTAATTCTCCAATATTCAGTTGTAATGAAAATTTTTCACAAAATCTTTGAAAACCATTGTATAGAGTGGTTCAAATTTGTGACTCACCGTTGTGATCTTCCTTATGGTGAGAAATACAGTTTAGGTTAAATGGGGGAAAATGTGTGATTAAAAAAACGCATTTGACATTTTTGAAAATAACTGAAAAGCTGAATCTAAAATTTGGTTTTTTAGCTGAAACGGTCGGAAATGGACAGTTACCGTCTATAGGCACTTTTTTTCAGAGAAAATGAATCTATTTTCAGAATATCCATAGCACACTAGGTATACACAGTGTCCATTTTTCGAGTGGCACTATGGGGATCTCACTTATCTTAAGAGATAGAAACTTGGTTAAATGGGGGCCATTTTGAATTTTCACAATTTGAGATTACGTATTTTTTTCTCTTTATAACGATATATCACACATGGTGGTTCAGTAACACATTTTTCCTAAAAATACAATTTTTAATTTTTTGAGAAGAGTGCTTTGGAAAAACAAAACGTTCTTTTGTTGTGAACAAAAGGTTGACTTATTTCATGTATTGTCATTTAGGTTTATGCTAGTTGTATTGCGAAAATGCCTTTTTCAAGTGCAGATCAAAGAGATATGATGCAAATTTACTACACTTCTCATCGAAATTGCCACATATGGCTGCTGCAACATACTTGCAGTGCAGCGTTATCCAGAGCGGCAACAACCTAGTTTGAGGTATTTTTCGTTGCTGCATAAAAACTTGGGCGAATATGGTTCTTTTAAAAGATGTAGACAGCAATATATGGTGATAGACCCAATGAATATGAGTAGGCAATTTTGCAAGCGGTAAAAATTTAAATAATTACAACTACTGATCCATTCATCATTTAATAATTGTTAATTAGGTGCAATAAAACAATCCATCTTGTCTCCTCAAAAGAAGTTGCAGCCCAGCTGAATTTACAAAACATTGCCAGCCGACCTTGATGAACTTCGTCATAATTGTGAGCACTCTCGGGCACAAGAATAGAAGAAAGGATGTGTCAAGAGCCATAGCCAATCTTGGGAAGAGAGTGGCACTGTGCTCAGAATTAGGAGGTGGGCAATTTGAACACATGTTGTGATATTTTCTAATTTTAATTATAAGTTTTTTGCAAAACAAAGGTTAAATTCTGTTCAGGTGAAAATCTAATTTCTACTTCTCTGACAACTCTGCAACCAGACAGACGGATTAAACTGTCAAACTTTTGTTTACAACAAAAGAACGTTTTGTTTTTCCAAAGCACTCTTCTGAAAAAATTAAAAATTGTATTTTTAGGAAAAAAATGTGTGATATATCGTTGTAAAGAAAAAAAAAGACGTTATCCCAAAATGTCAAAATTCAATATGGCGCCCATAAGAAAAACTAAAGTTGCCACGTGTTTCTCCGTCATCTTGAAAGTTATTAAAAACAGAATGCCATATTTGAAATCTCCATTAAAAAGTGTCCGAATAATGTGTTAATTAGAAATGCCTACTACGATTAGTTAATCTAAAAAAAATTAAAAACGAAAATCAGAACTATTGAAGATATTTCAAATTTCTTTTCAGATTCTTATTCAGCACGGAAATTTGCTCCCATTTAACCAACTTTCTATCTCTTAAGAAAAGTGAGATCTCCATAGTGGCACTCGAAAAATGGACACCTTGTATGGCTACATGCTACTATTTTCTTATTTCTTGTGGGCCTGATACTGAATTTTTACGAAATGAGAAATGAATGCATCACCATGATAACCATATTGATGCGGCAAGATCTAGTTACTCACGGATGTTTTGTTGAAAAGTGAATGTAAAACATTTTTCGTGTAAATTTATGTAAAAGTATAGAGTGTGACGCATAATAATTTTTCCTTTTTGCCCTCTTATTTCATTCTGTAAAAATCCAGTATGGCGTCCATAAGAAATAAGAAAGTAGTAACCTGTCACATTTACATCTAACATGCTATGGAAATTCTGATAGATTCAAATTCTCTGAAAAAAGTGCCCGTAGATGGTGCGAACGGGAACCGTCCATTTCCACCTCTTTAAGCTAAGGAAAATGAAAACGAACTTTGACATTTTCAGTTTTTCGGTTATGTCTTGGTTATTTTCAAAAATTTGAAATGCGTTTTTTAGGTACAAAAAATCTCTCCCATTACGGAGATCCCAATGGTGAGCCACGAATTTGAAACACTAAATTCGATTCTTTTGGGTTGACTTTCAAGTGTAAGAAAACCTGAAAAAAATTCTAATTTTGTTTTTCTAAAATATGACATACGCCATCTATTATTTTTGTCTAACATTAAATTCAACTGACATAAACATCACATCATCAGTTCTCTACATTGCACGTTGTAGTGCTCTTCCTCCACTCCATTTGAGCTTGTATCTCCGTCTTCATTGCTACGTATCCTCCTTTTCTTTGTTTCATAAGTCTATCATCTATATCCAGTTCCTTCCACCACATCTCTTTTTTTGTCCTTAATTAATGTCCATGCTTCGCAACCATATAGCATTATGGCCCAAACCGAGCACTTTGCTAATGTCTTCTTCAATTCTATATCCAGCTTGCTCACATCGTGCCCACCTTTTTGTCTGCTTGTTTTGCCATTTCAGTGTTTCAGCTCTACAACCTGGGTTGCTTGTATCGGTTCACCTGCTCCAGCTTCTCTCCTCTTACCTAAATTCATCTACCCACACTCATTACTATAGTTATTTAGTGTTTATCTTCAAGCTATTCTCTCAAGTTGTTGCAACATTTCTTCCACAGAGGATAATGTCATCAAAGTGAATAGACGCTATTCTTTCTCTAACACTAGTTCTCTTATTTTCATCGCAGCATTCTTCTGTCATTTTCTTAACATTGGAATGGGTTGCAGAAAGCAAACGGCGCCACTTAACTCTTCTGCCAATAGCAAATCAATTAACTTATACAAATGAGGGGCAAACAAGGGAGAGTACAATATTACTGATATGATGACATGACTGCGTTGATTTTTTCAACAAGACGGCGCATCATACCACACAGCGCACGAATCAACCTGTGTTTTGGCCTCGACAATCTTGTGATATCACACCTATTTTTTTTGTAAGGATATGCGAAGTCGCGAGTCTACGCCCATAAACCACAGACGTTGGACCACAAATAGTTTTTTAATTTTTATAATTTTACTACCCCTTGACCATGCAGAAATTCGCCACTGACCACCAATTTAAAGTACATAGATTGGATACCCTAAAATCCTTCTTTAACAATTGAAGGTATATTCAGTGACTTCAGACAAAATGTTCACCCTGTATAGTGATTGAACAAAATTAAAAGAAAAAACCCGAGTTTTGGGACTTTTGTGCTCCTTGGCCATTCAGCAATCAGTTGTTACATCTGAATCAGCCTTTGCGTTAATCTTGAATGTACAAATTTTTGTATTTTGTAATGTATTATTTGCAGCTATTAGGGAAGATAGAACAAGAGGAGGTCGATCTACATATCAGTGTTCTTACTCGTTGCCTCCATCCTTAACTAATCATCCTGAATTAAGAGCTAGCTCCACGGATTTACGTCACGGCTATGATACGCCTCAACAAGTATTAAGGGTTAAATTAGAGCCTACGGATTGTGGGATGTATATGAAAAGATCAAACACCGGAAACTCTCGACTAAGTGTCCCGCCATTATTGCAAGTGAGTACTACACGGAATGACCGAAGTGTCCACTTGACTGGAGGAGGGATCCTAATTTGAGGTAATTTTGTTTTAGGAAATAATGGACGTGGAACATCTTTGGCACTACAGCGAATTAGAATTAAATAAATTAACGGACGGTACGTTAGGCAAAGCCGGTTCGAGTAGCGCGGTTCATAATTTGTCTTCTCACCCGTTACTTGCCGGCACTGCTCTTGCGGGCTCGACTGATAGTAACCCGGATTTCGTAGCGAACCTGTGCAATATAGCCGATCATCGATTGTACAAAATTGTGAAGTGGTGTAAAAGTTTACCTCTTTTTAAGAATATTTCGGTAGGTACCTTGCCTTTGTCATTTGATAAACTGAGTAAACTTTCGTTTAGATCGACGATCAAATATGCTTGCTGATAAATTCGTGGTGCGAACTGTTATTGTTTTCGTGTTGTTTTCGTTCTGTCTCGACCCCTGGCGAAATAAGGATATCGTTAGGTAAAAGTATTAGCTTGGAACAAGCAAAGGAAATGGGTTTGGGGGCATGTATAGAAAGGATGTTAAATTTTACCGATCATTTAAGACGACTTAGGGTTGATAAGTATGAATATGTTGCCATGAAAGTTATTGTGCTACTTACGTCAGGTAAAACTGTTTAATTATTAGATGAGATCATATTGCATATTTTTACCAATTAGATACGTCTGAATTGCGAGAGGCGGAAAAAGTTAGAGCGTCGCAAGAAAAGGCTCTCCAAGCGTTACAACATTACACATTGGCTCACTATCCAGATTCGCCAGCGAAATTCGGAGAATTGTTACTAAGGATACCAGAGCTACAGCGAACTTGTCAGGTATGTTTTAAGGTTGGTTAGTATTTTTCATTTTTCATGTTATAATATACCATTATGCTGTAGTATGAAATGTGACTGTAGGCAATGCAGCATCAGATTAATTGGCAATATACAAGTGTAGTCAAAAGTCAAAAATAAAAAGGGCATTAAGGAGCATTTTGTGTAGTCAATGTTTAAACAGGATTTGACAATGATTGACTAGCAGAAACTATATTAGAAACAAGCATTATAGAAAACACCCTGTAAATGAACTCTTTAAATATTAGATAGAAAACATTCTCAGCTGTCTTTGACTAAATTCAAAATAAATGATATGATGCCTGACATCATAATTTAAGGGGTTTAACAATAGGCAAAGACTTACAAATGCGATGTTCGAATTTTCTTTGAAACTATAACTTGTTTGTTGGTTTTAGATATTATGTATATTAAAAAAGACGTAGAACTTCATGTAGAAGGGTCTTCCATTAAAAAAATGTAATTTTTTAGTCCCATACCTTACAATCGCACCCTGTATAATTAAAAATATTTTGGAGAAATGTGAGCTTTTTTCAGTTTTATCAAGTCTATTAATACCTTGCATTCAAAATTGACTACATCCAGTTGTAGACGTTTGTAACTGAACTTAGGCTATAGATAAGACAAAATCAAGATCTTATGACGGAAGAAACTCAATACGAGGATACATTATTCTAGGTCTGTAGGTTTTTGGGAGATAGTTTTGTATCAAAAACTGAGACATTTTGTAATTGCATTATTTTTTAATTTTCGTTTTTTATTTCCTGTGATTCCGATTGCGATATCTATTATAGATCAGATTTATTTCTTTGTAACTTTTGCAGATATTTTCCTTGTATTTATTTGGCAAAGAAAACTTACCATGTCTAAATGTTGATTTTTATTTTTTTGCTAGATTTTATGCATAAGGTAAAGTAAAACAAAACCAGTGACAATTACTCAAACTGCATAAGTGAAGAGGTGACTGTAGGAGGAGTTTGAAGAATTTCCAGAACATTTTCGGATTTATATTAAATACAGGGTTAAAAAACATTGTTTTGTTTATTTAATGCTAGCTTTTTTTGATCTCCAACATGAATTTTTTAAACGATACTATATTTTTCTTGTATTTTTTGAATGTCGGATGGTTTTCCATATTTAACCATGTCACCTGGTATCTCCGTAACAGTGACAGATACAGTATAGGTTAAATGGTGGCAAAAATCATTAAATGGGGGCAAAAATCAGGAAAATATAAACAAAATTTAACATGTAACATTTTTAGTTTTTCGGTGGTATCTCGGTTAATTTCAAAGAAGAAGAAAAGGGCAAACTTTGCCCCCATTTAACCTATGCTGTATCTGTCACCATTACAGAGATCCCAATGAGGAGCCACGAATTTGGACCAGCCTGTATATGCTATGTATTTAGGTAAAAGATGTCTCCCTTTCAACCAAAATCGACTATTCAATGACCTATTTCCTTACAAGCTGTTCGGTCTGTTTCGTTTTCGTTGTGCCACCCTGTATATACACGGTGTCCATTTTTCGAGTGCCACTATGGGGATCTCACTTATCTTAAGAGATAGAAAGTTGGTTAAATGGGGGCAAAGTTGCCAATTTTCGTGCTGAATAAGAATATGAAGAGAAATTTGAAATATCTTCAATAGTTTTGAAGATATCGCAAAAAAACGAAAATGTCTGATTTTCGTTTTTAATTTTTTTATGATAAACTAATCGTAGTAGACATTTCTAATTAACACATTATGCGGACACTTTAATGCAGATTTCAAATATGGCAACCTGTTTTTAATAACTTTCAAGATGACGGAGAAACACGTGGCAACTTTAGTTTTTCTTATGTGCGCCATTTTGAATTTTTTTTTCTCTTTACAACGATATATCACACATGGTGGTCCAGTATCACATTTTTGTTAAAAATACAATTTTTAATTTTTTGAGAAGAGTGCTTTGGAAAAACAAAACGTTCTTTTGTTGTGAACAAAAGGTTGACTTATTTCATGTAGTGTCATTTAGGTTTATGCTAGTTGTATTGCGAAAATCCCTTTTTCACCAAAGAGATATGATGCAAATTTACTACACTTCTCATCGAAATGCCCACATATGGCTGCTGCAACATACTTGCAGCGTTATCCAGAGCGGCAACAACCTAGTTTGAGGTATTTTTCTTTGCTGCATAAAAACTTGGGCGAATATGGTTCTTTTAAAAGATGTAGACAGCAATATGGTGATAGACCCAATGAATATGAGTAGGCAATTTTGCAAGCAGTAAAAATTTTACATGATTACAACTACTGATCTATTCATCATTTAATAATTGTTAATTAGGTGCAATAAAACAATCCATCTGTCTCCTCAAAAGAAGTTGCAGCCCAGCTGAATTTAGAAAACATTGCCAGCCGACCTTGATGAACTTCGTCATAGAATTGTTAGCACTCTCAGGCACAAGAATAGAAGAAAGGATGTGTCAAGAGCCATAGCAAATCTTAGGAAGAGAGTGGCACTGTGCTCAGAATTAGGAGGTGGGCAATTTGAACACATGTTGTGATGTATTTTGTTCTAATTTGAATTATAATTTTCGTGCAAAACGAAGGTTCAATTCTGTTCAGATGAAAATCAAATTTCTACTTCTCTGACAACGCTGCAACCAGACAGATGGATCAAACTGTCAAACTTTTGTTTACAACAAAAGAACGTTTTGTTTTTCCAAAGCACTCTTCTCAAAAAACTAAAAATTGTATCTTAGGAAAAATGTGTTACTGAACCACTATGTTTGATGTATCGTTGTAAAGAGAAGAAAAGACGTAATCCCAAAATGGCAAAATTCAATATGGCGCCCATAAGAAAAACTAAAGTTGCCACGTGCTTCTCCGTCATCTTTAAAGTTATTAAAAACAGAATGCCATATTTGAAATCCCCATTAAAGTGTCCGAATAATGTGTTAATTAGAAATGTTTACTACGATTAGTTTATCATAAAAAAATTAAAAACAAAAATTCGTTTTTTTGCGATATCTTCTAAACTATTGAAGATATTTCAAATTTCTCTTCATATTCTTATTCAGCACGAAAATTTGCAACTTTGCCCCCATTTAACCAACTTTCTATCTCTTAAGATAAGTGAGATTCCCATAGTGGCACTCGAAAAATGGACACCGTGTATTGTTATTATTATAAAAATGAAAAACATTCATATACTATTGGTTTGCAACTCGAATTGTAAACTAATCTAGCATACAACCGTTTGGTGGCCATAACCATCTACATGAGTGGGGAACCACACGGATCAACATAAATGTGATTGATTTGAAATCAGTGTCCAACTGGTTGCGTAAATTTTGATATTTGGAACTATATTGTCTATTTGTAAAAATGAAGGGACCCTTATTTTAGGATCAACCCGCGTATAAAAAAATGCATGTTTGAAGAAACGGGCTGAAGTGTGTAACACATTTTGATTCTATATAATATCGTTCCATCATCTTTTGCCAACTGTGAACAAATCTAAATTAACAATGCAAGCACATCATTTGTAGTGTAAAGAAGCCTAGGAGTGTTTTTTCAGAGAGAATATCCTATGCTTGCCTCATTTAGTCATATGTAGCCACACTACAGGTGCTGGTGGTATGTTATAACATTTTGTAAATTTATTTTTAGAATTTTAATTTATTTTTATAATGTGAAAGGTCGGAAAGGAAATGTTGACGATTAAATCGAAGGACGATGAAGGGCCAAGTTTTAACCTGCTCCTGGAGCTGCTTCGAGGGGACCACTAGATGTGCCTTATTAGCTTTGGTGGCGGGTTCATACTTAACAGACAGTATTGCTTATTTCTTTAGCTTTAAGTGGAAACTTTACGTACTTAGTTATATGTGCTGGACACTCGATTTTTATCTATCGTTTGAAGACACTCGAAAACACCAACGTGAAATGATTTACGAATTGATAAAAGATCTTCAAATGATGGGCAATTATGTAATATTAAGATCGCAACGGATCAAAAATGTATATAAATATATATATTTTTAATTATTTTAATATTTTGATATTTTTATTCTATTTGAACTAAGCTTAAGCTTGTTCGTTGAGTTTTTAATAATATCTATCTAAATCTATTTAAAGTTGAGAATGCTCAAATATACTTGTATGTAATATGAGTGTAGAGCAGTGTTACGTGGTGTTAATAACCACTTCAAAAGACTTCATTCCAATAATGCAATGTAATATTTAACTTTGACTTTGAGTTTACTGACAATTGATTGAGGAAACATCTAAAGGCTCAAAACCCGTTTGTCAATTTATTTGTACGAGTGCAAAAGGGACATTTTTTATTTATTACACATTTCAGGTTGTGCCTATATCTGATTTTATATAATATGTAACCGTCACATTTTTAAAATGATAAGATTATGCGAAACTTATCATGGCACACAGGCAGAGTATAATTTACAATTTATGTACGCATTCTTACCAAGTTAAATTTCTTTCACAGCATCATTTCGAACATGTGTATTTTATATGACTCCACCTCCTTTAAGTGGTAACCTTGTAGATCTTTAACACATATGAATGTGCCAAGTTAGCCTTAAAGTGTAAATACTGCAACTGTCGGGCAGAAGTGATAAATTAAACAAAAACATTTTCCAATTTAATGTTTTAGTGTTGCTAGTTATACACCTACACGGTAACTTGTAGCTGTGAACAATACTATAACAGTTATTAGCAAATTAAATAGGCTTTCTTTTTCGATTCGAGCCTGTAATACACTAACACTAATGTGTGATTTATCAAACAAATCTAACGCCGAAGTTTGACTATTGCGGGCCGAAAATGTTTTTAATAGATAAAATTTTTGCCTTTGTAAGTTATACTTTGCAAACGTTAGAGATCGTGTTCAAATTGACAATTCTTACATAGACAATTTAATCGTTACAATTGTTATAAACTGTCAATAAAACATACACATTATAAGACTTAGGGAGGCCTTCCATGCCTGCATGCAATGCAGTATTAGCCGTAAAATTTTATACTTTGTCATTTTACGAGCTATTTATATGGATCATTTTTGTATGAAATATATAAATATATGCAAATTTTAGTTTTTATTTATCACAAAATAATATAACCATTTTCTAATTACTACCATCGCTCAACTTGTTATTCCTTAAAAACATTTGTCCCTCTAGGAACATTTTTATCAGCTTTCATTTGTTTTTGTTTCAACTCGATGTTTTGATGTTTTAATTCCATCTTGACCAAGGGCGTTACATTGGGCATCATACTGCTCAAAATACCAGTGAACATTAACATAATATGCTGCAATATATTTTCGTAGAACGTACAATGACATTCGTTATACTTACCTCGAAAAATATCGCTACTATGAATCTAACGGATAATTCTAACCAAAACTGACCGGAAAGCTTGTATTGGTCTGGAGTACCCGGTGAATTTCTTTCTCCGCGATAGTAGCACATTTCAAGATCGCTGTGAGTGAAATTGCCTTTGAGGTCTTTCGGATCAAAAACTAGAAATATTTATGGGGTGGTTGCAGAAAGTACTTACATCCTACCTGAAAGTGTACTATTTATAAATCCTTTAAGCATGTAATCATGTTTCGCTCTGTATAGCTCTCGCTTGACAATATTACTCGTAAATGCTATTATGAAGGCCTGCAATGTACAATTAATATGAAATGTCAACAAAAAAAACGCTTACATTGCTAATTATACTCATGCTAGACATGGCTTTCAATAAATTAATCCACACATTCATGGATCCGGTACAGATGGGAACTGGTCGGCGACAGATTCGGACATACTTATGTGCATCAGTCCTTAGCTCCAGAATATTATTTATCAGTGCACAGAGTGGAGCTAAAGGGAAGGCGGCGGCAAAAAATGTAACAAACCCGTACTGCATGACTTAAAAAGTTGAAATGATAGAAATGATGAAAATCAACGAGTAAATACCAATTTCCATATATTCCCCGACAAGAAAATATCTCTCAACTTCCCGTAATTCGAAGTCTTGTTCCCACCGTGGCAAATCTTCATTTGTTGATTGCGAAATCCCCCATTTCAAGCGTTTTTTACATGCTCTGAAGTTATGGTGGTATTCAATTGTTTTTGCTACTGTAACTTACGGCATCATGGCAGAATAAATGTTTCCTACCAGACTCTTGAATAACATTACAAAAGCCAGTTGGATGCAAATGCCCATAATACATCCCGCCGGGTGACATATGTCTGCGTGAAAGTGCGTTAGTATCCACGAACCCTTCTCTCCCGGGTATGTGTACAACTTTCCCTAAAAGACGAACTTCGTTTGTTAAAACGTAAGAGTAAGCTAACTCACCTTTACGAAACTTATATAAACCATGGTCGCGTAGTTGTTGACGAATGAAAGCAAAAACCGCTTGTGAATGTATGACTTGTCAAATTGTTCTTGAGTTTTGGGATTTTCGTTTTCGGTGAGCCAAATGGAAATTTTTCCGTACCACTAAATGCACACGTGTAATTTCGGCGAAAATTTCATTTGGCAATAATGAACACTGCCTGTTACTCCAAGGATAAACGAAATGACATTGATTTTGTTATGCCAAGCTCTGTGTGTAGGTATAGGTTGCTCAGAAAAATATTACCCAAAAATTTGGAATGTCGACATTTATTAATGTTTCAAGTCCATAACTTTTGATTGAGACGTCCGATCGAAAAAGTACGAATTGTTTTGGATTCTACGCACCAAAATTAATAAGAAAAAGTGTTTTCCCGAGAAATTTTGGTGCAGTTGATTTTTTGTAAAAAAGGAAGGTTATTAACACTGCATTTTTTTGAGCCCGAAAAAAAAATTGTCTCAGATCGACCCGGAAAAAATTTTTTTTATAGAATGTGGCCTGTAGAATCCATAATTTCCAACAGTTCCAAGATTGGGCTTCTAGTTCAAAAGTTACAGCCCTTTGAATTTTCTTTCGAAATTGGTTTCTAGTCAGGGGCGGGCCAGGTGGAATTGCATAGGTTACGGGCCATTAAAGTATTAGTGTAGTAATGAAGGTGGCGGGGGGTAGCTCTGCGGTGCACCACAAAAACATTTTTTGCTTCATTTTAAGGTACTCCTTTTTCGGAAATCAATTACAATACAGTTTTTTTTTAAATTGCAGCTGATAATTAAAAGTAACAAAATATACAATCCAAACGAGGCGCGTCGCCTATCATTGTATTTCAGCACTTTCATGCTACGACAAAAAATGATAAATTCATTGTAAAACACTTCAATTAAAACAGAATTTTTAAATTTTTTAACAACCTAACATCAACCCCAATTAGAGAAACGTGTTAATATAATTTATTAATAGTGCAAGAAACTAAATACAGCACATACTTATAAATTTCTAACGGGCCATTATGACGTACAGACCAGGCGGCAATCGCCACCCGCCCCCCCCCGGGCCAGTCCGCCCCTGAATGTTTGTTTTTAGTCCAGGCTATATAATATTTTTGTATGAAAAAATTAGTTACCGGGCGAAACCGGGTTTTTCATAGAATTTGGGAAAAAATAATTAAAACAGCTGAATTTGTCCGCGGGTGAAATCACGGGGGTTGAAAGGGGTGGAAAGTGGTATTTTGCAAATTGTGGTAAAACTATTGATTTTAGACGAAAATGTTAAATGTAAAAGTTATAGAGATTAAAAAAATGAGCAACTTTTGTATCTGCACTATTTTCACATAACCTCCAATTTTCCTAGAAAAACCGGAAAAACTGTTTTTTTCGTTTTTTATTCTTATTTTTGCGAAAAAATGTCGGAGGGGTTTGAAATTTGGAGGTAACATAACCTGTTTTATGATAAAACAGAAGATAATTGTTTGGTCCCATAAAGTTGAACCGTTTCCAAGATCTCACGATTTCTGAAAAAATCACCTCTTTTTCAAGGGGATGAAAAATCTATTTTTTTTATCGTACAGAGGCGCGCGGGGTAGCAAAATTTTCGGGAAGACATATTTTAATAAACAAAAATAAAAAAATATTCCTATAGCAAAAATTCGAGAAGATCGACAAAAACCGGAAAAACAGTTTTAAGATATACACGGTTTTTGACATGATAAATCAACATGTTGGATGTTAATAAAGATTTTTTCGAAATCTGTCTTCTTCCTTCTCTTTAATGTTTCCCTAAATATTCTCTTTTGTTATCTTATGCTCAACTGTTTTAGTTAAAACATCTTTATTATTTCTTTTTTCTGCATTTTTACCGCAATAAAAGCAATTCGAAATAAAATCGAATTATGTATCTTGCTTCCTGATTCTTGAACAATTTATTTTTGTTCACTGACTTCTTTCTGATTGTTTTATAGCTGATGCAATTGCGTTGGGCCTATTGATAAACTGGCAAAATCTGCAATAAGAACGTTGGTTTTACCGGCCAAAAGCAAATGATTTGAGATGTCAAACCTGCAGGAATAAACTTTATGAGGATTTTATTCACAATTCCTGTAAATTAACGATCAACAGGCCCAGCTTATTCCCATCAGCTGTAAAACAGGCAGGAAGAAAAGTTAGTGAACAAAAACATATTGTTCAGGAAGCAAAAGAATTCGATTTTACTTAAAATTACTTTTATTGCGGTAAAAATGCAGAAAAAAGAAACAATAAAGTTGTTTTAATTAAGGCAGTTGGGCACTGGGAAACAAAAGAAAATATTTGAGCAACATTAAAGAGGGAGAGAAGACAGATTTCCAAAACTTTTTATTAGCGCGGATCCAACACGTTAATTTATTTGCAAAAAAAGCCTATTTACCTAGTATGTCAAAAACGGTGTATCTTAAAACTGTCCTCCCCGTTTTTGAAATTTTTTTATTGGAATAATATTTTTTATTTTTGATTATTAAAATGTAAGTCGTTACGAAAATTTTGCTACACCGCGCACCTCTGTACGATGAAAAAAATAGATTTTTCATCCCTTGAAAAAGAGGTGATTTTTTACAGAAATCGTGAGATCTTGGAAACGGTTCAACTTTATAGGCCCAAACAATTATCTTCTGTTTTATCATAAAACAGGCTATGTTCCCTCCAAATTTCAAACCCCTACGACATTTTTTCGCAAAAATAAGAATAAAAAACGAAAAAAACAGTTTTTCCGATTTTTCTAGGAAAATTGGAGGTTATGTGAAAATAGCGCAGATACAAAAGTTGCTCATTTTTTTAATCTCTATAATTTTCACATTTAACATTTTCGTCTAAAATCAATAGTTTTGCCACAATTCAGCTGTTTTAATTATTTCTATTCATTTCACCTGCCTGAAAAACCTGGTTTCACCCGGTAACTAATTTTTTTTGAAAATAAATCATTTTAGAGCTATTTAGCCTGGACTATTTGGTAAGCGACATAGTGATGGACTACGAAATAAGGGAGGACAAAATGTAAAATTGATTACCGCTAAATGTTTCTTAGAATAAACAGAATTTTATGTTTAAGATTTCTTAGCACTGGATTGGAGATCTTAAGAAAATTCCCATAGCCTTTCTCTTTGGAGATTTCATTTTGTTTTTTGATTATTAATAATATAATAAATACGTCGGGATGACGACCCCACCACCCATCACCTTTTGGCAACACAATCAGACATTAAAACAGTCAAATTCCCTAGTTTCCTCTTAAAAACATGTTCTAATGCTGTCATATAGTCTAAACTGCCCATCTCTGGCTATTTTTCTTGTAAAAAAAATTGGTGATTTTTTCAAAAACTTGAGCTTTATATAATCCACAGAATAAGTCTTACAACTAACAGTGTAATTGCACTGTGGAGGCATCAGCACCTCTGTTTTGTGTATCACAGAGGTTTGTATACTTACTTTGTTAAATACTTTCATGAACATAACACTTAAAAGCGATCCTGTGGTCATTGTAAAAAATGAGGTATTGTTCTTTAGGATCTTCACATTGCTGGCGTTTATTAAATCAGTTACCGTAAGCCTGTATATAATGGTACCGAAAATTGCAGTTAACACAATTAGCATCTGTAAAATTGTTTTCATTTATTTTTGGGCAAGGGGGGCTTTTGACTTCTTACCATTGCCAAGCAAACAATAACAGTGATAGCATTATTTTTTATAGTGACAAGGGTGGGGTTGCGAAGGATCTCTTGGCGCTGTTTACTGTTGGTTAATTTATTATGATCTTTAACAAAATTGGCACAAAGTTACCTTATATCTTCTACGTCTTCTTCATTTTGAATGTTCCAGTGGAGTGACAGTGTAGTATAATACCTTTTCCACTGATAAAGGAAGACAGTACCTGAAAAATTGTATCATTTTTTTTATATGTTAATCACAATTTACCCCAAAACGCCATACAGAAGGCAAAGACAACTGTTCCCGTATTATCAAATACGCACATTGCTTTCGCGTAACCACAATATTGTTTCAAATAAGTAAATTTCCAGTTATGTAAGGTGAAGTACGGTGGACAAATTTTGAGGTCACTACTACATAGTTCCTTACTAAAACTCTCTGCCATCATCTCCAAATCTTCATATTTTGCAGAATACCTACGTAATATTATAATTCCAATGGTGCGTTGTAAATATTCCATAAAATACACAAAGTATCCCAACGATGCTGGCATGAATTAACATTCTATTGTAAAATCCACAAAAAGCAAAGTAGACCGCCACTTCTGACCCAAAATACATTTTAATCAAATTCAACGGTTGCTCTTTGTACCACATACTCAAACGTGCCCAGAATTCTGCCAATAACTTCAATTAAATTAGTGTGCGTCAATTTATACAAATTTTACTACCTGCAGTTTGGTCAAGTGACCTTCTTCGGTCCATCTCCAATTACCAGCATGAAGAGGGTAGGCGGCTATGAAAATTTTTTTCTTAATCAACTTGGATATTCCGCACTCAAATTCATCGGGTCCAAATTGTGTGGTATTTAGTAGTTTATTTATGACGATCGCCCTTTCCATGGTGGAAATTCTGCTAGGTTTTTCCCCTTTCAAAGACTTACTAAAAGGCTGAATGGTATAGTGACATTAAGTCTGCGTTGAACATGTTACAGTGCTCTCGAAAACGTTATGCTGTTAGGGTTTGTTATGTCTGTTTTCATAATTTCATATTTTGTTGTAGATTCCACTTGGTAGTATAACGAGGTGCATGCAAGTGGTACACCTAAAGCTTCGGCATAGTTGGTCAGTAATTTTTTGGGTCCGTGCACTTTTACGAACATTAAGGTGTCGTCTTTCTAGGGACGCGGTACTTTTACTGAAAATAATAACAAATACGGTACGTACGATCCCTTCGGACATTTCAAAGTGTAAGCCTTTATTTTCCAAGTTCGATATGTAGGTTTTAATATACTCTTTCTCTTGCGCACTCACAGTTGAATGCTTATACACTAATATAAAATCAATTCTGCGCTTTCCGTCGGAGAAATATGTTTTAGAAAATGTACTCTCTACTTCAGTTAGTTGCATATTATTGCTTATTATTAATTGTCACATGTGACATATAGAAATGCGCCTAAATAATATAAATCATCATTTTCTTGCATGATCTAGTGTGTTGTGTTGAGTATGGTGTTCAGAAAAGTACATCATAAATTTTATCTTTGTCACTTGGTAGGAATCAGTTGAAAAAAGTGGATTTGTCTTTTTAAGTCGGTTACCATCTGCGTATATGACGTTCTAAACGTTATCAAGTTGTTTGCGCAAAATGCTATCATTTTTTTTTATTATTGAGATTCTAAAAAATTCTTTTTACGATAGTATTTTGTTTTTCTTAAAAACTCAATTCTTTCCCTATCAAAAAGCTAACTAAATTTTAATCTAGTAGCGCGCATGAATGTTTTATACTCGATGTTATTTTTGTCCAAATATCAAGTAGCGGTAGACACAAAAGAAACAATTAAACTTTATTTTGTAATAAACTTTATACTTAGACAAAAATAATATCGAGCGCTACTAGATTAAAATTTAGTTTGTTTCTTGATAGGGAAAGAATTGCGGGTTTTTAAGAAAAACAAAATATACTATCGAAAAAAAAATGTTTTTAAGATTTCAACAATAAAAAAATTGTCTTCCTGTTTTTATATCCCTCGATGTATTAATAAACAAAAGGCTACAAACCGATAATTTTGCTGTATTTCTGCTCTTAAGAGACAGAGTATCAGATGAAAAAATACATAATACATGAGGTATTATTTTAACACATATTTTGCTTTTACAACTTACTGTAGTGTAGGTATTGTTTTCATTGCCTACTACTTGATTTGTTCAAAAGTGCTATATATCTTGTTTTGTTATAAATGTTTATTAATGTACTATATAATAACAACTTATCAGTCGGTAGCGTATTTTTTCTCCTCATTTTTAGTGGGGGAGAGAACCATCTGTATATGGCTTTCTGCGATCTTAAGTGAAAACTCTGTATCTTCGTCACCCTCCATGTGGATTAAAATATAGCGACCTAACCGTGTTCTGACTCTTATATAGGACTTGGATGCCTGCCCCCTCCTACTTTCGCAAATATGACGTACGCCGGACTACTTTTTTTAATGCGAATTTAACAAATATAGACACAACGTGGGTATTATGGTGTATAAACAGAGGTACAATTTGTGTGCGCTTATCCTCTAATTTCAATAGATCTGCTTGAATGGCCCCGATCCAACAACACTTTCAAATGTGTCTTTACAGCACCTGTGCGAAGGTTAACTTCACTGCTACTTTTAATCAACACTGCAGCAATAGGGTCTTTGCAATCACATGACGAATGACTGCAACATGATGACTCACACTCACTGGGACTTTCCGAAGATGTTTCCGTTACACTCTCAGAACTCGACGTCTCACTACTAAGTTCTGAAGAATCCGATGAGGAATCACTTCGGGATGGTCGCCTTCTTGCGTTGTTTACTGTTACTCGAGCGCTCGTCGAAAGTTGTCCGTAGTAATAATTTGGAGCGTCAACCGAAGTAATTGGTCCAGCAGTAAAGTTCATCTGCGCCAAGTTAATTGATACCGGCAGCAGTTGGTCATAATAATAATTCTTCTGACCGACATCCTCTTTGAGTGGTCGCATCACAGTCGGCTTGTGTTTGAAGATAGTGTTGTAAATAGCTTCCTGTTGCTTTAGTGTGGAAAAATGGCAGATATTCTTTTCTTTGCATTTTTTACGCTTCACAGGCGTGAAAGATCTATCTTTCAAAAGACGATCCGTATACGTGCGAATTATGGTATCGTTTAATAATTTGTCTAAATGATTAATGCGTTTGTTTAGATCGTCTATGTTGGATAACATTGATGCATTTTTTTGAGATTTTGCGATTTTTTCGAGGAATTCGTTGAAATCAACGCGGTCTTCTTTGTCTTTGCTTGAGCTTTCGTCATTAATTACAGCCGAATGATAAACTACCGTTTGCTTTTGATTGTATCCAAAATTTGCATGTTTCATCTCACTGGCGGTTTTTAAGGAGTTCTGCTTTTCACAATTTTTCATAAAATTTTGATAATTTTTTCTTGCGCAATTCTTACAAGAATGGGATTTGAGGCGGTGTCCAACCTTTTGCACTTTGGAAATAGGTAATGGGGAGTAATTAGTTTTGTGCTCTTCTGTAATACTTTTGTGTCTATCACTCGTATAAGTTATATATTCAGATGACGAATGCAGACTCACTTGCAGATCCTTTTCAAACTCTGCGTTAGATACGGCTGCATCAGTCCACTTTTTATCCTCATAGAAAACCGGCTCTTCATAATCGTCGACTGTAGTACTCTCCTCGCCTTTTAAAATGGCTTGACCCTTATCCGAATTTTGATTTAGTAAAAGCAGCATGGGGGAGCGATTTTTATTCAAAACATTTTCCGCAATTGAAACGTGTAGTTTCTTCTTTGTACCGCATCTTTCGTTTCCACAGCAAACGATACCTATTAAACTTTGAGAGGGCTTCAAATTATATACTTCATAATTCAGGCGCAAAGGGCACAAGCTCTGTGAAGATTCATTTTGTTCTGGTGGAACATCACTAAATATGTTCAACAAGGAGAAACCTTTATTACTACGAGATTTTTGGTACGACACATTTTTCTTTGCTTCTAAACATCTTCGACTGTCGTTGCATTCAATCATTTTTCTCTTGGAAAATTACATCTTGCAATTTATCACATGTCAGATTGACAATTATTAAAAGAATCATCAAAATTTAGTCGGTTTTACTCATCAATGCCTCTATGACAAATCATAATTTGATTGCCTTTGTAAGTAGCTGATTAATTTGATCATTTCAAGTGGGTGGTTATAATAGTTGCAGCAATTTCAAGGGGAATTACAGACTGCCATAGACTTTTTTACGACATACGTCAAACAGTGTCAATCGAGTAAAGCGATATCAATAAACTACAGCTACACTGGAAGGTTATCGGATGAATGGAGTGGAAGAAAAATTAGTGTTTCCACACAGCAGGAGTGCGATGCTCCCAATTATTATTACGGTGACTTACGTGTCATGTCACGATTATTCTCTTCAAAGAATAAAAAAAGCAAATCATCTTCCACTTCTGCTGGAAAGAGCGATGCAATATTTACGAGCAATGTTGATACAAACACAAAATTGACGGCAAAGGAAGATGTGGCAACCACAGTTCAGGCGGAAGTTCAACATGATGAAACTCAGTATCATTCCGATTCGGCAGTACTAAATATCGAATCACTAATTAATAATTATAAAAGAAACATCCCTACCTTAGATAAAAGGCGAAATAAACCATTAATCCCAGATAAGTTTGCTGAACATCAGCCGGTTACATATATGGATTATTGTGTACAGGGTTTGTACTTGAACCGAAAATGTACGGAAGTTTCGCAGGTCTCTTCTCCAATATCTGATGCAAACTTATCGTTTAATTATGATTTATGCAATGGCATTGGTGTAGATACTACTCTTTAGTACAAATATAAAAATAAATGGTAACCAAGAAAGGAAAACTAATAAAATAAATTAGGTACCTATAGTAATATTTTGAATTTTAAATTTTAACGTTAGGGGGTTGAGTTGATTTATAATAATTATAATTTAACTAAAAATCATAGCACTGTAACATAGGATTAGCATTTACCTCACCATCTACAGTCATTCTTGACGAGCGTCAGTTAGAAAGATATGGAAAATCTTTGAAAATGAAAATAAACTGATAAGTTCTTTGAGGGTCTTGGCACATGATGAATTGAACTAAAATATTTTCAAGATGGCGCCACCGGAAGTAGCCATCAACTTTGTTATTTTAAATAGAGACCCCCTATTTTTTTCTATTTTTTCGGTTTCTACGTTGAATTCGGAGCACAACGATGCCCCATAGTTGACCCTTTCCTCCACAGGCTTCCTCGATATTCAAGTTTTTATGTCAAAAATTGAATTTGCAGGGGTCATTTTAAAACTCTATTATTCGAAAACGGTGAGAGATATTGCAAAACAGTTTTCAATGCTTTATTAAGGAAAGATCGAATTTTCTTATGGTATACGAAACCGTCTAAAAAAGTGAGACTACGTCACTTTTTCAAAGCTCTCAACTTTTAAATTTTTAAATTTCGGCAACTCCATTTTTTTAAATGGCACCCCCCTTTTTGTTCTTCACCATTGTTTTCCTTTTGACCCAGACCTTTAATTTGATACAAAATGTGAAAAGCTGCTTCAAACGGTTTCCGAGATATTCCATGTTTTAGTTACTTCTTGTAGCAAATTGATAAAAAAATGAATTCGCTTTTAAATGAAAAAGTATAACATCAAGCGACTTAATTTTTTTATCAATTTGCCACAAGAAATAACTAAAACATCGTCCTGGGAAATTTTTCTTATAGAACGTGACCTGTAGAATCCATAATTTCAAACAGTTCCAAGATTGGGCTACTAGATCAAAAGTTACAGCCCTTTGAATTTTCTTTCGAAATTGGTTTCTAGTCTATAACTTTTGATTGAGAAGTCTGAATAAATGGTACTTCAAAATGTACGGAGTCTTGCAAGATCAGTAGAGCAATTGTAGTTTAAAGGCCCGGTTTTTGAATAGATAGATTAAATACAATAAGTACTAGTGCGCCAACTCCATGGCAATCGATACACATTCTATCAATTATAGTTTTAGAAGTCTAGTTGAGATGTCGCCACGTACGCACCTTCTTTTAAAATTTCATTTGAATTTATGCGATTAATAGCAACGTTGCACTTATTATTCCTTAAATGCAGTGCCGTTTTTAAGTTTTTTTGGGCCCTGGGCCATTCGGTCGTGGAGGCCCTCCTTATCCTCAATAAAAGCTGCAGATTGGGGAGATTCAAGCAAATCCCTAATTTGAATATGGGCACTCGATATTTGTGTAGCCTGGTTTGTAGGCAACACATCATGCTCAATGAACAGAAAACATTTATTTTGCAATTCGTAACTTCTTATGCATAGGAGTTTATTTAAAGCCCTTGGAAGAACAATTTCAATAACAGGTACATTAAACTGAACCGTTTTACAACAATTTTCACACGAAGATCGCACAAACAACACATTTTTTCGTGATTGCAAACTGCGTAACACTTTTGCCTTATTTCGCTGCCAATTTCACTACCGTTTCTATAACTGTAGTTCTATCAAATAAACTCTAGGCTCAATTCTTTAAAGAATAGCTTCGCACCATCGCCAGCTGCTGCAATCATGTAATCGTTCCGATTTTAACCTTGAGAAGTTCGAATTGCATTAGAATGGGTTTTCTGCGAGTTCTCCACGGCGTCCTCCTGTTTTGGTTACAAAGCATTTCCCTTTTCAATTTGTGTTGTCTGAATTCAATGCTAACGTTTCTCATCCATCGAGAACTATAATACATGTCTTCGATTGCACGACCCAGAGCGAACAGTATCATATTCCGCAAAGGTTGAGTCTGCCGTTTTCCTGTCACTCCCAGTAGCCAGTTCCCTAATTTAAACCTGTAAGCGAGAAAGGAATGATAACAAAGTTTAATTTTTGACTATAAAATAAACATTCATTATGCATTTGAGGTTAAAACTTCATATATCTATGGTTTTTTAAAACCGCGCTCTGACATCTAACGTTAGTTTCAGAAAGTACATTACAAAATAGTGTGGCGACATCTTTGAGGTGTAAGTTCCAACTAAAATAATGGTGGTAATAAAGTGTCCAGCATTTTGTGATAAAATGATAGTCCCCAATAATAAAGACAGATGTCAGCACTGCGTTGATTATTTCCATAGATTATAAATACCTAGATACAGCCATCCTTAACAAACGTACCTCGGTTTTTAAAAAACATATCAAAGAAATTTGTACATCTCTCCATTACTTTCTAACCAAGAAGAAACATGTTCTATCTCTTTTTATTGCATTAACCACTATGTCGTACGCGAATCAGACGCTTAAAACAAACTTAGCGCGTCCCATGAGTCATGTGACAGTTGACACATTTCACGATCGCGCGAAATCAAATCTAACTAAAAATATTCGCCCTAAACATGATGGGCGGTTTTTTCACTAAATATTATGTAATTATTGCGTTTTCAATTGAATACGAATAAAATTAGTGCTTGCCATAATGATAGACGCGTCCATAATTGTTATTCCTGAAACAGTTTTATTACATAGAGCTACGCCATTCAAATTTGGGACTATGTTTACCTTGTTTGGCATGATGTGCTGCAGTGAATTCATTGCTGGCTTGCAGAATATCAAAAAAACCGTAAATAAGTAAAGTTTATGTTCAACATTTTAATTTTAATTGCATGGTTTTAGGCGTAATGGTAACGGAGATTAAGTTGCGACAGGAAGTGAATTCGTTTCCAATTATCATTTTGGCCTATATGATGTTGATGCAGTGCGTTTGTATCATGATCACAAAGAAGGATCCGTGCAATATTCTTAGGAAAACGAGATTTGTAGACTGTGTGTGCGTGCAATATCAAATTTTGGTCGCTACGCGTCTTGCCTACCTTTCGGCATATGTCCAATCGGTGGGGTTTCTTTTTGAAATTATAGTGCTAATTATTGTAGTTGTAAGTTATACGTGTACATTTATTTAAAATAAAACAATTGGTGATAATAGTCATTTAGATGAACATTTATTACGTTTGTAAAGTTCACAATCCGAATCATCGTCAGATGAAATTGACAAATCCGAACCATCACTGTCATTATTAACACTTATTATAAAGTTCAGAAACATCAACCAATATAACTTCTCTTTTAAATTAATCACTTTCCACATGTTCACACACTTTCTTCCAGTTGTCAGCTGTAATTTTTTTAAATTCTTCATTTGCCAGCTTTCTAAGTAACATCTTCCATTTTAAATGTAACATTTCTTGCTGCTAAGCGATTTAAATAAATAAAAGGGCGGTTTATTTATGTTGTGAAGTCCCAAATCTGATCATTTTCTTTGTGATTTGTGCTAACAATTTGATTGACAGTTATAATAAATAATGCGAATCTTGTCTTCCATGCTCAGGGTACCTCTATAAAGGATAGCGCTATACGTAATTAATGTGCTGAAAGTGATGGTAATAGATGGTACGTCCTTTTGAACTATGTTGGGGTATGGCTGTATCTATGTATTTATATATCTATGNGCCCTTTGAATTTTCTTTCGAAATTGGTTTCTAGTCTATAACTTTTGATTGAGAAGTCTGAATAAATGGCAGTTCAAAATGTACGGAGTCTTGCAAGATCTGTAGAGCAATTGTAGTTTAAAGGCCCGGTTTTTGAATAGATAGATTAAATACAATAAGTACTAGTGCGCCATCTCCATGGCAATCGATACACTTTCTATCAATTATAGTTTTAGAAGTCTAGTTGAGATGTCGCCACGTACGCACCTTCTTTTAAAATTTTATTTGAATTTATGCGATTAATAGCAACGTTGCACTTATTATTCCTTAAATGCAGTGCCGTTTTTAAGTTTTTCGGGGCCCTGGGCCATTCGTTCGTGGAGGCCCTCCTTACCCTCAATAAAAACGGCAGATTGGGGAGATTCAAGCAAATCCCTAATTTGAATATGGGCACTCGATATTTGTGTAGCCTGGTTTGTAGGCAACACATCATGCTCAATGAACAGAAAACATTTATTTTTGCAATTCGTAACTTCTTATGCATAGGAGTTTATTTAAAGCCCTTGGAAGAACAATTTCAATAACAGGTACATTAAACTGAACCGTTTTACAACAATTTTCACACGAAGATCGCACAAACAACACATTTTTTCGTGATTGCAAACTGCGTAACACTTTTGCCTTATTTCGCTGCCAATTTCACTACCGTTTCTATAACTGTAGTTCTATCAAATAAACTCTAGGCTCAATTCTTTAAAGAATAGCTTCGCACCATCGCCAGCTGCTGCAATCATGTAATCGTTCCGATTTTAACCTTGAGAAGTTCGAATTGCATTAGAATGGGTTTTCTGCGAGTTCTCCACGGCGTCCTCCTGTTTTGGTTACAAAGCATTTCCCTTTTCAATTTGTGTTGTCTGAATTCAATGCTAACGTTTCTCATCCATCGAGAACTATAATACATGTCTTCGATTGCACGACCCAGAGCGAACAGTATCATATTCCGCAAAGGTTGAGTCTGCCGTTTTCCTGTCACTCCCAGTAGCCAGTTCCCTAATTTAAACCTGTAAGCGAGAAAGGAATGATAACAAAGTTTAATTTTTGACTATAAAATAAACATTCATTATGCATTTGAGGTTAAAACTTCATATATCTATGGTTTTTTAAAACCGCGCTCTGACATCTAACGTTAGTTTCAGAAAGTACATTACAAAATAGTGTGGCGACATCTTTGAGGTGTAAGTTCCAACTAAAATAATGGTGGTAATAAAGTGTCCAGCATTTTGTGATAAAATGATAGTCCCCAATAATAAAGACAGATGTCAGCACTGCGTTGATTATTTTAATATTGACGTTGAGTGTTTTCACTCAACGATATTGACCAAAAACTCAGGCAAGGCTATAAACATTTTGGGATTTGTGCATTTCGCTGTCAAAGGAGTAAACCACGAAACTCGAAAATTAAACATTTCGCTCCTGTATTATTAGCCTATTCCTAGTGTCATAGCGTTTTTGGAATGCCAAAGGACAGGGCGGGTAAACGGACGGCCGTTTCTAGTCTATAACTATAACTTTTGATTGAGAAGTCTGATCGAAAAAGTACGAATTGTTTTGGATTCTACGCACTAAAATTAATAAGAAAAAGTGTTTTCCCGAGAAATTTTGGTGCAGTCGATTTTTGGAAAAAAGGAAGGTTATACACTGCCTTTTTTGCCTCGAAAAAAAAATTGTCTGAGATCGTCCTGGGAAAAATTTTTCTTATAGAACGTGGCCTGTAGAATCCATAATTTCAAACAGTTCCAAGATTGAGCTACTAGTTCAAAAGTTACAGCCCTTTGAATTTTCTTTCGAAATTGGTTTCTAGTCAATAACTTTTGATTGAGAAGTCTGAATAACTGGCAGTTCAAAATGTACGGAGTCTTGCAAGATCTGTAGAGCAATTGTAGTTTAAAGGCCCGGTTTTTGAATAGACAGAATAAATACAATAAGTACTAGTGCGCCATCTCCATGGCAATCGATACACTTTCTATCAATTATAGTTTTAGAAATCTAGTTGAGATGTCGCCACGTACGCACGTTCTTATAAAATTTTATTTGAATTTATGCGATTAATAGCAAGGTTGCATTTATTATTCCTTAAATGCAGTGCCGTTTTTAAGTTTTTTTGGGCCCTGGGCCATTCGTTCGTGGAGGCCCTCCTTATCCTTAATAAAAACGGCAGATTGGGGAGATTCAAGCAAATCCCTAAGCTGTGGTCTAGTTATAGCAAGTCTCTGGATTAAAATAATAAATGTGAGGAGTGCGCTAAAAAATGAGACAATCGCGCATGCATTAGTGCGTTTGCTCAAATAACGGGCTATTAATACAGTGTTTAGAATGCAATAGTTGAAAATACTGTTAAAGAAAAAAGACAAGAACTTGACATAGGTGAACAGAATGCGTAAGCCAAAAAGAATTTTTAATTAAACTGGAACTGGAATCAAAAATTATTCAAGTCACAGAACCAGAACCCTCAAAAAATAATTCTACCTAAGTAGTGTGGAATAGGAACCCGGATCAAAGGGTGTATTGTTGTCGGGGATTGACATTGGCGCTCTATAAAATTCCCCATTGTCCAGTTAGGACCAGCCCTGTTGTTTATATCTTTGGGCAAATGACAAACTGCAAGTTATAAACAAAATATTTAATGTAAAAATTGTTTTATACAGACACTTACAGTTGAACAATCATCTTTTTATACGTCAATTAAAATAATGGAAGATGTATTGTCCCAGAAAAAGAGATCATTCGATCAATTAAGATTAAATTTATAACGCGATTTCGAGCATTTTTTCCAAACTCAACACTTTTTCTCTAGGCTTCCCCACCTTCCTACCTTGCTCTTGCTCAAACGCGTCAATCTTTTTCCAACCATTCCACGTCACATATCTCTTGTTTTCTTTATTTAAATGCTTTGATACCGCCTCAAAACCTTCCTTAACAGAATGGTCACCACTCTCTAGATCGCGGCATATCATTTCAGCTGTACCAAAAGCATTATTCATGGTCGTCAAAATCACCCCTGTCGGTCCAGTCGCGAGCCACCCTGTTGCGTAAAGTCCATTTCTAATTTTACCCCCGTTACTTATCGCTTTACCACGTTTTAAATCAAACGGAACGCTCGGATCTACCTGAATCGATTTATAACCGATACTGGTTACAACTAAATCACAGTTTAGTGTTTCATTTCGGTTTGTTAATATCGGAAGTTGATCGCCGCAAAGTTCATTGATACCTAGCTTAATTCGCTCGACACGACTCCCACCCGCAATCTCAATTGGCGATTTAAAAAACACAGGCCTAAATACTTTCTCGTGCTTAATATCGTCAGTTAAAGATTTGAGCATTAGTTCCGTAATCCTTTTTCGAGGACGAGCCAAATTTGGAACAAGCTCAGAGATTCCGTCGAAGTCCCTGTCGCACCAAACCGTGCTGCAATTCTTCAATTTGAGCATTTCGCGCAACTCCTTAATTGTGAAGGCCGCTTGTAGTGGACCTCTCCGTCCGATTAAATGCACTTCTTTTACTTTAGACTCGGACAGTGCGTCTAAGGCGTGCTGTGTGATGTCTGTAAACTTAGCACTCGGTTAATTATTATTTTAAAGCTATTGGAAAGTACCTTCAGTAGGTCGACTGGTGACAGTAACATTCGAGCGACATCGATGGCGACGTTTCCCTGACCGATGATTGCGACATTTGTACAACTTAAGTCTATGGGAAGAGTGGCGTCGGCAAAAATTCCATTGTACCAGCCTACGATTCTGCGGGCCGGAATTACGTTGGGTAAATTTTCGCCCGGAATATCCAATTTGCGATTTTCTTCCGCTCCATATGCCTAAATTGTTATTGGTTAAAATGTAATACTGTGCACGACAGGCGGTATTGTACAAACACAAAGACCTCCAACAGACAAAAAACGTGAATTGAGAACATTAAAGAACAATTTATTACAAAAGGTTAAATGAGGAAAGAGTTTCAGTTTTAAGAGCTTATTCAAGATAATATACCTACTTTTGTTTTTTTAAAAAAACCACAGTTTACTAGATATGAGTGAAGAGAGCTTCCGTTTCTTGACAGAGACTCCTTCGAAAGCTTTCTATACTCTTTGATGTGGTTGTGAAGCTATAGGTGAGCTTGGAGACCAAGAAAGTTTTGTAACAATGAGGTTACGCAATCATTGCAGAAGAAAAGAGGTATCATCAACAGAGCATGTAAAAAAACAAAAGAGTTCCCTTATGATAACTCACCAATAAGACGCAATTGTATGCTTCTTCCAGTTGATCCAGCGAAACATCTGAGCCTAAACTTACATTGCCGACAAACCTTACATTAGGGTTCTCGGCAGTTTTGCTAAATGTATTTATTACATTTTTCACTTCTGGATGGTCTGGTGCAACCCCAAACCTATAAGACCCCTTTAGTTATGGTTTTTGATGTTCCACTACTTACCTTACCAAGCCGAAGGGTACTGGTAAGCGCTCGTAGATATCGATTTCTAATGGGGTGGTGCACTTCGTTAGATGTTGGGCTGCGTAGAAGCCGGCAGGTCCAGCACCCACTACACAGACCTTTTTTTTGGGGGCATGTGTAGAAAACGCCCTTTTAATTATTGGAAGGTACAATCTATTCATCTTACTTTTTTGAGGTTAAGTCACATTTCAATAACAGCACTACTTCCATAAAATAATTTATTATTTACAAGTAGAAAATGTATAATTACACGTTAAAAATAAAAGCTGGAATCGTTCACATTTCAAAATCGTCCCTCTGCAATGAAAAAGTGAGTATCAAGTGCATACAAAACGAAAAAATCTACCAATCCATTATAGTCCAGTACGTGTTTACGAATTTTAGAACTATCCACCCATGTAACGAAATCCTCCAAAGTTCTCGTGACTAGCAACGCGGGATCTGTCACAAGCTCTGGTCCAATTCTGACATGTCCCTGTTCGATTAACTTCACAGCGCTTTTGAGATTTTCCGACATTTTATCTGAAACAATTCGCTTTGTACAATCCACAATTAACGTTGAGAACCATCTTACTTCTAACCATCACCACAGGTAATCGCCGACGACAGAACGAGGCCGCATTTACCTTTTCAACCAGACCTAAATCCCATTTGGTAGGTATGAGCCCTAGCACGTACCTAAAATGTTAGAATAACAAAACGAAAAATAACAACTAAATTTACAATTTTTCTAGCAGTTGTGCAGATGAAAAAGTTCGGAAGGGATGCTTAGAATCGACCTCTTTAATTTTTCTACCGAGTTCCCGGATACTTCTTGCTAGTTTGTTGTACCTAGAAAAGTATGGCTAGAGGAGCCCCAGTTACTAATGGATAAATACTTTGCGTAATCTTCTCGTTTTTGAATGTAATACTTTTTTAATACTTTTACTTCTTGTAAATTATTGTCCGCTTTCCAGGAAATGAAGTCTACTTTCTTTAGCAATTTTTGCTCGTGAAATTTTAATTTTCGTACCATTTTTTAAAAAATGAGAAGAAAACTGCGTTTGAATTTGAGGTTATTAATACAAAAACAAAAGCATGTGCGTTTATGTTGGCACCACAGTTCTGTTATTCTGCATTTAGGGTGTTGGCACCTTTGATATTCAAAATGGGTACGTAGACGTTCCTTTGAATTTATCTCAATGATTTGTACATATTTTAAATTTAATGAGATGTTTTTACTAAGTGGTAATTGTTAATTAATTAATTAATTAATTCGGTAATTTTATGTAGGGGCAGCATGAGAGGAACCTGTCTGTTCGTTTCTAGTAATTTAAATTTTATTTGGGACTTTCATTTGTCATTGTTAAGTTGGTTACTCTGCCACGATTGAACATGTACATTAAATCCCTCCCACTTGCGGAAAGAGGTTATTACGGTTTTTTTTTCTTTATAAACAGTTACGTTTGCACATTTGCCTGTTTTTCCAAACCTTCCAAGAATTTTTTGTTAATTAAACTATCTCTAATATTCAAAGATTGTGGTTTTTGCAATCTTCATTTACAACCGGACCGTTTCTGTGTACGTCTTTGACAGTTGGTGCCTGGCGGTACAATAAAGGCGGTTCCTGGAGGGGTATTTAGAAATGTAATTTAATACAGCAGACTAACGAAATGTTTGAGTGATGGTTAAATAAAAGCACTGAGTAAACTATGTCAAAAGTAAATAACATTATCGGCAGCCGTAGTGTCTCGTCAACCAGTTGCAATAGTCTCGTATCCGACATAGAAGAAACCATAGATAATGGGTTAGACGATTTAACATTAACTAAGAGCAACAGGCCGTCATCCACGACAAGGACAACGAAGGCGAAGCGAATACGTTTTTATCATAATGGCAATAAGTATTTTGGTGGTGTTGTGGTACCAGTTGCGTCCGATAGATATAGATCCTTTGATAGTTTAACCACAGAACTTACGAATCTCTTAATGAAAACGGTCACTTTACCTAGTGGGGTTCGTACCATCTTTTCCATGGACGGTCGTAAAGTATAACTTCGCATTTTAGAAAGTGTGATAACTGAAATGTGTTCGTTCTAGATATCGTCTTTGGAGGAATTAGAAGATGGGAAAGAGTACGTGTGTAGCGGAAAGGGAGAGTTGTTTAAAAAAATTGATTATACAAAAACGGAGGCCTTGAAAAACAAACGTGCTTCTGTTTCAAAACCCACTGTGCCAGTATCTCGGGTTGTCCTAGAAGACTGTGTACGTCCTAGAATTGTTACAATTATCCGAAATGGCATTAAACCACGAAAAGTAAGTGTTCTAGAGGAAAGTTCTAAGGTGAAGGATATTGATTTTCTTGCAGAAAATAAACAGGAAACTAAATATTGATTAAACAATGCCTTGCCTTTAAACATTTTATTTAGTTATCTTTTTTTGTAATAATAATCAAGTTATTTTAAATATTTGTTCTACCTGTTTACAGTATGACTCATAGGTTGAGTAATACAAACCCTTTTATTTTTGTTATGTGACATTGAATATTGCATTTAAACGGCACAATTATGACACATTACAGGATTACATGGACAAATTCTATGAACCAACCAGCTCCCCTTCACAGTTTTCTTTTCAGCTCTGAATTATTCTGATAAATTTTGGTATACATGCTTACATATAAATTGAATTTTGATCAAAATCACTGAATTTGCAGAAAATTAATTTCAAAAGGCTGTTATATATTTACAATTATATGCTTAGTAATAGCTAGATACCTAACTGCTTTTGAGTGTAGTTCTACGGTGCCATTGGAATGTTCTTCCTTGGGTCTTTTGTTTTTCCGTCTGTGCTGTTTGATGATTAGTACATTTCTGTTAATCTTATTTACGGCGGGTAGCTTCCTATTCTTTGGAGAACCTTTTAGTCTTAGAGCAGCTGCCTGATGGAAGTAATTGATTAACCACCCAAAGGGCTGTAACTTTTGAACTAATAGCCCAATCTTGGAACTGTTTGTAATTATGGATTCTACAGGCCACATTCTATAAGAAAATTTTTTTTCCGGGTCGATCTGAGACAATTTTTTTTTCGAGGCTCAAAAAAAGGCAGTGTATAACCTTCCTTTTTTACCAAAAATCGACTACACCAAAATTTCTCGGGAAAACACTTCTTCTTATTAATTTTGGTGCGTAGAATCCAAAACAATTCGTACTTTTTCGATCAGACTTCTCAATCAAAAGTTATAGACTAGAAACCAATTTTTAAAAAAAATTCAAAGGGCTGTAACTTTTGAACTAGTAGCCCAATCTTGGAACTGTTTGAAATTATGGATTCTACCTCGTTACTATTTGAAGTTTGTAATAGATTACACCCTTCCAAAAATCCAAAACGAGACCCCGCATGCAAAACAGTAAAACGCTCCCTTTTGATTTAATTTTAGACGGATTACTTTTAATTTCAGAATCGTGTACCCATTTTCGAACGCTGAATCCATTTTGAAAAATCCAAGTTTCGTCCAGATACCTACACGAATGTTATATTTTCACTTGAATTTTGGTATTGCAAGAATTTCCTCAAAAATGTAATTTTGGATGCAACAACATATTTTTGTTCACAGAGAATTTTACGTCCATTTACGTGTTTGTATTTATAACCCATTGATTTTAGAATGTTGTATAAGGTAGTTTTCCCCTTATCAAAATCAAAATTTTCCCGCGCGTCCCTTAGTAAGTCAGCCAAAGTAAAGTGTTCATTTTTCGAGTGATAATTCCAAATCAGTCGTTGCAAATCTTCCCGAAATGAAAAATTTTTATATATAAGTTTTAGGTCGTGGGCCAAAAGGTTTCAATTCAAAAGTATCCAGCTGGATAATTCTTTCAATGGTTTTTTCTGATACCTAGAATAGTACAAACCCCAAAATTAGACCGAAAGTTAAGTTCAATGCATAAATACTCACATCCCAAATGTCACTAAGCCGGTCGTCATACATCAACGTAATCAGGAAAAGTAATGCAAGGAATTGACGTTAAGATATACAGAGTGTTGCATTTAAAAAATATAACTTTGGGTCAAATTTCAGATGATAGTCCAGAAAAGTTTTTTCGAGAGTTTTTTTACTACGGCACTGGATTCTGTTTAAAAATTTCTAAAATAGGCCCGTTTTACTTTTTTTCTATCTTACATCGGTAGGAAGATACGATAACATCCTAATAAGTCAAACTTTTCATTTTCATCCTGTATCTCAGAAACAAACTTAGCGTTGAGTTTCGAGTTGAGTTGTGGCATTTTTCTTTTTAAGAAGTTCTTAAAGTTAACTGTAGCACAGAAAAAAGGCAGATTTCAGATTCAAAAATGTTGATACTTTTTGACATTTGTGTTGTTGCAGGTTTTGCGATTGTTATTGAACAAACGAAACGCATCCAACCTAGAACAGGTATTTAGCTCCCTAACGGATACCGCCCAGTTAGATTCCGGAGCAGTAAGAAAAGTATTCACCTTATCCGGCCAACCCGTTACCGTTTTACAGCAGTTTTTCTCAGGCGAGGACGTATTTTTCGTGTACGGCAACGAAAGATTTTCTCTCGATGATTTTGAGCTCGAATTCGAGGAGAGCAAGGCGATACAGTCGTATAAAAAAACACCGGGACTGAGAAATGGGTAATAAACGACTGTAATAATTTTGCAGAGTGTATCATAAAATGTTGTAGTTTTGGCCCGAAACCAAAGATGCCTAAAAAAGAATTGAAAACGTACATTTCTGATGAAAATTTGTTAACAAAATTAAGTAAAGATGTCAATATAACGTTACCGCCATCGTTACTCCAAAAATACAGTGTCGGAAGAATGATCGGGGACGGTATGTCTGTTGATAGTGGTTGGGAAAGAGCACCGATTTATTGTTGGTTGTAGGAAATTTTGCAGTAGTGAGATTATGTGTAGATAAAACCACAAATGTAGGGCACGCATTGAAGATCATAGACAAGTCCAAGTGCAAAGGGAAGGTTTGTAAATAAATTTTATCCGTTCAACTTTTTAAATCTGGAACTGTAGGAAGATATGGTCGAGAATGAGGTACGGATACTTAGGAGATTGAATCATCCGAATGTCATGAGACTTGTAGACGAGCAGGATACTAAGCCGATGTTGTATTTAGTTTGCGAATTAGTTAAAGGTATCTTGCAACTGAATCGTGCATTTCATACGTTCGTTGTTTAGGTGGCGATTTATTCGACGCAATAACTGTTGCCCAGAAATTCTCCGAAGAACAAGCAGCTCTAATGATCACCCATTTAACTTCGGCGTTAGCGTATCTGCACAACCTTAATATTGTACATCGAGATGTTAAACCTGAAAACTTGCTGGTAAAAGTGTAATGAAAGTAAAGTGTAAAACTAGTTTGTCTTTTGCAGGTGGATATGAAAGGGTCCAAAATTAAGGCTTTAAAATTGGGCGATTTTGGGCTAGCTTGTGAGGTTACAGGTCCTTTGTATACAGTGTGTGGAACACCCACATATGTTGCCCCGGAGATACTTGCGGAGTCAGGATACGGTTTAAAAGTAAGTTGGATTTTAGAACTGACGAGGAGCTTACCTTGACTAGAGTGTAGAAAACAAAGTCCATAGTAAATGCTTCATTATAAATATTTCAGTATTGCACTTCTAGAAATATGACTAGATACCAAGCCTCCTACGGAAAATGTACACAATTTATGTCTAATTTTACGGGCTTATCTTTGTATGTGAGAAACAGCGTAATATTACCTAGTAATTGTTCCTAGAGTAAAGTAGAACATCTGTAGGAAAGGTAATTTTCCTTTTTGTGTTGCAGTAAACCCTTTGTCAAAGATTACGCAATTACTAATTGGAATATTAAGAACATTTTTGACCCGTTTAAATTGTCTAACGCAACTATACGTCTGCAGATTTGGATTCAGTACAAAAAAATACACAATTTTGGTAATTTAATCGTCATTCTAACTCTACAACTAAAAAAGTTAGCAATAGTGCCTGTCGACTTAATTTGAAACTGACTGTATATCATTTTTCATTATCAATCTACCCTAATTTCAAATTAAAAAAAACACAAAAAACAGAACACAAGATAGGGCTGGAATAAATTTTCGAATTGGTTTACTCAACTTCCAAACATTTATTTATCCCTTTCAAAAACCTCTGAATTTCTGGAATGCATGATTAACTATTTCATGACGACCCTTTTTAGTTGTACATGTCTTGTACAGGGTGGTCCAAATTGGACAATTTCTTATGGAAACAACCTTTATTTTAAGAGATAGAAAAAAATGGTCTGAATTCTGTTTGCGCCATTGATTTTCTGTTCAAAATTGAGCTCCAGATACCTAGGTCCATTTTTTTTATATCTCAGAATAAAGGGCGTTTCCATAAGAATGTTTGGACCACCCTGTACTCGACAAAAAAAAATTGAAAAAAGTGATCATGCGACTAGCCCACAGTTTGTCTAAAGAATTTCAATTCCTCTAAGGATTTCAATTACACTCAAAAGAGCTTGGAGCTTTAGACTTAAGCCTTCTATTATTGGACATCCTTAATTGAACACTATAATAATAGCGGCAACCCTGTTCTATAATGCAAGAAAGTGGCACATTTGCTTGACCCCACTATAGCCAACAGGAACATTTCTTTATGAGTGGATTCCACTGCCACTGTTTGTATGTTACGAAGTGAATTTTTGTTTCAGATTGATGTTTGGGCAGCGGGAGTTATTTTATATATTTTATTATGCGGTTACCCGCCATTTGCCAGTCAAGACAATGATCAGGAGAAGCTTTTTGACTGCATTTTATCAGGACAATACGATTTCCCAGACGAATATTGGCAGGACGTGTCGATGTACGCAAAGGAATTGATACAGAATATGCTGCAGCTAGCACCCGAATTGAGATTTTCGGCGGAAGACGTCCTGGACCATCCATGGTTACACGTAGCCAATTGTTAATTCTCATGTACAAATAGATGCTTATTATCCTTCGGTGATACTCGAATTTTTTAATTTATTTAGTTTTAAGACTAAAGAAATCAAAACCATATTTTGCCTTCATTTCTTCCGTTTTGTGGAATGCCAAAGTTGTCATTTGTTTTGTATTATTGTGATTTTTATGCAAGAGATTAATTTTCAATGAAATGGCCGTCAGTGTAAATCGGAGGCCTAAATTCGTTTTTTAAGTTTCCATCAAGTAGGTGAGCAAGTGAGTAGTATTTTTTTTTGTCACTTGTTTCAGGTAATTTGATTTTTCTTCTCGCATTATGAACAAGCAACATTCAATAATTGTAGATAGATTTTTGTGTCTATATAGATAGACATGGATGACTAATATAGAATGGAAACGGGTCTAAATTATCAATCGATATTATTTTCCACTGCATCGACCGATAGCTTTGTAAACTTGAATCGATTTGTGATGTGCATTGTTAAGGTAACAGGGTAATGCGAAAGAAGGTGATCTTCCCCAAAACTATTGGGGGAGAACACATTGGTCGTAATTCCTTCTATCCAGTGCAATTTTATTTATTTATATTACGACTGTTCAACAAAATAGCAAAATCTGCTTTTTGTTTCATTTGTGTTTGCTAAATATCCAAATTGTAAAGACTGAGTCAAGTCTGATTTCTCGTTTTTTTATTTGTGCTACACTATTTTTACAAAATTCTGTCTGGGAAACTGCATGCTGCAACAATGCAACCAAAGAAACAAGAAATTAAAATCCATGCCCTTAGTACACAGACAATACATATTAAGTAATGATTTTAGTAATCAATAGTTTCCTCTAATTGGAAATTGCTGGCCTTTGCAATGTTATGCACGTAATTGTTGAACAAAGCTTACTTAGTATTGTACATAATTCATTCCAGTGCCTGGTATCAGATTTTGCTATTTTCTAATTTTTTTTTAATATTGTAATGAGAAGTATTATTTATTATGTACCATCACTTAATTCATCTGTATTAGAGAGAGAATATAAGATTATGAATTCTGAATTTATTATATTCCACCTAAGACTCCCATTATCAATTCCAACATGTGAAGATGCTTAAGGCGGTATTATAAAGCCAAACTTGACTATGTTGTTGCATTAACAGTGTTGTTAAGCATGTGATTGTTTATATTACTATGTGCAAAAACATCAACACCTTTCACATGCTCTTAACAAGTGTTAGCTGTCAACATAGTTAAGTATAACTTTATAATACCGGCTAAATGTGTATGAGCTTATTGGAATTACAGAGTGTATAAGCAGAGATTTGTGTTGATATACAGACAGTACATCATCACTCGGTTCTCTGCATCACTGTTCCAACCAATTTCTCTTTCTTTTGTTAACGATGTCGATGATTGATCTCTTTTCTTCAACTCTTACTAGTACCTACTGTTTTTCTGTCTTTCCAATTGATATTCAAAATCCGCCGCCCTATCCACTGCTTCCCCCCTGCGGGTATTGGAGTTGAACAACTTTGCAGATGTGTTGCAACTGCAAGCGTAAGAATTTGAATTTGCTTTAACGTGCCAGCGCTTGTTTTGATTATATTACCATTGAATTTATTAAACGGAATTTATATAAATTCAAATCCTTTTTGCGACATAATTCTTTTGAAAAAATCAAGTATATGCCGATAAAGTAGAAATTTGAATTGTCAATTTATTTTTCAAAACTTACTTTTGATCCACCATCAGTAAGATCTTGTCGGCAGCTACGTCCAACGTCCACTTGCAACATTTCATCGTAGGCGGTCCATTCCTACTCTTAAATCGATGGACATGAAGCCATAGAGCGAGCGATCGGACGATTGGGAGAAAGCATAAGATTCTCGCTTAAAACTCGACGCTAAAATAAATTGTAGAGCACTAAGTTTCGCGTAAAAAACTCTTCTGTTTTAAACTTCATTTAAATATTTTTTTCCGAAATATCTTTTATGTCTTACTAACCTATCATAGCACATTTTATAACTGTGATACGCGGGCATAAAGTACCACTTTATGCCCTAGGGCATTAAGTATCACCATAGTAACTCATTTATACTCAGAGCTGGGCAGAATACTTTCAAAAAGTATTTGAATACTAAATAGTAAATACTTTACACAAATCAAAGGTATTTGAATACTAAATACTTTTACGTCCAGCACAAGCGAATACTAGATACAGATACATTGAAAGTATTCAAATACATACTTTAAAAAATAAGTATTCAAATACTTTAAAATGCATTCGAATACTATAAAAAGTATTCGAATACTTGTCACTCAAATACATTAAAAATTTAAAATAGTATACTTACTAGATAAAAGTCTTAATACTACTTAAAAAATTAAGTTATACTTTGTATGGGGTTAGCTTTTTTTATATTTCTATTGTTATATACAAATTTAAGGGGAGTAAAAGCGTATATTATTATTATATTATTATATAGGAGGTACCTACCAGGACCTTTCTTATACCAGTTATATCCTTAAGAATACGTGTACCAGTTTTCAAAGCGATCGTACGTCGTGCACTGATATACGTACGCCTTTCTGAAATTAATCCTAGCGATTTTGAAACAGATCCATTTTTGACCATCCGTTTGTCCGTGTGCATGATAGTTTGTTTAGAAACGTGCCATGGCTTTGAAAATTGGTATACATGGTCTTAAGGATATAAGAAAGGTCCCTATGTTTTTAAGTTACGTAGACTATCGAGTCAAAAAGTTTCACTCCAGGATCGTTCGGTATTCAGTTGTATCGGATTTTTATATTTGATTTTGTGACAATGGAAACTTTCCCTAAACTTTTCTAAATTGTTCTCAAATATTTGAATAACTTAAAAGTACTGCCTTTTTTTGAGGCCGGAAAAAAAATTGTCTGAGATCGACCGGGAATAGTATATTGAAAGACAAGTGTTACAATGCGACCTATTGTAATACGACTATTTAATGGCACGAGTGGCGTAGCGAAGCGGAGCCACGAGTGTCCACAAGATAGGAGTATTACAATAAAGCATTGTAACACGTGTTTTTCATACTATTTTTTCTATTTCGGGACTTTAATTTAATTAAAAAGTAATTATGAAAAACTACAGGAAACTTTAGAATCAATATGTCTTAAGTTGGCAAAAAAAACATTTTCTTATAGAATTTGGCTCATAGAATCCATAATTTCAAACAGTTCCAAGATTGGGCTACTAGTTCAAAAGTTACAGCCCTTTGAATTTTCTTTCGAAATTGGTTTCTAGGCTATAACTTTTGATTGAGAAGTCTGAATAAATGGCAGTTCAAAATGTACGGAGTCTTGCAAGATCTGTAGAGCAATTGTAGTTTAAACGTCCGGTTTATGAATAGATAATTTATACATCAAGTACTAGTGCGCCATCTCCATGGCACTCGATACACTTTCTATCAATTATAGTTTAAGAAGTCTAGTTGAGATGTCGCCACGTATGCACCTTGTTTTAATATTTTATTTGATTTATGCTATTAATAGCAACGTTGCACTTATTATTCCTTAATTGCAGTGCCGTTTTTAAGTCTTTCGGGGCCCTGGGCCATTCGTTCGTGGAGGCCCTCCTTACCCTCAATAAAAACGGCAGATTGGGGAGATTCAAGCAAATCCCTAATTTGAATATGGGCACTCGATATTTGTGTAGCCTGGTTTGTAGGCAACACATCATGCTCAATGAACAGAAAACATTTATTTTTGCAATTCGTAACTTCTTATGCATAGGAGTTTATTTAAAGTTCTTGGAAGAACAATTTCAATAACAGGTACATTAAACTGAACCGTTTTACAACAACTTTCACACGAAGATCGCACAAACAACACATTTTTTCGTGATTGCAAACTGCGTAACACTTTTGCCTTATTTCGCTGCCAATTTCACTACCGTTTCTACAACCGTAGTTCTATCAAATAAACTCTAGGCTCAATTCTTTAAAGAATAGCTTCGCACCATCGCCAGCTGCTGCAATCATGTAATCGTTCCGATTTTAACCTTGAGAAATTTGAGTTGCATTAGAATGGGTTTTCTGCGGGTTCTCCACGGTGTCCTCCTGTTTTGGTTACAAAGCATTTCCCTTTTCAATTTGTGTTGTCTGAATTCAATGCTAACATTTCTCATCCATCCAGAACTCTACATGTCTTCGATTGCACGACCCAGAGCGAACAGTAACATATTCCGCTAAGGTTGAGTCTGCCGCTTTCCTGTCACTCCCATTACCCAGTTCCCTAATTTAAACCTGTAAGCGAGAAAGGAATGATAACAAAGTTTAATTTTTGACTATAAAATAAACAAACATTCATTATGCACTTGAGGTTAAAACTTCATATATCTATGGTTTTTAAAAACTACGCTCTGACATCTAACGTTAGTTTCATAAAGTACATTACAAAATTAGTGTGGCGACATCTTTGAGGTGTAAGTTCCAACTAAAATAATGATGGTAATAAAGTATCCTGCATTTAGCGATAAAATTTTAGTTCCCAGTAATAAAGACAGATGTCAGCACAATGTATTCTGCTTTGATTATTTTAATATTAACCAAAAACTCAGGCAAGGCTATAAACATTTTGGGATTTGTGCCTTTCGCTGTCAAAGGAGTAAACCACGAAACTCGAAAATTAAACATTTCGCTCCTGTATTATTAGCCTATTCCTAGTGTCATAGCGTTTTTGGAATGCCAAAGGACAGGGCGGATAGACGGACGGCCGTCCGTATACCCCTTTGGTATACCTATACCTAGATTTTTGACGATTTTAATAAAGTATCTGTTCGCAATACACGAATTAAATCGGCATAAGAGTACGCCGCAATAAATAAGAATTTTAAATCGGCCATCATTTTAAAGACTTGAGAGTTCTGTTCCATGTGAGTTAGGTTAGATACAAGATTTGTAAAAATTTAAAACGCCCAAACTAATCTGACCTAACCTAACTACGAGTCTAACCTAACCTTCAATCAACTCCTTGAACATTATCATGATACCAGATTTCTGAGCTAACCTAACTAGCACGCTAACCTAACCTCACTTAAATTTTATATTAACCTTCGATCTCCTCGCACATTATATTCTCCTGATACCAGATTTCTGAGCTAACCTAACTAGCACGCTAACCTAACCTCACTTAAATTTTATATTAACCTTCGATCTCCTCGCACATTATATTCTCCTGATACCAGATTTCTGAGCTAACCTAACTAGCACGCTAACCTAACCTCACTTAAATTTTATTTTAACCTTCGATCTCCTCGCACATTATATTCTCCTGATACCAGATTTCTGAGCTAACCTAACTAGCACGCTAACCTAACCTCACTTAAATTTTATTTAACCTTCGATCTCCTCGCACATTATATTCTCCTGATACCAGATTTCTGAGCTAACCTAACTAGCACGCTAACCTAACCTCACTTAAATTTTATTTTAACCTTCGATCTCCTCGCACATTATATTCTCCTGATACCAGATTTCTGAGCTAACCTAACTAGCACGCTAACCTAACCTCACTTAAATTTTATTTTAACCTTCGATCTCCTCGCACATTATATTCTCCTGATACCAGATTTCTGAGCTAACCTAACTAGCACGCTAACCTAACCTCACTTAAATTTTATTTTAACCTTCGATCTCCTCGCACATTATATTCTCCTGATACCAGATTTCTGAGCTAACCTAACTAGCACGCTAACCTAACCTCACTTAAATTTTATTTTAACCTTCGATCTCCTCGCACATTATATTCTCCTGATACCAGATTTCTGAGCTAACCTAACTAGCACGCTAACCTAACCTCACTTAAATTTTATTTTAACCTTCGATCTCCTCGCACATTATATTCTCCTGATACCAGATTTCTGAGCTAACCTAACTAGCACGCTAACCTAACCTCACTTAAATTTTATTTTAACCTTCGATCTCCTCGCACATTATATTCTCCTAATACCAGATTTCTGAGCTAACCTAACCAGCACGCTAACCTAACCTCACTAAAATTAAATTAAACCTTCGATCTCCTCGCACATTATATTCTCCTGATACCAGATTTCTGAGCTAACCTAACTAGCACGCTAACCTAACCTCACTTAAATTTTATTTTAACCTTCGATCTCCTCGCACATTATATTCTCCTGATACCAGATTTCTGAGCTAACCTAACTAGCACGCTAACCTAACCTCACTTAAATTTTATTTTACCCTTCGATCTCCTCGCACATTATATTCTCCTGATACCAGATTTCTGAGCTAACCTAACTAGCACGCCAACCTAGCCTCACTAAAATTATAATTTAACCTTCGATCTCCTCGCACATTATATTCTCCTGATACCAGATTTCTGAGCTAACCATGGGCAGCATTTACTTTCAAGATTCACTCGGAACAGAATATGCGTTTATTCTGTTTGTACAGTTTTCAATATAAAAATTATATTTACAGAAGTTGTACTTTATTTTCCTCCCCAATAACATAACTGATAGGAAGATTACAGTACAATAAGCACCTGGTCCTTCGCACTTTGCCGAAAACACTTACAAATTTGGTAGGTATCACGAAGATATAACGTGAAAGGAGGTCTTTCAGGCCCAAATACACTTGTTCTTGGTAGACAAACTTAAGTAAAAGGTGTCTTGCTACTAGGAGAACAGAATTCACGAAGAGGTCTTTTTCTATCACTATGAGAGTTATTTCAAAGCTTAATTTCGATTTAAAAATTTGCCATTCTGTATCGGGATCATATGATGTGCGAGGAGGTGTTTCTTTTCCTAATACTACACCTGTTACTTGTCGACACAGTTACGTAAAAGGTGTTGGGCTACCAGGAGAACATAATATACGAAGAGGTCATTTTCTATTCTGTCAGAATTATTTCAAGGCTTTAATTCGATTTAAAAATTTGTCAATTCTATATCAGGATCATATGAGTGCGAGGAGGTGTTTCTGTTCCTAATACTACACCTGTTACTTGTCGACAAACTTATCCAAAGGTTACAAAAGTTACAGCCCTTTGAATTTTCTTTCGAAATTGGTTTCTAGTCTATAACTTTTGATTGAGAAGTCTGATCGAAAAAGTACGAATTGCTTTGGATTCTACGCACCAAAATTAATAAGGAAAAGTGTTTTCCCGAGAAATTTTGGTGCAGTCGATTTTTGGTAAAAAAGGAAGGTTATACACTGCCTTTTTTTTGCCCCGAAAAAAAAATTGTCTCAGATCGACCCGGAAAAAAATTTTTCTAATAGAACGTGGCCTGTAGAATCCATAATTTCAAACAGTTCCAAGATTGGGCTACTAGTTCAAAAGTTACAGGCGTACTACCGACGAAATTAGTTTCTACAGATGATGATGTTTTCAAAAAGAGTAATTGCGATATATGTAGTTACCTATACCTCATTGTATGGAAAAATACAGAATCTGTTAGCAGGGGTAAAAAAACTATTGAGAGGTATGTAACCTATGCTAAATATCATATCATAGAGGTATAGGTACCTGTTTTTAACGAGTTAGTTTTATGAAATACAGCCTTACTTACCTAACTATAGAGGAGACTTTATTGGAGAAGTGCACACAAGAGGAAGAATAGAATGACAGAGGTTGGTATTTTCACTTGACCATAAACTAAAAAGATGTATTGCGCAATAATTACACTTGACTAATTAGACAAAAATCTTAAACTAATGATATATACACGGATCTATTTCGCTATTCGAAATTAAACCGATCTGCACTAAGTTTGTTTAATCTTTCAGCAGTTTCTAGTGTAGTCGGTCTATCCTTAGGATCTGCCGACCAGCAGTTTGTATAAATCGCACGATATTCATCGACTGTACCTGTAGCATCTTCTTCTGCGGCTTTTGGACGTTGATGAAACTTCACAACCTGTAAAGAGGAAAACATTCAGAACAATAATAAATTATGACTTGTACAAACTTTACTGCGATTATAGGAAAATCTACGGTTACAATAAAAAACTGTACAACCTTCTTAACGATTGTAGGACAATTCGCACCCGAATAATTCGCACCGGAATTTCGCTCCCCTAAGAGGGTATTTTGTGTATGGTTGACTTTTAACATAGAAAGTCGGATGTGCGAAGTATTAAATTAACTCAGAGCTTGAAATCTCCAATATTACCTACTCACCAATATCACGTTTTATTACTTTGTGCATGTAATAGACGTATACCTACATTTAAAATTTGGATACTTTCAATATTAAGGTATAACTTGGAATCGTGACGTCCATTTTGTGTTCAAACTCTAAATGGGATAATTTATTAATATTGAATAAAAGTTCTCTAAACCGTTCCCATATAATTTAATAAAACGAAGTGATACACTACATGTTTCGACCAACGGTCATCTTCAGGTGATCTACAAGATGGTAGAGATCATTGAGGAGAGACTATAGCTATAAAACTTACAATAGATGGAAAACAATTAAAAACCCAAAAGGGCAGTAAAACTGGAAAGCCCAACGACCATATCCGTGGTTGGTTCCAGAGTAAAATTGAAATTTGAAGAGGTTGATAAACTAAATTTTTTGCAAGGGAGGGCCGAACCTAAAAACTAACATTAGACAAAAGACTATATCTTAACTAATAAAATACCCAATTAAGGGCTTTGAAACTGGAAACCATCTGCACTTCCAAAATCAGTGCTCGGTTTAGCTAATCTTACCTTGTCATCGTTGACCCAGATCCTGGCATTGCATGTTAAACTAAGAGCCGATGGATCCTTCTTTGCTCTTCTCGCTCGACACAGCCATGATGAGCAGTTTTGGAGTTTAAGGTTCTTAGCAAAGAGGTACATGTATCCTTCATAGATTATGTATCTCTTTCCCCTTTTCGTTGTACCGAACTCCATTGTTACGCGCCCCGTATAGTTTGCACCGCCTAAATCTCATATCCATTATCAACTTTTTGTAACAAATCAAATTTCAACTTTTAGCCTCAGGGACAAGTCCATTTTTGATGATATTTTCCTAGATTTTGGCATTTTGATGTGGCACTTAAATATTTATGTTGGTTAAACAATAGCCATACAATTTGTAGAGGAATAATTTTTTTAATAGTATTTATGAGGCAAGAATTCATACGTACAATCCTATGTACCTTTTTAAATGGAATGGACCGTATCAAAGCAGTAGAGATATTAGGTCACTTTAATAGCATCCATATCACTCAAAATCTGGAATTTAGTACTTATTTTATTGTAATCTCCGTATTAAACATGAGAACACTAAATTTTCATTCATGGCACCTTTACCATGAATGAAAATTTATTTAAAAAAAAAACAAAAAAAGGTAAAAAGACACTCATCCGTGATGTAAATTGTCCATGCATCTCATGTTCACAAGTAGACGGAGGGACCGACAAGAAATCCAAATTCCAACTTTTTAGGGACAAATTATCCAAATCCAAATAAAGCGACAAAATATCCAACCAATTTGGAAACTCCGATTTGGATATCTTGTCGGTGGCGCGACAAGATATCCAAATATCGATTTTTTTTAGACAAGAAATCCAAATTTTTTGGACAAAATATCCAAAAAGTTCAGAAATTTTTTGACAAGATATCCAAACTTTTTTAGACAAGAAATCCAAATTTTATTTAAGCCTTTAATCACATATGAACCTTGTGCAGTACGAAACATTTCAGTTTCAGTGTTAAAGCACGCCATAGCATTTATGTTTTAATACAGCGTCAAAGAATTAGGGCCTACCTACTAATAAATGAGTTCTTTCATTTCATTTTTATTTTTCGTAAAAAATAATGTACAATTGTATTACAACGTCAGACTAACAAACATTTAATAGACAATAACATTTTCACATACAGAGAGGTACTCGCCTTCATTGTAAATAACATTGGTCGCTAGGAAACGTATTTTAGTTTTGAACTGCTGCAGTGATCGGCTACTTTTTATCGTTTAGGGTAATAAGTTATAGTAAAATATACTGCGGTATGTCGGTGATTTTTTAAAAAAAGAGTGTTTCGGTTTGGGCAGATAAATTATTAAACTACACTACACTATTAAACGCTGTATAAAAACATACTGAATGCTAATTGCTATGCCGTGTTTTAACACTGAAACTGAAATGCTGATACGGAATTTTTTGTACCACACAAGGTTCATGCCTGATTAAAATTATAATTAATAAGTACTTTTAAAGCTCAGCACTTTGACAAGCACAAAGCTCTCACGCTGAAAACAACTACTGTTAAAAACATATATGTAATGATCAAATACACGAAAAAGCGGCGTACCTTTATCTATTTGAAAATTGGATATCTTGTTGAAAACTTTCCAAACTTTTTGGATTTCTTGTCTAAAAAAGTTTGGATATCTTGTCAAAAAATTTCCGAAACTTTTTGGATATTTTGTCCAAAAAATTTGGATTTCTTGTCTAAAAAAAATTCGATATTTGGATATCTTGTCGCGCCACCGACAAGATATCCAAATCGGAGTTTCCAAATTGGTTGGATATTTTGTCGCTTTATTTGGATTTGGATAATTTGTCGATAAAAACTGGATATCTTGACGAAAACAACCCAAATTATTTGGATAATTTGTCCCTAAAAAGTTGGAATTTGGATTTCTTGTCAGTCCCAGTAGAGGGATGCTGCTAAACGCTGGTATCGGTCTATCAGCAAAACTGTCACCTGACATTTCTTAAAACTATTTACCCAGTTTTATTGTACCAATTCACAATCAAGGTTTTTTTCATTTGGAAACCTTTTAGCACGTACAAATAATATTGCAATAGGAATATAAAAGTCTAAATAAAATTTTAACAATTATTATTTGTTAATAGCTGCAAGTTAAGTTTCCTAGTTCTCTAATCTTCGATGTCGTCCATTTAAAGGACACATAGCGAAATACGTATGTATTGTCTTAAAAGAATCTCAAGTAAATTATAATCATATTTGAACGTAAAACAAATAGATTCTTGAGAGTTCCCGTAAAATTAAAGAGATAAGAACTGTAAAGTAACGAAAAAAGCAAAAAATGTTGATAAATATCGTGAAAAAAATTGATCTTGCTATAAATTATATGGCTATTATTTAAATAATATAATGAAATTGTGAAGATCCATGACTCTCAATGGGGTGCTTAAGAAGCTTCGGAGAAATAACACCAAAATCTACCCATTTACTATTATAACATTTTTATGGGGAGTTTTGGTGTTATTTCTCCGAAGCTAAATAATATATGGTGGTGCATTAGAAACGATACATAGCTATTTCTGTAAATTAAAATAATTTTCAAAAAACGCTTTGGCACGTCAAATTGATCATGGAAGGAAACAGTGTCTAAAATAAAACTTGCTCACTAATGCTTTTGTCTCGCATCGCTGACAGTGCAACCCTTAAAATCTTAAATGATGCATCGTTGGTAAGGTCGCCCATCTCTGAATTCGGATATGTAATTTTTTTGGTTTAGTTGTTTCATTTCCAGCGCATTCGACGTTGCAGGTACAAGTTTTCTCTTTTTTATACCACTTGCAACTGCATAATTTTGACGCACGATCGCATTAGCTTCTATTACATAGTGATCGGCCCGACATCCTTTCATTGACATAAACAACAGCGCGCCCTCAACTTACTTTTAAAATATTTCGAAAATATCAAATCTAAAAAATTATAGTCTCACCAAATTCAGAGAAGGAAAGCCTTTCCAATGATGTCCTATCTTCCTTGTTGCGCAATTACCAATGCTAAGGGTTTTGCTTTAGTACTAGGTATGCCATACAAAAATTAAAAAGGAAGTATATAGGTACTTCATAATTACAAACATTTAAAAGAAAAAATCATCAATATCGACCTGTTTCTAAAACGTTTCAAGATTTTCAAAACCCTTACTGTTTTGATTATCAACAATCTCTTAAAAAAATGCCAGAATTTTTCCATGTATCTCTTCAAACTATAAAATAAATAACAGTAAGAAAATCAAAAAGAAACTTTTAAGTTCATTCACTACCATAGTTGTAGCAAAGATAACGCGCAAAAAAATAAGCAGTTAGTGTAATTTTACTCAGTCACCAATAATCAACATATAGCCATATGTGGTCAAAGAAACGTAAAACTGGTTCTAAGAAAACTGGAAACTTACCTTTTCTGAACACCACCACAACACTACCACCAGAAATAAAATTTTTTAAAATTAAAAAAAAAGTATACACAAAATCAAAACCCGTGCTCAGATAAATTTTAAAATACCACTCTGTCAAACGTTCATGAATGAAGATACTATACAGGCGTTAAAGTTCCAATTAGTTGTGGTCATACGTACTTAAACCTGATTTTTCGGACCTAATTACTTTTACCTTGTAATAATATCATATTCCAGAAATAATAGAAAGGATGTCATTACGATATTTCTCTTTTTATGAAGTGCAATTTGTGTTATCGGGGTCTTTTCAAATTTACCTTTAATTATAATATTATCTTAATTACTTATCCAAATTTAGTGCCATCTATGAAATGCATTGTTCTATTGTCATTTATACATACTCGTTTTGTCTAAAATAAATTTAATTCATTTCCTTTGTCACCCTTTTCAACTAAAGAAATAAAGATCAATTTTTTATGTCTTCCTTAAGAAATCTTTATGTAAGGGAGCGTTAAAATTACTCTTTTTCTATTTTCATCTTGATCTTATAATGTAAATATTTTTAACTTTAGACTTATCACTTTGTTTGTGTACGGTATTATATGTTGATTCTGTTTTAATATTAAGAGCGTCTCAAAAGTAGCGAATATTACACATAATATTGTAGATATACTATAACTAGGTATAACTATTTGGTATATTACTCCACAAAAGACGTTTCAGTTATTCTTATTTTCTCAAAACGAAAGCGCAGTAGTTAAAAATTATGTGTTCTTAAATTACAGGATTTAACTATATCAGACTCTTCATACAACTTCAAAAAAAAACCAGCGTGATTATATTTAAGAAATGGAATACTTAAGAATCGCGATGTGTTGAAAATGAAAGACCAAATAACTATTATTTGAAACATTTTTCCATGAAGTAGATGTTTACCAAGATGTGCTCTACTACATACATTCTGTAAAGGCAATGGTCTAGTAGCCTCTTAAAAATATTTAATTTTAATAAACCAAAGATTTACAGAATTATCCGGGTGTGAATTATTCGGGAGCGAATTTTTCGAGTGCGAATGGTCCGGGTGTGAATTATCCGGGAGCGAAATGTCCAGGGTGCGAAATATCCTGGGAGCGTAATGTCCGGGTGCGAATTATCCGGGTGCGAATTGTCCGGGCGCGAATTGTCCGCACACGCCTTCTTAACTATACCGTGTGTCTCAGGGAGAAGGATCCACGAGGTCTTTGATATGTATTTGAAGTTAGCGTTCAACATACATTATTGCGCTTGTTTGATAATGATAGAAAGAGAATGGAGTAGTACGTTGAAAGCTAATTCCAAAGGCCTCGTGGATCCTTCGCGAAAAAATACATTGCCGTTTGCCTATGGTGCCTTTTACCTGGGACACACTGTATACGCTTCTTCTGCAAACGTTAGTAAATTTAATTACTGTAATCCTGACGTTATAAATTGCACAGAAATAACTGTGGCAAATAGAAAAAACTCTGCAAACGACCTTTTCTCATTCACAATTTTTGCTTTTTTAGGTGTCAAAAATCAGGGTGGGTAGAACTTACTTTGTAAACCACAACTTCATTTCCATGTAAATTGGAATAAGGTATCTCGCGATACCTCATCTGCCATAAGAGAACTCCAAAAGAATAAATATCACATTTGGCAGTGGGTACTCTTCCCATTAATAGTTCCGGTGCCGCATACAATATTGTGCCCTAAAAACACTAATTATCATTGTCTCATACAAACCGCAGCTAAAACCAAACAAAAATCTTCATTCGAACAATCAACTCGCTGAGAATTTCCAAAATCGCACAGTTTGCAAATGTCACCATCGCACAAAAGCACATTGGCAGGCTTCAAATCTAAGTGCAGCACGTTATTCGAATGGCAATAGTGTAATCCTGCACAAATATCCAACCCATATTTAATAACCGTTGCAGAACTTAAACTAACGGCACGATCATCTAGTATGTCTTGTAAATGCCGACACCTGCCCAGGTACTCCATTAAAACCACGCCGTAATTTGTATTCGCTTTACAGATTACGTCGATTATTTTTATGACATTCTTATGATTCAATCCGAGCGCATTCTTTTCTCTCAATTCACCATCCTGATGTGTACGCAATTTAACTACTTTTACGGCAACTCTAGAATCTTAATCAAATTCTTCTCCGTAAGGGAGGATAATGTCGAATTTCTTACCTACCTTTGTAAACTCCACTAACAACAGTCCCGAACGCACCCTTACCTAAAACATTCACGTTCTTAGGCGAACTAATCCCGCTGAGTAACAAATGGTCTTTATTCGGAGTATTTATCAGCAATTTCTTACAACTGGGTACTTTTATGCAGACATCGTTTACTTCTTGTGCCAAACTTGGAGGTTTCAATTTTTTGCATTTTGGAGATCCTTCGAAATTTAGATATCGAGCTGATATAGGCCTATAATTACTAAATATAAGGCAACGGATTTAGCTTGGATACTTTACCTGTTTTTAACTGTGCCGATGGGTTCGTTTGGTGACTTTGATAGTGGAGAGATAACTTTGGAGAACAAAGCCCTTCTAATTGGTGTACTCATTGTTTTTGTTTATATTTGTTTGATTCTGACAAGGCCACACGTAATCACAAGTGTACGTGGTTTATTCAATCTATTTTACCTTTCGTACGTACATTAGGAAATTTTGCATTTATCACGCATTGATAAAATTTCGTGACCTAAGTCCTACATTGACGGAGTAACGCACGTACTACATCTACAATTATTTATACGGAGATATTATTTTAAGACAATACATACGCATAACACAGGTCAACAAAAAAATAATTTTTTTTGCGCATGGGATTTACATAATATATTCTGACTATACTAAGCAAAAATAAATAAAAAGTGCAATTAGACATCGAAAATATTTGCTTTTACAAAGGTATAGCGATTTGATTGAAAGCTTTCAGGGGCGAAAATTAAAGCTGGAATCTTTGTTTTCCCTCAAATAAAAAGAAAAATGGAGGGTGATATTTTCCCGCGGTTACTTAGCAAAGAGGAAAAAAAATCCTGGAACAGTTTTAAGGCAATAGTCCATGGTTTCCCGTTCAGTGTTTCCTGGGAAACCATAGAGCTAAAAATTATGACGAGCTGAGGGGTTTTGGTTTTGTATCATCGGGTGTAGAATGTCTCTAAAGATGCACAGGTTACATTCTCATTTAGATTAATTTAAGAATAATATGGGAGCTTTTTCGGAATAACAAGGACAATCCTTTCATCAAGACATAATGGAATTTAGGCACGTTACCACGGCCAGTAAGCCTGGAAGCATGATGGAAGATCATATTTGGGGGATTGATGAGAAAAACTTCAGTTGAACATGACAAAAACAGTAAAACTGTTCCATTTTTAAACATTTAGACTTTAAGACAAACAGATTATAATTTATAAATGTAGGAACGTTACCTTATAATAAACCATGCGTATGTAAGTAAGATTTTATAGGTATTTTTATTTTTTGGTTTTTTTCATTTTTTTGGCACAAAAACAAATACATTAACCTTTTTTTGTTCTAATTCTTATTTGTGGCTATACAAGCAACAGAAATAAGGTATATATGTCCCATGCGCAAAAATGCTGTAGACCGGTGTAATTGAAGTTACGGATCTGTGTCCCTGCGTCATTTTCCATAGATTTCTCACACATGTTGCCTTGTTCCATCAGGTTCCAGTATATGTCGCAAATCAATGACGCAAAGGGCTCCGTTAACTTAGCACCACCATTTCAAATTTCTGACTAAAGATAGATTGCGCTAGAATCTCTATAGCTAGCGCTAGCTAGCGCCACTTTGAGGTCAGCTAGCGCCATTATAGATTTTGCAGAAAAGCCCTTGACTTTCGGGGGGTGCTATGTTAACGCTAGCACCACCATTGCGTACGATCATTTCCAAAAGCAAGCGCTATGTTCGTCAGACCTAGCGCCAGCTAGCGCCATAAATTTTAGAGCTAGCGCCATCCCCCAATAGAGTGGGGGGCAATTTTTCCTAGCACCACCATTTTGTGTTTTCGGGTAAAATTTTCACGTTTGGTGCTCTGCTCACCTAGCGCCGGCTAGCGCCACTAATTTTAGGGCTAGTTTTATAATTTTGCGGTGTCTGTCCGTCTGTCCGTTAGCACGATGTCTCGATAACGAATTGACCGATTACGATGAAATGGATGGATTGGATCTTTATCAAATTTGTAGATCGGAGTTAGTGAATTGGCAATATAGCCCAAAAAATAAGGAAGGTCCTTTTGACGTCTCTGTGAGTTATGAACCGAATTGTATGAAATTCAATATGCGTATAGCTTTAGCCACATAAAACGCAATTCCAAAAGTTGAGCCTAATCGGTCAACATTCACAGTGCCCTTTTCGCATCTCGACCATTTTTTTTTTATATAAAGGCTTTTCGGGGTCATGCCCATTTTGCCTACGATGTAGTTACCTCAAACTAGGGATAGACAATGGTTTTAACATTTCACGCACAGGGGCCGATCAGTGCGACTTTGTACCACACATAGGATGGCCACGGAAGGTTTAAATACATGTAAGGATATGGACACAGATGAATGTAACGGTTACAATACTATGGACGCACATAAAGTTACAGTTTTAGTCTAATTGCTTTTACATAATCAATGATAACATCGTAGATTGGTTTACGGCAGCTATGTAGTAAGGTCGTGATATTTGTGGGAAAGGCTACGCCTTTTTCGCTTAGCTTTTCTAATAGGTTTCTAATTTTGGCCTCACGCTTAACACAACTAAAAAACAGATGATTCAAGTCGCCCTGGAAATCTCCGCAATCGCAGTTTGGGGAGTCTAGGATACCAATTTACAAACCGGATTGAAAACTTTCTTATTTATGGAAGCATTTAAAAGTAATTTGATACATAGCCACTTGGAATAAAAGCAAATTTAACGCCAGTTTCAAAATTTGGTTTTGTGCATGATGTGTGGTGCCAATTTTCTTATTTATGGAAGCAATTAAATGAAATTTCATACATATACACTTTAAATAAAAGCAAAACTAACACCAAGTTCAAAATTTGGTTTTGCACATGCTGTAGCCATATCCAGGGGCTCGTTTTCTATATTTATTTACACGTCGATGCGAAAAGGGCACTGTGACTGTTGATAGATTAGGATCAACTTTTGGAATTGCGTGTTATATAGCTAAAACTATACGAATATTGAGTTTCATGCAATTCGGTTCAAAACTCACGCAGATGTCAAAAGGGCCTTCCTTATTTTTTGCGTTATATTGCCAATTCACGAATTTCGATCTACAAATTTGATAAAGAATCCAACTACAACATTTCATCGTAATCGGTCCATTCGTTTTCGAGATATTGTGGTAACGGACAGACGGACAGACACCGCATCTGGGATGGTCAAACTCTTTACCATTTTTAAACCCGAATGTGCAAATCTGTCCCTCTTAGGGTCGGAAATAATAAACAAATTATTTTAATTTGAAATCCTTTTTTTTGGATTGATCGTTCTGTTTAAAGTAAAAAAGTTCCAATAAAAATACTAAAATTTGTATGTAAAGTAGCAAGATTGTAATTTGTAAATATGAACACCCCTTCATTTCAAAGTAAACAGACGGTGAGGTATGCAGGTACAAACTTACTTAAATCCTTTATGAATGCGCAAAAGTTGTAAATTATTTGTCACATCAAGGGTTTACAGGTGCGTCAAATGTGTAAAGTTTGGTATATCTGTATTGTTAAAAACAACACCTTTAGATAGTAGTCGACGCGACGTACATAGGTATATAATTTATCGGGAGCAAATACACAAGAGCTTGATTTTTAATCGAATAATTTTATTTTTACACGAAAGTTTTGTTGCCACCGAAAAAACTCGAGACCAAAAGTGTAATAAAATCGCGACAGTTTTAGCTGGAGCGATTTTATTAATATTATGCTTTTCGAGACTTTTTTCCAGGAGGCAACAAAATTTGAGTGAATTAAAAATAAAATTATCCTGACTTAAAACCAAGGTCGAGTGTATTTTAGGGAGATTAATAAAAGACAGTAAATTTTACAACCACTACATATTTTACGCATTCCTACACGCATTTTTATCGCTGTTAAAAAGCTACGTAGCGTTTAATCAGATAAAAAATCATCTGATTGGTTAGAATTTGAAACAATCACCAAGCTGATTGGTCGTATATTAATGGTATATGGTATATAAGAATATGCTTCTTTGTTTTTTAGCAGAATTAACAAATAAATATGTTGATTGATGCGAATACTTTCAAAGGTATTCAAATACTTTCAAAAATATTCTAATACTACCAAAGATATTCGAATACTTTTTATAGTATTCGAATATCTTTATATTACTTTAAAAAGTATTCGAATACTTGTCACTCAAATACATTAAAAATTTAAAATAGTACTAGATAAAAGTCTTAATAATACTTCAAAAATGTCAAGTTATACTTTGTATAGAGGCAACATGTAAGAACAGCGTTTTATGCACTGAATGTAGTCCCTTTCCCTGAGCTGAGGTTAGCATTTTTTATATTTCTATTGTTATATACAAATTTAAGGGGAGTAAAAGCCTAATATTATTATTATATAGGAGGTACCTACCAGGACCTTTCTTATACCAGTTATATCCTTAAGAATACGTTTACCAGTTTTCAAAGCGATCGTATGTCGTGCACATGACACGTACACATTTCTGAAATTAATCCTAGCGATTTTGGAACAGATCCATTTTTGATCATCCGTTTGTCCGTGTGCATGATAGTTTGTTTAGAAACGTGCGATCGCTTTGAAATTTGGTACACATGGTCTTAAGGATATATGAAAGGTCCCTATTGTTTTTAAGTTACGTGGACTATCGAGTCAAAAAGTTTCACTCCAGGATCGTTCGGTATTCAGTTGTATCGGATTGTTATATTTGATTTTGTGACAATGGAAACTTTCCCTAAACATTTCTAAATTGTTCTCAAATATTTGAATAACTTAAAAGTACTGCCTTTTTTGAGGCCGGAAAAAAAATGTCTGAGATCGACCGGGAAAAAACATTTTCTTATAGAATTTGGCCCGTAGAATCCGTAATTTAAAACAGTTTGAAGATTGGGCTACTAGAAGTTACAGCCCTTTGAATTTTTTTTCGAAATTTGTTTTTTGTCCATAACTTTATATTGAGAGGTCTAATCGAAAAAGAACGAATTGTTTTGGATTCTACGCACCAAAATTAATAAGAAAAAGTGTTTTCCCGAGAAATTTTGGTGCAGTCGATTTTTGGTAAAAAAAAGGAAGGTTATACACTGCCTTTTTTTGAGCCCCGAAAAAAAATTGTCTCAGATCGACCCGGAAAAAAAATTTTCTTATGGAATGTGGCCTGTAGAATCCATAATTTCAAACAGTTCCAAGATTGGGCTACTAGTTCAAAAGTTACAGCCCTTTGAATTTTTTTTCGACATTGGTTTCTAGTCCATAACTTTTGATTGAGAAGTCTGATCGAAAAAGTACGAATTGTTTTGGATTCTACGCACCAAAATTAATAAGAAAAAGTGTTTTCCCGAGAATTTTTGGTGCAGTCGATTTTTGGTAAAAAAGGAAGGTTATACACTGCCTTTTTTTGAGCCCCGAAAAAAAAATTGTCTCAGATCGACCCGGAAAAAATTTTCTTATAGAATGTGGCCTGTAGAATCCATAATTTCAAACAGTTCCAAGATTGGGCTACTAGTTCAAAAGTTACGCCCTTTGAATTTTTATTCGAAATTGGTTTCTAGTCTATAACTTTTGATTGAGAAGTCTGATCGAAAAAGTACGAATTGTTTTGGATTCTACGCACCAAAATTAATTAGAAAAAGTGTTTTCCCGAGAAATTTTGGTGTAGTCGATTTTTGGTAAAAAAGGAAGGTTATACACTGCCTTTTTTTGAGCCCCGAAAAAAAATTATCTCAGATCGACCCGGAAAAAAATTTTCTTATAGAATGTGGCCTGTAGAATCCATAATTTCAAACAGTTCCAAGATTGGACTTCTAGTTCAAAAGTTACAGCCCTTTGAATGTTTTTTCGACATTGGTTTCTAGTCTATAACCTTTCAAACAGTTCCAAGAAGTCTGATCGAAAAAGTACGAATTGTTTTGGATTCTACGCACCAAAATTAATAAGAGAAAGTGTTTTCCCGAGAAATTTTGGAGCAGTCGATTTTTGGTAAAAAAGGAAGGTTAAGTATCCAAATACTTTGCGAAGTATTCGAATACTAAATATTTGTGAAAGTATTTGAGTTACAAATACACATACTGCTTCCATAAAAGTATTTAATTACAAAGTATTTGAATACTTTATAGGCTTTGAATACTAAAAAGTATTTACAAAATCGAATACTGCCCAGCTCTGGTATCACAAAATGCAGTATCTTTCAGAATTACCGTTATACCGCTAGTACTAACTGGGTGAAGGAAATGAAACTATGGCGTCTACAATACATACATTCTCTCAAAAAGAAAACGGTCAAATTTTGAAAAAGAAAGATTATACTCTAAGTACTGTCCAATTCTTCTATAAAATATGGAGTACACCATTTAAAAAAAACCGAAGTTTGATACACCATAGGAATACAACACGCCACTGGTGAGGTTACTTTAGAAACATGGCGACGTTAATTGTGCACTATTTTGCTTTCGTTGTCTTCGGAGTTATGGTCCGATGGGTCTTAGACGCCACACCCTGTATATGCACGGTCATTCACGGTCTTTTCACAATTTACAATACAAGAAAAATTCAGTCTTCAGGGGTGGTTTTGGAACTCAAATGCAGCATCCGATTTATGTCCAGTTAAGCAAAATATACCAAAACGTTTGGTGACGCCACTGGCTTCAGTTTAATATTGTTATTGAATAACTAGCCCAATGTGCTCTTGTAAATGATATCAAGCAAGCGTGCAGTATATGATAACCATATCTTTCCCTTCATTTTAGACCAAAGAACCTCGTTCTCGTCCATTCCTTTGCGTTCCACTACACTGAAAGCATCACGCAAATCTTTTTGCAACAAAAGTACAGGTAATAACAATTTTTATTATAATTATCGGTGTACTAACCATTTAAACATTTAGAGAAAAAAAGAACCAAATCGCGATGGAATCAGTGAAAGACATCCCAGTAGTTGGAGGAGTAATTAACTTCTTTTGGCAACTAAGTTTGATGGTCCTACAAATCTACGTTAACATTTTGAAGTTGACCTTCAATATTGCAACGAACATTACGAGCTGGTTTTTGGAGATGATAAAGTCAGTTTTGCAAAGCGCCATCGGTTTTTTGGACGAAGCCATTCAACAAACCAAACAATATGAGAATCGCGTTGCCGAATTCATTATCAAGATTTTGGTAACCCTCCAAGAGGTATTGTCATATCCGATCAAGTCGATCAAAACCACTTTTCAAACAGGTTAGATTTGTTATTATATGTGTTATTTAATGTTTAAATGTAATTTTTTGTAAACATGTTTTAAAATGTTTTTTATAAATCATTATGAAGCGCTAATTTTAAAATAAAAAAAATTAATTGCTGACAAAGTCTTTTACTGCGAAATTCCACCGTTTTTTACAGCTTTACATTCCACGTGGAGCTCAGATCGACTTCCAGATTCATATAGCTTACCTACGTTCGAATGCGAATTTGAGCGTTTAACCCAGGTAAGTGTAGGCACTTATGTACACTCAAAATTGAACCCTTGGCCTAAATGCAATTCAATGGAACTGTGGGATCGAAGCTTTTCATTTTCCCATTTCCTTTACCTATGTCCAAAGGCGTGCAATGTCGTTGTCGTATAAGTACCTACTCTTACAAAATATCATTATATATTTATAGCAAAAAATTAGTTAATTATTATTAACGTGAAACATTTTTTATAAATAATCACGATATTATTTGTGAGACGGTATTTTTTAACAAAAGCAAACGTAATGATCCCTTGTTGTGTGTCAGTAACCTTCGACTTTTTCCATACAATCTTCAATTTCGGTAACGGTTCGAGGTACTTCGCCAAGTTTTTTAACCCCAATCTCGGTAACAACAAAGAGATCCTCAATACGAACCCCGCCCATTCGTCTGAATCGATTTATAACATCCATTACCAGAAACTGTTGAAGTAGGGAGTCGTTAACCGCACAGTCAAGAAGATAGTCGATAAAATAGCAGCCGGGCTCGATGGTCAACACCATGCCCTTCTTCAAAACTCTCGATGTTCGCAATCGCTCCATACCTTTTGGGTGTTTGAGTCGAGGTGGTGATTCCGGAAGGTAGCCGCCGACGTCGTGCACATCCAGTCCGATCAAGTGGCCCAAACCGTAAGGCTGAAAAATCGCACCCAATCCGGCAGTTACCATCACAGAAATGTCACCTTTTAATAAGCCGGCATCTTTTAAACCCGAAAGAAGGACGCGATTGCCCAAAATATGCATACAAGACCAGCTGGTACCGGGACGGGCTTCATTTTGAATAGCGTGACTAACTTTAAGCACCGACTCGTATATGATTCTCTGCTCACTTGTAAACTTGCCATTAACTGGAAACGAACAGGCGATTGCTGTTGAGTAGCCAAAATAACTCGCGCCCATTTCGAAGAGGCACATTTCTCCGCTGCCGAGCTTTCCGTTGTTGGGCATACCGGTGTGACCGTAGTGAAGGATGGCTGTATTAGGTCCAGAGGCGCAAGTACTAGTGAAAGCCGCATGTCGGCATCCGCCCATATTGTAAATAAAGTGAAGAAACTCAGATTCGCACTGGTATTCCATTAGGCCAGGCTTGACGTACTTCAAGATGCGCCTCAACGCCGCAGCTGTCAATCCCGTGACGTAATTAATTACTTCTAGTTCATAATCCGTTTTTACGACCCTAAGTTCCGACATTTCCGGGTACAGAGTCGATACGTCCAAATCGAAAAGGTCAATACCGTCAAAGTGAGCAGGTTCGATTTCTAAACCGCTGTCTGTGTTACAACCATTAAGCAATAACAACACAGTCGGTTCCAAACTTTTCAAAACCTCCACAATTTCACTTGCGTAGTAAACATTGTCGATGCCATATTTTTTTCGAAATTCCTCAAACGTAAGCTGTGGTCCCATCCAGATGCAGTACTCATCTGGATATCGAGGAATGAATAAGTGCGTGGTGCTCGTGTCCACTTCTAGAGCAGCGTAACATAAAGGGTCCGTAACACCAAATGCCCACATAAAAAACGGTTCCTGTCGAAATGGGTAGGTTACATCCGAATTGTAAATTGGAACATCCTGGCCACCTTGTAAAAAAACCAACGATCCTTTTCTAACGTCTTTCACTTGCAAGCGTTCTATCAATCTTTGTCTGTTACAGGCATATAATTCTGGTGAAATCTCCAAGGTATTGGGACCCATTCCAATTTTTAAATTGTTCTTTTCGAACATTTTTAATTTACATTCGATAGGACAGTTACAAATAATTTTATTTCGTGAGTGACAAGTTTGACATTATGAAGTAGGTAACAATGTTATAGAGTGCTTTGCATGATTTAGTATAAGTTAAGTAGTTATAGTTACTCCCCTGTTCTTTATTTGTGAACCACTTTGTCCTTTGCGTTAGAGTTGGAATCTCTTTCGCCCACCTACTCCGAAATTCATTTACTGTTTCCTTTCTTCTTCTCCATTGTCTTCGTGAATGGTTCATTGTCAACACTTCTTCCGTTTCGGGGTCCAAGCTGCTGAATGTGAAATCCAAACACACTGGTTTTCTGAAAAAACTGGAAGATTCCATTGCTGACCTGAAAATAAGTCTACCACGAGCCGATGTTGGATAATGGAATACGAGATTGCCCCTAAGAAGTTGGAAACTTGGAACTTCTACGTGCGACCTCGCTAGAAGGATGTATGAACTCCAAAGAGATCGATGTGGACGAAGAGCAAGAATCCCAGAATGCGGTATTTGTTCATGGGACCGGTGAAAATATGGCTGACGACTTGCAAAAGGAGGAAGACAATTACGTTACTGAATGGGTTCAAAACGTTAAACAAACCTGAGGTGAAAGTCAGACGTTCAACGTGCGTCCTCAAATCCCACAGTTTTGATGAAATTTTGGCATTTGGCAAACGGTGATCGCAATAGCCAACTAGCCCAAGGTAGGAAGCTAAAAACTGGCTCTCTATAAGTAGAGAAAACGAGCCTCAAAAATTTAACCCGAATCTCAATATTTGAGTACTGTACAGGGTGTTCCAAATTACTTGTTTTAGATGTTTTTCGGGAATATTTTGAGAACTAAAAGAGATAGAGTGAAGCGGTGTGCACTTCTCGGAGTTACGTTTCAAATCTCTATAGATTGACCATGTCAATTTTAACGTATGGCTTGCGAAACCCTGGCAAAATGCAATAAAACGTATTTGCTTTATAACTCAGTTTTTGTGGGAATATCAAAAAAGTAGATAGAATAAAAGTAAAAGAAAATAATCTCTTAGTAAGGGTGTATTTTTATATTTTCCATAGCCGGCTTAGTTTTTATGATACAGCACCAACGTTTGATTTTTCAAATGAAATGTATATTTTTTTGTACCACTACATTCTTTATTTTTTTCTTATTAGAAAAATCTGTAAGTAATCAGTATGTTTGAGAAGAAAATAATTGAGATAAACAGGGAACACTGTTATTTAGTAGTCTTAAAATTGTGGATGAAATACGAATAGGCCGTGGAATACATAGTTCATATTTCAGGAAATGCTCAAAATAACAATATTTAATGGAATTTGCTCATTTATCATAAATATCTGACTGAGACCGATGTGCATGATTTACTCAGACTTTAGATTGATATTATTGATTACGTAGACTAACCTTAGATTTATAGAATTTGAAATGAGTAAGATAAATGAGCAAATTGTGTTATTTTGAGCAATTCCTGAAATATGAACTAGGCATATATTTCACGTCCTATTTGTATTTAATCAACATTTTCAAGACCGAAAAAGGGCCTTCTCTTAAACAATTAAGCAGCCTTTGGAAAACATAAAAATATCCCCTTACTAAGAGACTATTTTTACATTTTTATTCTTTCTAGTTTTTTGATATTCCCACAAATAACCGAGTTACTGATAAAGCAAGAACCTTTTATTGCATTTTTGCGCTGTTGCCAATTGACATCGCCAAGTTAAGCAGATTTGAAAAGTAACTTCAAGAGAAAGTGTTGAAGTACGATTATAAAATATTTTATAAATTATAAAGTGTGTAGATGTTAAAAAAAATGTATGATCAATATTTAATGACATTTATGAACTTCTTTATTTTTCTATTTTTGAAGCTCAAGACGTTTTATTAATGTTCTAACATTAATCTTTCAACAGATTATGAGACTTACGCGTTAGTGTTTCGAAAATTAAATCCGGAAAACAGTGTCATGTAGAATCACGTGTGTGTTACTGTAGCTGGATTAAAGACGTCGTACAGGTACATTTTTTCGATCGGTAGTTAGCAGAGTTTACGTATCCAGACATCAAAGAGGAGTGTAGTTGTCTCATCACATTTAGAAGGAGTAATAATGACGATGAACAATTACAATGATGGTCTCGACTGAGGACTCAAACTCACAGACGACAATTATTTCGCATGGCATATTAAGGCCAGGGCGATCATGGAGCAGCAAGAATGCTGGGATGCAGTTGATCCTGGTTTTGGCGGTGAAGATTTGATAGAAGGCTTCAGCGCAGGGGAGAAGAAGAAGAACTCCAGAGCGTTGTCACTTATTTTACTTTCGGTAAGTGATAAATATATTGACTATTAGGAGGACATAAAACGGCAGAAATAGCGTGGACAACCCTGTCTAGTTTACACCAAGATTTTAGTGTGATGCATCAACTTGAATTTCTGGAAGATTTAACTACCATAAAGAAAGGAGATACTTCAATGACCGAGTACATTTCAAAAATTCTTGATCTCAACCGAAAAATCTTACGTTACGGTATAACTTTTGATGAACATGCTCTCTCATTGTTTATTCTGAGGGGTCTTCCAAGGGACAAATATGAAATCTTCATTAGAACATTGGAACATCAAGAAAGTTTAAGTCGTGATGACATCATAAGTAAATTGTTGGTGGAAGAGAAACGTCAAATCAGATTAGACGGACTGTCGACAAAAACAGAGGAAGTCAAAGCTATGACAGCAGTGCCGTACTCAAAAGCAAACCAAAGTATGAAATCGAAAAACCATGGAAACAATACTCAACGAGCTAAAGGAGAAAATAGAAATGACAATCGAGTCTATCATGGAAACAATACTCAACGAGTTAAAGGAGAAAGTAGAAATGAAGATCGAGTCTACAAGTGCTACACCTGTGGAAATTTAGGACACAAATCTTGTGACTGTCCAGAGTTGAAGGAGTTCTTGAGACAACAACGACACAAGAAGGAAGGTATTGCAAGTAGTGCTATAAGTGAAATTGTCGATTCAGTCCACAAAGCCAAAGCGTAATGTTCAGTAGGAGTTAAAGGCAATATGAAGCGGAAATGCTGGTATTTAGACTCCTGTTCTTCAGATCACATGACACCATTGAAAGAAGAATTTGTCGAACTGGATGAAGATTGCTGTGGAATCATTAAGATGGGAAATGGGGACGAAGCTCAGATAGAAGGCAAAGGCATCGTCATGATTCGTACACCTGAATAAGACGGAGGATTCAGGATCACGTTGTCTGAGACACTTTTCGTTCCAGATCTTGAATGTGCTTTGATGTCTGTTTCAAGGTTGACAGATAAAGGTTTGGACGTCATGTTCACTGGTGAAAGAGGCGTAGTTTTGGATAATGATGAGCTGATCTTTAGAGTAAAGAAGGATGATCGGGTATACGTTGTAAATACTGCGGATATAAAAAGTAAAAATTTTAACATTGAACAGAAGAATGGATTAGCATGTAGAGCAGTCAACAACATGCAGCTATGGCATCGAAGATTTGGACATGTGAATAAAAGGAATTTGTTGAGAATTCCTTTTCTCAAAAATTTAAAAGAAGAACCAAATAAAGATGATGAGAAATGTGAAGTTTGCATTCAAGGAAAATTCAGTCGTTTTAGTTTTCCTAAGAAAAGAAGTGAGAAAACAACAGCAGTATTGCAGATCATCCACAGCGACCTAATGGGTAAAATGTCACCCCCATCTATTGGCGGATCATTATTTATTATGACTCTTATTGACCATTACTCTTATTATATCGTTGCCAAATGTTTGAAGACGAAGGATGAGGCGTTTCTTGAATTTGTTAGATTTCATAAGGAAGCGGAAAATCAACAGAAAAAGTTACTGACCCTGCAAAGTGACAATGGTGGCGAGTACATATCAAATGTTTTCGAGGAGTACTTGCATGAAAATGGAATAAAAGATAGGAGAAGTGCACCAGGTTGTCCGCAGCAAAATGGTCTGGCAGAACGGCAGAACCGCGTTCTGGTAGAAATGGCAAGATGCATGACGTTAGAATCCGGTGTACCCATGGATTTTTGGGCAGAAGCAATTATGACATCAGTTTTTATCAGAAATCGGTGCCCCTCATCTGCAATTGACTTCAAAATACCTTACGAAATCTGGCACAATAAGAAATTAAAGTTAGAGACAGCAAATTTAATTAAGATTTTTGGTTGCCAAGCATGGGCAATGAAATCTAAATCAACGAAATTTGAATCAAAAGCGGAAACATGTGTGCTTATTGGATTTGCCGAAAATACGAAGGACGGTTACCGATTATGGAGTTTGAAGCGAAGAAAGGTAATCATCAGGAGAGATGTAATTTTTCAGGAAGAGATTTTTCCATTTAAACAACCTGTATTGAAAGTACCAAGTGAAACCAAACTCAGATATTTAAGATTAAGAATTATGACTGCAATTTCCTAAGCGAGTTAAACGAAAAAGAAGGATTGTGGTCTGAAATCTCTAAAGATAAAAATTATGCTATTGAAATTGTACCCGAAGGAGAAATGGTTGCTCAAAATCAAGACGTGTTAGATGGAGAGCTGGAAATTCAAAATCAAGAAGCTGTAATAGAAGAAATGATTCATAACCAAGGAGAAGAGCAAACTGAAATCGATAATACTGACGAAGGACCTGTAAAATTAAGAAAATCTAGTAGAGCACCAGTAACAAGAAAATTATGTAAATTGCCATTTTGTATGTGTGCTCAACTCTACGATCATGAAGAGAATATTCCGTCCAGTTATGAGGAAGCTGTGAATGGCTCAAACGCACTTGCATGGGAGGATGCCACTAATAAAGAATTTCGGAATTTAAATTTGCAAGAAACCAGGAAAATTATAAAACGACAACCAGGTGCAAGGGTAATAGGCTGCAAGTGGGTGTTCACAATCAAAAACGGAGATGGAAACATTAAGAAGTATAAAGCCCGACTTGTTGCACAAGGTTTTCGTCAAACTCACGGAGTAAACTATTTTGAAACTATGAGTCCTGTAGTGGAGAAGACATCAATCAGACTTCTGACGAATCTAGCTGTACATCATGGATGGAGGTTGGATCATGTACATGTAGTCGGAGCGTACCTCACTAGCAGTTTGGATGAGGAAGTATTGATGGAAGTACCTGATGGATTAGAACTCGATAAAGGTAAATTCGTTTGTAAACTTAAAAAAAGTCTGTACGGCCTTAAGCAATCAGGTAGAAACTGGTATAATCACGTAACATCGATTATGTTAAGTTTAGATTTTGCCAAATGTATCAGTGAACCTTGCATATTTTTTAAGAAAGACATTATAGTGGCAGCTTATGTTGACGATTTTTTGGTTTCGGGAATTGAAGAAGTTTTAAAATTTAAAGAAATTATTGGAAAAATTATCAAACTTAAAGATTTAGGTCCCGTAAGATCGTTCATATCAATACAGTTTGATCGACCTAGTAAGAATGTTATAACTATAAATCAGAGTCAGTACATAAAATCCATTTTAAATGAGTACAATATGTCAGAATCTAAAGGCACTTCTTGTCAACTTCAAGTAGGAGCGCATTTTGAAGTGAAAGGCGAAGGAGAAATTTTTGACCGTGAATTGTATCAAAAGGCGATAAGCTCTCTTCTTTATATCAGCACTTGTACTCGGCCTGACATTGCAAATGCTGTATAAATTGAGCCAATGCAACCAGAGACCCACTGTAAGAAATTGGAGAGGTGTTCAAAATGTGTTAAAGTATTTAAAGAAAACAATAGGTTATAGATTAACTTATAAGAAAAATGGTGTTTTCTCATGTTATAGTGATTCAGACTGGGTTACTGATAAAAATGATGCAAAATCAATAACTGGTTATGTTTTTAATTTTGGGAATGGAGCAGTTATTTGGAAAAGCCGAAAACAGAAATGCGTAGCCAGTTCATCAACTCATGCAGAGTATATCGCCCTTTATGAGTCAATGTGTGAATTTCTGTGGCTACAATCTTTGTTACGTGAATTAAGTGAAGAAGATTTAATTTCTGGAAGAGAAATTGTGTATTGTGATAATCAAGGTTCGATTGCAATTGCAGAAAATGAAACTATAAAGGAGGAAGTAAGCATTTTGTTGTTAAATACAATTTTGTGAGAGAATGTATTAATAATAGTATATGATCAAAGTAGAATATATACCTTCATCAGAAAACCTTGCTGACCTCTTCACGAAGTCCCTGTCAGGGCCCAAAACAGAAATGTTTGCTAAGGCTATAGGTCTACTCTAAGAATCAAGATTTTTAAAATATGAAATAAGGGGAGGTAATTTGTATTTTCTATTTAAAACTGTGTATTTCCTATTTTGAACTTAGAAGTAAGTTTTTATGTAGTATTCTTTATTTGAATTTATAAATATTTTTAATCGAGGGGATGTGTTGAAGTACGATCATAAAATATTTTATAAATTATAGTGTGTAGATGTTAAAAAAATATATATGATGAATATTTAATGACATTTATGAACTTCTTTATTTTTCTATTTTTGAATCTCAAGACGTTTTATTAATGTTCTAACATTAATCTTTCAACAGAAAGAACTGTATCACATTACAGTTCTCAAAATATCCCCTAAAAACATCAAAAAATTATTAACCGCTCTATAAAATATTCCAGTAGCGCTCCTAAGTAGGTATATTACAATTTAAATTTAGTAAGTTTGTGTAAGATGTATTCACATTGGTGTTAGAATAATGTTTAAGGCATACCTTACTCCACCTTATAGTTAGTACATGATTGAGCTTTTTTTAGCTCAGAAGTTGTCCAAAAACTATCTCTCGTGTAATTTTCACTAAATCGTGGATTGTAAGAATAATCTAGAAACTGACACAACCCAGTTCACAATAATCATGCTAATAATGAGATCAGCAAGATTCCATAAATTTGCGGTCTACGGTCCTGTCCTTAGTTCGATCTGCTCCATAATTCCTCAAGCCTACGATCCTGTCCTTGATCCATACCAATTCCTTACTTCTTGTGCTTATTTCCTTCCAAGCCGACACGACGATCCTACCCTTATCCTATGTCCTTTACTTTCTGCTATAACGACTGTTGAAACCACGCGCGATGTAGTACCTAAACCAAGTGTTACGTTCAAAGACGAAATAAAAAAACTTTTGAGAAAGTAAAGGAGTAGATTACAGTTGTTTGCACCCTTTGGGGGCCAGCTTTTCTGACCGTGATTTCCCCGATTTTGCGGATGCGAAGATTGCCGTGGCGAATATTCTTGGAGCGGGGCAAGTCTGCCGGGGGTGAATATTTCAACTGCGAATTTACGAGAAATACTACTGTTGAGATTACCCTCCACGGTCCTTGTTGATGCCGGATCGTATTATTTTTTATCTTAAAATTGGAAAATTGTAGCGTTTTCGAAGCAGAATCATACGCAACTCCGCATATTATGAGTTTGATGCAATCAATGAATGAATTTCTACATTTGCAAAATCGTTTCCTTAAATGTTGTCAATAAATGTGATGTAATAGATACCTTATCATTTTCCACTTATGTAGCAGTTTTAATTGAACATGGATATGCTTTTTATCAAACAATGTCATTGTCTATACGTACTTTACAATAAACGCGAGTCGCGACTTAGTCTAGTGTGATCAAGGTGGGAATAATAATTGGAAATGAGAGTCACCTTTTTGTTATTGTTAACTATTTTTTTCATTGTGGTCCAAAAATCACTTTGCGGTAATAGTCCACTCAGGTTGGGAAACCTTTGTTTACAATAGTTGGCTGTTTTAGATCCACTTGTCCTAATTGAGGAAGGCATCACGGAGTATTTTCGTACCAGAACCAGACCGGGATATCTAGAAAATTCGATTAGGGAAGCCTTAATACGTACGTCAAGCAAGTTAGGAGAAGATGGAATGCATTGCGCCCTTTGTAGAATTGTTACAAAAATTGTGATAGAATATCGACGTGCTGGAACTAACAACGAAATTATTGGAGATATTGGCAAGGATTTGTGCACTTTATTTGCAGATATCGGATATGTCACCTGTGTCGGATATATTGATTTGACAATTGTAGGTAAATAACACGCTTGGGTTCAAAGTACCATTGAGATTTGTTTTTCTTTCAATTTAGGACACATTTGTATTCATAATTGATAACAAACCTGATATCACGCCCGAAAGGTTCTGCGCGATAAGATTGCAAGAGTATGGTTGTGTAGATCCAAACTATGTTCCATGGAGAATTGATTTGCCACCTGGCCGCTCACCCTCTTTACCAAGGGTAGGTTTATCATTTTCAGCCGTTTGTTCTGTTCTGTGTTTGTAGTAACTCATAGGTACAGGAGCTGATCTAGGGTAAATGCTCCGGTTATAGCCAGTTTACGACTTTCTTTGTCATTAAACTATACAGTTTGTTTTTTTTTATCCAAATATAACCACAGTAATTAAATAAAAACCTTCTCACTAGACTTGGTCATAGTGCGAACCAAATGTGCCATATAGATGCATACAGTTTTTCAAAAAATAATAAATTTCATGGTAATATACCCAATGGTTCAAAAAACCAAAAAAAAAAAATAACATTCATTTGTATTGCAGCTTGATTTACAAGACAATATACACCATTATTATTATGATCTCCCAATTTATTGAACGAAAGATATTCTTTAGATGGGACTGTTGTGTTAAAAGCAAAGTTCAAGCCCATTTTTTGTACTTGGCTCAAAATAACGTTCAATAACTGTCAATATTGGAACCAGACTCAGAGGAGTCCAAGTTAACTCGGCGACTCATTTACCTTTATATCTTTTAGAGACCTTCCGGACAAACTACTAGTGTTTTACATTTAACCGACATTCACTACGATCCACTTTATCAGCCGGAAAGCAACGCAGACTGTGAAGACGTATTATGCTGTGAAATTACGTCCGGTATCCCCAAACAGGCAATTCACGAGGCTGGTTTTTGGGGAGATTACCGTCCTTGTGACATGCCTTGGCAATCGTTTGAAAATTTACTAAGCCAAGTGAAAAATAAGCATGTAAGTTAAAACAGCGGTTATAGGTCACAGTAGCAATTTTTTTCCGGCAGCGGATAGATTCGGTGTACCTCACCGGAGATATCATCAGTCATCAGGTGTGGAATACCAGCAAGGAATATAACCAGCTGTACATAACACAGGTGCTTGAAAAGATACAACATACTTTTGGAACAACGCCTGTTTATCCCATTTTGGGCAATCACGAAGCTCATCCTACGGACTTGTATGTCGAGCTGAAGACTATTTCTTTTCTAATGCTTCTGGTATTTATAGCTACCCACCTAACAGCGTGGAAGGTGATTTCTCGATTAGCTGGCTACTTGATTATGTAGCAGAAGAATGGTCCAGGTGGCTACCTACAAGTACTTTGACCACAATACGTCAAGGAGGATTTTACACAGTGTTGGTGAAACCTGGTTTTCGTATTATTGCGTTAAATAGCAATGTGTGTTTCACTAACAATATGTAAGTTTTTTTTTTTTGTTTTAAGTTTTGGGGTTGGTATGCGAATAGTTTATTTCCCTTGCGACCTCTATGATTTCAATTTCATAGTACCTATGCCCTAGTATAAAACTCGTGTGCGGACAATTCGCGCCCGGACAATTCGCACTCGGATAATTCGCACCCTGGACATTTCGCTCCCGGATAATTCGCACCCGGACCATTCGCACTCGATAAATTCGCTCCCGAATAATTCACACCCGGATAATTCTGTAAATCTTTGGTTTATTAAAAATAAATATTTTTAAGAGGCTACTAGACGATTGCCTTTACAGAATGTGTGTAGTGTGCACATCTTGGTAAACATCTACTTCATGGAAAAATGTTTCAAATAATAGTAATTTGGTCTTTCATTTTCAACACATCGCGATTCTTTAAGTATTTCCATTTCTTAAATATAATCACGCTAGTTTTTTTTTGAAGTTGTATGAAGAGTATGATATAGTTAAATCCTGTAATTTAAGAACACATAATTTTTATCTACTGCGCTTTCGTTTTGAGAAAATAAGAATAGGTAACTGAAACGTCTTTTGTGGAGTAATTAAATACCAAATAGTTATACCTAGTTATAGTACCTATATCTACAATATTATGTGTAATATTCGCTACTTTTAAGACGCTCTTAATATTAAAACAGAATCAACATATAATACCGTACACAAACAAAGTGATAAGTCTAAAGTTAAAAATATTTACATTATAAGATCAAAATGAAAATAGAAAAAGGAAGTAATTTTAACGCTCCCTTACATAAAGATTTCTTAATGAAGACACATAAAAAATGGTTCTTTATTTCTTTAGTTGAAAAGGGTGACAAAGGAAATGAATTAAATTTATTTTAGACAAAACGAGTATGTATAAATGACAATAGAACAATGCATTTCATAGATGGCACTAAATTTGGATAAGTAATTAAGATAATATTATAATTAAAGGTAAATTTGAAAAGACCCCGATAACACAAATTGCACTTCATAAAGAAACAATAAGAGAAATATCGTAATGACATCCTTTCTATTATTTCTGGAAGATGAATAGGGTTTATTACAAGGTAAAAGTAATTAGGTCCGAAAAATCAGGTTTAAGTACGTATGACCACAACTAATTGGAACTTTAACGCCTGTATAGTATCTTCATTCATGAACGTTTGACAGAGTAGTATTTTAAAATTTATTTGAGCACGGGTTTTGATTTTGTGTATACTTTTTTTTTTTATTTTAAAAAAATTTATTTCTGGTGGTAGTGTTGTGGGTAGTGTTCAGAAAAGGTAAGTTTCCAGTTTTCTTAGAACCAGTTTTACGTTTCTTTGACCACATATGGCTATATGTTGATTATTGGTGACTGAGTAAAATTACACTAACTGCTTATTTTTTTGCGTTATCTTTGCTACAACTATGGTAGTGAATGAACTTTAAAGTTTCTTTTTGATTTTCTTACTGTTATTTATTTTATACTTTGAAGAGATACATGGAAAAATTCTGGCATTTTTTTAAGAGATTGTTGATAATCAAAACAGTAAGGGTTTTGAAAATCTTGAAACGTTTTAGAAACAGGTCGATATTGATGATTTTTTCTTTTAAATGTTTGTAATTATTAAGTACCTATATACTTCCTTTTTAATTTTTGTATGGCATACTTTACCTAGTACTAAAGCAAAACCCTTAGCATTAGTAATTGCGCAACAAGGAAGATAGGACATCATTGGAAAGGCTTTCCTTCTCTGAATTTGGTGAGACTATAATTTTTTAGATTTGATATTTTCGAAATATTTTAAAAGTAAGTTGAGGGCGCGCTGTTGTTTATGTCATTGGAAGGATGTCGGGCCGATCACTATGTAATATAGAAGCTAATGCGATCGTGCGTCAAAATTATGCAGTTGCAAGTGGTATAAAAAAAAGAAATTGTACCTGCAACGTCGAATGCGCTGGAAATGAAACAACTAAACCAAAAAAATTACATATCCGAATTCAGAGATGGGCGACCTTACCAACGATGCATCATTTAAGATTTTAAGGGTTGCACTGTCAGCGATGCGAGACAAAGACATTAGTGAGCAAGTTTTATTTTAGACACTGTTTCCTTCCATGATCAATTTGACGTGCCAAAGCGTTTTTTGAAAATTATTTTAATTTACAGAAATAGCTATGTATGGTTTCTAATGCACCACCGTATATTATTTAGCTTCCGAGAAATAACACCAAAATCTCCCCATAAAAATTGTTGTAATAATAAATGGGTAGTTTTTAGTGTTATTTCTCCGAAGCTTCTTAAGCACCCCATTGAGAGTCATGGATCTTCACAATTTCAGTATATTATTTAAATAATAGCCATATAATTTATAGCAAGATCAATTTTGTTCATGATATTTATCAACATTTTTTGCTTTTTTCGTTATACTTTACAGTTCTTATCTCTTTAATTTTACGGAAACTCTCCAGAATCTATTTGTTTTACGTTCAAATATGATTATAATTTACTTTGAGATTCTTTTAAGACAATACATACGTATTTCGTTATGTGTCCTTTAAATGCAGGACGACATCGAAGGTTAGAGAACTAGGAAACTTAACTTGCAGCTATTAACAAATAATAATTGTTAAAATTGTATTTAGATTTTTATATTCCTATTGCAATATTATTTGTAAGTGCTAAAAGGTTTCCAAATGAAAAAACCTTGATTGTGAATTGGTACAATAAAACTGGGTAAATAGGTTTAAGAAATGTCAGGTGACAGTTTTGCTGATAGACCGATACCAGCGTTTAGCAGCATCCGGCTACTTGTGAACATGAGTGCATGGACAATTTACATCACGGATGAGTGTCCTTTTACCCTTTTTTTTGGTTTTTTTTAAACATAAATTTTCATTCGTGGTACCTTAGCAAGTGTTCTCATGTTTAATACGGAGATGACAATAAAATAAGTACTAAATTCCAGATTTTGAGTGATATGCACGCTATTAAAGTGACCTAAAACCTCTACTGGTTTGATATGGTCCATTCCATTTAAAAAGGTACATAGGATTGTACGTATGAATTCTTGCCTCATAAATACTATTAAAAAAATTATTCCTCTACAAATTGTATGGCTATTGTTTAACCAACATAAATATTTAAGTGCCACATTAAAATGCCAAAATCAAGGAACGTAACAATGGAGTTCGGTACAAAGAAAAGCGGAAAGAGATACATAATCTATGAAGGATACATGTACCTCTTTGCTAAGAACCTTAAACTCCAAAACTGCTCATCATGGCTGTGTCGAGCGAGAAGAGCAAAGAAGGATCCATCGGCTGTTAGTTTAACATGCAATGCCAGGATCTGGGTCAACGATGACAAGGTAAGATTAGCTAAACCGAGCACTGATTTTGAAAGTGCAGATGGTTTCCAGTTTCAAAGCCCTTAGTTGGGTATTTTATTAGTTAGGATATCGTCTTTTAACCTTTTGACTTTTTTGTACGTAAGTTTCATCGTTGCTTATACCGTCGTCTAATGTTAGTTTTTAGGTTCGGCCCTCCCTTGCAAAAAATTTAGTTTATCAACCTCTTCAAATTTCAATTTTACTCTGGAACCAACCACGGATATGGTCGTTGGGCTTTCCAGTTTTACTGCTCTTTTGGGTTTTTAATTGTTTTCCATCTATTGTAAGTTTTATAGCTATAGTCTCTCCTCAATGATCTCTACCATCTTGTAGATCACCTGAAGATGACCGTTGGTCGAAACATGTAGTGTATCACTTCGTTTTATTAAATTATATGGGAACGGTTTAGAGAACTTTTATTCAATATTAATAAATTATCCCATTTAGAGTTTGAACACAAAATGGACGTCACGATTCCAAATTATACCTTAATATTGAAAGTATCCAAATTTTAAATGTAGATATACGTCATTACATGCACAAAGTAATAAAACGTGATATTGGTGAGTAATATTGGAGATTTCAAGCTCTGAGTTAATTTAATACTTCACAGCCGACTTTCTATGTTAAAAGTCAACCATACACAAAATATCCTCTCAGGGGAGCGAAATTCTGGTGCGAATTATTCTGGTGCGAATTATTTGGGTGCGAATTCTCCTACAACCTATAAAACTACATATCAGAAGAACTATTTGGAAACTTCCATTGGGCCAGTACTCCAGGGTTTACACCCATTTGTTTTTTAATACGACTTTTCACTCTTTTCGTTTTTGTTTATATTTTATAAATAGCGTCGTTTTTCCTGCAGTTTCTAATAAGATTTGACGATTTTCTATTTCGCGAAACATGACGACTGATTGATTCGTAAAAATAAGTATCTCTTTATAGCTGGTTAGTATATGATGACGTTGATCCATACAATCAGTTGCAATGGTTATCTGACACTTTACTAGAAGCAGAGAAGAACCAAGAGGCGGTTCATATTCTATCACACATTCCGCCCGGAGATATTGAGTGCAGTCAGCAATGGAGTCACGAATTCAGAAGAATAATCGAACGGTAAACCTTTCAAATAAATCGAACATGCTTTAGGTGCCACTTCAGTTTTCATAATACGATAACCGGACAATTTAATGGTCACACTCACAACGACGAATTTAAAGTATTCTTTAGCCAAATTGAAAAGGATAAAGTTATTAATGTGGCTTTTAACGGGGGAAGTTTCACCACATACGTGGGATTAAATCCAAACTACAAGGTGTATACTCTCGAGCTTGAGGATGGGGTGAGTGTTCTCTGAAGATTCAATTCAGGTCGCATGGGAAGCATATTATTTGCCATTTTTAGAGAATGCTGGAATCTGAACAATGGACGTTCAATCTATCAGAGGCCAATCAAGATCCATACACCAGTCCAAAGTGGTACAAGCTGTATTCATTTAGTGACATTTATGGATTTGAGCCCTTCAATTTGCCTCAATATCAAAATTTAATACACAACATGTCGATAAATGAACAGCTATTACAAAATTACCATCGGTAAACGATTTTCACTACTAACACTACATGGCATTTTAAGAATCACTTACAGGTTGCAAGTACGCAATAGTACGGCGGCGTTACGCACGAAATGCGAAGATGGTTGCTTGCGGAATCTCTTTTGTGGTATTATTTCTGTTGAATACAAGGATTTAATAGAATGTCGAAAGCAAAAGCAATCAGGGGTACACGACGAATTGTGAAAGTTTAACATAATCATTTTATTAATAAAAATTATAAATGTTACGTTTTTTTTCAAATTTGTGAAGTTGGACTAACATCATATTACGGCTTATGGATAATCCGCGCGCATTAATTATCCGCGCAGAGTAAAATTCATTACGCGAGACACTTTTTTGTTTTTGCTAGAGTTGTATCACATATATCGAATGAATTGTGGTCAAAGGACAGTGTCCTATTTGTAATATTGAGAGATCATCAAAACGTTTTAAAGTAATACAAAACAATAACAAGTTAAAAAGTAATCGTAAACGATTTACATAAAGCGCATTTCCACTTGCATTCATTTCCCATTTGTAAGATGCAACTTCTGTTAAAATCGTAAAAATCCGGCCACAAATATGAAAGATAGCGTTGCACATGGGCAATCCATTGTTGACGTGCTACTTCAATTTCAGTTTATGAGAAAAATTTCATTTCAATGCTTTTCTAAATAAGAAAGTTGGAACTGCGCATGCGCAAACCTAAATTTTAAAACTAATGTTAGATTTTCCTTTGTTCCAAGCGCCTAAGTATCAAATTTCACTTAAATTCTTCCATAAATAAAAAAGTTGGCACTGCGCATGCGCAAAACCAAATTTTGAAATTGGCGTTTGATTTTCCTTTATTTCAAGTGCCTATGTATCAAATTTTATTCAAATACTTTTATAAGTAAAAAAGTTTGCAATTCGGTTTATAAATGGTCGAGATGCGAAAAGGGCACTGTGAATTTTGAATCGATTCGATTCAACGTTTGGCATTGCGTAATATATGGCTAAATCTATGCCCATATTGAATTTCATGCAATTCAGTTCATATCTAACGGAGATGTAAAAGCGATCGAACATTTCTAAACAAAGTTATCGTTCACACGGACAGATAGATGGACAGACAGACAAAGGAACAGACGGAGANGTTTGATTTTCCTTTATTCCAAGTGCCTATGTGTCAAATTTCGTTTAAATTCTTCCATAAATAAAAAAGTTGGCACTGCGCATGCGCAAAACCAAATTTTGAAATTGGCGTTTGATTTTCATTTATTCCAAGTGCCTATGTATCAAATTTCATTCAAATACTTTTTTGCGCGATCGGTCATTTCTGACTATTTACCATGGGTGTTTCCATGACAGTAGGTAGAATTTACCAGTTGCTATGATTACGACGACGTCAAAATTACTTACCGATCTAAAAACAGAACAGCAAAAATACTTACCGACGCCTTTTTAAAAATCAACAGTCTTACATTTAATCTTTAATTATTGTTAGGTACATTAAACGTACAATTTGTGCTGTTGTTTCCTATAGCAAGACGCTCATAAAGTCATAAAGGAAGTGCAAAGCTAGTAAACTACATCAGACACATGCACATTTTTATGAAATTATTAACTTCAATTTTGACAAATAAACTGGTTACCTAGTGATATACACCATACCACTTCGATCATTTCGATTTATTCTGCTCGTTAATTTCTTAGTGCATATTTATATTGGTTGCATAATTTTAATTTCGATCGCGCAAAAAATTTTATAAGCACGTCGAACGTTAAGGGTTACCGTTCTCAGACAATAATTGGAGTCGTCGCTTCGCTCCTCCTCCAAACAATTGTCTTCGAACGGTAAAAATCCCTTACCGTTCTCCATACTTAATATACTATTATAAGTAAAAAAGTTTGCAATTCGGTTTATAAATGGTCGAGATGCGAAAAGGGCACTGTGAATTTTGAATCGATTCGATTCAACTTTTGGCATTGCGTATTATATGCCTAAATCTATGCCCATATTGAATTTCATGCAATTCAGTTCATAACTAACGGAGATGTAAAAGCGATCGAACATTTCTAAAAAAAGTTATCGTTCACACGGACAGATAGATGGACAGACAGACAAAGGAACAGACGGAGAGACCAACCGGCAGGCGACAGATAGCAATGCAAAATTATAAACGATCTCTAGGATTGTTAATAAACGGCAAAAGTGTAAAATTATGGAACATGTAAAAACGGTTTTTTGTTTTTTTTACAATAACTTTTTTTGTAAGCGGTACAGAAAAAATTCCTTCCTTGGTACAAGATTCGACACCATAACGAACCAAATAGCGAAAAAAGTAGAACAATAGCTCTTAAGATAATGAACTAGTAGCGTCGCAAAGTTAGCGGACGGACGGACGGACGGACAAAGTGGCCACAATAGCGCATTTTTGTGGAAATGCGCTAAAAAGTGTTTTCCCGAGAAATTTTGGTGTAGCCGATTTTTGGTAAAAAAGGAAGGTTTATAACTGCCTTTTTTTGAGGCCCGCAAAAAAAATTGTCTCAGATCGACCCGGAAAAAAAATGTTCTTATAGAATGTGCTCTGTAGAATCCATAATTTCAAACAGTTCCAAGATTGGGCTACTAGTTCAAAAGTTACAGCCCTTTGAATTTTCTTTCGAAATTGGTTTTAGTCTATAACTTTTGATTGAGAAGTCTGATCGAAAAAGTACGAATTGTTTTGGATTCTACGCACCAAAATTAATAAGAAAAAGTGTTTCCCGAGAAATTTTGGTGTAGTCGATTTTTGGTAAAAAAGGAAGGTTATACACTGCCTTTTTTTGAGCCCCGAAAAAAAAATTGTCTCAGATCGACCGGGAAAAAAAATTTTCTTATAGAATGTGGCCTGTAGAATCCATAATTTCAAACAGTTCCAAGATTGGGCTACTAGTTCAAAAGTTACAGCCTTTTGAATTTTCTTTCGAAATTGGTTTCTAGTCTATAACTTTTGATTGAGAAGTCTGATCGAAAAAGTACGAATTGATTTGGATTCTACGCACACAAATTAATAAGAAAAAGTGTTTTCCCGAGAAATTTTGGTGTAGTCGATTTTTGGTAAAAAAGGAAGGTTATACACTGCCTTTTTTGAGCCCCGAAAAAAAATTGTCTCAGATCGACCCGGGAAAAAAAATTTCTTATAGAATGTGGCCTGTAGAATCCATAATTTCAAACAGTTCCAAGATTGGGCTACTAGTTCAAAAGTTACAGGCCTTTGAATTTTCTTTCGAAATTGGTTTCTAGTCTATAACTTTTGATTGAGAAGTCTGATCGAAAAAGTACGAATTGTTTTTGATTCTACGCACCAAAATTAATAAGAAAAAGTGTTTTCCCGAGAAATTTTGGTGCAGTCGATTTTTGGTAAAAAAAAAGGTTATACACTGCCTTTTTTTGAGCCCCGAAAAAAAAACGGTCTCAGATCGACCCGGAAAAAAATGTTCTTATAGAATGTGGCCTGTAGAATTCATAATTTCAAACAGTTCCAAGATTGGGCTACTATTTCAAAAGTTACAGCCCTTTGAATTTTCTTTCGAAATTGGTTTCTAGTCTATAACTTTTGATTGCGAAGTCTGATCGAAAAAGTACGAATTGTTTTGGATTCTACGCACCAAAATTAATAAGAAAAAGTGTTTTCCCGAGAAATTTTGGTGTAGTCGATTTTTGGTGAAAAAGGAAGGTTATACACTGCCTTTTTTTGAGCCCCGAAAAAAAAATTGTCTCAGATCGACCCGGAAAAAAAATTTTCTTATAGAATGTGGCCTGTAGGATCCATAATTTCAAACAGTTCCAAGATTGGGCTACTAGTTCAAAAGTTACAGCCCTTTGAATTTTTTTTCGAAATTGGTTTCTAGTCTATAACTTTTGAATGAGAAGTCTGATTGAAAAAGTACGAATTGTTTTGGATTCTACGCACCAAAATTAATAAGAAAAAGTGTTTTCCCGAGAAATTTTGGTGTAGTCGATTTTTTGTAAAAAAGGAAGGTTATACACTGCCTTTTTTTGAGCCCCGAAAAAAAATTGTCTCAGATCGACCCGGAAAAAAATGTTCTTATAGAATGTGGCCTGTAGAATCCATAATTTCAAACAGTTCCAAGATTGGGCTACTAGTTCAAAAGTTACAGCCCTTTGAATTTTCTTTCGAAATTGGTTTCTAGTCTATAACTTTTGATTGAGAAGTCTGATCGAAAAAGTACGAATTGTTTTGGATTCTACGCACCAAAATTAATAAGAAAAAGTGTTTTCCCGAGAAATTTTGGTGCAGTCGATTTTTGGTAAAAAAGGAAGGTTATACACTGCCTTTTTTTGAGCCCCGAAAAAAAAATTGTCTCAGATCGACCCGGAAAAAATTTTTCTTATAGAATGTGGCCTGTAGAATCCATAATTTCAAACAGTTCCAAGATTGGGCTACTAGTTCAAAAGTTACAGCCCTTTGAATTTTTTTTCGAAATTGGTTTCTAGTCTATAACTTTTGATTGAGAAGTCTGATCGAAAAAGTACGAATTGATTTGGATTCTACGCACCCAAATTAATAAGAAAAAGTGTTTTCCCGAGAAATTTTGGTGTAGTCGATTTTTGGTAAAAAAGGAAGGTTATACACTGCCTTTTTTTGAGGCTCGAAGAAAAAATTGTCTCAGATCGACCCGGAAAAAAAATTTTCTTATAGAATGTGGCCTGTAGAATCCATAATTTCAAACAGTTCCAAGATTGGGCTACTAGTTCAAAAGTTACAGCCCTTTGAATTTTCTTTCGAAATTGGTTTCTAGTCTATAACTTTTGATTGAGAAGTCTGATCGAAAAAGTACGAATTGTTTTGGATTCTACGCACCAAAATTAATAAGAAAAAGTGTTTTCCCGAGAAATTTTGGTGCAGTCGATTTTTGGTAAAAAAGGAAGGTATACACTGCCTTTTTTTGAGCCACGAAAAAAAAATTGTCTCAGATCGATCCGGGAAAAAAATGTTCTTATAGAATGTGGCCTGTAGAATCCATAATTTCAAACAGTTCCAAGATTGGGCTACTAGTTCAAAAGTTACAGCCCTTTGAATTTTCTTTCCAAATTGGTTTCTAGTCTATAACTTTCGATTGAGAAGTCTGATCGAAAAAGTACGAATTATATTGAATTCTACGCACCAAAATTAATAAGAAAAAGTGTTTTCCCGAGAAATTTTGGAGTAGTCGATTTTTGGTAAAAAAAAGGAAGGTTAAGTATTCAAATACTATGCGAAGTATTCGAATACTTCTCAAAGTATTCAAATACCTTGCAAAATATTCGAATACTAAATTTGTGAAAGTATTTGAGTTACAAATACAAAGTATTTGAATACTTTAAAGGATTTGAATACTAAAAAGTATTTACAAAATCGAATACTGCCGAGCTCTGCTTGATACTTGTGTAAATTCTCTGAAAGCTTCCAAGAGGAAAGTTTCAGATTTTTCTCTCCTAAAGTTTTTATTGTTTATAAACACCATTTTGTAATATTCCCGCTTTGTTTTTCTTCCATATGTTTAATGCATATTGTGAAATAAAATAGTAGTATAGGTTATTGTTGACCGAAAATTTCTAAATCTAAACACACTGCGAAATCGTACATCTTCTCGCAAAGATCAGTCTCTTCGTCAACCGTAGATATACATTTGTCCGCAATGTCGGAATCCACACCTGGTACTGTCCTTATAAGTGTATCTCTGTCAATTGTGCCATCAGGGTTTAAAATGCAGATTTCTGTAAATACGCATTTGAAGAAGCACTTTAAACAGGCGTCATTGGGAAACTCTCGTTTGTATACTGCACAATTTGCCATTTCAAGCTCAACATCGCTGGCGCAGATGCAAAAGCTTAGTGCAGGTCTCATTAAAGCAGTGTAGGCCTGCCTAAGGGCCGTATTCTAAAAATAGCTACCAGTAGCACTTTTCAATGCAGATAATTACATTAAAATCAAACTTACTCGTTTTGCTGTTGTCCAGGATGCTAAATACATAAAGACTACTACATAAACAGCTATCTTTGAACTGCAACCCATTGTATTGTATCTTCACTTCAAACTACGGGATCAGAAAAATATAATTTTAAACCAGCTGTTAACTGAGAACGTGATAAATGAACCGTATTGCAATCGCACAATTTTCCACATTATGATTAGGCGATGGCACAAATTACTACTTTTTTTCGTTTTCGATTAATACGCGTTGTTCAGTGCACGGTTGAAATATTAATGGCGAATTTTAAACAAATTTTAAAACACACACTCGGCTTGTCAAAATTACACGAGACTTTAAATTTACTGGGTTCGTAAAAACACGTGAAAAAATCTAAAAGCAAGTACAAGCACGGTAGATCTAAAACTAAATCCCAAATGTCACCAATACTGCCTAAATTAAATCGAGAGAGAAATGGAGGGTCAAAATCAAGAAGACCTTGTGGCCTCTTTGAAGGTAACAAGTAACAAAGAAAATCTCCAACTTTTCTTCCAACACTCCTTTCATAAACAAGCGTTCACGCGAACCACGTATATTTTCTTTAACGATGAGTCGTACATTAATAAAACACTTGTTTTATCAATTATTTTCTTATCTAAACCCATTTACTTTAAACACAAATATGCCTTTTACACGAAAATAAAACCTAACAACTAATTTCTAAAGAAATTCTATACAAAAAGAAAACCTCCGCGTCTTCATCATTTTCCAATGCTTTATCCGCTTAAATAAAAGCAATAATTTCGCATAATGGCCTAAATTCAAATTAAATAAGAAATTGGATACGCCATTTAAAGTTTTATACGTACTTTCTTTTTGCCACTACCACCACTACCTTTATGTGACCTTCTGAAACACTATACCCAGTCGCCCATTTCTTGTAAGCAAGGCGGAATAATTTGCAGAAGTGTTAACCAATTTTTGAATTTCTTTAGGATTTTATGACATAATTTTAGCACCTAGAAGTTTACATCCGTGAAGATAGCGACCAAAGATAGCAACCCTGCCTTCGAAGATAGCCGAATATTTACATTTTTGGATATTTTCTAAACAATGAGCATTTATCGAAATTATAGAAAGAATTGAAAGGTTCTGAAATGCTCTCCCAGATTTTGATAGCATAATCACCAAAATTTGAGCCTCTTTGGAAGCAAATACGTTAAAGTTGGTCTAAACAACCCTATTCATTAGAACGTTTGCGAAAAAATTCATTGGGAAGTTGTGCTTACTGAGAAATCTCTTCTAATATGATAAATACCAATAATTCTCATTGAGTATTAATTACCCTTTTTATATCCGATTGTCCAGCGTTAGACTTTAGAATTGCTTACGCAATATTTTATGCGCCTCGCAATTCACTACCCCTTTTTCCGTTTGTTTGCTTTGCTATCTGTTACATATTAGGCAGAACGCGCACAACTGAATTCAGACAGCCTCATCTGTCATTCTTTATTCAAATGGGGCGCGAAGCACGATATAAAATGAGGTTCAGAACATATGACAATATTGCTGCTATGGAAACGATCAGAATCTATGCTTGCTTTTTTTCGACGTCTAAGTTAAATTCAGATTTATATGGCGTCTGCTACAAAATGAAGTTTTGTATTATATACAGGACGATAAAGGGAAACTAACCATTGAAATATTCCTAATCGTCTTATATAATAAAAAACTATTGTTTGATATTCACTTAGAGATTATAGCTCCGTTGTTTTCTGCGAAGGCAATTGATCCACTCGAACACGCCCGCAAAAACACTTTGAAACAGCGGCAGTTCAGTTAAAACACGTTCAATCGCTCGGACTACGGATAACCTAACATAACCTGTTCAAATCATACAAACACCTCTGAATGCTAACAAAATTTTAATCCAACCAAAGGAATGGGATCACTGAAATTAGATGCAATCTTCCCATCAATGAAAAAAAATAACCAAAATTCTTTGTATGGATGTTAGTGATATCAATAAATCAAACACAAAGTTTGTTCAACGCAAATAACTTTCACGGGTGGTCGATTCCTTTAGGAATATTAAAGTTATGTCAAACAATAATCCTTATGCACATTCCTAAAAATAACCGACCACTACTTTATACAGATCAGAACATTTAAAATAACTTAGTTATCTCGTTGGAAAGCATCGCTTCCTTTAGAGATATGGAAACAGATCGCTTCCAAGCAACGGGGGTGGCTCCCAAACGAAACACGTTGGACCCTCGATTTATTTGGAAAAAATGCGGTCATGTAACACCCGGTATAGTCACTATTTGTATGTTATGTGTCCTGTCACGCATTTTTTTCTTTAGATTCTCTATTTTGCTGCAATTAAATTACCCGATACTTTTCTAAATATGACATTTATTCTCTTTCAAAATTATATTAACTCAAAACTAAAACCAGCCACCTTTCTTTCTCAAATTCAATAACTCATACAACATTCTTATGAATTCGACAACAATTTCCCATTTAACAAAAAGCAAAAAGGAATTGTCAACCACTTATGTGAAACGGAAGTACTGGTGTACAGTTTTACCCAGCAGTGGTACTTGTCTATCAGACCTACAGAGCTGCGCTTGAGCTCAAATTGTAGCAAATTTAATCTACTTTGAAAATGATTACGGGACGTTTTTACCAAAAATGCCTCATTTAGGAGATAAAGGCCAAAAACTAAAGTAACCAGCAAGTATGTATTAATTCTCGAGTTTGAAATATATAGAGAAATGGTACAAGGTATAAGAATTTCGCGCCATTTACGTACAGTTTATAAATAATAAAATATGAACAAAGTTCACAGACCTAAGTCAACTGAAGATTAAAAGCGGTCTTACGACTGGTACAGCTGACCAACGGTATTCGGGATTGAAAGATTAAAATCGTTCTATTCCGTTATACTCGGCGTATTTAAGTGGGTACTTATATCATCAATGATTAAAAACAGTTGCACGGTGTGACGTTTGTGTTCTGTGGTGTTTTTGTCCATAAGTCTGTTCGTTAACCCTGAACGATGACCGAACTTCCAACCTTGTACCAATACTACACCGCGGGCGGTATTAACGCCGGTCTTTCTACGGCACAAGAATATTTTACTCTTAACAACAGGAACATTACAATTTATAGTGGAGCGATGCATTACTTCCGGATTCCGAGGGATTATTGGAGGATTCATTTACGTAAAATGCGAGCCGCGGGATTAAACGCCGTTGAAACGTACGTGCCATGGAATCTGCACGAACCAGAACCAAACAGCTTCGATTTTGGGACAGGTGGGTCGGATATGGAAGAGTTTTTAGATTTGGCCCAATTTTTGAAAACCGCCCAGGAAGAAGATCTACTTGCAATTGTTCGCCCCGGTCCGTATATCTGCTCAGAGTGGGAATTTGGGGGATTTCCCAGCTGGCTATTGCGAATAAAGAATATCAAGCTGAGAACTGCGGAGGAAAATTACATGTCGGCTGTGAGGAGATTCTATAATGTGCTCTTACCTATTCTGGCCGCTTTTCAATTTACAAAAGGCGGTCCCATTATTGGCTTTCAGATTGAAAATGAGTACGGGAGCACCGAACAGAAAGGAAAATTTGTCCCCGATAGGCAATATTTGACTCAATTATTGCAAGTGTATCTCACCCATGGAATTGTAGAGCTACTCTTTACTTCCGACTCACCGTCAACACATGGCAGTGTTGGTACTTTACCAGGAGTCCTTTTCCAGGTTAATACTTTTTATTCTAATTAATCGCTAACAAAAAATAGGTAATGATCGCCTTATGTATTAAATTTAATTTTCTTCCTACATGTAGCACGTATGTGACCTGAACCTAAATGGTTAGGTCATCATTAATTACGGTAATGTACAAAATATTCACGCCTCAAAACTGATATTGAAGGACATGTTTTATACTCGTATGTAATTGTCTACGTGAAACATGAATGCAAGACGATAAACAGTTCCTGTAGAACTACAAAAGCAAAATTGTTATCAAAACGTTTTCCTTGAACTGCAACGTAGTATGATGATAAGCGTCATTTTAGTATCAATGATAAATATTATTAATTTCTCATTATAGTCCAATCAAATTACGACTTGGGCTGGATGTTGTCATTTCACTCAACGAAACCAAGTGTATTCCATGTAAAAAAATCCGCTGAATCCGGAAATTATAGTCCTCCTGGCCCAAGGGGTAAACCACCTAGGTTATTCGGTATACATGCATTAAAATTAACGTTTAATGTAGTTAATGCTCCGTGATTGCAGTTAATTTCAAGTTAATTCAGTTAATTTAATGTAATGTGGGTAATGCGCGAAGTTAATGTCATTAATTTGCATTTAGTGCCATTTAATTAATTGTCAAATAGTGTCTTGATTGGTAATTAACCCTTCTAATGTTTGGGGTAATCTTTCAAATAAGGGTACACTCATCCTTAATGTCGACCAAGGGGACGACTCTGTTTGCTTTGTTAATGAAACGCATAACGGAGAAATTATTTTTAAAATAATTGTTAAACTTTTTTCGTTAAAAATGTACCATGATTTTTGAGGCACTTTAGAAGTTCACCTATTTGTGCTTTACAGGTGATTTTTTTGAGTTCTAAGTTAGCCTGAAAGTACTTTTTTGTTGAATACTTATTGTGATAATTAGCGATTTATTTTAATACAGAAGTTAACCGCACAAAATTGCTTATTGGCCAATTTATTTAAAATTTTGCGGGAACCCGCAAATACCGGGTTTCCGCGGGATTAACATCTAACGATCCCGCAAATACCGGGATTGAGATTTTGCTGCGGGATTGCATTCCCTAGCTGTAACTTTTGAACTAGTAGCCCAATCTTGGAACTGTTTGAAATTATGGATTCTACAGGCCACGTTCTATAAGAAAAATTTTTTTCCGGGTCGATCAGAGACAATTTTTTTTTCGGGGCAAAAAAAAGGCGGTGTATAACCTTCCTTTTTTCCAAAAATCGACTGCACCAAAATTTCTCGGTAAAACACTTTTTCTTATTAATTTTGGTGCGTAGAATCCAAAACAATTCGTACTTTTTCGATCAGACTTCTCAATCAAAAAATTTAATTGCAACTTTCCTTGATGTGCAAGCTGCATATGATAACGTGCTCAGTGACTTACTTTTGGACAAATTAGCTGAAATAGGGTGCTCTAAACTACTAGTCACGTTTATTAAATATATCACCAGTAATAGAATGATTTTCTCTGATTCTCTTAAAAAGGAGTTTAGACTCAGTCACAAAGGAGTTCCACAAGGTGGTGTTTTGAGCCCATTGCTGTATTTAATCTATGTAAGGGATATTACTGAGGGTGTTCCTAAAACTGTAACTATATCTCAATTCGTCGATGACATTGTAATGTACTGTAGTTATGGAAATGTTGAAAAGTTCAAATCCCTTGTTCAAAAAGCAGTTAATATCACAAATGCAAATTTAGGTAAAATCGGTTTGGGATTTGAACCTGACAAAACTGCCTTTCTTCACATAAATTGTAAAAGAATTAAACCTGGTGAAACAGTCCTAAATCTGTGTGGCAAGGACATTGTCTCGTGTGAGTCAATCAGATTTCTTGGCATTGTTATTGATTATAAACTCAGTTTTATACCACACCTAAACTCAGTTGTAGCAAAATGTGCTACTAGATCCAACATTCTAAAATTTCTGTGTGGCGTCAAATGGGGTTATCATCCAAGCACTCTATTAATCTTATATAAAAGTTTTGTTCGCTCTATTATTGACTACTGTAGTTTTGTTTATTTCCCGACAGCCACTATTCATGTTGAAAAATTGGAAAAAGTCCAAATTGCTTGCCTAAGGACTGCCTTAGGCCTCAGGAGAACAACTCCAAATAATGTCGTACTTGCGGAATCTAAACTGCAGTCAATTCAAGAACGCTCAAAAAGTTTGGGTAAATGCTATTTCACCAAAATTCTGTCCAATTCTATCTTACCTTCCTTTCAAACTATCCAGTCCATTATTCACAATAAAAATGGCAATAGAAACACAATTAAATTAAATGAGAAACCTAATCTCTTAAAACAGTGCATACTGGATGTTACTGATCTTAATATAAAAGCGCACAAGAACTATAACATTTATTGTTTTGATTACAATGTCCTTAAAACAAGCCTAAATGTTAATTACGACCTAGGCAAGCACATGAAAATAGCTAAAGATCCAAATACAATCTTAAATGCGTTTCTCAGGGAAAACAACTCCCACGTAGTGTTCACAGATGGCAGTAAAACAAATGACCAAACATAGATATATAGTGTATTTATATATCTATGTGACCAAAGCAGTCATGTAGGTTCTGCATGCTTTTATGTCAATACAAATAAGAAATCTGGTCAAGCCCTACCAAAAGATACGTCAATTTTTACTGCAGAATGTTCTGCCATTGTAAAAGCGTTAGAATCAATTAGAAATAGTCAAGTTGCCAATTTCGCGATAGTATCTGACTCCCTAAGTACCCTCCAATGTCTAGGATCAGCCAAAGTTAATATAAATTTAAATTTTTATATTCTCAAAATAAAATACGAATATAACAAAATTATGGCAAAAGATCCAAGCAAGAATATAGTCTTCGTATGGTGTCCATCTCATATTGGCATATTGGGAAATGAGGCTGTCGATGAATTAGCAAAATCTTACACAAGTAAAACCCCTACCCCTAACTTTATAATTCCTTTCACTGATTTTTCGCAGAAAATTAAAAAAAACTTCATATATTAATACTAATGATTACTGCTTAGAACAATCCATCTATAAAGGTTCCAAATATTTCAAACTTTTTTACAATGACTCGCCTAAAACTTGGTTCCACAAATCTAGAGTAAATCGAAATATTACAGTATCAATAATTAGATGCAGAGCTGCCTCATTGTTCAGGGTCAATATCGTAGATGATCCAAAATGTGCTGCGTGCGGTGATTATAATGAGGACCTAAATCTTGTTTTATGGCAATGTGATATTTACAACGATCAAAGATTAAATTTAATTAAGAATATTTGCAGAGGAAAGACATTATTACCGCTACACGTAGACTACCTATTGTTTTATCCTAACTCTACTGCTTGTGAACACATTGTTAAATTCTTAGGACTAAGGAAATACTATGTAAATATTATTCTATGTATATTTAGTTTATCTTTAATAAAGGATAGCTGATATAAGGCTCCTACAAGCCTTGAAAAGCTTAAATAAAAAAAAAAAAGTTATAGACTAGAAACCAATTTCGAAAGAAAATTCAAAAGGCTGTAACTTTTGAACTAGTAGCCCTATCTATTCTATTCTATTCTATCAGGGGAGCCTTTACAGGCAGCACTTAGGCTCATCAACGGCCCATTGTACTAACCCCCTCTCTAAACAACCAAAGCTTAGAGCCCGTTCCCTTCAATGAAGGATAAGACCCTATTTAGCCTTAGTTTCCTCACCTCCCTCGGTTCCAAGTAACTGTCACCGAGGAGTTTATGTCTGTCCCTGATCAGAGCGTCACAGTAACAGACTACATGCTCGGTAGTTTCCTCTACCTCACCACAAAACCTGCACGCAGGGTCTTCCACAAGCCCAATATTGTGCAGGTGATAGTTGACCATCCAGTGTCCCGTGAAGACACCGACGATCTTCCTAATCTGACTTCTGTTTAGGTTTAGAAGCTTAGAAGACTCAGATTTGCCAAGAGGCCCTGTTAAAAAGGTCTTGGACTGTCTGAGTCCAGCTGCCTGTTGCCATTGAGCCTGGAATTGACTGGTCGCCCAGTTCTTAATCCTGACCCTGACAACTGAGGGAGCAATTCCAAGGGTGGGCTCAGGCCCGACAAGGGCCCCACTACTGCCTTCGCGAGCCAACTCGTCCGCCCTTTCGTTGCCCCCTATTCCAGAGTGCCCCGGCACCCATATCAAGCTTACCCTATTAGACTCACCTAATCTATCTAGGGTTCGCCTACAGTCAAGCATCGTATTCGAGCGGAGAACTAGTAGCCCAATCTTAGAACTGTTTGAAATTATGGATTCTACAGGCGACGTTCTATAAGAAAAATTTTTTCCAGGGCGATCTGAGACAATTTTTTTTTTTTCGGGGCAAAAAAAAAGGCAGTGTATAACCTTCCTTTTTTCCAAAAATCGACTGCACCAAAATTTCTCGGAAAAACACTTTTTCGTATTAATTTTGGTGCGTAGAATCCAAAACAATGCGTACTTTTTCGATCAGACTTCTCAATCAAAAGTTATAGACTAGAAACCAATTTCGAAAGAAAATTCAAAGGGCTGTAACGTTTGAACTAGTAGCCCAATCTTGGAACTTGGGACATTTTAATTTAGAGAAGTTATATAGGTTTCGTAACTTCTTGTATTAAAGTCATATGAAAAACCTGTCAAGTGTAAAGTAAAACATTAAAACTCATACGAAAAATATGTTGGTAGTAAATATCATATAACATATCATATAAAAAGTCATGTGAGATATATTATAGTGTAAAGGTACTTTAACAGACAGAATTCGTCACTCGTTTTATTTTTCAGGGTAATAGTGACTCGTGTTTTAACTTTTAACCAATCACAGTGAAGGTTAAACTGTTCCTATGCTTTCTACCGCTATCTTCTTAAAATGAATAGCGTTATAGTTCTATAGGTACTAAAAAAGATTCTCAAAAACTATAATGCGCAAAGATTTATGTTTACGGCTCATTTTAGCGAATGATGAAAGGTACGATGTAGAAAAAACATTTTAAAAAACGTAATTTTTGAAAACGCTGTTAGACCCTCCACTTTTTAAAAATTTTTTATAGCTTAACCGTAATGGCGCTAGCTTTAATTCAAGTGGCGCAATTGAGCGCATAAGCAAATGTATCAGGTGACCTAGTTACAAGCGACAAAATACGTACTGGGGGGGCTACGTTCACTTGGCCCCCCCCCAAATGTTTTTTTGGATTTCTAAAAAAACGATAATAGCGCAAGAGTTATTATCGGTGGCGGATATGAGCGCATTCATTTTAAAATAATACGACTATCAAATTTCTCAGTGGGGGGGGGGGGGGGGGGCAAGTTAACGGACCCATTTTTCACATACTATAGCCATACCCAGGAGCTCGAGTTCTAGTTATTCATAAAAATGAAAAAATGCTTTAATCAATAGGGGTATACTTAAGTATCTGAGTGATATGCGTCCCTTAAATCGTGGAGAACACAAATTTCGAGTTTTATTTTAAGACGAACTGCTTGTTACACCTCGGTAAAAATAAAGAGAATTTGGAAAATTATTTAATGCAAAATAAACTCGTGTTTACCACGATTTAAGGGACGATATGTCAATACAGGGGGATAAATTTAGGAGCAATGAGCATTTTTCATTTTTATGAATAACTAGAACTCGAAATGAAAATAAACGTGTAAACCAATATACCAAACGAGCTCCTGGGTATGGCTATAGTATGTGAAAAATCAAATTTTGAACCTGGTGATTTAGATTTGAATTTATTCCAAGTGTCCATGTTTCAAATTTCATTTAAATACTTTCATAAATAAAACGAATAGCGAAAAGGGCACTGTAAATATTGAATCGATTAGGCCCAACTTTTGGCATTGCGTATTATACAGGGTGTCAATTTTAAAGCTTGCAGTCGGCCATATTTTCCAAACTAAAGAAGATATTGAAAATCGCGCAGTACCGTTTCGGGGGTATCGAGGGGGAACCAGAATGACGTTATTATCCCCACCCCATTAACCACCCAGACCCCCCCCCCTTCTTCAAAAATTCTAAATGGCAACCCCGTACTTGTGACACATCGTTGGAAAGCTACTGAAAAATGCTTTCCAGTGGTACCAATAAAGTCAATATTGATTAAGACAACTTAAAAAAAATTTAATAATTAACAAAAATAAATAAATGTTACAATAAATGTTGAAAATGGTTGCCATTATTGGCCAAACAAAAATAAAGTCTGTTTTCAAACTCTTTACGAACATTATTGAAGGTCTCTTTAGATATAAGACGACATCCTTGAATAATTATTCTTTCCCGTAGTTCTGCAATTGAAGCTGGTTGAGTTTTATACACCACTGATTTTAGGTGACCCCACAGAAAAAATCAGAAGAAGTAAGATCTTGGAGGCCATTCGATTGGACCTCTTCTTCCAATCCATTGGTCGGGATATTGTTCGTCCAACTATTGTCGAACTGGAAGGGCATAATGTGGAGGTGCTCCATCTTGTTGAAAATGCAACAAATTTTCGTTTAGAAATAAATTGTCTTGCATGTCTGATTTTCCAACTCTTCAACAATCAGCGGTTGTATGATATTATCCAATAGTTCGCCATAAATGTCACCATTTAAAGTTCCTTCTATAAATATCGGTCCAATAATGGCATCCCCCAAAATACCCGCTCAAGCATTAGTTTTTTTCTGGATACTGAGTATGTCCTTCCCTAAAGATATGCGGATTTTCTTCACTCCCGTAACGAACGTTTTGTTTATTAACATTGCCGTTCAAAGAGTAAGTACATTCGTCGCTAAAACAAATGTTTCTTACTTAATTCGTCTATCTGGGTCATCATCCCCAAGTTCTTGAAGTATTGAAGTGGTGAAGTTTCAATACCCGCCTAACTGATTCATGGGATGGTCCTGTCTCTTCAGCTGCCCTACGAGTTGACATTGAGGGATTTATGGCAAATTATTAAATTTTTGTTAAATTGTCTTAATGAATATTGACTTTATTGGTGCCACTGAAAAGCATCTTTCAGTAGCTTTCCAATGATGTGTCACAGGTATGAGGTTGCGTTTAGGATTTTTTGAAGAGAGGGGGCTGGGGGGTTAAGAGGGGTGGGGTGTTGTCACTCATAACGTTCATTCCTATTTTCAATATTATCTTTAGTTTGGAAAATATGGCCGACTGCACGTTTTAAATTTGACACCCCCTATGACTAAAGCTATGCCAATGTTGAATTTCACGCAATTCTAACATGCATAACTAACGGAGATGTCAAAAGAGCCCTTATTTTTAGCGCATTAGGCCCTTACAAAATTTTAAACTCTCTAGAAGGTCGTTAGTAATTGAAAAATGTTGGTTATTTGAAATATTTTCGACATCATTAAGTTACTACTTAGGTAGAGAATTTCATAAGCTGTCATATTATGTAATATACAGGGCGTTCCTTATGAAAAGTTACATTTTTGCTATTATCTGAAAAATGCGATGTTGTTTTGTTTTAATTTCAGATTTAGATTCATTAGAAAAAATACACAATTTTGGTAATTTAACCGTCTTTCTAACAACAACTAAGAAAGTTAGCAATAGTACCGTCTTAATTTGAAACAGACTGTATACAGGGTGTTTCATGGGGAATGGTACACACATAATAACATAGTATGTTATAGATTTGTTCATTTTAAGCAGCAAGTGCCTAAAAATATGTTCTCAATTCTCATAGATAACTGGGAGACTAACGTATGTACCATTCCTCACGAAACACCCTGTATGTACTTACTTAATAATAGTGTGTACTTGTAAAACAATTTTTTTCTTGAATTATCCTAGAAATCCAAAAATATAACAAGAAATTATCTTATCTATAATTAGACCCTTGGCACTCTGATGAATAAAAATCATACATTTTGGTCAAATAGAAGCATAAAAAAACGTCACGCTTTAAATAATCGTTTGATGCGACCCGATTTGAAAAATCATTTTTGGTTGTCTGGAAAACAAGCCAAAAGTCAAAAGCATTTCTCGTGAACTATTAATCGGTTCTGAACGTATTTTTTTAAATGAAGGTCTTTCCGAGAGCTTTCCATTCGGATATTATAAATTTACATTTCTTGTTTGTATTTTGGAAATTACCTATTCCATTTGTTAACTACGAAAATTCTTCGGAATTGCCTTCGGTTGCCTTTGTTGTATGACCCACTTGTTTACATTGATAGCATCTAAATTTGAAAATGCTTGTATTCAAAATGCTAAAACAAATCATTCATTTTTTTGAATTAATGCTAAATCTTGGCACGGAAGTAAACATATATCTTTTTCCAGACTGCCAACTTTGGCTCTAACCCGGAAAAAGATTTTGATCGTCTAAAGCAATTACAACCAAACAAACCAGCGATGGCCATGGAGTATTGGGGTGGCTGGTTCGATCACTGGTCCGAAAAACACCACACAAGAAAAAATTCGGACTTCAACAACGTCCTCGAGAGGATTCTGCGGTATCCCGCCTCTTTCAACATCTACATGTTTATAGGTGGCACAAACTGGGGCTTTCTTAACGGAGCTAATATTGCCGATGGTAGTGTTAACAATAAGGGTTATCAACCGGATACAACAAGCTATGACTACGATGCGCCCTTAACCGAAGCCGGCGATTATACGGAAAAATATATAATGGTTAAGGAACTTATAAAAAAATTCAGCAAAGTGAATCTTAATACCCCACAAGCTCCTTCAATTACCTTAAAAATTGCGTACCCCACCATTAACGTAACGGGACAGTTAAAACTGAAGGAAATTATTGACAGGGTACCAGAGAAGTTTGAGTCTCCAACCCCGATTTCCATGGAACATCTTCCGATGAATAACGGGGCAGGTCAAAGCTACGGGTACATTACTTATAAGAAGGAGAATTTACACATACCAGCAAATTCGGTCCTTACCATTGAAGGGCACGTGTGTGATACTGTAATGGTTTTGGTAAATGGTATGCTTGTTTCCAAACCGTTAAGAAGTGCGGTCGATTTGAACGGTTTTGGGTACTGGAGAATTGCTAACGGAAAGCTCCATTTAGGAGTTGAAGATGTGCATAACGCAACTTTAGAGTTAGTAGTCGAAAATTGGGGGCGAAATAATTTTGGGTACTTAGAACAATTTAATCAGTACAAGGGAATATGGCAGGGAGGCATTTTATTAAACAACGATAAGTTATTAAATTGGCAAATCATTCCCATGGAATTCAAAAGGAAGTGGAATGACAACTTAACAGGATGGCACGTTCCTGAAGCTTTATGGTTGGCAGGCCCTTCTATGTATAGGGCGATGTTCGTGGTAAACGAACTCGCCGATACATTCATAGACATGAAGAAGTGGGGCAAGGGAATTGTGATCGTAAATGGTTTCGTTTTAGGGCGATATGCATCAATGCTGGGTCCACAACAAACCTTGTATTTGCCGGCGCCATTATTACGAAAAGGAACGAATAGTATAATCGTATTTGAACATTTTACGGCGAGCGAGGAAATCGCTTTCTCCAGCCAACCAATATTTTATACTCCTGCGATTAATGGAGATGTGCCGACTGTGATAAAACAAAATTAACTATATATAATCTGTAACAAAAAAAAAAGATGTCATTAAAAATACATTTTTATTATAACCCAAAATCTTATTATGTACCTTAAATATAAACTAAAAATTTTTATCAAGATTTTTACTATGGGTTTCCATGGCGTCTATTTCTATCTATGAACATAAGCAGAAGTTTTTGAGTGACAATAAATCGCGAATGTTACCGATATTATTCAGTTACAGGTTAAGGATCTGTGAGAATATTAGCAGAGTGAGTTCGATGAAAGTTTTTAATCAGTCAACACGAAAATCAGTTTTAATATAAACTTACAACGACACATTTCTTGAATTAAATTTTTGACATATTTTAAAATTACTTATATAAGCTGGCGCTGTATGAATATCAAACTTGATTATAATTATATTCCAACAGCCCCATTTAATCTAGTGAAGATACATACACAAAACTTGTAAACTAAACTACTTATAAACATATATATTTGAAATTACATACATCCTAAATAGTTAACAAAATATTTGTGTTTTGGCTCTGATAAACCTTTTGTGAAAATATCAGCTGGCATCTGATCTGTTGAAATATACTCTAAGCATATCTCTTTTCTTTCAACTGCCTCTCTTATAAAATGATATTTTACATTTATATGTTTAGTTCTATTAAGAAATACAGGATTTGAAACCAACTTCTGCGCACTTTATCATTACATAACAAAATAGTTTCATCTATTTGTAAAATTTCACCAAGAAAACCTTTTAAAAATATAGCTTCTTTAAGTTGCTTGACAAATAGATACATCTTCTGCTTCGGTACTAGATAAACTTACTGATGCTTGTTTCTTTGATTCCCATGAAATTGCCCCTCCTGACAACAAACACAAATAACCAGTATATGATTTTTCCATCGATTAAATTATTTCCCCAATCAGCATCACAAAATCCTTTGTTTTCCAAATTACCTTTTTTGTAAATTAAACTCTGATCAATATGGTCCGTTTTAAATACCTCAATACCTTTTAGCATGTTGAAAATGAGTATTTGTGTAACAAGTATTAGACTGACTTAGATAGCTTACAGAGAAAGCTATATCAGGTCTCGAATTAACTGCTAAAAACATTAAAGAACCTATAAGACATATGTAAGGAATACTTTTATCACATTTTCCTTTTTCTAACTTTAGCCTTGGTTCGATAGGAGTTGAAACTGGTTTACAGTCTTTCATACCAAATCTCTCTAACAAATATAAGATATACCTAATGCTTTTGATTTACCTTAATTCCTGTTTACTTTTATCTAGTTCAATATTTAAACCTAAACATTTCTTGACTTGGCCCAAGTCCTTAAGTTTAAAATTCTCTGATAAAACACCCTTTAATTTAGCAGCTTCACCAGCATTATTATAGAAAATAAAAAAATCATCAACATACAAGGCAATAATAACAATTGTTCCTTCAATTCTTTTCATATAAACGCAAAATTCATATTTAGACTTTTTGTAATCCAATTCTGTCAAAGTTTGCTCAACTCTCAAATTCCACATACGTGAAGCTTGTTTAAGCCCATATATGGCTTTGTTTAATAAACAAACCTTATTATTTTTAATATAACCTTCCGGTTGAGCCATAAAAATCCTTTCTTTCAAATTACTATTAAGAAAAGCTGTGGTAATGTCTACATGATCTACTTCTAAATCAACACTTACCGCTATGGCAAAAAGCATTCTTAAAGTAGAGTTTCTAATAACTGGTGAAAACGTTTCCTGTATAGTCTATTCCATACTGTTGAGTAAAACCACGAGCAAGTAGTCTCTTCTCACCCTTTGAATCACACTTTAATTGATAAACCCACTTGCACTGAACAATCTTCCGATTATCTGTTTTTTCAACTAATGTCCATACTTCATTGTTTATTACTTGACTCGTACTCTTCATCCATTGCTTTTCTTCCTTTTTCTGCATCGTCACGACTCAAGACCTCAGATACAGTGCTTGGTTCTTCATTCATCGCTTCCGATACCAAATACAGTACATGGTCTGTATAAGTTTTTTATTTTCTCAATCTTTCCGATCTTCTGAGTTGTACATCATTTTCTTGTGGAACATCCACTTCCAGATCATCATCAGATTGTGCATCAGAATGTATATCTTCAACTTCTTCTTCATGCTCCTCTTCTATGTGAGCATCCTCTTTTTGAGTAACCAGATTTCTCATCAGGATCATTTTTCCTAGATTGAAATTGATTTTCGAAGAAAACGACATCTCTAGATTTGATGATGTGACCTGATTTTTCAATATCAAACAGTCTGTAAGCTTTACTATGTTCATCGTAACCCACGAACACATATTCCTTGCTCTTTGGATCGAATTTCTTTCTTAATTGTTGCGGTATATGGGCCTTTGCTATACAGCCAAAAACTTTTAAATGTTTGAGATTACTTCTCAATCCTGACCATTTTTCTTCTGGCGTACATCCTTTTACAGCTTTGTGAGGTGATCTATTCTTCAAATAAACTGCGGTGTTGACAGCTTCAGCCCACATCTTTTGATCTAGATTTGCCTCAAGCAACATACATCTAGCTTTTTCTACTATCGTCCTATTTGTCCTCTCTGCTACACCGTGTGACAGTGGTTTGATGATCAATACCTTTTATTTTGAAGTAATTTGTGAAACCTTAACATACTCTGTTCCATTGTCACTTCTAACCTCCTTAATTCTCTTACCCGTTTGATTCTCAACAAATATTTGAAATTGTTTAAAATGATCTAGGACTTGACTTTTAGATTTCAAAAAATATACAAATACTTTTCTAGTATAATCATCAATTAGTACAAAAATGTATCTTGCCCCACTCCAAGAGGAAACTGGCATAGGTCCACATAAATCTGTGTGTACTAATTCTAAAATATCTGTAGCTCGCTTAACCTCCTGTCTTATTAAACGATTGCCTCGCCTGCTTTCCCAGCAAACACCTTTGGCATTGGTCCCCTTTTCCATTGCCGTACATTATGCCATCAGCCATTCCATTTTTTCAATAGCTGCATACTAACTCGATTGAGATGGCCTAGTCTCTTGTGCCACAATTCTTCAGAATTTGAATTTGCCACAGTAAGCAAACTCTGCTGCTCAAAAACGTCCAACTCGTAGAGCGGTGAGTCGCATTAGCCACAACCCCTCCTTTGACTTGGAATTTTTCATTGTCATAAATAACACATTTATCTTCATTCCACAGCATGTCCTTTTTCTACCATTTTGCTCACCGACAGTAAGTTAGCCCTTAATTCTGCAACATAGACGATCTCGGATATTGTTTTGTTACCTGACTTGGTATGCACTTGAGCGTTTCCAATATCTGCACCAGATATCCTTTGATTGTTAGCAACTACAATCTTGGAATCTATCAGATTTTCAAAATCTTCAAGACAATCCCTTTCAAATGTCATGTGTGTGGTTGCCCCTGAGTCAATGTACCACTTCTGAGAATATTGGACACTGTTGTTGGTAACAGAAGTCTGCAATGCCTTCTCGGATTTGGCATGATCCTTTTTATCTTTTTGGTACTTACTCTTTCTCTCATTAGACTTTTTATTTTCTTCTGAATTTGAGCTCTTATAGGAACACTGATTTTTATAATGTCCCATGCCTCCACACGAATAACATCTTACTCCCGATTTACTACCTTTCTTCCATGTCTTTTTATTTGATAACAAATCAACTTCATGATTTTCCTTGTTGTATTTATCATCTTGAAGTAATTTAGCTTTTACACAATCACTTGTAATCGATTCAAAACAATTTTCAATTGCCATTACCATGGGTTCATATTCTGGAGTAAGGCCACAAAATAACACCCAAAAACTCATCATCCACCGGATGTTGCATATCTTGTAACTTTTGAGCTTGTGTCATCCTCTCTGGATAGCCTTCTATGCATCCCCAAAGAACTTCATGCATAAGCGCCATTTTTATCCCAAATTTCCAGCTGTTAAAATTCTCCCTGGCGACTAATTTCTCGAATCCTAAGGATATACTCGAGTGTTGTGCCATTTTATACAAGTTTTCTGAACTTAACACTTCTCTGATGTATAACGTTGACTTTCGCACTAACTTATTTTTCTATCGATTTACACTAAAACGCACACGCACTTCATAATCTGGGCGCATAACCTGTGAGAATATTAGCAGAATGAGTTCGATGAAAGTTTTTAATCAGTCAACACGAAAATCAGTTTTAATATAAAGTGTCTTCATGAATTAGGGGAATTAGGGGAAAGTATCACTTTCAAAACTTGTTGTACAAAGGACAATATCCTCCTAAATTAGAAACTTCTTTTGAATCTTTAGAAACCTTCTTTGGAGTGTCACAAGAGATCCTCTGGAAAACCTTTTTAGGAGTATTTTGTAAAATATCTGAAGAATGCAGGGAAAATCACTTCCATGTAAATAATCTTAGCGATCGTTCTAGAAAAGTGTACTAAACATTCTTTAGTTAGTAATAAGTAGTCTCTTTTGAAAGTATTTTTAGAATTGCCTTCTGTCCAGGGATCTTCTTAGAAATAGTTTTAACGACTTGCTTAGAAAGCGTTCTCGGAATCTTTAACACATTATTTTCGTCATCTTCTTGAGGTCATTTCAAGATTCTTCCTCAAAGTGTGCTTAGGAAATGTTACCAGAACCTTATCAATTTTCTTCTTACGTGACATTTTAAAAATTGGCGTAGAACTCTTGGAAAACCTGAATTGGATTCAAAAAATAATCTCCATAAAAATATTGTAACGTAAATTTAATTACGCCGTTTATTTATTTACAAATAATTAACAATAAATTTATAACAGTATTGAAAAGAATAGATTTATAACAGCAAAATTTATTTGTCACTTACGTATACACCATTTATGATTTCGGCGTTGAAAGTGGAACTGTCAATTCGATTTGCTTATATAGCTACCGCCCCTTATTTCATGAAAAATCTCGAGCGCTTCCGAAGGCATCCCACTATTCTACGTTTTCGGGAAAACACGTCATATTTCTCGAAAAGAAAACAATACGAGACGGATGGACAGAAAGTGTAATAAAGAAGTCCAGTTTAAAGACTTCCGTTTCTTAGTATTCAAATTGAACCCGAATTCAATGTAATTCCAGTTGAATTTTCTTGTACAAGTCGGTTCCCATGATCACCATAACAAAGGGGGTGAAATACTAAGTACAAATAAAACAAGTAATTACCGGTGTTTTTAAGGACTTTTTTATGTGCACATATCTACATATACACAGACTTACATTTCCATACGTGGTTTGATTTCTCTGTTATAATTTAAAATACAATGTTGTCACGTTCTTGTAACTAAAAATTATAAATGTTGCATAATTATAAAGTACAATTGTTTAAATAATTAAGTTTTTTTGGTTATTTAACGAGAGCGTCGGTAGTGGTGTCAAAATTTCAGAAACTTTATCCGTCACAGATCTTAAGTATGTAGGTAGGGTCGTAGTTGTTTTCGATGTAACCCTTTCAAAAAATGGCCTTTTGTATAATCGATGCGCTTCAGCTCTTTGGTCATCGGTAACGACTTTATCATCCAAATGAACCAACGTTGGGAATAACGAAATCATAAATAACCTAATAAAAATAACGTTACTGTTTGTTTTCCAAAAGTCATCTCTACCTGTATTGTAAATACTCATAAAATGTTCCGCCGTTAAGGTACGACGGAGCCGCTGGGTTCCCCATTAACGACAAATGCCTTAAGTTCGGACAAGCCTGTTGTAACCTCTTCGCCCATGGATACAGTTCGGCTATCTGCAGTTTTTGATAGTTATATGTAGCTTTTGTTGATTAATTTACCTTGCAATGGTTCATCCATAGCAATTCCAATTGGGGCATGTAAGGAATGTGCGTTGTTGAGGTAATATTATTGTGATCACAGATAAACATTGTTAATTGTTTGAATTCTCCCGCAAAGTCAATATTGCTATAAAAAATACAATTAATGTAATTGTTTCGAGAATAACAAATAACACCAAATAATACCAAATTAATGCAACTAAGATATCCGCTGTAACAGTTAAAATCGAACAGACTGTGTACCTATAGTATTAATAATTAGGTATCTGTTTTCTGGCAAATATACGATAGATGAATTCTTGTAGTAGTTTCAATCGCATTTAAACTTACCAATAAGACAACAATAATCAGCATTTCCATTTATGAGCTTTTAGATTTTGTAAACTGAATCCAGCAAACTTACAATAAAAACTTTCCAACCGAATTGGAAAACTGATTTATGGTGCCGGAAATAATCTAATAAATACACCTCGTGCAATGAAAATTGTCTGAAAACTTTTTGTATCAACTAAAATTTCCACCTCTTACTAAAAAGTTTACCCCACTTTTACGCGTGGTGGTTGATACCTTAAAAAATTTTGATAGTATGATAGGATATTTAGATCTCATTTCATTTTCAAATCATATCTCACATTAATTTTGATCTCCATCACCATCAGAGGTGCTTCGAAACGTGCCTGAACTGGTTACATATAAGTATGCTGACATACATTTTTAAAAGCACATCCGTTACATTGAATGGGTATATTTTCATAAGTAATAACGAACGAGTTCAGAAAATAACAGGCGAAATCAAAAGTTGTGGTTAGCGAATACAAACTTGAAAATAATGTTAAATTTAGTCACCATTTGATATAAATTTCAAGTTTTAGGGGAGGTCCCACCTTGTATTACTTACTCAAATTCATTGTGACTTATATCCAACGTTTTAATAATGGGCGATAGTTCATGTAGCAGGAATTTTGGTATTGAGTGCAGCTTTTCATAAGCTAGCGATAGCCGATGCCTTGGATCCGTATAAAATAACTCATTTTCTAAGGTAGCAAACGATTCAGACTTCGATTCGTTCTGGCCTGTAAAATAAATCAAATTAAGTGCTACAATGATTAGTTAGTCGGTAAGCACACTAATTTCTCACACGGGACCCAAAATAAGCTCAGTTTAGCTTCAGATCTAGTACTGACTACATATACGTGATAGTACGAAGCTCTGGCTAGGACACATAGGAAATTATTTTGTAAATTACAGTTGTAACTGGGAATTAGTTTATAATTTACAGTTGTAATTGGGAATTACACTAATTTACAGTTGTAACTGGGAATTATGCTAATTTACCGTTGTAACTGGGAATTAAACTAATTTACCGTTGTAACTGTCAAGGATAATTCCCAGTTACAACTGTAAATTAGTATAATTCCCAGTTACAACTGTAATTTACAAAATAATTTCCTATGTGTCCTATCCAGAGCTTCGTATGATAGTGATTTTGCAGTAGGTTTTTCGTGCTTCACTTGAAGTCGAATTGTAAGTACTCGTAACTCCGAAGAACTCAAAATATCTAGATACCGAATCTACCGCACAGATAGAACTGCGAACATTGCATCAGGAGGAGTAGCCATCATTATACTAAGCACAAAATCATAAACCATGAATGTCAACCACTAACACTATTATTCTTGGAGTACTTCCGTAAACATCATATGTGTTATAAGGAACCCCACAAAAGGCTTCTAGACATCTCAACAGACGAAATCACACTACTCATTGGAGACCTACACTCCAAAAAACGCCATTTGGGAATGTAGAACATTGAAGAATTTTAATTAGCAACTTCTTCAACAGGTGCTCACAGAGCTTTGGATTCGGACCACCACCTATCATTTGTTGCCTAATAACATAGAGTAAATAATATATTTACTCTATGCTAATAAGTACCACCATTCAACTGCAATGCGTCGTTGAGACCATTGAAAGAGATCACGGATCCAAACAATTTACAGCGACTCAAGCCATTGATCGAGTGTGGACCAATGGTCTGAAATACATAATCGCACTACTTCAAATACGCGACTACATCAAATCCATACTATTCTTTCGCCTATAAAATCGTAGCTTCGCAGTCAAAATTCATGCATCCTAGTTGGGGTTGGAGGTTGGAAATAGGAACGAAGTAGCTTTTCACGATTTTTTCCTTTATTAGAACCTTACACTATTTTTTACACTAAATGGACTGTACAGGGTGGCCATTTGAAAACGAAACAGAGCCTATTTTGGGGACCTCAAAACATTTACGAAAAAATCTTTGGACCCGTCAATTTTTGATTCAGGGGGGAACCATTTTTTTGCAAGTTTCGCCCCCCTGAGGGCAAAGTCATAGCGGGGATGACAAGCGCCCCCAAAATTTTAAATCGAATAGGGGGTCGAGTGATACCTTATTTTGAAGGTTTTATTTTAAGTTCTTAAAGCTCTCATTTGTTTGTCACTTGCGCCCTTCAAGAAAAAAATCAAAAATTATCTCACCGAAAATGCGTTCTATTCTATTGATGAATTCGTCCGTGAGTGCAAATCTATTTAACAAATTTGTTTATGTTTTGTGATTTTTTGTCTTTTTGTAATGTAATGTCGTTTTATATGTACATTTATATTTTTATATATCTATAATTCAAATTGGCATGTTTTTATATATTATATTATTTTTTTATTAATTGTT